ATTCATAGAAACCTTGGGCATATGTGTACTGGGGTGAACATACGAATTATGCTTGGAGATATTGCCGGTGGATTGCATGCCATGTGTTTGTCGATAGTTTACTCCGCAGTTATGATTAGGAACATTTTTGACTGCACCAGGGACGTTTTCTGAACAATGCGTTTGTCATTTCTCCCGAGAAATGGGACCGAGAAAGCCTGGGTGATCTCCAGGTACTAGTAAATTAAGGCACACTAGTTTCCCATGCTCCTTTTTATTGTAGGGTGGATATTTCGGGAGTTGTACTCCGTATTGGCTTTTGAGAAATTCAAGGCGCCGAAAGTGGAAACTAAGGTAATAATAGCCCTATTAGAGGGGCTTAAATAGAAATGTAGCGGGAGACATGCAAAGCCAAATGAAGCCAAACCCTCCAAGGAGAAAAAGACATAGAAGCAAACGAAGGCTGATTGTCCATGAGACCAATATCTTCTGTAAACGCCGACTCAACCCACCCTAGAACCTGCCTTGAGTACCCAAACGTATATAACCATGAAGGGGAAATCAAACAAAAGTGTACAAGCAGCTCTTCAAAATCAAAGCGGAAAGGTAGCTGTAATAACCATTTAACGTTCATCATCATTTAGCCACCAAAACCAGCATCGCGCCCGGTAGTCATGGCCGTAGGCGACTGCTCGTTATTCCAGGTGAGGTACCTATGATCACCAAGTTTTCTAAAGTAATGAGATTAGTATGATATGCATTTGAGAATATGCAATTCAAGGGAGAAGCTGAGTGTACCTTGGCTTAATCAAGTGGGCCAAAGTGAAAAGTGCGCCTAGAACGATGCACAAACCGCCCACGACGACATATGCGATTCCCATAAACGGGTTTTTTCCACCCATCACAGTGGTGGTAGTAAGGACAATCGATTTCTTTCCGTCATATTTCAGGACAGGAAAATCTGTGTTGAAAATTAATATATGTCCTCACAAGCCGTAAAACAGGCGACAAAAATTAGCTTCGGCTCAAAAACGTACAATAATTGATGTCAATTCGATAAAGACCAGCAGTCATGGTCTTGTTATCAGCTCGCCTTGCCAGCTTACTAAAAGTCGGCAGGCCTGCCGTTCTCATCCATACTTGAAATTCCTCCCACTCCCGAAGATTGGGTGGCGGGTAGTCTTCCGTATAATCATCGGGATACATTTCTTTCCAGTTCGGAGGTGGAACGACCTGGTCATAGCTGTATTCTGTAGGCCCATACAACTCCCGGTCTGAAGCCCAGGATATTCCTTGGTTGGTCATCTCAAATGTTTCGTTGGGGCTAGTTCCAACCTTGACCGGGCTGGAAAAAGTGTCGTTAAAAAGCGAATTCGCGATCAGACCGCAGGGATAGTATGCTTTCCCGTCCGGATTCAATCGAAGCGGGTCACATGCACTGCTGCCGATAGTGCCGTTCGAGAGAGCCTTCCCTTTAAGTTGTTCCAAGTCAAGTGACTTCACGTAACGGCGATGGTTTTGATAGAATTTATCCAAGCGATAGTAGAAATACACAGGAGGGCCGATATCATTAGGAATCTCGAATATCAAAGAGCAAACAGTGGTATCGTTTTTGACCACGCCAGAGTGAAGCTGTACTGCCTGGTTCTCCGTTCGATACCATTGAAGTTGGGATATTGGCTTCTGAGATCTAAACGAAGCTCGAACGTTCTCTTCCGGGATCGAACGGGCATTGCCGCTTCCCAGTGGAGCGTCGGTTTCACACTTTGAATAATCGATTACAATCTCCTCAACCTGTTCAAGCCATTGGGAGTAAGTGATATTAGATTAATCTTTTGCATTCTCGCCGAGATATTAACAGGCGAGCCCATACCTGTGAACTAGCCCATATCAAGAGCCCTCCAATAGGCGCAAATATGATTCCCACGGCAAAGAATAGCGGAAGGACAGTTTTCGGTGTAAGAATCGGTCTAGGTGAAGGGTGCGAATGGTCAGAAACAGCTTTTCTCCCGCAGGGGTACAATGGAAATCGATAGCATTTAACTGCGGTGTCACTCACTGCCATGCCTTCAATCTTTGTTGTCGAAACGCAGTATCTATATTACCAAAGAACCAAGTCAGCCATAAAGTCTTCTAAAAACTAAAACATGAACGCCTTCCCGTCGATCGACGGATGGATCGGAGTTCGAAGCAAATAGCGAGAAGAGTCAAGGGTGTAACTGGGGGGAAAGCACGCACTTGCAGGTCTCCTGCTCTTGGGTTTCTTGTCCTCCCTGGAGTTGTGAGGATCCTGTTCCTCGACCGAGTCGGCGCGAGTCACGGTTTGCGACATTCCGCCGCCCCTTTCGACCAGTTCAAATCAGTTATCGACGATGAATCAAAACGAGGGCGTGGAAACGAGAGAAGCGACGAACTAGCAAGTCAGCCCGCAGGCTCTCTCTGCAGCAATATATGGAACGGGGTAAACGTCGATTCGGCGGATGGCTTGGTCCATTCAACGTCAAAATCGAGCTGAACTTTCCAGCGCCGTCCGTCTGCCTCTTCAGCTTACGTAGTTCGATACCGCCCGCACCAGGCGAACCAAACGTGGCTTAGCACCCATAACCACCGGTAGAATATTATTCCGTCCGTGCTTATATAATCAAACTTAGTCGTGGAGCATCACGTGCATTCTGCATGGATGCCAAGAACATTCCGCGCCTGATTGGTTCGGTTAGCGTGGCGTTTGGCGGAAAGCAAGTTTGGCGGCGTCGCGACTGTCTCCGAGGAGGACTGGACGACCGCGGACTCGACATTGAAGTCAAGTTGGGATGGAACAACACGAGATGTGATCATTTTGATATGTCTCATGCATTCTCAGTCTTGTCCTTTTCGTTCTATCCTACGCTTCTCCCGTGTTGTGTTTTACAGTCCCGCGCACGGCACAGCAGCCTACCTAAGATGCCTGCTTGATCTCTTAGCCTGCAACCCTTCACCCCAATTAAAAGATGCAGAATTTACCGTCTGCAGTACTCCCTCCTAAACTTTAGTACAAGTTACCTTCTGCAACCTTGGGGTTCCATTCCGTCTGCAAATGGCCCGGAATGCTTGTTTAAACTATTTTGAATGCGTTCGTGGGAATCAACGCTCTGGGCGGATAGCCCCGAGTATTGGGGCCTTGCCCCGAAACTCCTTCTGGCCATGAAACCCCGACGTTCTGTACGTTGAGATACGCTAAACCGCATGTTTTCAAGGGATAGAGGACCTCCCGCGATGTCCTTAATCTTTTTTTTAGTTTATTTGTTTATTTTTGATTTACCCTATTAGCTAGGAGTTTGGGTGTGGGTGCACATCCCTGAGCAGCGTGGTGCTCATCCCAATCCCAATCTCCCCGTTATATCCTCCAGACTTGTTCGGCTCGACTTGTCAGCGTATCGCGGGGAGTATCCCGGCGAGACTTACCGCACATGACAGATTCCCCGCAGGGTCTAGGATCATGCGCGAAGAACCCATCCCAGCTGATATCTTCGTCGACGGATGTGGTTATAGCAAACCGGCAGAATATACTCGCCCAACACAGGCAAAGGGGTGGGTGGGAGCCCTAAGTCAGAACCAAGAGAAATCAATGTGAGATAACTCGAAACGGCCTGGCCTGTTCGATTACCCAAGCTGGCCAAGAGGAACGGCGCAATCAATGAGACCACTAGTCAGATGCTCGTGGGCGAATCAAACGCTGTCTCGCCCAAACCTTGTTCGTAATAAGAGTGATGTCGGATGCGCTGTCGATCGTCACCTACACTTTACTTTCAGGCGGGACGGTTTGGAAGCGAGGGATCAAGGTTCTCCATTGGTGGAGAACTAATTCTCTTGCTACTATCAATGAGGAATTGGAGGGCCCAAATTGACGGGAAACATTGGACGGTCTGTGCCCATTCGCTCCTCATGGAGTTCGCAACCCATCCCAGTTCCCCACGACAGATTTAAAGCTTAAACGCATTCCATGCAGAAGAGCGACCATGGCATGATCAGCGCTTTCCCTGTCGATCACCGGTGAGCTTGACCTGCCGGGCCACTCGCCATCCAAGTGACGAAGTGGCGTGTGTCACAGTATATGCGGAAATGGAAGACGACTCATGGGAATACCTAGGCGGCAACTCCTCCGAGGAAGCAATCGCTGTTCCCTGCAGAGCGGCCAGCCTTGCGTAAAGATCCGGAGAACCTACGTCCAAACTTACGGTCTTAACACCTGCCATTTCATTCTCGCTGCTTTTATGTCGACCGTCCAACAGCCTCAAGATTCCAACGTTACCCCCGCGTTGAGCATATTAGGACCCTGATCCCGGTAGTTCTAGAAAGTTGAACCCAAACAGCTGCCTAATCGACCAATTAATAAGGGTTCAGGATTATGTCAGATAAATACTGTCTTTGAATTGCCTGCTCAACCCTTGCCACCTTCAACCGATGAAGAGCACCGAGTGAAGTCGACCGCCCAGCCACGGGCATCCGGGGTATATCTTCTCAGGACGGTATATGCGGCTTGACCTCACGGGTTAAATGAATAGTGTCGTATTCCAAGCAAGCCCTCATGAAATCCCTTTCCAATAGCAGCTGAGTTATGGTTTACAGGGTGGCATTCACCCGATCTTCTCACGAGCCCCGACGAAGCCTTTTCGTCGTAGTTCCAATTGCATGTGCAGCCTAGCCGGTTGGAGTTATCCGATATCTCCAAGCAAATAATGGTGTGCGCTGCCAACGAACAGATATGGAGCAGCCATCGCAATGCCGCCCGACCCTGGTAGTCCGTCGATACCCTTGTGTCTGGGGTGATGGTTGCATGGAATACAGCTTGTTTGCTGGGGGAATCCTAAATATTTCCTATATCCTCCTTTCCTTGACAACGTATATAAATCGTGATCTCCCTGCTTGAGTCTCGATCCTTTCCACCACAGTCACCTGTGAAATCATTCTTAGGGCATCAAATTATTTCATTTCACCACGATATATCGCTCTTGTTCGGCTCCTCCGACTCCCATCGCTGTCCAATGAAGCCCACTCTTCTCCTCCTCGGCCTTGCTGCCGAAGCCCTCGCAGTTGTTCTTCCAGAAGGTGGCGACCATGAAGTCACTCGAACCTTTGAACTCCCACCTTTCACTGATGGGCATCCATGGCCAACCAAACGACCAACCAACACACACTCGCATCCTCACCCAACTCGGACCAATAGGCCTACTCGCACACGCACTGGTAGGCCATGGCCCACACGCGGTGTAGACGAACGTGATGTCGTTGAGGATATCGTTGAACGTGACGATCTCTCCGGAGACGCGCCCGATCCCGACAAGGTGCACATTGTCAGCGTTAACTATGGCGGTACCGGATGTCCACAAGGAAGTGCTCGCACCGTCATCTCGGATGATCGTGAAACCATCACCGTCATTTTCGACAAATACGTCGCTGCCATCGGCCCCAATGTTTCACTCGATGAAAGCCGCAAGAACTGCCAGCTCAACCTTAAACTCCAGTACCCTGGTGGCTACCAGTACTCCGTGCTAGGCGTTGACTACCGCGGATATGCCCGTTTGGATCGTGGTATTGACGGTCTCCAGAAGAGCAACTATTACTACTCTGGCGAGACCAACGATGTATGCAATTTCTTTTCTCCGTCGTTGACCACTTTACACCCTCTTTAGGAAAGGCTAACAGCACCCCAGTTCGCTTTAAGCACCCATTTCAGCGGCCCAACTGAGGGTGACTATGTCCTTCATGATGACAGTGACCAAGCCTCTCGCAACTGGTCTCCTTGCGGCAGTACCCGAGCTCTTAACATCAACTCCCAGGTCCGCCTCACCAGCCGCGACAAGAACGCATCGGGTGTTCTCACCAATGACTCGATCGATGCCGATTTCCGACAGATCTTCCACATCAAATGGCGAAAGTGCTAGATGGGGCGATCGAAATCATCTCCTGATGATTATAGTTCTCCCGCACATCAATCCCTCGGTATATTCGTGGCCGTTTAATGGAAAACCCCGCGAGCAGGCCTATTGCTGGAGCTCTGCACTCCTTCTGCGAAATCAGGTGTCGGGAGCTCTTTCATCAGGAACGACCCTTAGTTAAAGATTACCTGTCATTCCTGGATGCACATAGTTGATTGATATTAACCAGTCTACTCTCCCTCTTCCTCTACTTTGGAAGACAGGAGAGGGAGGAGGCGAGCAGATGCTTAACACTTGTTCACTCCTGCTTTCTCCGCTTTTGTTGTATATATTTCTCCCGCCCCCAATGATATAAAGTTTTACGAAATAAGGTCGATACTCTTCTCTACGAGTTAATACTGTCGATAAAATAAGCTTGTCGATCACCCGCTGGCCTGGGAGGGATGTACGCAGATCTTCGACAGCAATGAGGTTGGGCCTTGTAAAGGATCATCTGCCCCTTTCCCATCGACGAAAGGCAGGGTATGTTGAGCCCTGCTGTACGCATCGGGCGTCTATACCATATTCTACCATGATTTGCGAAGATCGAACGATTTTGGTTGCACGGGAGGCTGATAGGCCTACTCTGTACTCCGTACTCCGTACATTTCCGAGTCACGTACATCGTACTCCTCCAGAAAATACATGTGTATATTTATCGGCCCTCCATTTTGATATATGCGGGCTTAAAAATCGTTCGAGACGCTTGCATGGCTTGTGTCACTGAACGCCTAGTTTCGTGGAGAGTTATTTATTGCCATCACTTTTTCTTTTCTCTCTCTGCTTCGTCGATTGGGTACGATGAAACTCTACTGCCTTAACAGCGGAAAAGTCAATGAGTCGGTCTCCACGCGGCGAACTAGTAAAAAGAGGTCCGAGAAGTCAATTATTCATATTTATATCCATGGCAAATTTATTTAGTCCTTACTTTTCAATTCAGGGGAACAAAGGAAGTTCTTGATCCAGTCTTTCTCGCCACGATGACGGCGATGGAGGGTCCGAATTGTCGAATCAGCGTGCTCCAATTGAGTGAGGGGTAGAAACAGAAAAACTTGAATGCAGCAAGGCCGCAGGGTGGACCGGTATCCTGATTTCCCGCAGCCCCTGAGTCGGTCGCGAAAGGTCTGGTTTATGGGACGAGTTAGAGGCGCGGCGTGGCGGAGAGACGTGGGGATATCTAATCAATCGACCACGATCAATCTGAGGTAGCGGGATGTACCTGCGAAGTACCTTGGTCTCGGTTAACACTGTGATGGACTCTTTATCGAGCATCAATCCCCCAATTTCATCCACAAAACAAAGCAGTGAGTTGCATTGGAGACTGAAGGCAGCCGACAAAGCAACCTTATAAATTTTGCAAAGGATATTCCTAGTTTCTGCCCACAACATTCTCCTCCCCCCCCCCCCCCCTCCTCTTCTCTACCCCCGGCATCCCAATGTGTCGGCTTGCACTCCTGCTGAGCATTGCTCGGAAGCAGCATGGTACATCATTAAGTCAGAAAGAGGCTTGCAGAGGATCATAGCACAGACCAACTCACTAGCTTCATTGTTTAAAATCGGGGAGCATCTTTGCTGAACATTTACTCGCATAGCTAGGGCAAAATAATGCTCCATGAACACTTCTGTTGCAACTCCATCACCGACTCTCCCAGTTGCCAGCTGATAATTATCTTCATAACAGGGCACTTGAGTTCTGGCCGTCACAGGCTATGCAATCCAAGTGAAGTTAGGGTGCTAGAGTTGCTCTACAAACGATGGTGAAAACAAACGGAACGTCCACAGATCGTTCCTTCTGCACGTATGTTGGTGATGCTTCACAATATCTTCGCACGTTGACGCGGCAGGAGTTCTGTGGCTCTCAGAAGCAGCCATTTTCCCATTTGCAATGCGAAAAGAGTGGTCATAAGGCATAAAAGAGTAACTATATATTATTTTACTCTGTTCCAGTTACCAGTTTGAAACATATCTCTTTCTTTCTTTCTTTCTGTGTTCTCTCCCCCTTGTCTTGAAAGAAAGTATCATTCGATAATATCAGCATGGAGGCTTCGATGCCGAGATGGTGTTTATCTACCTAGTAAAGCGATATAAGGATGCCCGTTCCCATAGTGCTAACTTCAAATCCATCATAAGAGACGTGCTCACGAGGCTCAAGACTAGGAGTCGCGTCATGGATGTTGGGTGCGGTACAGGGAGACCTGTGGTAGAGATGCTTGCTGCGCCTAGGCATTCTGTTCACGAAATTAATGTCGCAGAGAAGGTGGTGAAGATAGCGTGCTTCCAGGTATCAGGACCTTTGAAAGACAAGACAAGAAATACAGCCCACCACACAGGTTCAATGCAATCCTAATGATCCGTTTTCTCTCTAACCAGATCCCCCAACGAAATGCATCCCGTGGTGGATCAGTTGTCTAAACGGTTGCAGGACAATGGCATCCTAGTTCTTGGTACAACCCCCAGGACAAACTTGGATAGAGATCAAGTAGTGAGACTACTCGATAAGAAGACCTGGGGTTGTGACACATGAGACAATAAGGCGTGAATGGCCAATCTTGCAAACGAGACGTTCCTATCCAAGCAAGGGTAGAAGGTCCTTTTCCTCCGCGCTGGGCAAATGACTGAGGCGCAAAATCTCTTCACATTTATTCCCGACGACCATGATTACAAGAGGCCGGAGGATCATTATCTGGCTATAGTGAGGAGAAAGGTGAATTGCCGCCCACTTCCTGGGTCATATCCACTTTCAACATCATACACATCGAATATACGCGGCATGACTCTTCTTGGAGAAAGTTTGGGAGACGACTGGTCTTTGAGGAGGGAAATGGAATTACAAACACCTTGCGGGAAAGTCTCAAATCCTTGATATAGATGGTGGACTGAAATGTGCGTAAATCCTAATACATCTTTTTGCCTGGACAATCGTTCTGGATATCACTGATGCGCAACGTCCATTTATGCTCCCAAACGATTCTGTCGATATCAAAGCAAAGACTGTAGAGGCCGCCCTTCAACCTTTGGGAAGCCTACCATTTAGTGCTAGCAGTTTCGATACTGCCTCTGCAATGTTGACCCTTGACACCGTCAAGGAACCCAAAACTTTTCTGTGAGAAGTTGCGCGGTTTGTGGTTATATCTAGCCCAATTTCTTGCATTGTCATTATTAAATCGGCCCTGAAAAGCGAGATTAAATGCTGGTGCGCTCCATGTGCGCACCGAGGAATGTCCAGACCGAAGGACACCATGAATGATATCTCCGTCATGGAGCGGCTAGCGTTTTTCTCCAAGTGGGATTTGGCCACATATCCATGCAATGAATCATTGCTCATCTGCAGTTCAGCGGTGACGCGCGCCCACAGGAGTGTGCTCAAGCAGCAGAAGTGTTAGTGGGCGTCTGGTAGCAGAATGATCCCAATTGTTCGCAGATGAAGGAAATGTTGATCCCCCAGCCGGAATTGCTCTTCCAAGACCATCCCAATGATATCCAGAATGAACTTGTGATGTTAGTTGCAAGACCTTTCGAGCTAGCATATTCATTTGACCGTGGAATGCGCTATCTCTTGGGCTGTGTCCAGTTGGTTTCTCTGTCTCCATTGATATGTTCCCATCCCCATATTGCCACCAGAATTTTTTTCAAAGTTGCACTTGAGCTTCGGGCATCAATCAGATCCGAAGCCGTTTATGATTTTAAAGCACTGTTACTTATCCAAGCGAGTTACAACAAAAGGTCACCTTTCATAGTTGATTCGATCGGATAACTATCGGCGCTTCAGAGTCTGGCGTTAACTCGTAGCTAATCTCAAGCCTGTGACTCAGGGCCAGCTCCACATCCTCCACCAACTCTCAGCAGGGCATTTCAATATCCGTTTGTCGAATTGGTTGGTCGGTGCCTATAAGCTTGTCGGGATTCGGATGCAATTTCTATCCATACATTTCTTACGGAGTACACCCAAAGATTAGTACAATTCATATCATAATAATCATTGTGATGATACATCGTCATAAGCTGCTGTTTCCTGATGGCAGCTCTCTTGCTCCGCCCCAACCTCGTCATCAGGACCCAAATATATGAGCCCTTGAATAACAATCAAACCTCATTTCTGCATTGGCAGCGACTAGAACCCTTTCACACAGAATTGGTCCAATCTAATCGATAACATATTCCGTAGAGTGTAGGAAGAGAGAAGAACTCAAAGCGTAGCTTTTCCTGACTGGTAAGCCCGACTACGCCCTCATAGCCTTGGCTGATACATTAATGGGGGTCATATAAGTATCGTGGCTAGGCTATGAGGAGGTAGGCATCTCTGAGATTTATTTATGATATAAATAGCCACTTAATATAATCTCTTTTGGCGGCTTCCTTGTACCTTTCAGCGGGGGCACAAGTGACAAAGAAGTGACAGCGATGATAATGAGGAAATGCATGGTTAGAGAAAAATAAGGGGTCTCAAGCAGTATATATAGGCTGTCATTTAGCTTTGATTTCTTGTTTGAGATAAATAGCTGTGCAGAGCCAATATTTCTTGCTTTCGCAGATGGCGCTATCATTTTATAAGGGGGAGGAATTGCTTGACTACATTTCTAGCAACACACATCCTAGCAAGATGTCTAATTGTTGTATAAAAAAACAATGTATATGGGTATCAGAGAATAGAATATCTATAACATTATTAGCATTCTCCTTTTCTGAGTGATAGGAGTCCCGCTGGGACGACAATAACATGAACGCCCCCTCTCTACCGCTGGCAGTTTGGTGAACCGGTTTTCACAATAACCTGGTAGTAGGCACCAAGAAGATCTCACTGCATTGAAAGCCTCTTTGCCACAGTGCAATTTGGCAATGAAATCAACATTGCAAAAGTGGATATCTGGAGAGGTGTTCATATATGATAAAATATTCGGGTCTTAAATCCCAGGCAATGTTAATGAAGAATGCTAAATGCCGCAAACGGAAATAAGACCGAGAAATTGACTTAACCTCGACGAAAATAAGCCAAGTACTCTCTCTATATGGAGTACACACATATGTGCTCTGCCTGTGAGGCTGGGAGAAGGGGACAGACTGCTTCGCCTTTCGGCCAGCCTCCACCAGACTTGTCACACGATTGATCTCGTCGGTTAAATTTAGCAGAGTTTTGCCGTCAAACCCAAACCTCCAAAGTCAAAAGAGGGGGGCGACAAAGGGGTAACAAGCAGCCACGCTGCAAATAACCAAATACTCCGAAAGTCCGTCCGTTCCTGAGGCTTTTTGGAACTTCCCCGCAAACGGATCGGAGGGCTTCCAAATACGCAGTACGGACATACTTAACTACTACGTCCTACATCCCATGCTTGTGGGTGTGTTGGTGTGGTGTGTATGCATGCTGCCGCCTGCATCCGCACGGGGCATAGCCAAAAAAGCTGTCCCGATGAACAGTGCTTTTCGCTCAAGGCTGAACTAAGCTAAGCAGCTGAATGGGTAGCCAATTTGCAAGAATTTAACTGGACTGTTCTCCGCACTCTGATGCAGAACGCTTGACTTTTCCAGTACAACCACCTCAAGGCTGAGAGTTTCATTGAGCCGCAGACGGGAAGACGAATTGTCGACGGACCGGGCGTAAAAAGGGGGAATGCAAAAATCCAATCAGGCTGCATTGGTTATCTCCAATTGCCCGCTCCGTACGGAGAACTTACGGGAGTTTATTCCACCACAACCGGAGAGGACGCAAGATGCAGTGCATTGCTTTCGTCATGAGACACACTTTGTACACCCATACAGACATGGATGAATACGGAGAGAAGTGCTTCTAGTTTATTGATATCGGGTTTCAATTGATAGTATCCATCAATAATAATGGTAATTTAGCAATCTCATATCGGTCCAATTGTGAGACAATTTGAATCTTGGACTGTAAATAGGGTTAAAAAAAAGTTATCGGTGTATGGGGTATCGTTATCACGCAGAGGGGGGCAAAAGCAACTTAAAAAAAAAAAAAAAAAAAACAGAAGGCAAACAAAATCAGCAACCCAATAAATAAGCGACGGTGTATGTGGGATATAACCGGTAAATATGTATGAAAGCAAACGAATGCAGAGGTCAAGTGAAAATTCAATGCGTAGAGATCAATGCCTGAAAAAAGCAAAACATGCAAAACCCATGTGTTCCTCAAGGCAAACATTCCAGCATTATGTAGTTAGTTATACGCCAGACGAAGACTGCGCCTAATCCGTATCCATTTAAAAAGAAAGGAAAAGAAAAGAAAAGAAAAGAAAAGAAAAGCGCAACAGCCAACAAGATAAAACGAGAAGACGAATTGGCCAACTAGTCTCTTGGATAGTTCATAAGCAATTGCAAACACAAAACCGCCAAGTACCCCATACCCTGCATGGAAAGACAAGAGAGTTAACCGCCCATCATTCCATTCCGTTAAATGCAATTTGAGTCAAGTTTGAACTGAATGCATGAAGCAATCCCAATGCAAAACAACACCATAGAGCCTGATAAGCAAGAAACAAATGAGAGGATAAGCCCATAAAACTGGGTCTAAAATCAAATAAACACCACCAATAACCATATTGACCACCATTTGAAATGCACTGGAATAAGGGGAACAGGAATAGGAGTGGCCGTAACATAATAATGGAAGGAATACGAACAGTTATCAACAGCCATTATCACCGTCGTCGAGGCGAAATCCAGTCCAGCAGACTCCATTGCCTCACAACGGGAAATCGAAAAAAAAAAAAAAAAAAAAAAAAAAAAGGGGGGGAAAAATGGGTTAAGGTCCAGGTCATCAGGTGTCGAAGGCCGAGAAGGAAGTTTCAGACAAATTGTCGTATCGTCCGTCGTCGAACATCAATGTATTGCGAAAGAAGGGAAGTCATCATGATCATGAAGGTGCGTCCATAATGCTCTATCATGGGACAGACACGCTTCATTGGGTATTATTCAGGTTACCAGAACCATTTATTTATGTGGTTGGGCTCGTCACTCGTACTCCGCTTAATTTTCGAGATAATGTATGAAATGCTCCCGTTTGAACCATCCAACCCGTTCAAAGGCCGTCCAAAGCTTGCTTGCTTTGTTGACGTCGATCTTGCAAGCTTGTTGAGCGTCGGTCTTTCGAAATTCCTTGTTCTCGCTAAACTTGTTGAGAAGAGCCTGGAAGATGCGGCGCTTGCTACAGAGATAGGTGGCACACGACAAGCGAAGGGTAGCAGCGAGATTGATTTCTGCTGGATCGAGTGCGTCCCTATTGGGATCATTGCTGAGATCAAGCATCTGGCCTTTCCAGTCTGCCTTGAGCCCCTTGGTACCGTGGAGGGTCGAGATTGGAGGGCAGTAGTCTGGAAGAGAATTGTAATCTGTATCGTCGCGGTTGGTGCCGATCACACGAGGCTTGGGAGGATTGCGAGTAGGAGTCGTGTCAAACGAATCGACAACTTTTGTCTTGGGACTGGATCGCTTAGGTCTCTGTGACTTTTGCACGCGAGGAGCGGTGGCATTACCACGCCTGGAGGGGGCGGGGGCGATCTTCTTCAACTTCGACTTCGTCTGCTTCCCCGGGTGCACCAGGGTCCATTGGTAGTCAAAAATCTTCCGCTCCTGTATGGCGTAGGCACGGGGATTGCGGTTGTAATTGGAGATCACACGGGAGACGCATGACAAGGCGAGCATGTATTCATCGCGAGTTGGCTGCTGGAACTTGCCCTTAGCCGTCGATTTCTTGCTAGCAATGTGCTTATCCACCAAGGCCTCAGCGTCAGGCACCGACTCGGGGCCAAAGAGCGGCTCATGCTCAAGGAGGGAGGGTCTTCTGTCGGACGGGAAGAGGACGGGGTCTCTGGATGGGCCTGCAATGGCGTTGGAAGTCGTATGGCCATTGTCACCGTCAACGGTGTGGCTTCTCTTACTTCCGTTGTATGGAGTGACGGGTGGCGACGGCAGGTCCATGTCGGACTGGGGTTGGGCTCGTTCAGGAGCGATGGGAGGGAGCTTGTTGGATGGGGAGAAGGGCAACTGCGAGTAGAGGTCGGAGTTGAAGCTGTCGAAGGGTTTTGGCTCTGGAGGAGACACCAAACTAGAGACAGGCGGTAGCCGGGTCATATCGCGGCGACGAGGGGATTCCAATATAAGAGAAGTAATCGAATTGCGAGGCGAATTGGGCAAAAAGCGGCGGAATCGATCAAAGGTTTGTATTATGGGATTGGTTGATTGGTTTGCCGGGGGGGGGGGGTCAAAGGGAAGTATGTAAGGAGAATGAATGGAAGGAAGAAAGTAGTAGTAGTAGAAGAAGAAGAAGAAGAAGAAGAAGCAGTAGAAGAGAAGAAAGAAATAAAAAAAGAAACCGGAAAATCAGCCAGCGCCTCCTCAGCAGCGGATAAGAAAACAGTCAGGGTCAGATGGCAGACTTTGATGACCAAGACAGGTGGAAGTCAATGGAACGCCCTGGCCTTGGCGGCTTCCGGTGGAGGAGGGAGGGCGCGTGGCGGATTTGTCAGGCGGAGGCTGCGTGGCGATAAGCCGCCGCTCGGACTTTCGGCGTTAAGAACGATGTGCGTGGCTTAGGTAACGACAAGGTTTAACGTTATCACCTCCCACTGCCTTGTAGCTAGAAGTCACTGTCTCTCGCAGGGCCGGTAAGGGTCAGCGCGAAGATAATACTAAACGGAGTGATGGAAGATAAGAAAAGGAGAAAGAGTGGGGAAGAGGGGGGCTGGGGGGAGGTTTTGCTGGGTATTTGAAGGCAACAAGAGTATGAATAAGAACGTGAGTCAAATGATACGATCATGCCTAAATGATGTGTCTTCTGCGTCAATGTGAGGGGGGCAGCGCAAAAAAAGGGGACCGCAGCTCCGGTCTGGTTGCGTGTACCCTGGAAAGGGTATGCCCTTTCCATCCTCTGGTAATGACGATGATGATATATAATAGATGCAAAAGAAGCAGAATACTCACCCAGAGAGTAAATGGACGTAATTATGCGGTGTCTCTGAACGATGCTTCGATGATGCGTGCTTCCATCCAAACCGCGGGTCAATTTGGAGGTGAAAGTCTGATGAGGAACGGGCGGACTGACGGCCGTTTGACGGGTGCGACTCCAAGGGATTCTTCTCAGTCAATCTGGTGGGTGGATTTCAGGCAGAACAAATATAACTAATCAGCCGGTGGATTCTATTCTAAACTATGTAAATTACCCGGCCCAGATGATGAACAATTGGGAGATGTTGGGATGGAAACCTCGCAAGGCCGGCCGAAAGATGGGTGCGGGGAGGGACAGTGTTAAATACAGTTTTCTTATTCTGCCTGCGGGAGGCCAGTCTACGGCGGATGGTGATCTAATTGAAACCGATTTACCCTTTTTTGGAGCGCGGCGTCAATGGGGGATTAACGCTGAACCTGCGGACGCGCTGCCGGAGATGAAGGAATTGGGCCCTTTCTTGGTTGCGTTGTACATGGGCTGGTTCGCGTGTTGGTTCGTTAGGCAGTGAATCAGCGACCGGTGAGGTCAGGCATAAGAATAGAACAGCCGGGGGAAAAGCCACAACAGGCGTGTATGTTGATTCGGCGGGATCACGCGAACGGCCCCATCTTCCATCCCAGGGAATACATAATTAATAGTTAATGACGATGGCACTGCAACACGAGAGCTGTGTCAAGTCTGTGTGCGCACAGTCCTGAGCCGGTGAGATCGGCCAGCTGGTCAAGACGCCTGTCGCCTGCGCCCAGGCACTCTTCGACACTGATTTGTCGCTCTCAAATGGCCACCGTCGGGTGAGACTCGCTCTGGCACAGCGCAAAAGGACAGGTCAACGGGGCACCAATGGAACGGCGCAGAGCAGCCCGGCTCCCACGGTTGAGGAGCGAATAAGACGGCACAATTAAAGTGTCGGGACACGCCGTTCCTTACCCGGATTTAGCCAATTGACCGCTCTGCACCGTCGTCACCCCCTCATCACCATCGTCATCGACTGCGGCTGATGCCCTGGGTCAGCTGCCTTGTCTGATGTTTTTTGTCAATTGACCGATTGCTGCCCTCCATTGATCGAGCGTCGACAACGGGTTTTCCAGGCTGGAGGGCTCTTTGTCCTCGGTGAAAGAAGTTCTTTTCTCCCTCCTAGCCGTTCAAGCCCGACTAAGAAACAAGCGTTGATGAGGTCGCGGGGATGCCATGTCACCGTCCCCGCTGTATCCACGGTTTTGACTAGGCAGATTGTGGAGACGGACCAGACAAGTGTCCGAAACACTTCTGCACAGCTTCAGCAAAGCTAAAATAAATAAAAAAAAAATGCACCAACCTACGGGGACCCTTGTCTCATCAAACGGCCAATTTTTCAACACAAGGCTGCTGCCCAACAGATGATGAATTGGCTAATCAGAAGGCAGCAAACATGATAGCATCACCGTCAAACACTGACTCATCAAACGAAATCCCACTTTCATCATTGCTTTTCCGTGATGGGACCTTTGCTTCATTTCACCAGCATTGCCCTGTTGAATCACTTCATCCACACAGGCCCATGAGCCATTCTGCAGACTTGCTACCGGTGGCCCACCCTCTGCACATGAAACTTGAAGATGCTATACTCTCGTGCAGCTTCGTGCCCTACCATGGTATTTGCTATTACACACTTCAGATCCAACCATTGATCAGGCACTCCATGGATCATTCATTCCTTGGGGTACTTTCCCGAACGCCCTGGAAGCACATGGATTGTCTCGCTTACAGACGGACGTACAGACATACCACCGGTTTTGGAAGGCTTCTGAACGTTTCTTCAAAAGCATTTCGCATCCTTCGAATGATGCCTTGTGGGTTCCGCGAGACTCCGCCAATTGCATACTTCTGCGCCTGCGAACAACTATATTGCTTGGTGGATGCCTGAAGGAAATGTAACGGTACCTTATCCCCAGAGTTATCTTTGTTGCATTAGATGTGTTTTTGATGGATTAGTCGCAAGAGGGAGCGAATCTTCACGACATTAATGACAGCTTTTAAGTCCTTTTAAGCTGTGCTTATGTCGCTTCACTTCTCACGAATACAAGCATGGAAGCCTGTATTCGTGACTTTCCAATTCAAAAAATACTTGGCAACCTAACTTCTTGAAAACGATCGCATCACTACCAAGGATCACCAGGGATGCCTGCAGCTTTCTATGACGTCGCTGAGGATGATATGAACTCTCTTGGTCTAGACTTTCGCTCCCTCCATTTGCTCTGAACCTGGTCGACAAACGCCCGAGCTATCAGTTCGGCCTGACAGAGACATCACTAGAAGCTTGACAGCAAGGAACGCTTGACTCGAGCACGGCTCTACTCCTAGCATCTATTGGTCCAGGCATCAACCGAACATGGATCTTTTGGCTATGACTCATCTCAGGGAGGATCTCTGGGTGTTGCTTTTGCGGCGCTCAAAGGAATTTAGTGGCTCGAATTAAATAGGAAACTACAGGAAGGCACGGCGGCTATTTCATGAAATTTTAGGTTCTAACGTCGATATCAGGCAACAAAATTGGCACTAAACTGCCAGAGGTTAACCACGTAACAATGAGTGGTAGAGGGTACCCGGATACCTAAGGGAGGTGTGGTTGCGAGCGACGATTGTAGATGATGTCAAGAACTTTACTGTTCTGATGCCTTGTATATCCATTTATGCCTATATATGAATACGTATATCATTATCTGGGAAATGATGTTGATTAAAGTTAAGTTTATATCTGGATCCGCGGCTAGAATTGAGGCGCTGAGCATGGGCTCTTTGGGGTTGGATAGCGGCGTAACATGCATGAGGTATCGACATCTGAAGACGATCGGTAAATATGTGAAGTCGGGTATCGCTATGGGCTTTTTCTTTGTTCATCATATAGCAGGGGCTCGCACGGAAATACTAAAGATATGAACCTCTGTTGCCAAAAAACAAAAAAAAAAAAAAAAAAAAAAAAAAAAAAAAAAAAAAAGGAAAAAAAAAGAAAAAAAAAAGGGGCGTCTTCGTACGATTGAAGGACCTGGTATCAGAATTCTCGTGGCGCTCACATTTTCCCATAGCGTCCAAGTTGAGAGTTAACACGCTTGAGCTTTGAAACGGTGAGAATGTATCGTCATTGGAACTGACAGTACGGAGTACACTTCGTCTGGGAGCTCGGCCAGGGAAGATGGGAGGGAGTAGTACCCCGGCGAGGCCAGGGATTCTATGGTTGCACTTCAATATCAGACGGAGATGGCTTTCCAGGAACCCAGATTTGGAAATCCCTTCGTCCAGTAAGAAACTCCAATTCATGATTTGGTCGCCTTTTCTGCTGCCTTTGTTTTGTCGACAGGGGCCGGCCGACTGCTGCACCCTCCGATCCTCTTTCATGTCCCGATTGGCGAGCGTCTCAAGGCGTGGCGGACAACTCTTGTGATCAGAGACTGGACCGTCAAGTAATGGCCCGACGGGTCGTTTTTGGAACTATTACTTATTGGCCGATTCGGGCATAGAACTTATGGGCGACAAAATCGATGATGGACGGGATGCCCTTCTGTCCACCGCTCTTAGCTAATGTTTGACCATACTTCATCGCCTTGCCTGCTGAGCCGGCGGTAAGGAAAACAATTCCTGGTAAGCAATTAGATTGTTCTCTTTCTCATTGCCTTGATTCTGAGAAAAAGGATATCCCAGACTGTGCTCCGCACGAAATGCCTGGTCACATGTAATCACCGGATGCATGTAGACATGGAGTACCGTATACTCTCATGCCTTCTTGGGGGCTGCGGTCGCCTGGGGGGCACCCTTGATCCGCGGCAAGGCTTGTCAGCTGGAGGGGCTCTTTTTTTTTCCGTATTGCACAGCATAACTCGTCCATGCAACCAACCCAACGCAAGGATAGTTCCGTGTCGCCCTGCTGGGCGAGATTCATTATGTGTCTGGAGCACCATTCTCTTCCAAAATGGTCCGTCTCAACAATCCTTTCCCATAAATGCATTGTCCACGGCAAGCCCATTGCTAGCAGCAACGTCCGCATGATCTTCTCGCTAACCCGATTCAACACAGTCATGAGTGCCGGATCACAACTTGATTCCATTCCCATTCCAGTGGCTTGGATGTGCAGTCCTCCAATGGGAGCGACCAGTCTTCCCTGCCCCTCCATTAGGGAGAGACCCGACTTGCTGCCCCTCACTGGCGCAGCTCACGGACCACCACCACATCCTCCACCCCTGCGCGATCCAAATTGGGCTATTTCCCCCGTCTGGAGCCTAAAAGTCGTGTGAGTCAGGCGCATGACATGATACAATCGCATCCACTCTCTGGTGTAACGGGAGGCCACCACAACTGTGGGGGTGGTTTCACTGGTCGCATTCTCGGGACGCCGAAGACTTTGGGGCAGGTACTCCGTTGTTACGGAGGAGATGGTCAACTACGAAGCAAACTAACCACTCTGCATCCTCCGTACGGAGGACATCCATCATTATCTCCATACCGATTTTTGATTTTTCATCAATTGGCTGAGAAATCCACCGCTGAATAAAACTCATTCTGACTCACACCTCCCAACGCGGTGTTTACGGACACAACACGGGCGCGAGCTTGTTTACCGCCATCTTACCCCCAGCAACGGAGAGATGGTTGTTCCGCGACTGGTAACGGGGCTCTCGTCACATGCAAATCCCTCATGATACGTGGGATTAAGGTTTTTTGGCTCTTCCCCAAGCTCAGGAGGGGAGAGGGGAGCATGACGTGAGAAAATGCAATGCTCCGGTGAAGAGGGGAAGAGCCTGTGTGAAATGACAAGGGAGTTAACGATCCCGCTTCTTTCGAAGGATGCGACCGCCACACAATTGGTGCCAATTTAATCAAACAGCCGAGCTTCACGCCATTGAGATGGTCTAACTACCCGCTGGGCTCCCTGCCGGTGCTGATTGGCTCCCCGCACTGTAGAGGCGGTTGTCATGCGTGCATCTCATGGGATGCAATTGACTTTTTTTTTCCTTCCTTTTGGAGGAGAAGAGTTGATGCATATCTCGATACTTCTAGAGTGGGATGTGCTCCAAGGGATGGAGAGCGTGTGCATTGGCTCTGCTGTTGAAGGATGAAACCGCTTGCGGAATGTCAATTGACAAAACCACTGCTTTGACATGCGGATAAAAAGTCACTTCGGTGTCCAAAGTTACTTCACCGTCTACTCTCGGGGGAAGGTTCAACAAAGCTCGGAAACACAAGGCCATTTCAAAGCTGTGAGGTCTATCTAATATACACAATATTGACACACCCACACACACTGGGTATTCTTCTCATATCATATACTCTGAAAACTCCCATTGGCGTCTTGCAAGGCTCTTTCCAATCAAAACCCAATTGCGTCCTTGACCCTTTTCATTGTCTTATCCGCATTACTAGCTGCCTTCCTCGCCCCTTCCTCCGCCACTTTATCAAGGTATTCTCTTCCCACCGCATTCGTCATGAGCTCCGCGTACCGCTCTCGAATCGGCGCAAGATGGTCAGCCACCTTCTTCGCGACATGCTCCTTCAATATCCTCAGACTCGAGCTCTCATGTTCCTTCGCTAATTCCGTCGGCGACAAATTGCAGTTTGTGTCGAAATTGCTGAGGATATCTAGGAGGTTGGAGACACCAGGTCTCCTCTTAGGATCGTAGGTGACGCCCGGTTCGGAGTCGGTAAGTGCCACTTTTATCTTCTTGTGGATTGTCTCTGGTTCGTCGGTGAGGAGGATTCGGGAGTTAGGGTCGGCGTGGGATTTGGACATCTTTTGGTCTGGGGATTTCAGGGACATTATGCGTTTTGCGGGTGCTATTGTTGGTAGGTCCAAACACATTAGTTTACGAATCTGATGTGGGAGTGAGTGGCGGGGTTTGGCGGGTAACTTACACACGAGAGTATTTGGGGGAGTGAGAACGGGTCCGTATATGTGATTGAAGCTGTTGGCGACTTCGCGCGAAAACTCGAGGTGCTGCTTTTGATCTTCTCCGACAGGAACGTGGGTTGCCCTAATTCGCGATACAATTAGCATGGCTCTGATGCGAGAGCCATTGTCGAATGACCATACGAATGGACCAATATATCCGCTGCCTGCAGTACCGGATACGAGAACAGGCCCAATCTCAGCTTCGCTCGGGCGCTGGAGTCTTCTAATGTCGAGTTCTCCGGTAATTGTAGTTTACTCTACATCTAACGTTAGCGAGCCACTCAATCAATTGATAAGAAGATGCCAAACATACCTTCCACTGCGTCATCCTCGATAGATATCCCATTGAAGAAACAGTGCTAAGAATCCACATCAACTCCGCATGCGCTGGCACCTACACTCCTCCCACCCGCGTGTCCGGCAGGCAAGTCGGTCAGCCCTCACAATGCCATAACGAGAACAAGAGTGTCCCATATTGCTATGCCAGAAAATAAACGCACAGCGCTCTGGAAAAATATCATAGCCCTCTCCGGCTTCAATCCCACTGCCAGCAGAATCGCAAACGACTGCGTTCTCCATTCCCGCAACACCTCTGGATCCTGCGGCATCGTCAACGCATGTAAATCCACAATCGAATAGATCAACTCCTCTCCCGGGATTGCGTCATCCTGGAGCTTCACCCATTCTCGTAAAGCGCCTAGATAGTTGCCCAGGTGTGGAATGCCGGTGGGTTGGATACCGGAGAAGATGATGCGTGGGGGGGCGGTGGGCGCAATAGTGGTGGTGCTCATCTGGCTTCGTTGGTGCCATCGGTGCCGCGTTTTGGTATAATTAGCAGCGCGAATTATCGAACTCTTCGTTAACCCGGTGCGGGCTCGAAGATAGTGCGCAGGTATTGACATTTTGAGCTTTCTACTCGGCCAAAGCTCCCGCGTTGGCCGCCGAGTTGAAATCCAAAAAATATATATCACGTGATTTATGATATGACCACCAATATTTTTTCGGGGAAACCGAATTATGGAGTTGGCAAAGGGGTTAGTATGAGGAGTACGTAAATAGCGGTCTTCGAATTCTATATAGATCGATTGAAAAGAAGGCGGCGTAGATATACATCGAATTCAGACTCCCGAATTTCCCAGCTAAACAGTACAAATAACCCAAAAAACCAAGGATTTGATAATAATACAACTCCAGTGCAGAGGGAACCCTTTTTTTAGCCCTTTCGAACCTCTGATAGAGGTGCATGATTCCGAGTAAATTTTTCTCTCGCGATGATATCTGCCACGGACTCGGGGGATTTTGCGTTCTTTTTGGTGCCAAATTGGCCGAGTTCGGCTTCAAGAGCCTTAAGTACCTCATCGCCAGCTTGATCCATGGACTTGCCAACACCTGTATCCAAGAAAATGCAATAAGTTAGCGTCTCCTAGTCCCGATTTCCAAACAAATGTGTGGAAAAGAAGCCGCCAGCAATCCATACCTAGGCTAGCATGCTCCCACACATTGGCCTTCATGCCCACGCCGTGGAATGCATGTTTCCTCAGAAATGCCAACCACGCCTGCACTGATTCCGAATTTCCATCTTTGATCTGTATTAATCTTCTCATGGTAATTCTCTCAAAGTTCTCCGGGGTCTTCCTATGGATGAACGGACTTCGGTATAATGTCCATCTTTCGATGAGTCGTGGGAGCGGAACAGGGCCTGATGCGGGAAGATTGAGATAGTAGGCAGCTCGGAGAGCAAAGTCTGCGAAGAATTCCACGTGGCGGGCACTATAGGAGCGTAGCTGGAGATCGCAGACCGGCAGGCCGTATTCGGCCTTGCGTTTAAGAGGTTTGAGGTAGACCGCTTGAACGCTTCGCGGTAATCTGAACTTGGAGTTGATCGACTCTAGTCGGTCCATCCTGTACGAAATATTCTGTCAATTTAAAGGTACGAACGGGATATGATGTGCAGTGCAATTTTGGCTAACCATTCTTTTGCTTCGGGATCTTCATCTGGGGCCTCTGCGTAGCTATGGTGGCTGGAGGTTAGCAGGTTATTCACCTCGGGAGACGAAACGTAACTCACGATAACTGCTGGGGTGTCAGTTCGGATGCATCCATCTCCGTCACATTTGAAGGTCGGTCTTCTTCTAATCGGAGCGATGTGGTTGTGAGCGGCCTGGCTGGGCTCGATAACTGTGATCGAAGTGGTCAGAACTGTGCCATTGAGCATATGGAAAGGCGCTAAGTACCTTCAGCCGTTTGCTGCATCGCAACGCCGACCTAAAATAAGATAACGAAAACATTATGACTGCCCGGTTTTGCGCGCGTGTCCGCAATGCCTTTTCACATTACCACTTCTCACGGCGTTTTCGACCATTCATTTTTTTGGCTGTCGCTGAGAGATCAAATTACGTAATCATATCTTAAATTCTCCGGCCAATGCAAATGCGCCTTGGTGGTTCCGCTCCGAAATTCAAAATCGCGGATTGCATCACGGAGTACGGAGGAGAGGAATCTGATTGCGTCGTGGGTTCCGAAGACTTAAAATACATTCAGTCGCTAGGATATTAACAGCTAAAAAGCTGCTTTCCTAACAAATCTCCTTTTCACCAAACAATCTACACCAATATAACTGCAGGAGGTGCAGAAAACGAGACATCGCTACCCCGCCGGAAACCTCCCTTTCATTTTCACCTGGATATATTCAATTCATCCCACGCCAATTGTACCCTCGCCCATCCCCTGAGAATGGCGGAATCGTCGATGTTTAAGCAAGCCCAGGCGGCACTTAACTACCTAAAACCCCATCTCCCAGAGGCCTTGCGAACTCCTCGAGTAGCCGTAATATGTGGTTCTGGCCTAGGGGGTCTTGCGGATACCATTGATAGCAAGGCTAAGGTTGAATTTGATTATCGGGACATTCCGAATTTCCCTGCTTCCACCGGTAATCTAAATATCTTCGCTTATACGCGTGTTTCATAGATACATATTGGCTCTAACGTTCTGTGAATCAGTACCGGGCCATTTAGGAAAGCTTGTATTTGGATACTTGGGCGCGGAAACGCCAGCTGTTTTGATGGTGGGAAGAGCACAGTAAGTGATAATTTCCGATTTGCAAATAACTGGAGGGATGAGTTTTGCAGGGAGATCGAAGCTGATACCGCAGCCAGTTTCTATGAGGGACACTCCATCGACAAGGTCACGTTTCCGGTGCGGCTTTTCAAATTACTGGGCGTGGAGATCATGATAGGTACGGGAAATGAGCATTTGCTTGGAAAACATAAGATTCAGAGCCCAACTAAGCAACTATGTACAGTGACAAACGCAAGCGGAGGATTAAACTCCGAGTATGCAGTCGGCGACGTCGTTCTGATCAACGACGTATGTTATTGCAGTTCACAAACAGAGAGTAAAGCTAATCATGATTGATAGCACATCTTCCTCGCCGGTTTAGCCGGACTACATCCATTGCGCGGACCCAACGAGGATGAGTTTGGTGTCCGGTTCCCAGCACTTTCGGACGCATACGACCTCGAGCTCAGACGAACAGCGCACCGCGCATGGACCAAAGTCATCCGGGTAGAAAGCAAGCGAAGAATTCATGAAGGCGTGTACGCCTTCTGTGCAGGGCCAAGGTAAGAACATTGCAGGACCGAAGAAGAATGAAACTAATAGCCCGACAGTTTTGAAACTAGGGCGGAGTGTAGATTCTTAAGACAACTTGGGGCAGACCTGGTCGGAATGTCGACCGTGCCAGAAATCATTGTGGCACGACATTGCGGACTTCGAGTGCTTGCTTTGAGCCTCGTTACCAACAATGCAGTCTTGACTCCCGTGCCACGTGGCGATGACCGTCTCCTCCAAGAGACGGAAAGGGCCCAACTCAATAGAATTGTTGAAGAGGGTAAAGCCAATCATGAAGAAGTTTTGAAGGCGGGTAGCCAAGCAGCAGCGGACGTACAGGTACGTCAAAGCTTTTTTCTCATGTTCCGTGCAGATGCTAATGAGATCCATAGAAACTGGTCAGACAGGTAGTCCTAGATATGTTTCCACAAACCATTAACTAGGCCTTTCACTGGTGGCCTGGTTATCCCATAAAATCGATATCTATCCATAAACACGGTCCAGCGGTCTCCATCTTTACGTTTTGACTTTGACATGATAACATTTCTGGAGAAAAGTTCAGCGGTATTTTCGACTTCGTTTCCTCTTAGCTTGTAATGCTTTGTAGTGAGCCTTTTTACCGCTAGTCTTTGACTCCTGAATTTCGTCGTATTTGCGTTTGAAGCGGCCATTCTCTTCTTCAGCGGCCATGGCTTCTTCAACAAAGGTCCCCTTGCGGTCCTTCTTGGCGATGCGAGCACTGAAAAATTCGGTTGAACCTTGAATAATGGTACCAACCTGAGAATACTCTGGAAGCTTTGCTTTACCGCTCTCTTTCTTATAGTGCCGTTTTGGGTCAAGCACGTTTCTCATGCGCAGTAGTTGGAGATCCCTTTTCAGCTCAGGGGTGAGGACCGTCCTGGGAAGGTCAAACCAGTCTGAACCAGCAGTGGGTTTTTCTTTACACTAATATACCTGTTAGCGAAGCTCGATAGATTTTTTTTATCGGCATCTAGGATATAGCAAAGGTTGAATGCATTGACGATGTTCAGAGTAACTATGATTAAAAAGAAACCATCATGGAAGCAGACTAATCCAAAACGGATTAGGGGACCTGCATCAAGAAAAAAATTGGGATTTGATTTCCTCATAACATCCAAAATAGCATGAGACTGCAAAGGGAAGAACAAAACAAACCTTTTCTAGCAATTTCGGTTGCTCGACAGCTCGTGTTGTGTTTGAAAGCTTTTTCAGCCGATCGGGAACGGCTCGTGCTTCATCAAGTGATGCCACACCGTTGACTTCACGCACATATGGAGCCATAAAACGCTCTACCTTCAAGGTTGGGATACTATTTCGATGTAGAATATTAGCCAAACAGAACGATCAGATAAAAGAGAAATAACATCCAGGAAACCTACCGTACTCGCGCTTCAACTTTCGGTTCTTCAAGGAGTCTGAGCTGGTCTTCCCCTTCAGCTTCGGCTTTGTTATTCTCTGCGGCTTGCTTTAGAAGTCGCTGTTCGGCTTCGAGCAGAAGAGCTTGAATCTTTTCTTCAGAAAGAATTTCTTCTGCGTCTTCCGGATGCAGACATTCCTGCATGGGTGAATTCACAGCAACCATTGCGCCTAGATAGAATTGCGCATAAAAACCTATCGAGGACTTTGGCCCATCTGGGATTGATGCCGGCTTAGGAAACCATCCTGAAAGCGTTGGGTTGGATTCTCTGTGGGAGAAATTTTGTGGTGCGACTTTTCGAGAGCTCCGAACTTTAAAAAGTGAACCGCCGCCAAGCCTCACGTGAGTCGCATCGGCTCTCTAAACCGGAGGTGGTGATTATCCGCCCCGGTTTCTCTGGGCGTTCCGGCCAAGAGCACTTCGCACGTCAGGGGAAGAGATAAAATGGTTGAATGATGCGTGTAGCAATCAAAATAGGTCATATTGGGCATAAGGAATGCCATTCTGCTGGCATATATTCCTGATATTTGGAATATGTTGAGTGACCCTCATCTTCAATACACCTCTAGAAGGCATCTCCTGCTTCCCTTCCATGTTGACCAGAGTCTTACTCGACCTACAAATGGCCATTGCCGGTAAGAGATCCATGGCAATAGCTAATATGATAATTGCATTACTCCGTATATAAAGTGCAAAATATGTTATGATTGGTGTCTTGAGGTTTAAGCACCTCAACTTCACCCAGCAAGAAGAAGTTCGAAATGGATTTCATGGAAACATTGGGACCCCTCATCCTTGAAGAAATCAACGGATCTGCAGGATGAGAGGGATGAACTCTGCATAGTCTCCATAGTTGGGCGCTCTCCGCCTTGGCCCAATGATACGTCAAATCCTCTAAGTTACTCCCAATGCTCTGCCGCCTTTAGGGGCTAGGGAGCAATTGGATTGGCTCCTGATACCCCAGAGTGCCAACGAAGCATTCTTGGTCAGTGGTCACTTAACTTTATCACCCAGAAGTTGTCTAGACTAACATTAGCAATATATTCCGTACTAGGCGAATGAATCTGTGTGTAAGCGATTGAACCCCGCGGAATGAAATAACGTAAAGATACCAGGACCATGGAAATATCCTGTAAGAAGACATATAAAGATGGATATCCGCAAGAGCATGCGCAGTACGGGGCGTTTGATCAGGGATAAAAAGCGAGGGTTCATCTAGAGCCCTTTTCCCGAGGCTTCTCCGGAGAGAACCAGTGACGACTCCATACATGTCTTGATGTAGCGGAAGATAAACACCGGGTCCTAGCGTTCCAAGTGACAAGATAACGGAAGACCTATCTGTTCAGGGATTGCAAGCTCCGGAATTGCCTTGGAATATAGGCATGCCTTTTTGCCCAGAAACTTTCGCCAAAGTAGGACACGACAACAAGCAGCTCGCGTGCCAACACAGCTGTTTAGTGTCTCTTTGAGAGCAAGAGGACTTGGAAAGCCGATAATCCACGTAGACTTAACGGAACTCTGATCCCGAGAAATTAAGTGAAATCTTAGGAACCTTTGTCCTGTACATCGTTCCGGTGATCCTGCGTCCGGAGTCCGTATGTGCCTCTGGTATGTTGCTTTTCTCGAGAGAAGAATGCACCTCCTTCACTCAAACAAGGTTTTGCCTTGATTCCAATGGAAGTTTGGAACGAAAACCAAAAAAGCAATAGTCGCGGTGCTTGAAGCAATTCGGCGATATCATTGGAACTCGCCGCATACCTTGTCTGGAGTAACTCCAAGCTCATTGGTCTCCATCAGGCGATCAAGGGGAACTGAACCTATTAGCTGCGAGAATTTCGGTCACTGAACGCCTTGAAACTCTTGCCTCACCATGCAGTGACAGGGAACGAGAGAATTGGGCAAGGTTAGAGGCATGTAACCACCTGGTTGGCACGAGCGGGTGTGCAGACTGGAGCCTGCATTGAAGACTGTTCGAGGTTTCGAGAATATCCACAATGTCCCTGTACAGGTCATGGAGTGACACAAAACAATGTGGTTATTTTTGTAGAGAAGGAAAAAGGGATGTAAAGAGTGAAATCTCATGCTCCGTAATTGGGCGACAACTGTTTGTGGGAGCTGAGTGCGGCCTAATTCATGCTCACTAGTTAGTGAACCTTGTCTGGTAGAAGCATCGTCCCATGCATCATCTCGTCACATCCACATCCACACTCAAGCTGGTTGTTCCTCCAAGCCGCCCAATCTTTCTTCCCTTAATACTCAACTTTTATTCCTGATCGGGTCCTCTCTTCTGGTTCTCCAATCTCCCTTTTATCCCTCCCTACCATTTCTAAGCAACCTACCCAAACCCGTCCTACAATCGCCCAATCTCACTTGCGCGGTCAGTTAGGCGCGCCGCTGCCCTCACGCCGCATTCCCCGCCGACCAACACCCTCAATCCTCAATCGCAACGAGTTTTTTTTAGTTGCTTTTTACTGGCCGGGCGTGATAAGAAATAAGCCACGAGTAATAACCTTTTAGAGTCCCCCCAAATGGAACCGGCACAAGCAGGCGCCGCCGGAGGCGCTGGTGCTCAATCCGCTGCCTCACGTCAACGACATCACCACCATCAGCCACAGGATACCCAGGGCCAAGGTGGACAGCAGGGCGGTCAGCAGCAACAACAACCCGTGTATGATATTCGAAATGGTGGACACTACGGTGCGTTGTTTTGCTCCTACTGTGCTAGTCTTGGGAGACTGGAATAAACCTGATTGCTTTCTTTCACGGAGCTTGTGGGCTAACTTCTCCACGAATTTTCGGTTAGGATTAAAGGCGCCAGTGCAGCGGTACGGACATCATAAGTTTGATTTTATGGCGATGGTCGTCGCGCTAATAGATTTACAGCTCTCAGCACAAGGCTATGCACCGGTACCAGAGCTATACACAGGCACATGGGCAAATGTATGTCTCTCCGCGGGGACCACGCTACACTCTCTACCTTGTTATTTCAATGATGGAAGCTCATTTCAATCGAAATATGAATATATAGGTCAATCAAGGGCTAACAGGCCAAGCACGCGATGTTCTAACCACTTACTGGCAACACATGATCAACCATCTCGAATCCGACAACCACGACTACAAAATCCACCAATTGCCTCTTGCCAGAATCAAGAAAGTTATGAAAGCCGACCCCGAAGTTAAGATGATTTCCGCAGAAGCACCCATCCTCTTTGCCAAAGGGTGCGATATCTTCATCACCGAGTTGACCATGCGCGCCTGGATCCATGCAGAGGATAACAAGCGGCGTACTCTACAACGGTCGGATATTGCTGCAGCTCTGGCCAAGTCGGATATGTTCGACTTCTTAATTGACATTGTGCCCCGGGAAGAGGCAACATCTCATACGAAACGATCTGCACCCAGTGCGCCGCCACAGCATGCAAACGCTGGACAGATGCCACCTCAACAACCTGGTGTGCAGCAGCCGCACCATATGGGGCCCCCGGATTATGGATCACTAGGCCAACCGCCTATGGGTCAAGAGCAAGATTATAGGCAGCAACCGGCCATGTATGGCGGAGCCGTCCAATCCGACCCTGCATACGGCCAACCCCAGCCTCAGATGTTCGAGGGGATGTACGGATATTCGCATTTGCCCACCCAGCAGGTTCGTCTTTGCCTTCCATATCCCTCTTAAAGTACACCCAATAGAAGCACACATTGAAACTAACTGATTTGGCAATAGTGACGATAAAACTCGTTGGTGTTTGTGGGAGAAAAGGAGATATCAAGAGTGAGAATAGGAATATGGAGTTTGGTCAAATAATTTTTTGGAGATCGTTCACGATTCTAAATCGGGCATATGATTGTATTCCGCCCCCTGTCAACTAAATTTACTTGACATCGGCTGTGGTCCCATAGTACCATTTATTTACCATTTGTTTCCGGCGACAACCCAATACGTTCTATGATAGGAAAATTACCAGGTTTGCGATATTGGCTTTTCTCGATTCAATACTGTTGGGGTTATCTGTACATGTCAATCGTAGCTTCAAGATGACTTCATTCCAAATCGACTCGAGAGAGAGCCGAATTTATCCGTCTTCGCCGGTGGACTTTGTAATATTTTCGTGAGCCTGTTGAAGAGGTCAGCCTATCTGTGGTATAAAGCAGCATATTACTTGCAGCCCATAGAATCGAGCATACTTTTCAATTAATATTGGCCCGTTCATCGCATCGACACGGCCATATTTTTTATTCCGAATTGATATATCGTAGAATTCTTCTGTGTTGTCGGACATCATCAATTGTACGGTTTGCTGCAGTTCGTCGAGATTCTCTAGGAGAATAGGCACGCCCAGTCCCTCTACGAATTTGGTGAGGTAATCCACGTCTCGTGCGAGAGCGGCAACTCCGTTTGGGTTAATCTTTTTGACGTCTGGGGAGAGTGGGAGCGCCTATGCGACTTGTCAGAAGAGGCAAAATGACCAAGGGTGAAGGAGAGCGGGGCCTCACCAGAACCATATTTGCGGCATGGCTCAGGGCGTCGAAATATATAAGTTCCTTAATTTCGGTCGGCAAACCAAGGAGGGTCGAGTTCATGATATTAGACAGAAACCGGGTCAGAGTCTGCATATAGTTACTCGGCTCCATCTGCAAGCTTGGTGCATTCCAGTCGTATTCAGCGGTTTCGATGAGATCGTCGATTTTAGAATTGACGAGCTCGAAAATTCGCTTTTCAGCAACCTTCTTGTTATTCCGGAACTTCTCTGTTGCAGCAAGGCTCACTGCTCCATCGCCAGATGATGGTGATCGTGCTGCACCTAGGAGCAGTTCAAGCTCTTGGCATGCTATTTCGAAGTACTCGAGGTTGATGAGAATTTGGACGATTTGGCCTAGGTATTGAGCGCTGAGCCGTTCGACAAGCGTCTCACAGACTTTGTCGGAGAGCAGTTCGTCCAAAGACTATGAATATAATTAGTCGTATACCGAATAGGAGTGCTTGAAGCCACGTACGTTCTTAAGGGTTTCGTCGATAATATTCGGGTGCTGAAAGTCATCGTTCGAAAAGAAGTAAAACTGATTCAAGAAATTCCGAATATCGATACAACAAAGTGGATACATCTGGGAAAAAGGCAGGACGCAAGGGAAGCTATTGATCATTAGCGGTGGTGCTATAGTTGGCGCAGGTAATTTAAGGCTCACATCTGTTCTTCTCTGGGCTTCTCTGGAGTATACCAGCTCACATTGAGAACCTTATCGTATTCTTCTTCATTTTGTATTGCCATTGGCATGTAATCGTCGGATTGGACGATCTATTGTCACTCGTGAGCGACGTGTCGGATCAGCCTTTTCCAATCGGGGGATGCGTACCTCTTGGAAGTCATCGCTGAACCTCCGTTTCAACAGTTCAGCATACCTGTCAAATAACTCTAGTAAAAACCTATCAAAAGCTCCTACTGGAAAACCCCATGTCTGTCGGACTTGTCAGTGGAATGACTCACGACAAGGAGATCACAACTCACATCCATTGTTTGCATGAACAAGGCAATTAGGTTCTTGATTTTTAGTAGGTTTTCTGCATTATCCACCGACGGCAGCGCCTTTTTCATCAGGCCGACTGCGGTCTGGCACATCGAATCCCAGAGCTCGTCGACCTAATCCCGGTCAATTATATCTTGGGGGCTTGAAACTGAGGGAACAGCATACATCAACTGGCGACCTTAGATCCGGTATCTTTTTCATCGTTGTTCGCTCAACGATAGCGAACCCAGCGATCTCCTCGAGGAGAGTGTGCAGACAAGCACCCTCTTCGTCGAGAAGATTAATTGTAGGAGGCAGTAATAGTTCCTTCTGCCGCCTTCTGGTAGTGGCATATTCGACACGGAACTTATCCATCTGCCCAAGGGACTGATGGATATGCAAACATTCAAACAGAGGAGTGAAATCGACTTGAAGGTCATCGTTCTGTAACAGGTCAAACTCTTCATGCTCATCCGAAATCAGTTCAATTGCCGAGTTCAGCTTGAAATGCTCGAGATATGGTGTTTTCTCAGCGCGCTCTTTCAGTCTGGCTCGACGCAGATCTGTGTGATAAAGAGATATTTCCCCAAGGTATTGTGACATCTCTCTGATACGGTAGAGCCATGTGTTGAGGTCTGCCATCACAGCATCTGCAATCGCCTTCTGAGTAATTGGAACGGAACGCTGAATTACTTCCGCAATTTTATATTGAGTCACACCCTTTAAATGAACATTCTGTAGTTCATCCAGAGCCCGCAGGGCCGCATAATGGTTCTTCCTCGCTAATAGATCATAGACCTGATTTGCCAGGAGCAGTACCTCCAGACAGTCCTGCAACGCCTTCGAGGTGTCATCAATATTCTGTCGGTGGCTCCGGGACTCAACCAAGGCTTTCTTCTGTTCCGCTAACCTCTTTGTGCTGGCCTGGATTGACTGATTGAGGTCTAGGATCTCCGACGTCAGGTTGACAGTGCCCTCTCGGATGTCCAGCAGCTGGTTGATAGAGGTCACAAATTCCTGATGTGTAGAAGTACATATACTTTCGATCTGGGCTTCACGATCGTTCGCGAATTTAGTGAGGGATTGCAGGAGCTGAGAGGTTCGATTGCCATGGCTATATTCTCGGATTGAGGGAATAAGCTGGTCTAAGTAGTCTGTGTCCGAGGAAGAATTGACTATCTATGTTGTTTCCGGACTTCTGTTACTATGGAATGCTGAGGTGGAACGTGTCCATTCTAACTTACATGGTTAAGGAGGTAGGAAAGCTCGCTGCGGGAGTTTGTCGGCCCCGGCATATTTGTTCCAAGCCAGTTCTCTGGTCGCAACCCGGGAAAACCACAAAGAGAGGACAACTTTTAAGTAGAAGGAACGAGCTTATACTTCAACTCTACTATATTTTTCATTGGGAATTGCCTGCTGTTTACCATGCCGGATATTGCTGGGGCCTGACGCTGTTGATACTGGTCACAGGACACTCCGGGGATGATTGGTTGGTTAGATAACGTAATCCACAAGCGAGCGAGCAGCTAGTTAAATCACCATATTTTCAATTTCGTAACCCATCCACTTCAACGCGCAATTATGCCACCAATTCGCAAGAAAAATGCTAGAAACTCTATAGAGATAGAGGGAAGACTTGAGCTTGCAATATCTGCTATTAAAAAGCAAGAAATACCCTCAATTTCTGAAGCTGCGTGCCCCTTTAATGTGCTACACTCTACTCTAGGTTATAGACTTAGTGGCTAGTCTTCTAGGGTGAATTTACACACAAATTCACATCAATTGACTGAACCTGAAGAGAACCAGCTAGTTTAATAGATTCTAGACCTGGATAAACAAGGATTACCCCCCTGGCCAGCATTTGTTGAGAATATGGCTAATCATCTTTTCTCATTACAGAATCCCTGTGAGGATCATACTTTGTGGATCAGCATGACAATGGATCTCTAGTAGGAATGGTATGTGGAAAGGAATACACAAGAGCAAAAGTCTTATATTCTTCTAGCAACTGTATACAACTGTAGACAAGATTATCACTGACCTTCATTAAGAGATTCATACAGTGGCTGTCTTTTATGTGTACTTGTGAGCATATGACTGTGTCTTGTGAAGTACACATTCACTCTTAATAGTTATCTTATAAGCAGCTCTCAGTTCTTACAAATATTGTTTGTCTGTATAAGAGATTTGCAGATAAATTCTTACAGATTTCTCTCTCTTATAAAGTCTTGATTTCTCAAGATAGCTGTCTTATTAAAAATCTTCATGAGTAGAAAACAAAAAAAATCTCTTGAGAAAATAAAAATTTTCTTATAAGAAAAGGAGTATCTTTTGTGCTGGTTAGCAGAGCGCTGAGCCTGTCGCGCCCAACCACCATTGGTCCACCTTGTGCACCATGCCTGTTGCAGTATCACTGTTGTTGCTTCAGAGATGGTGTCTGCCTTGCTGCTTTTGCAGTCATCTTACATCACCTCAACATCACCACCCAATCTATAAAAACCCAGTCTTACTCTCTTAAATGATGATATACTGGAGCGGGGTACAATGGGGTGCCTTGTCAAGGTAGGCGAATTGGTTGAGAGGGTGAAAGCGCAGGAAAGGTGAACATCAACAGCATAGTAGTCAAAGGCCGAGTAGTAAGAACAGTTATAGGCATGCCCTAATGGACACCTAAGCGTATAAGGGATAATAGTGCTAGGGAGCCCTGTACTAACACAGGCAGCTCTAGAGAAGAACAGTAGCAAGCTTCATGAACAAGAGATCTTCACATTCTCTCACTAACAAACTAACTAATAAGAATGAACAAGTGTGTAGTGTAAGTGTAAAGATGCGCGAAAATGTTAGGCAAGATATATGGACTATGGGTGATTTATAGCTCAGAGAGAGTAGCTTTGGGAGAGGGTTGTGCCTCAAGACCAGAACAATCTTTGTTCTAATATGGTCCACTACATTTCCTCCTGACCCCCAGTGTTGGCATCCCCTGACAACAAACAACATATAAAGCAAAGCAAAAGCAACAAAAGTAAGCAATTTAATAAGAAAAATAAGAGAATAAGAATTAGCAATTGGCAATCTGGTAAGAAAAGACATAGGAAATAAGAATAAAGAGAGTGATGTTAGCAATCTCTAATAATGATCACCATGATCCTCTTCTTCCATCACATTCTCAGAAGAAGAAGGCTGAACAGACACTGGGTCAATATTATTGTGCATACAATGTCAATAGAATTTGTTATCAAAAGCTCTCTTTTTAATTTGATATGTCTTGACAATAGCATCCAGGACAATTTGTGTGGTCTTTAGATATCAGTTATTAATGAAGTCCTGGGTCTTCTTCTCATCCAGGCCAAAGAGGGTATCCAGTTCCTCAATTATCATAGGATTGTCCCATGTAATTCAGCCTACCAATGCATCCAATATAGCTTCTAAGCCTTGTAATTGAATGGCTGTAGAGAATCAATATGGAACTGATGTGTAACAGTTTGAATGGCCAGATGGTGACAATGGCTCTGGAACTAGGTTCCTATATGCAGCAGAGAGCTGGGATCAGGTACTGGCTTTGTTGACCTCTAGATGTTCATGGTCCTCTTGGATTGCCACATACCAGGGTAGTATAGTACAGCAGACCTTTTTGCATGGACCATGAGCTCCATGGGGTAGCAGAGGGCTTGAAATTCAAACATCACCAGGCTTGCAAATGACATCAGTCCACTTGATACCAAATCTCTTCTCATCATCTTTGGTATAATAGTATCCTTAATGCAGTGGACATAGCCATCAGTGGATAAGCCCCATTCTTCAACCAGTCCCCACCAATCTTCTAGATGGTTATGGATTCCTGGTAAGATTTCTGTGCAGTCTCCGGGCTCTTCTGCAGTTAAAGTCAAGGATCCTTGTATCATGTTAACGCCCCTTCCAGTAGTAATAGCATCTGAAACGTTGACATCGATATGGCGAAACCCAGTTTTATCCCCTGGCTTTGCATACTTGGCGGAACACGACGACGAAGAACCGAAAATCGAGGAGGCGAACTATGGAGTCAAAACTACCCCAAGACATATGGCGCTGCTCAGCTCGTCAGCCGATGCCGCAAAGACGAAGCAAAATGAGAACCAGGATAATGCAGCCAAAAGTGCCTTGATGGATGCTTTTGATGCTGCACTCCACAATAAGGGGGGACAGCAACACTAGTCAAGGCAAGGGGAAATGAGGCTTATGGCACCAGTGCTTGGAGAGAATGATTTGTGTTGGTTAGAATGTCATGGGGCTTCATCCTTGTCAAAAGCTTCTCGGAGTTGCATATCATAGTTTTTCTTATCCTCCATCTTTTTGATGGCAACCTCAAGAAAATCGGTTCTCCAGTACCATGGGACAATATTGTCGAATTCTGTATGTTCCGGGCATTTTTTGAGAAATCTCGGCTGTATCTGTTTGTAGAAGAGCGCGTGAAGACCCGTGGGACTTCGAAGCGCGAGAGAATACCAGAATGTTCCCAGTTCCCAACCTTGATTCATGACCATTGACAGACGATGCTGCTGGGCGCCCGCCTCGTTTGGGCCAAACAGCTTTGCTTCTTCCGCTGCAAGTGTATCTACTAGTTCCTGTCTGAGTCGACCATACTCTTCAGGCTGTTCGGCAATCTCATCCACAGCTTTGTCTGTCAGCCATGGGGGAATGCGGCACATCTCAATAGGCAATGAGCACATCCACTCCAGATCCACAATACAGGTCACATTCCAGTCTTCATCGACAAAAAAGTTGCTCTGATTGAAATCGGTAAACGTCAATACAAAAGGGCCGCGACGCAGGCCTGGGTCAAAGAAGGATGGCAAAGCCGCTCGTAGGATTGTCAGAGCTGCTGCCTGGGCACCGTAGTCACCAAGATTGTTGATTCCATTGGGCTGATGAAGGAGACGATTGTCATGGATCCTTAGAACATCAAGGATATAGGAGTCGACTGTCGCGTAGGTGTAATTGCGAGGCATGTCGGTCGGAATGTTTTCATTCTCCAGCGCCTGGATCTCAAGTGATAGTGGCCGGTTGGTGAGTTGCAGATAACCGTTATTATCAATTACAAACGATCCAACGCATGGTAACGGGGTTCGTGTGATGCTCAGCAAGATTTGAGAAAGTGAGCGAAAGAGGTTCCCACGTAACCGGTCATCATGCCTTTTTTCACTCCATGTATTAGAAAGCATCCGGCCGGCCGATTCCTCGATGTACTCAATCAGAAGGTAACCAATATCCGTGGCTTGACTTTGTGGCTGATGGGGAACGTAGCGCGAAGGCAGCGGACAACCAAGCAATGACAGGGCTAGGCACCGAAGTTTAAAAAGCCAGCGCTTCCAGAATGACAAGCAAGTGGCCGTGGTGAACTTAAAATGCACAAAAATCAATCGAGTCATCAACAAAACGGGAGGGATACATACCGTCTCTCCAGTTGATACAGCAAACCCATACATGTGTGGGATGGGCACATCCGTGGCATTCTGCTGAAGCCACGCATAGGTCCCAGCTTCACATCGAAGCTTCTCGTCGCTATTTCCCGGGCAAAAGTGGTCACCGACACGATATGGAAGTGGAAACCGGAGCATCAGCCTTTGCCTTTTCCTCCTCCAACTTGAGGAGACAGTGACCGGAATACAGACATTGAAGCTGCCATAGATCCAGTCCTCAGGGCCAGCCACAGAGCAAGCATTGGGAGATGCGCCAAGGTGGTGGGCAACAATTGATCTCATCCAGGCGCGCTTGTGGTGCAAGACATCGAAGAACTTTGCGCGTTGCTTGACGTATCCTAGGCGATGGAGGATGTTGACCTCCTCGTCTTTGGCGAAGGAGTATGTGATCTCCCCATGAAGAAGGCTGCGGGTCTTTTTGGCCATTGTTCATCGAGCGAGTCAACAATTGTTTGTAGAGACCCAAAGCCCGCCTCCAATGACGCCTGAAAGCTTAAAAATACTAACCCTAAAAGGCTTAGCCCACATGCCTTTATGGGGTCGCTCGATGTTGCTGGGCTCCGTACGGAGTAGTCTCACTAGAGATATAATATCAACATAACTCTAATCTGAATAACACAACACAGCTCAATAACATAATAATATATAGAGTCTCTATTGTTCTCACTAACTAGCTCTGTATTATTATTAGATAATGAAGGCTAGCTTAAGAGAAAGCTTTTTCTTACTTTCTCTTTCTCTTTTTTTTTGTTTCCCTTTCTTCTCTAGTCTCTTTCATCTTTATCAAGATAAGTGAACTCTCTAAGCACTGCTTTGTGTGGGAGGCAGACTGTTGTGGAAATCCCGAGACTGAAGGGTATCAGGGCCGCGGGAAGGTCAACAGATTGTGGTAGTGATCAATAATCCAATGGTGCTCCAGTTGAGTAAGCAGTCTTGCTCTGATGACGAAGGGTTTCTGTACAGGTATATCAGAGTCAGGGCAAGGCTAAGGTGCTTTCTCAAGAGTAGCAGGTTCCGGTACAACTGTACAGTATCACAAGACTTCAATGGTATGGAAAGTAATCAAGGTATGAATGTAACTGAGTTAAAGATATCTGGTCAAAGTCAATATCTGTCTCCAGCGGCATCTAGGCCCATAAAATCGAAAAAGGCGCGTAAGAAGGTGTCCTGCGATAATTCAGAACGTGAGTACTCATAAGTATAGCGGACGAGGAACGGGCGGCTGTAGGCAACATCAGATGCCTCCAGTGCTGGATTCGCCCGCGAACCCCTTACACAGACAAACAATACTTGTGAGGGCTGGGAGCCACTCGCGAGCTGTTCGGGGTGGATGTGTACTTAACTCCCTTGCAAGATGCTGAGTCACATGCTCACGAGCACACATAAAAAACAGCCACTGCGCGAACCTCTTAATGGAGGCCAGTGGCAATCTTGTCTAGAGTCATACACAGTTGCTAGAAGAATATAAGACTTTTACCCTCATGTATTCCTTTCCACACACAATTCATACTAGAGATTCATTGTCATGCTGATCCGCGAAGTACGATCCTCACAGATAAGAAGATGGTTAGCCATATTCTCAACAAATGCTGGCTGAGAAGGTATTCCACATTTATCCAGATCCAGCACCTATTGAAGTAGCTGATCTTCTTCAGCCTTAGTAAATTTGGTTAAATTTGTGTGTAAATTCACTCTTGAAGACCTGCCCCTGAACTGATCCTGCAGAGTAGTGCAAGGCACCTCAAACAGACATGCAGTCTCATGAATTGAGGCTACTTCTTGTTTTTTAATAGCATTGATTGCAAGTTCAAGCTTCCTCTCTATGTCTATAGAGTTTCTTGTGTTTTTATTGCGAATTGGTGGCATAATTGCACGTTGAAGTGGCTTGATTAGAAAATTGAAGATGTTTTGAATTTGGTGGCCGACTCGTTTTGGGTCGTACGTGGATTAACATGTAATTCATTAATCGGCTTACTAACCTGCCACTCAACCCTACTCGTCGGCTGGCTTGGCATCAACTTCACTCCTTCATGCCGCTCAAAACAGCGACTTGCAAAGGGTAACGGGTGGCCCTGTTCTCCCTTAGGGGCTTGGAGTTATGATCCAAGCGAAAAGCCCTATTGATACCTTTGCTTCAACACATATCAAATCTTTCGGATTGCCGTTTCTTCGTGAATGTATAAAGGACCTCACTGACAGATATCAAACATTCAGCAAATTTTCAATATGTACAGCACCGCCTGTACATGGTTTCAAGTGACTTTCCGCAAATTTCTTTCTCTGGAAAAATTTTTATTTTGAGGGGCTGGTATGGCCGAGCCCCAGTTGTCAGGGCTGATGACTTGATATTTTCTTTGTTAACCCCGTGTTATACACGGGAAGACCCGTTCGAGGCATTCCATGGAGATGGGAGTGCTTGTCAACGATGGCTACCATCATTGGTTGGACACCGTCTTGTTCAAGAGAGAGGAGAATTCAAAGCTGTTCCGTCGAGTCCATTTGGAGCAGCTCACACAAAGCTCTATCTAGATATCCTATCAGGCAAGCTCGCATCAAAGAGACCACCTAGCTTCTTGAGGACACGGCCGGGATGATACTGGGCCTATGTATATACATATAATCTATATACCCACATCATTCATGCATCGCATCATATATGCCTCTGTTTCCAGGTGTGGCGCAAGTACCGTTGAGTCGCCGGCGCCGGCTTCGAGGCCTTCCCAAAGCGGCAGCGCCCCCTTTCAGGAATCTCTAAACCTAGCGCATGTGATATCAGCTGTTGGAAGAGAAGACGATCACCGAGAAGGTAGGTGGTGCCGTTCGTTGCGTATTAGACGCCCAGCTGCCCAACAGTCCAGAGCAGCACTGCCAGCGCCCCTCACTCCCCTTGCCTAATCGGGACATGTTGGGCCAGGCGCTTATCTCGTTCCCCGCGCCCGCTCTATCCTGAACAGGCTGTGGCTCGTTATCGTTGCGAGGCCGTGTTGTGCTACCCCTCTTTTCGCTATCTGCTGCTCTGTGTTATGGGTGGCTGGCGGGGGGTTGTCAGCACGCATCCTCGCTCTGTTGCTGTGACTGCACCTGATATGCCGCCATTCTACCTCTTTGACAGTGGGCTCTCATCTCGACATTGCTGCCCTCCCAGCCACCCCGTTCTTTGGTGCCTGAAAATTTTCACTCAAGGAGATTCCCTCTCCTCCTTGCCACCCTCCCATCCTAGTCTCCTTTCCGTCCTCTCTCCTCCATCTTCCCCGCTCTATCTCTCTCTCTCTATCTCTATCTCTCTCTCTCTATCTCTCTCTCTCTCTCTTTTTTTCATTTTCTTCGTCCCATCCATCTCTCATCTACCACAGATCAGATCGTATCGAGCCTTCTCTCCATCACGATTTCCACTTAGCTTTGCTCTCCTCATTCAATTCATCTTTACCTCATTCGTCCACTTCTGCTGCTCCGGCAGTTTACATTCTTACATCTTTTTGACTTCTCTACCAAGTCTTCTGCGACTTGCTCATCATGATTCGTGGAAACGGATCTCCTGGCGCAGCCAGTAGCAACCGTTCCTCCGACGAGGCTGCTTCTCACAATGGCTCTCCTGAGACCAAGCTCACTGCATTCTCCCCCGAGGATGCCCGCATAAAGTCCCTTTTGGACAATTCAGGTGCCATTGGCCTTCACAGACACGAAACCATGACTTTTACACCTGTGTAAGCTTCCGCCTTCTCCCAGGCTCCTGTGGGGTCCCAGCAATTCTAACCGCTCTGCTTATAGCCATAAGCCGGGAATTGGCCAGGATGCATTCAGGACCATTTCGGGACCAAATGCACGAATCCAGCTCTCTCCCACGGCAAGCCCTTTCACTCCAGCCAGCTATATCCAGAGTAGATTTACTGGAAATGAGAGTGTCTCGGCCTTTTTGAAACAGAACGATGTTTCCCCAGCCACAATCAGCTACTTAGCAGCGAATTCTGACCCGGAAACCCCATTCACTCCAAATGGTTCTTTCGCTCGAAACTCCCCTCCACGTTTCGGCCCGATTGCTCCCGGTGGTCCTGTTCATTTGACTTATCCCAAGCAGGATGAAGCAGCTCGCTCGAAGATGAGCTACTTGACAGCCACCTCCGAACCGGAAACTCCGTTTACTCCGAACGGGTCACTTGCTCGCAACTCGCCTCCACGTTTCGGTACCATTGGTCACCCTTACGTGGCTCCGACACCCATTCATATGGCGTATTGCCAGTTTGGTACTTTTGACAAGATCAACCGCAGTCGTGCATTTACCATTGAAGGCGCACCGACGGACTTAGCCCACTTGACCATTGTTAGCCTTTTTGATGTAAGTGATGTCTCATCCGAAGTCAAAGTACTTTCTGTATTGATTGACGTTCTTGCAGCGCCATGAGTTCAGCACTCTCAAGGGGCCTATCCTTACTGAACTGGGCACTCATGGAAAAATATATGTCGGTTTTACCGATAGCCGCGATGCCAAAGCTGCTTTTGATAAAGTCAAAAAGCAGTATCCCGCCTGGTGTTTGCAGGCCTTGACTGCCAAAGAGTTTACTGGAAAACACGATGCGACTTATGTGGGTGCAACTTCTGACTATGAAGGTTACATCTTTGCTTCGGTTTATTTCAATGGCAACAATCCAGCTGCGGATGGACGCGTGATCTCCCACAATTTCAAGAACATTCTCGAGAAGTTCGGCGACGTCAAAGCCTTCTGCACTATTCCCACCGAGCAGAGGCATGTCGTTGACTTTATGGTCGAGTTCTTCGACACTCGTGCCGCCGAAAACGTCGCTTCCACTTTGAACGGCAGTTCAGTTGATGTAGGTTGGCCTTCTCAATTAGTCACCCCTCTTAGCCTTTCTCTAACTAACTAGGGACATTATAGGAATGCATTCTCGAGATCAACCTCTACAGGCCCGATGTTGTAGAGAATCATTACATTGATTTTGAACACAAGGATGTCTCCGATGCAGTTACAAAGCAGTCGGTCGGACGCCGCGATAGCTTTGGACAACCATATGTCGAACTCAGTCCGACCGGTCGCTCAACTATTCCCGTCGGCGATCCTGCCAGTGAATTTGGTTGGCTTCGCAAGGCTGAAAACAATTTCTCCTATCGTCATCGTCTCGAAGTTGGACGGCGTCAGGACTCTCGTCCCAGTAACCAGAATTATGTTGATATCGAGAAGATTCGACTTGGTCTCGATGTCCGCACTACTGTGAGTTACGACCGAACTACCCATTTGAACATTTGCTTACTAGTTATAGATTATGTTGCGCAATATTCCCAACAAGATTGACCAAGTAATGCTAAAGAACATTGTTGACGAGACCAGTTTCGGCAAGTATGACTTTATGTATTTGCGTATCGGTAAGTGGATAAAATAACGACCGTTTAAACTCGCTCGTTGACAACAATCTAGATTTCGCCAACAATTGCAAGTCAGTTTTATTCTACTAAAAGTTCCTGTTTAACCACTTGCTTACCTATATACAGCGTGGGCTATGCCTTCATCAACTTCGAGGATGTAAGATACCTTCTACCCTCAACACGACGTTATTCTCGCTAACATCGATTCAGCCCATCGATATTATTGACGTGAGCTCGCTCTATACATTAAAGGAACCGATTGACTGACCTTGCTTAGTTTGCCAACGCTCGTGCTGGTCGTACATGGTAAGTTAATCGCCAAATCCATATGAATTTGCAATTAACATTTGAGCCAGGAATTGCTTCAACAGCGATAAGGTCGCAGAGATCTCGTATGCCAGTGAGTGATCACGCCTCGTAATCCATGTTGACTACTTGCTGATTTGACCCCAGCCATTCAAGGAAGAGATTGTCTCGTTCAAAAGTTCCGCAACAGCTCCGTCATGTTGGAGCATCCATCCTTCCGTCCTAAAGTATTTTCACACAATAAATGTACTTCAGTTCACTCTTTCTAATTCTTTACAGTTGTTCTATACTGGCAGTGGGCCACTGGCTGGTACAGAAGAGCCTTTCCCCGGCCCTGACAATCCATCGAAGATGCGACGCAGCGTCGAAAATGCCGAACACGTTGGCATGTATAAACTCGTGAAGACCTCCGTACCGAAACCGGGTCTGTACTAATGTATCAGCAGGTCTCTTTGCACCCAGAGTTGGTCAACAGTACCGTGATGAACAGCGTCGCCGTCGGTCCCAATACGATCGTGGAACCACTGCCGCAGAGCGCGAGACTTACTGCCCCCGCCACTATTATCCTCGCCGTAATAGCAACAGTTTTGCTCCAACATCACGCTGGTGCGAATTTCAGTATCAGAACTGAATTTTTTAAATTTGCAACGACGACATCCGATGTTTCCAACAAGAAGTGTTTGGAATGTGATTCGCGATGTCCGATTTGCTTTTTGCTCTTCTTTTCCTTTGCCCCCCACCATCGATTACTACTCTTTATCTTCTACTTTCATAATGCTTAAAGGAGTCAGGGTAACTCGTCAGCAATTTGGGGACGCTGCTAACTGTATTCAAGGGAACAAGGAAGTATCCATTATCAGCGCCTGTTCACGTTTATCTTTGGGCTGCTTGGGTATGGTGCACCGGACTTCCCTCTCGAAGTTTTCCGCATTTGGTTGCGAAAATTCCAAGATTGGAAGCCTACACCTCCTTCTTACATATTTTCGACAGATAGCGGTTCCCCTCCTATACCTTACCCCTTTTATTAGCTTGCTGTGGACTACGATTGACAGCTTTTGCTTTATCTTTGTTATTCCTTTCTGCAGTTGCAGTTTCACACGGCTTACAGTTCTTTTAACCTTGATGATTCGGTGATGCGCCTCGACGTTGACAGATATTTTCGCAGATGGATGTTGCACATGTAAGATAATCTCGGTGCCTTGTTCTTGTGCTGATGCTTTGCTCTCGCTGGGAATCTTATGAAAAAGACGAAAAAAAAAATATATATTTTTCTCTTTGTACTTAAGAGGAGCGAAGGCTACCTATCTAGTTATTGTGGAATACGACCATCGGTCTCCCACGCTCAAATCTCCAGCAGATGAGAAGTTAGTGACTAACAGGCAATATTAGACCTGAATTCTTCATCCAGGCCTTAGTCGGCGAGACGGTTCATAGTGCTATTGAGTACCATACACGTAGTACCATCACGAAAAATCAGGTCAGGTCACAATATGGTATGTGACAATAGACATAGGGACTTCAAAGTAAGTTCCCTTCTCAATTCCCCCAATATAATTGCAAATTTTATTGAAGAGCGACCATGTGTTTGAGGCTGGCGTAACTGAATCCCTCTTTTGACACTAAGGGTAAGGTTAGCATTTACAGTTACTATAATTTGTAGAGCACATACGGAGTACATTGGAGGGCAAATTGGACAGCTTTGTTTGTTTTTATTTTACTCTATTTTAGTCCGTACTTCATGCAGATTTTAGTGTTTCTACAGTACATACGGAGTCAAGGCAATTAATCCGTTCTCCGTAAGTATTCCAAGCGGCCTATGGGGAAAGCCTTGCCTCCGGCGTTACAGGAAGGAGTTGGAAATGTAACATCACGGCGTGATCCGTGTTCCCAGCGGAAGCCAAGGCCCAACTCGCTCCACTTTCCGCTCCGTCCCGCTAACACCTGCATGATTCCACTACCTACCCTCGAACATATGAACGGTCATTGTTCAAGGGTGTGATTTGGGGGGGCGCCGGCCCTCGTACTCTACCCGTACTCTTTGTTTTAAGGCTACCATCAGAGCCTGAATCATATTCGATACTTGTTAAGTGTCAAGTCAGTCACTTTAACTGTCAGATGTGTAACACTTTTATAACCTCATCAGTACTCTACTCAAGCACCAGATGGCTTATTACATACTGAAATTTCCATTCCCAAGTTCCTTTTGTCGACTTCAAATTTCACTGGCCTTTCTCTCGCTCTCTAAAACCTACCAACTGCCCGACCCACTTCTCGCTACCCCTCGCCAGGTCTTCCGCAATAAAGTCAGCAATGTGCTCCAATTTAGTTGTATAGCCAGCCATGTTCATGATGACTTCCAAGCTTGTGCCAATCCAAGGGATCCGAGCCACCCATCTACGTGGCCACGCAGGCGGAATGTCAGCAGTGGTGAGTAAGTTATGGGGATCCGGCTCTGAGAGAAGCTCGATTCCTTCGTGCAGCGGTAGCATGATGGCGATGCAAACGAGAGTCCAGCGAAGATCGGAGAGGGGAATAGCATTTATGATCGCTCGGGTTTCACGATGCTGTTCAACAGCAAAGTTCGGGAGGCTATGTTGATGTTTAGCATGGTGGCATTCCAAGATAAGCAACCGCAAGAGACATGCTAAAATGAATCAGGAAGCACAGAATACTCACTAGCTACCAATTGTACGTCTCGGCTGTTCCACGTTTGGCGGAGATGTGGAGGCCTTTCCTTGTTGAGACTTCTCATCGCTAGGTAGCGGATACGCCAGCTCACCGAGTCCACAAATGAACAAGGCTCGCATCGGAACTCCTCGCTCCCTGCCAATATCTACCGCAGCTTGCGAGGCAGCCCTCGCAATTTTCTGGAGCTGATGCTCTTTCCACGGCCAGACTTGGTTTCCCGCAGTGTCCACCATGGCGTCGCAATGGTGTTCGCGGATGGCCGTCTTGAGGCTCTCCGCGTCTGTGGCGTCCCCGTTAAAAACTGTGACCCGGGAACGAACGCCCTCAGGGGCCATATTGGCAAACTTCTGGGGAGAACGGACGTAAACCACAACTTGATGGCCATGGGCGAGGAGTGCCGCAACTAGGCGAATGCCTAGATTGCCTGTTGCGCCGAGGAGAATGACGCGCATTTTGATGGAAAGAAACAGAACACGGAGTCAAAAGCATGAAATAGCGAGAGCAGAGCGCTCAAGCTGGAGATGCTAAAGGAAGGGTATTTAAAGCTCCAAGGGCATCATGTAGGTTCAATTCCAGGACACAACTTCCAGTTACTTATTTCTAATAAGGTACTGTACGGAGCAGCAACACGCGCATGCGCAATGACGATGACGTGCCCAAGCGTCCATCGAAGCGGCGATCAACTCAAACTTCTTGATAAATAATGCTTTTTGCTCGCCCATTCCGGGCGCCATCTTTGCCGTCAACATCCATCGATGATGTCGTACACTAAAAGGGGGGAAGTCGCCAAGCCGGACGGGTACCTACTTGCTCTCGGCGCCCGGGTCCAAGAATCTCCGAAGAGCCGCGCACACAACAGCCTTGTCCCGAGCCGCGATCCGCCAGCCGCACCCCGGGGTTCGCACAGCCAAGGCCCAAGAGAAGCACAATCACGTCGAGATCCGTCACTCTCTTCACGGGCTGCCAGGTCGCCCGTCTCTCCCGCTCGTCGACCACTTTCCCAATGCCCAACTCGCGCTTGCCGTCTCCACCCTCAGCTCAGATCCCCTCTGCCTCGTCGCTCTCCACGGTCTCCGATACGCTCCATCTTCTTTATCACCATAACAAAAACCAACACCGGAGCGCCAAATGGTTTAAATGGCTGGGGATCTTGAAGCGATGGACGAATAGGTTAACCCTCGAGCTTCAGGTTGCTGAAGCTCAAGGCCATCTGGATTTGGCCTTTGATGATGAGGAGGCTGGTGGTATCCGGAGTGTGATGGCCCACATGGGACGGAATATCGTTCCCCGATGTTATGGGTGCGTGCATATCTTGTTGTCTATATTCTCGTTTCCAACTCGAGGACACAACTCAGTCCACCCTGACCACGGTCGAGCACTGATTCCTCTTATGCCAGTGCGTTCTCCACCATAATCGCCGACAAACAGTTCTCCGCCCTGGGCGTGGTACTTCTATCCGCGTTGGCGGAGATAGCTGGCTTGATAAAAATGCCAGGTTTGGAAGGCGGCTTCCTCCCAGCAGAAGCAGTGGCTTCGCGATTGGATATCTCTGTGGCAGCAACTATTGATGACGCCAGCGTGCCGATACATGAGCCAGAAAATGAGAGACACGGTCAAGAGGATATCGGAGAAGTGATCGGTCGTTCTGAAATCGCTGAAGGTTCGCTGCCTAGACCTTCAGAAAAAGAGGAATCCGAGAGTCAACCAAATGTCTTTGGAGAACCCTTAGAAACCAGGACTAAAAAGGGTAAGAAAAGAAGATTGGAACGAGACGAAAACCTTTCGGAGGAAGATGTCTCCGCGATATCACAAAGGCATGTGAAGGACATACAGGCTCCTAGCCTGGTCAAAGTGAAAGAGAAAGAGAGGAAGAAGAAAAAGAAGAAAGGCAATGCAATTGATGATATTTTTGGTGATCTGGCATGAACAAGGCCATGTACTTTTGAAGTTTGCGATACCCCTGTACATATATACATTTATTTCATGAGGTCTATGATACATCTAATTCTAAGCTAAGGGAACTATTGTTATACACAAAACAACCGCATAGCAAGTGAAAGTCTTTGAACCAGAAAATCTTTTCAGTGAGCCCAGCAAACCAACGGAAGAAACAACAAAAACTCATTAATTATAGAGCAGCCTCAAAAGGCCCTCCCCGAACAAAATATTAACCACGACATGGTGCCCCAATGCCCATGCTGCACTGTAAAGGAATTTGGGTGAGAATACGGTCCAGATGAACAAATGTGCTCTGAGAACTGTACATGCTACCATCACAGCTAACAAACTTGTAGCTGTAAATAAAGTCCACAGTTGAAGGTGAATGTCTCCGGGTGTCTTCAAATTTTGATTCTTCATTCGAAGCATGCACTGCGTGGCAGATACCCACCAGATAGGGCCGGCCCAGTTGCCGACGAATGTGAGGATTCCAACCAAAACGACATTGTAGCTGCCGATCCCGTTGTAGGCGTTTGATAGATCAATAGATGATATAGCATTGGAACCACCAAGAGCAAAAAACGCAGTGTATTGCATCAAAAGAGACGTGATGGCGATTTCGGAGTGGGATAGGCTCATAGATAAGAGGAGGTCGTATTGAAGTTGGAAGATTCCAAAGAGAGGGACATTGGTGGCCCGGGACTGGGAGAGAAGGAAAAGACTCAGTATAGCGTGGAATGTAGACGACCAATCTAACATTATGTTAGTCTTTTTCAGGTGAGAGGGACCCACAAGCTTACCTGCTCGCCTTCGATATTGCAAGCCCCGGCTTGCTTTAAATTTTGCAAAGGCACCATAAAGCAGTGCCCCGCATAGTCCAGCAAAAATGAATCGGGCTTGGAAAAGAAGAGAAAGGCTTTGCACACTTCCCACCAAAGATGAAAGGAGCGGAGTGTGGCGGATTAGTTCTGGTGCATCAGCTGAGGTAAACGCGGCCTTGAATATGAAAGCAAAACTTGTTAATGGAAGATAAAGTGCCGATGCAATATTGACTTTGCGGCCTTCCAAATCTAAAGGTTTAAGTCGCTGGTAAACATCGGTATACGTAAAAAGAGCCAATATCCATAGAATATTAGGATGGTTGGAAAAGAATGTTGTGGCAATGTCGGGTTCGGCAGCGAACTTTTGGCCTGTTTGATTCCAGCGTCTGGCAATTCGGGATAAAGCCGCCAGGCACAAAGCACTACCGAATCGAAAGCTGCTAGTTGCTCGACGGCACCTAAGAATGAATTAGTTTCTTTTATTAATACGCCTGAAGGAGTCATAGCATACGTCCTGAGATATAAGTAGCATATCCATCCAGTTAACGCCCAGTACCAAAACTGTTGCTCTTCTTCCACGTAGCTGCTGGCAAACATCAAAGAAGAATAACCGGCGACCACAAGTAAAAAGTATTTCATGTCTCGCGTTAATTTCAACGAAAACTTGAAAATTGAAATGAGAGACAATAGAACCGCCATAAATGCTACCGCTGTGCCCTGATATAGCCTGGTCACAGTATAGTTACTCGAAGCATTGCTCATAATGCGTTGAGCTGCGCGACAAAACTCAATAAGCGACGTTTCTGCATCGGGGAGAAGGGTCAAATCGGCTTTGGCTTCCTGAAAGAGCTGAGACGCCTTCTGCCATTGGCACTCAAGGTTAGATAAATCTGTCGCTAAAGTCCTTTCACCACAGTACAGCGCGGAGTGCTCATTAAACTTGGGATAGGTGGCCTTAACAACATTGAGGATTTGTCTGCCATTGTCCAGAAGAAGATGTAATCTCTCCAAGCCTATCAGAACATCAGCAGACGGAGCCTATGACCTTAGCGATTGGCGTAAAACCCACCTTGCGGCCATAGAGAAAGAAACTCTGGTATAAAAACACCTAAATTATTCAAGGGTATTGGGAATCCAAGTAAGCCTGCCAAGGTTGGTGCAATATCCGACTGCTCAACGACGTCATAAAAATTTAGGTCCTCAGACGCCACACTGGGGGATATTTTACCAGGCTGGGTTTGGCGGAATTTTGGGGATATAAAGGTAAGCGCCGCGGAGGTTTCTCCAGGAGATGCTCCTCCGTGATTTCCAGCATCGTTCATTCCATGGTCACCACACAAAACCAGGACTGTCGACGCAAGGTGATCCTGTTTTTCCATTGCAGTGTATATTTGCTTCACAATTGAATCCATTTCCCGTTGTTTGGGTATCATATATGGACTGGCTCTCATCAGGCTGCAAGTCCACTTAGCCAAGTTCTATTTGGTTACATACCTGAATGGGCCAGCCTTGTGGCCAATATGATCAAGGCCAAGATAATGCATGATCATTGCCGACCAATCGTCATTTTGTAACTCTTCAGGCACATGGCGCGTAACATTATTATCCACTTCGACAAAATCCTAACACAGGTCAGCTTCCTTGTCTTTTCTTTTTTCAAGGCAAAGGCTTTCAGGTTATACGAACGGAGACAAAGAAGCTGGTAGTCCCGTCATGCCTGTCAAACATTCCGGGAAAGAGCTTTAGCCACGTATCATCGCCATACATAATTAGCCGCCCACCAGGACGGCGTTTGATTTGCGCCAGCCATGTGTCTTGATGAGCTAGGGTGGATGTTGTGTCAGATTCTGCAAAGTTGAGGATTACATCTAGAAACGACGGCACTGATCCGGTCGTAATAGCTTTCACTCGTGGCATCGTAATTGTTGGAGAGCTTGCATGGGCAGTGAAAGGCAACGCGGCGCCATTTCTTATCAATCTGTGTGGTGTCAAAATACTCCTATACAATGCATTGCAGCTTCACTGACCCCTGCGTGAATTCAAATCCTGAATTGTTTGAATATACAAAATCACTATCCAGACATGTCGTAAGGAAATGCATAGAAATAAGATATCGGGGTCATTTGTAGTATACCTGCGCAGGGCATCAACGACCATAAATATGGCCCTATCAAAGACAGGAGAAGGCCGTGAGCCATCTTCGTTAAAGGCAGCAAGGCCAGGAAGAAATGGCTTATAAGGAAAAAAGCCACTGGCAAACAGCACAAGAGAAATAGGAAAGATGAGAACCGACACCAATGCCGCGGTTGTCTTTGAAGTGTTAGTTGTCATCTTCACAAATTGCATGGAAGGGTGATGGCAGTTGCAATTGCAGGCAAGACTTCATCCCATTCCTCAGAATGTCCTTGAACCCCAAACATCATCTCAGAACCAATTGACATGGGATTAATCAACAACAGTCCGCAGAGATGATGCCCAAGCCTATGTCCAACATCGCATTCCTTGCATGGATGTTTTGCGACTAGCGTTGGCCCGAGCCCCTTTTTGGCTCACCTGATTTGCCGATATTCACCGCCTATTAAGATAAAGCATATCGCTCTCTGTGCTCCGAAGTACCACTCATATTTACTCTTCGGACGAACCTTCTCGGAGAATACATGCTTGGCCGACCGCTATCAGATGAAAATATAATTGAATCATTGCATTTTGACTTCAGAGTTTCTACTATTGAAGTACTGGGAAGTCGATCTCGATTCGCTAATCCCTAAGAAAAATTATATTGAACATAGCTGAACGCTTTTGATATTCCCTCCGTTATCCCAAACTCCATTAAAACCAAATGCCTCTAGTATTCGTGAGCGCGATCAAAGAATCGAGAGAGCACCATAACCGGTTTATACATCGTCATTTCTTTTTAGACGACCTCTTCACCTTGCCAGGGTGTGGTTTAAACGTAATTGAAGGCCGTGTCTTTCTGCGGACTCTTTTTTGGATTCGGCCCGTACCACTGGACTCTGGCTTGGAACCACCAGAATTCTCATCAATGTCCATATCTGTTTACGAGCGAACTGGTATTAGTCGCAGTTATAAATGAAGGTTGATAGCGGGGTACTCACTAGTTGAAGCGTGATCTAGCTTTTCTAAACAGCAACAAAATGTCAAATTTTGCTTCTAGACTATACGAATAGAAAGCGTAGGAACGAACCGATCAGATTAAAATCTGCATCTGCCATATCTGTATCCTTCACAGAAGTCTTGGAGGCCAATTCTTGAAGCTTCGCCGAAAGTCTTTCTGTTCTTTGGTCCGCAACAGGCCCAAACACTTTGGCTCGTAGGTTTGCCTTATTACGCTTTTTAACGCTTGACCGAGCGCCTTTTGCCATGGTGCTTCGGCTGTAGGACGGATGGATTGGCTTTCGCGCGAGTAACGGGTTCACGGAGGGTTCGAAAAAGAGGTTGGCTATGGATTAGGCAGCAGGCAAGTAGGGTAAATGCCAATCTATAAATTGAATATTTGCTTCAAAAATAAGTATTGTAGAGGAAGAGGTTTGCTGTTCCGCGATCTTTTCATGCACCCGTCTTCATGCCGCCGTGCTTTTTTTTGACCAGCGGAAAAGCAACGAACGATGATTATATAATCACAATAGGCCGCTCTTATGTCATCCATCCTTCACGCTCGCAGGCTGAATGTCTTCGTAGAAGCTTCCGGCGTGAAGAATAGGCTAGCAAAATTCACAGCGCCTGGGGGACACTGGATCTAACTGTGAGAATTCCTTACGGTTGTATATCTATTCCCACCATGCTCTTGTGCACCCTCTTTGCATTTCATCCTGTTCTCCTGGAAGGTGTTTGATCTCCAGGAGCTCCACATCCACCTTCTGGACTTTGCAACCTATCCCGGATCTCTTGGGTTTCCCTTTGATCACGAGGAGGAGGAGCTGTTATTTTAAAAATGCCTGGAGTTTCTGAAGCAGAAATACAGACCGTGACTGGTCTTATTAAGTCTCTACTCAATGCGCAGCTTAAATCTATCTTGCGACACGAGCACCTTGCTGTATCTGGGGTGAAAAATGTCCTTCAGTTCAGGATACTTAACCGTGAGTTCCCGGTCATCCCAGGTTTAGGCTTTAGGCCTATAATAACACTTGAGAGGAACATAGATCTGCACAGAATGTCCCAAAGCCCAGTAGAGTTTGATCGGATCAGGAGATATATTTACTATGTTGCCCAACACCCGATGCCGACCGCCCCTACGCCCTCTCCATCATCGTTCACACAACCTCCTCATTCCGCTCCTCAACCCTTACCAGCCCATAGACCTCCTTATTCTACAACTATGACCCCATCTCATGGCGTGGCAATTGGTAGTACCTCTTACCCCCTTACGAGATATAGAAAACCCGGTTAACCATGAGCCAGGGCGCTTGAGTTTCAAGGAGAGTCCTTTTTTCACGATACTTGAAACATTGACACCTGTTGTGGAGTGCAAAAGTAGGGGGAATATTGTCCCACTATCCTGTATTAGCCCACTAATTGCTACTTAGTTCGTGAAAGCACAAGGGAGACTGTTGAACTTAAGGTCAATTTCAGTGAAATGATGGCCTCTCGATTGCAGAGTGAGCCTGACTTGCGAGTCATGGTTTACTGCGCGGGAGACAACGGTTTAAATCACTACTCCCGATCAGATATCGCATTTCCCCACCAGGTTGAGCTCAAGGTTAACCTTGATGATGTAAAGATAAACTTGCGAGGCTTGAAGAATAAACCTGGGACAACTAGGCCGGCAGATATCACGAATTTCATCCGCAAAAAGCCGGGCTATACAAACTACGTCTCTATGACTTATGCCCTTACACAAAAGGCAAGTTACTAGAAATTTTGGCATTAAGGGTTGCTTATAGTAACTGTGTCGCAGAAGTTTTTTGTTGTTGTTAACCTAGTTAAGAAGCATTCGGTCGATGAACTCGTCGAGAGACTTAAAAGGAGGACGATTATCACCGCCGAACAGGTAATCCGGGAAAGTAAGAGGACCCTTGGTCTTAACGGGCTCGTATACTGTTGATTCCTGACGGATTTTTAGTGAAAAACAAAGCTGCGGATACCGATATTGTGGCAACATCAAGCGTTATGTCCTTAAAATGCCCCTTGTCGACTCTACGTATCACGGTTCCTTGTCGCACTGTGCTCTGTACTCACAACCAGTGCTTTGATGCTACATCTTTTCTGCAGCTGCAAGAGCAGGCCCCCACTTGGACTTGTCCTGTCTGCAACAAGTCCACGTCATTTGAAGGCCTTCAAATTGATCAGTTAGCCTCCCTTATATCTGATCCGCTAGGATTTAACTGATCAATATTCAGATATGTTGATAACATCCTCAAAGCCACATCCTCTGACACGGATCAAGTCACTATCGAACCCAACGGCAATTGGTCCAATCCTGAAGATAAAACAATTGAAACCCAAGGTCCCACTCCCGCTGATGACGGAGACGATGATCTGGTCGAAATCCGCGATTCTCGCGTCTTAACTCTCAAGCAAGAACCTACTCCGTACTCACTTCCGTTCCAGTCTTCAGTCACCCCAACTCGCTCCTCACGTGAACCGTCATCGGTCTCATCGGCACCGCGCCCATCAACTAACAAGCGTCCTGCAAGTCAGGTTATTGATTTGACAGGAAGCGACGACGAAGAGCCACCCCGCCCATCAAAACGACCTGCTTACAATCATAACCCATCTCTCAACGGATTTCGTCGGCAGAGCTATGACTACCGTGCGGGCGGTAATTACGGAAATACACAATCTCCTCTTTCAAACTCTTACAGCAGCTATTGATTCGAGTCAAAAAACATCGACATTGCGTCCACTGTTGATCTGCGAACCAGCAGCTTGTTCGACTTTATCTCAGTTCATTTGCAGGTTTTCATCCGAGGAGTTTCAAGGAGGGCCTTCTATTCTGGCCTAAAGGCCGCCTAGCGGCGTGTAAATAGGATATTGAAGGGAGTTATGTGGGTAACTAGGATTTTTCTGTGTGATATCCATTTTGTTCAAGGATAGGAAATGGATATTGTTGCATTTCAGAGTGCGGTATGGCTTTTCCGACATGGTGGTGGCGCTGATTATATGTACATACACACATAAAGTAGCTACTTCAGGCTATAATATTCTACGAGACTAAAATTTCTAGAGTTTCGGCTTTATTTACGTTACCTCTTCTATCTCAAGTCTCGAGTCGGTTTTGGGTGTGAGGAGTTGGGTTATGCGAAGCTTTTAGGATGCAGACCAGTGATTAGTTAGCTGGAGACCGAAATTAGGGCGGAAATTCAGGAACCTAAACGTCGTCACTGGACATTACCACCGGCTGGATGCTCCCACGGGCTTCAATTAAAGATATCGAGCTTTGCATTCCGATGCTCTCCTGCAATTCTCACACTCTACAGAGTATCTAAACTACAAGTTCCATAACCAGTCCAACATACAAGTTATTGTATACCCTGGGCTACTCCACCCCTTGCTCCGTTCATTCACAACTTCCCTGCAGCGGATTTCCACCTTCCTCTTCCACCTCCGCTTCCACTTCTCGCGCCTTTAAACGAATCTCGGCCTCACAATGTCCTTCGACACCACTCCTACGCCCTCTTTTAGCGCGTCCGATCCTCACGCCCGCTTCCTGAATTCCTCATGTCTCGATCTGCTCCTCATCGAGCTCGTGCCCATGGCAGAGCGGCTAGTTCAAGAGCTGGAAGCTAACAATGCTCCGGACGGAGCGAATGGCGCAAAAGTATTAGAAGAAGAGGAGCTGCGCGAAGCTACGTTTTATAGATTGGAAAGTCTGGGATACAGGGTTGGACTGGGGCTGGCGGAACGGTGAGTTCGTTCTCCCCATATCCTTGGACGAAACCCAACGATCAGCGCGGGAAACAGGAGGAACTGGGCTTGTAACTGAGCAAGCAGATCTCTACGAGTTATGAGGTGTTGCAACTAGTCTCTCAAAAACTTGACGTGATTTTCCGCCCCTGGTCAGTGGAAGTATTCGTTCGCATTGGCTAGGTAGAAACAGAGCTATTGTCGACGCTTCTGACTCCTGTCCTCTCTCACGCTCACTCCTATCCCATATATCCTTTTGATCCGCTTTAAATTATATAGTCCATCACTGATTCATTGTCTCTAGATTCTCCCGCGATCGCCCCCGCTTCACTGATAACCTAGATGTAATCAAGTTCCTCTGCAAGGACATGTGGACAATCCTCTTCAGAAAGCAGGTAGACAATCTCAAGACGAACCATAGAGTATGGCCAACAACTCTCCTCATCCATTCGTTTCTATTAACGTAATTTGAATTATACAGGGTGTCTATGTTCTCACAGATAATTCTTTTAAACCATTCCAGCGCATGAGTATGGTTGTTAGGAGTGAAGCAGTTACAAGAGCGCAATCAGTATGTTTCACTACACCCATCTACATATGATATTTTGCCTGCTAACTTTACATGCAGTATCTCTGGTTTCCATGCGGTATAATTCGCGGGGTATTAGCGAGCCTAGGTATTAGTGCTACAGTTCAAGCCGAATCGGCAGACTTACCAGGCGCGACGTTTCAGATCAAGACGACGCAACTGAAGTCATGAAGATCATGGTGAAAACATTTACGCTGCAAGTTCCGGAGATGATACCCCTATCTTAAACTTTCTACTTCGCCTACCACGATCCGAGACATGTACATGACCTAGAGGGTACCCTGAAGGTAAAGTTTCGAGAGTTATTACAATTTTATTCATTTGCTTTCGGTATATCTACCTACACGATGACCCCGCCGTCGATTCGAGAACGCCATTCATCCAGCTTGTTACCTTCGATTTACAACCTATCAGAAAGTCAGCAATTAGCAAAGTATTCTCACTTGGCGCAACGACGACTACCCATTAGAAATAATGGGTGGAAATGGGTCGATGGGTTGCACAAACGGTAGTGGTCAATCGGACTACATAGTCTCAACCAAGGCGGCAGGTAGTTTACTTTTGTGGAGGGTTCTTGACAAAGTCAATTCCTTTCTCGATGTTGCCCTTGAGGCCCTTGTAGCAGACGTCTAGAAGCTGCTTCTCCTTCTCCGTGGCGCCATCGAGGATATCGATAGCCTTCTCGGCACCAGAGGCCTGGATATATTGTCAGAAATCCACAAAATATCAAATAATTCTACTGGACTCACTCCAAGCTCAACTGGGGTTGAGAAGAATTCTAATCCGGTCTTCTTGATGATAGAATCACCACCCTGAACTCCCGGAAGATAGACGAAAGTAGATTCGACGATGCCCTTCTGGCCCTTAACAGCCTTGATGACACTCTCCGCAAATCTATTTGGGTCAATAATGATTCTCACCCGCACATACATAGTTTGGTACTCCAAACGTACCGGAATCCTGCCCATGCCATAGACAGAGTGGCCGATCCGGCGCCACTCTTTGCCTTGACGACCTCGTCTCCACCAAATTGAATACCTATTCCGAGGTTCAGCGATTTTCTATTGCATTCGTATCGTAATCATGCACTCACGGTTCACAAGGGCATCATATCTGTCTGCTGGGACGGTGAACGCAGGCTTGGCCTGGCTAAACATTGGGACAATGGTCTCGCCAGAATGACCGCCGATAACAGGGATCACGGTGTCAGCGGGGTTCTTCTGGCCGTTGAACTCCTGAGAGAAGGTTTCAGCACGGACGACATCCAAGGTGGTGACACCGAAGAGTTTCTTGGGGTCGAAGACGCCCGCCGCCTTCAGGACCTCGGCGGCAATCGGAACGGTAGAGTTGACAGGATTAGAGATGATAAGAACGAAAGCCTTGGGGCAGTAATCGGCGACGCCCTGGACTAATTCCTTGACGATACCAGCATTGATCTTGAAAAGATCATCACGAGTCATACCAGGCTTGCCTGCGGGGAAGCATCAGTAACGACTTGGTGATCGCCATAGGGGCGGAGAACATACGGGGGATTCCAGCAGGAATAACGACAAGATCGGTCCCAGTAAGGGCTTTCTTCAAGCCATCATCATCTTTGAGAAATCCAGACGTTTTCTGTATGACTTTGTGAGCAATTCTATGACCCCTCGTGTTACCCCGCATCCCAGGTATTTACTCACAGCAACGGAGGAAATGTGAGACAAATCGGCAGTAACGCCAGGAGTGTTAACAACATCAAAAAGAGCAAGTTCATCAACCAAAGGGCAAATCTTCAAGAGGAGGGAAAGGGGCTAGATGAATGTATCATATCAGTCAAGAGGTCCTAAGCCGCGGAACTATGGATAACAGACTCACCTGGCCAATGCCGCCAGAAGCACCAAGAACAGCTAGATTAACGTTAGAAATGCATTTCCAATGCCATCCACAACAATTTGGCGTTCTTAATCAATCTCACCAGCCTTCATTGTTGTTGTGTTAGAGAGCAAAGGGGTGCGGGGTATATTGGAGTGAGATAATGTTGTTGGAGCTCCCAAAACCTGTTAGAAGAAGATTGATAAGAACACAGAACTACGGCTAGCAGAACCAAGTGGTGCACTCACTAGAGGAGGGTGGAATTGAAGGTGAGAATAACAGAGAAATAGATGGAGTGGGACAAAGAGGAGAACCGGAAGTTTGGGGTTTAAAGCAAAGGGAGTTGGATCGGGAGGAAGTTTCCAAGTCACATGTTCTAGGCCAAGGAGGGGCTCTCAAGCTGATAACTGAAGCAGATCGCTGTTGGGTGGGGGGGAAGAGGCACTATCGGGAAGCCAATTCTGCCCTGGAATGCGGGCTTGTGTGCAGCACTATGACATACATGGTCGCCCGTTGTTTTCGAGGGCCACTGGAATATAGCCGAGCCTGACTCCGCTTCCGATATTTTCCCCTAGCCTTTTAATCATTGCGTCTTGCCTGAGGATCAATCCTTAACCGGAATTTCCAATTCACTTCCACCCCAAAATATGACGGCAGAGTTTTGCTTTACGCTGTCAAATAAATTACGTCCTGACCACCTTGGTAGCTTAATGTGTTCTTCATTGGATCGTAAGACAAACTCGCTACCAAACATGTAAGACATCCTCCGTACGGAGTACAGTAGTTCGGATACGCCCTTTAGTCTATGGAACACAAACAAAACACAGAACATAGGAAATGAAATCATTGCAATTTGAAGACATGCAATGCCTAAATTGATTCGAGAAAATCCATCACGGGAACAGCTACGTCCCCCTTGGGCAATGTCTACCATACAATCCTTTCCAGGTCCATCTCCAACTAACCAGGAGATAACATTTTGCACCAAAACATCATAGAAGCCCCCGGGTGCCAAATGCCGGCACCGTTCCTCCAGGTGAAAAAAAACTCCCTGTCCATAAGCAATGTTTTCATGGTGCAAACAAAAAGAAAAAAGAAGTGAGGACCCTTTTCTCCGCACTGTATCGGATAGATGTGATTCTCTCGTTTCATTCATTCAAGATTTCTTCAAATTTACTCCGCCTTCTCAGCAGCCTTGCGGGCCTTTGCGCCTCTTGGCTTCCTCTCTGGAGCATCCTTCTTTGGGCGCTGGCTTTGTCTGATAGCGCTGGCGCGGGCAACAGCCTCAGCACGGAGATCTGGACGATAGCCGCCCAACACGACTCGGTTGGCAACACCCTTGTAGACTCTGCAGCAGTGAAAGGGAATCGGGCATCAGCATCGTTCTCTTCCAAACGCGATCTATTTCCTCCCTCTAGTTCTCGCTAGGCAATTCTGGATGCTTACTTGCGGTTGTGGCTGGTGCCGGAGATAGGTGTGTTCACAACATTCTTAGCTGGCTGGTTGGGGTTGCCAGGCCTCTTCGTGGAAACGGTGAGGCCGTTGTTCTCAGCAGCTTGGATTCCGACAGCCTGAATTGGGACTTCTGTGAGTACCGATACTTCGCAACCCCACCAGGAATTCAACTACCAACCTTGTTGCTGGAGAAGCCGGAATACTAGATCACATAATGTCAGCTGTTTTCAAACCCCGCAGGAGCCACTGATTAAAACTGACCTTGCGAGTGTGAACGTTGGTCAAGTTCAGAGGGTCACGAGTAAACCTGGCACCACCCCCAGACTTGCGGTTGACCAAGAAAGAGTTCTGGGAGCCTGTCATACGAAACAGAACCGTTAGAATCTCGCCAAAGTGCCTGCTTGAGCCAAAATTGGAGTCCTTCATCCCGTGGGCCGAATTTCATTGGAGGGGCGATAGGCTACATACGAACAATCTCCCAGACGAGGTCCTCAGAAACGTTGGGTCTTCCGGCAGCGGCCATTGTGAAATATCGTCGTAGGCGATTTGTTATGCGTAGAGAATGAGGACGTAAATGGCGGGCTTCGAAGTTCTTCGCGAACCTCACTCTTACACTGCACGATTAATTGTTGTGTATTTTGAAGTCTTGGCACGGAGCGACCAACGGAGGCTTGTGATTGGCTTCGCTAACATGACCGCTTTGAGCTTAGATACACGTGTAAAAGTGCTTAGTAATCACCGAGGCGCGGGATCGGATAAACATAGCTGCGGCGGATATCGGAAGCCCAGCATCGTCATCAGAGCCATAGGCCGTTCCCAGCTTTTGCGAAGAACGTGGTTTTGAATAAATACCCTGTCCATACCTCACCCAGCATTATGACTAGCTCATGGAGTGAGCTGGACTCGGAGGATCATCAATAACTATTTTTTGAACTCTCCTTCCGCTCGTTCTGCTTTTTCATTTAGTTCCTGATTCTGACCCTGTCCCTCCCTGGGAGAGTCGCATTCATTCACTTGTCCATTTCCTTTCGAAGCGTTATATAATTTCGGGCTGCCTTGTTACTCGCGGAGATTAAGTTTCTCAGACCTAGCTCCCCGTCATAATGGCCTATCTCTTATACTCCCTGACCCTTTTCGTCCTCATTCTTGGAACAGGTATGTGCCTATATAACTGTCACCACTACGCCTCTACCAGCTTTTCGATCGCTAATCGTGACAGTAGTTCTCTATTTTACTCGTAACCGGTGGCTTCCTCTTCTGCCCGTCCCAGACTATTTCTACCAACGCCTTCCAACGACGTTCCATGGCGATGCCGAATTAGGACTTTCCTCCGCCGATTTTAGCCTTGCGTCAAACATAGAAGCAGGCGATGACCGTGGCGGCCTAGACGAGCGCGGCAAACGAGAAGTTCTGAAAATTATGAAAAGTAGACGGGTAGATTTCAACGAGGCTCGAAAGATCTATATGGAGCGACGGTTCGCGAAAAATAATATTGGACCGGATGGCATGCCTAGAGATCCCAAGTTTGTTTCATTTTCGTGATGAGGGATCTACGATGTCTCTCGCTATTTGAAATATCAATTTAACGGATTGGGAGGGAGGAAGGTGGCGTGCACTACATGGTTTGGCCTCGGTCGGGTTATAGCATCTGAAGAGGAAATGGTGAAGCGCTGCTTTTGCACTTTGATTCATCCTTGGTTTGCGATTCGAGAGCGCCTCTATATCTCCTCACACTAATGAGATATGCATCGCTCGTATATTTCCTATTGTCACAATTTCTTTGCAGCGTTTTGCGCCGAGACCGCGCTAGTTCTCAAATCCAGTCGCCCGAAATGTTTTGTTATATCATCCAATTTCCCCTCGCGATCTCCTTTAATTATATTAGTCTACATCACACGTTGCAGCGTATTTGAACCTACTCGCTAATGGAGATACCGTGGATTCATTCATCTCGCGCAATACGCTTCGCTTCCAACGTGGCAAAACAGACTTGTCTCATGGCTGCATACTCCGTATGCTCGATTTAATCGCAAATTCAACCGCGAAATGAGGCGCTGAAGGTTCGGCGGCAGGCGGCAGATATCGCTCCCCATTAGACGTTCGATATGACCTTAAAATGTTTACACTTATGCTGTGAATCATCGCTGAGCCTCTCATCGACCCCTTCCATACCCTGGTTGCTGGAATCCCGGTGGTAATTGTCCCGGCGGAGGACCATGTGTACCAACTGGAGGAGCGCCAAACCCAGGAGGCGGAGCAGGCTGGCCAAACCCCCGAGGTGGAGCAAAACCTGGAGGTGGCCCGCCATAGCCGGCTTGAGACGGTGGAGGCCGAGCGGGTAGCCCAGCAGGCGGCGTGCCTAATGGTGCCGTAAGAGGTTGTGGTGGAGGGGCCGGCCGGTGAGGTGGTTGAGGCGGCATATTCCCATATGGCGCATTGGGCGCAGGGACGCCTCTCCCAGCTCCAAAATCTGGCGGGCCTGTGCTGACGGGGCGGCTTATATCTCCATTCACAGCTGGTGCAGGAGCCATCGGCGGTGCATGCCCGCCTGGTACGTGGGGTGGTAAAACTTGAGTTTGTGGCTGGACATTGTGCTTGCGGGCTTGGGCGGCGAGCATTCTCTCTGCTTGGTCTCCGTGTCGCTCTCCCTTTCCATCTTTCTTGTAAGCATATTGAACAGATATCTCCTTGTTCATAAGATATTGTCCGTTCATATTAGCAATAGCATCGTCTGACGCCTCGAAATTAGCGAACGAAACGAATCCGTAGCCCTTTGAGAGATTGGCATCATCCCGAGCGACCTGTAGCTCAACTTTAGCATTCATCTAGTGACAAATCATGCCAAGGCATTAGGCTCACCTTTGGCATTGATATTAAAGGCCCAAATCTGCTAAAAGTATCGTATAAAACCTGCTCTGTAACCATCGGGTCCAAATTCCCGACGAAAAGCTCCGCGCCGACTTCAATGGCCTTCAGTTTGTCCGCAGACGCCTTATTGACTCGAATCGGTTTACCATAAAGGCGCACCTGATTCATAATGCGCGACGCATATTCAGCGTCTTCTTCGCTGATAAACTCGACGAAACCATACCCTTGATGTGTTTGGGTAACTCGGTCTTTCGGGAGATGGACGTTAACAATGCGGCCGGCTTGAAGCATTAGCTCCCATACTAGGCTGTCTGTCACGCGCTCATCTAGATTTCCAACGTATACCGTCGCCTCTTTGTCCTGCTCCCTATGACAAAAATTAGCCTGAGTTCTGAGCTGAGAGCTGTTTGTAGCAGCTTGTACCAATGCCTTGCCCCCGACATCGCGAATCAGATAGATCGCAGATGAAAATATTATTACTACAACAAGGAAAACGATAATTAGTAAGGCGGTACTGAAAATATGTCAGCTCCTGATTAACAGTATTCAATCTCAAGCTGCGAACTCCTCAGTGCCACTGCGACGTTTAAGTGCTGAAGTTGCTTGGTGAGTGAGCAAACGTTGCAAACTTTCCGTTGAAGAAAATGGCAAGAACTTTAAAAGTTGATTTGCAGGTTGGCCCACCCCGTATCTGACGGCCATCTCTCGCACTCTGCTTCGGATAACGAACAAGTTTGATTCTCCTATCGAAACAGCCTCTTCCTACACTCATTTTCACATCCCTCACAATGGTTCAATTTTCGGAAGAGACCAAGGTCAGCTTCGAGTGCTAACACGGCTCCACGGTGGCAGATATCACTAGGATAGAATGCTAATTTTTTTCCCTACAGGAACGTATTACCAAGGTCATTGACATTTCGAGAGTCGCAATTCACTAGTTGGTTTTGCCCCGAGATCTGATCGCTTTACGGGAAGAGCAGCCTCGACTAATGACCTCCCTTTTGCAGTGGATATCTCCCGTTGATCATGTACCTCGGTGAGAATAACTTACGCGTGGTGGCTACATGTTGTGTGCAATGGCTAATATTTTACAGGCTACACTTACAGTGAACCAAGACCACAACTCTTCAAGTACGGTTCTCGCGAGCGCCGCATGTCGAATATCACCCCCCGCTAACATTCAATATAGGCTCTTTTCACCTCTCGCATAAAAACAATCACGGGGAAACTGGGGAAAGATAGAGATGTTCCGGCGATGTCCAGGCATATACCAGTTTTATTCCAATGCGATGCACCAAAGAAAGATTGTTATGATTTATCGGGGGAGTTAAAATGCGCACCACGACGTCGTCGGAGCGACACACCGTTGCATCTTTGCTAGCCTTTCGACGTTTGCTTTTTCATCTACTCGGAGTTGGACATATGTACATTAGATTGGATATTTTAATGGGAAGTCAATGCCAATAATGTTGATTTGGTTCATATCGAAAGCTCGGGAATCCGATTCCTGTTTCAGAGGCAGCATTTGCCAGGTCAATTTATCTCGCAGTTTCAAGTGTATCCTATACGTAGCTGGTGATGCTTTTAACTCAACTTTAGAGTCAAATTACGCTAGGGAGTTAAGGCCGAATTTCATAGCTTCCGAGAATCCAGCGCAAAATTGAGCGCAAAAGCAAAATTTTCTGTAATCTGTAGAAGTCACCATAGGCGGTATAATAAGATAATTTCCTACTATCTTTATACCAATATGCGGGATTATATCGCTTGATATCCGGTGTGGAGTACAGAGTATATATGCCTATATGGTTCATATGCCAATCCGTCCGCGACGTTGGAAAAATTTTGTCAATTGACAACCACGCAACGAAGCTCGCCATCCGCGATATTACCTTTGCTCTCAGGAACACAATACGGAGAGGGGTTCATGAGCGACAAAAATGTTCTCTCGCCATCCCTGGTTGAGACGATAGCCGGGTTCACGGCTGGCGTCGTCTCGACGCTTGTTGTGCATCCGCTTGACATTGTCAAGACTCGGTTACAGGGTAAGTAACTACGAAGCTAAATAAACACACATATTAACAAAGGTTTAAGACATTTGTCCACTAATATTTGCCTATTCTCCTACTAGTGGATCGATTTTCTACCTCCCGCATCGGCAATTCTCTTCGAATTATTCGTGAAATCGGCCGTCACGAAGGGGGGCTCCGAGCGTTTTACCGTGGTCTTACTCCCAATCTTGTCGGGAATTCTGTGAGCTGGGGACTATACTTCCTGTGGTATCGCAATCTCAAAGACGCATTGAATACATTTTACGGGCCGCAGAAAAATGGGTTGGACTCTTTGGATTATTTCGTTGCGTCTGGCACCGCCGGTATGTTCACACTCACCCTCTGTTTACGTACGATATGTACCTACACGTTTATACTGACAAGACTCGTCCCAAGGAGTTCTCACTGCTGTTTTGACCAATCCCATATGGGTGATCAAAACTCGTATGCTATCAACAGGTGCTAACGTAACTGGAGCCTATCCCTCCATGACACATGGTATCCGCGAAATATACCGGTCAGAAGGGTTTAAGGGATTCTACCGTGGCATGATACCCGCTTTGTTCGGAGTTGGTCACGGTGCATTGCAGTTTATGGCATACGAACAGTTGAAACGATATCGTTCGCAGTCGATGTCCTCTGGTCTAACTACTTCCGATTCTGGCGCCGGTAAACTTGGCAACGTAGACTATTTGGCTTTGTCTGGATTGTCGAAGATATTTGCCGGAAGCGTTACTTATCCCTACCAGGTTTTGAGGGCACGCCTCCAGACGTATGACGCCGCTGGTACATATCGAGGACTCGGCGACGTGATAGCCCAAATCTGGCGTCGAGAGGGTCTCGCAGGCTTTTACAAGGGACTTGGACCTAATCTCTTCCGAGTCCTGCCCAGTACCTGGGTGACATTTTTGGTTTATGAGAATATGAGGGAATACTGTCTACAACCGTGACCGCAACCTCCTGGTTGTCACGGTCGATATCCCGTCCGAGCCCGAGTCAAATATTGATTGTGGCATTTTGCATCCATCCCTCTTCCTAAGTAATGTCTTACATCGAATACGAAAGCACATTCTATCCAACATGGAGGGAAGCCTCCCAGACTGTGTTGATTCAACCCGAGGTCAACCCTTTTGAAAGCGTAGCCTAGGTGTAGCCTTGGTCTCGTGGGCGATATAATCGCGAATGTTGCGATGTTCGTATGTCCACCAGTTGTATGGTGAGACACTAGATCTGAATTCTATGATATATCAGCTTGATATGCTTGATTAGAGAAGCTGTAGAATTTCGTGTACTCGGCACTGAGTCCTCTGCGAGCCCCTTGTTTGACTTGTTTGTCGAAGTTGGGATGACGTCACTGTCTTGGTCAATTCCAGGGCAGTTGCACTGCAACCACACGCGTCGAAGGCAGCCATATTAACTCTTCATCCACAGCGACATCCTTCGCACTGTGAGAAAATACCAGCATAAAAGGCCGAGAAACCGAGTTTTCAAGTGAGCGGTTTCTAAGAGAGAACTGCTCTAAACCTGTTTTGATAGTATAACTGATTAACTTTTGATGACGGTCGGTTTTATACCACGCCGTTTTGCACTTCAGCCATTCCGGTCAATTCCCCGTATTACTTTTGTGCCGGTGCATTTTGGTCGCTTCGTTTCAATAAAACATGTTACCCTGGCTCAGACTTCGCCGTCCTCGCATTGTAGGACTCAATGATGTTAACCCAGAAACGGAGCAAGCACATGAAAGCTGGGAGACCCCGGAGTCGCAGTCCGAATCCCAAGACCGGAAAGGAGAGGAAGAATATTATCCCAGCATAAATGATGTGCTGTGCGTACGGGAGTTCTTGTTTCATTTTCAACTGAGGAAAGTGTGCCAACATGAGGGAGAAGAGCACAAAGGCAAGGGTGATGTTGCAACCCCAGGCCATACTGAACGCCTCCCAGTCGAGATCATTGATATGATTCTCGATCACGCGGAGTACTGGCCTTCAATTGAGACGAAGATAGAGGGAAAAAGGGTAATCAGGCAGGACCAAGACGCAGAAATTTTGAGAACGGGAGGACTGTGCTACGCGGTAGGTTAGCTTCATATTTTCTTTTCCCATTCCGGAAAAAGGAAAAAGAACGACGAAAAAGAAACGAAATAGGAGCAGAAAAAGAAAATAATCGTTGTCTGCAACGTGGATTTGATACCCGGATAATTGCCGGCGTCCTTGTTGCTATTTTCCGGCCAGTATCCAGCCTCGATTACGAAGCCTTCGTGCTGCCTGGTTCTCTCCCATGACTCTCCCCTCTCCGCACTCAAGCCAGCAGCCCTCCATGCATGAAATCCCTCTTCTAACATCCCGTTACAGTCCTCCAGCCCCGCCATCAAACCCCGCATTCTCCCGCATCGCACAGTCCACCCCTGCCGTAAAATAGTGTTCACCCTGACCGCGCACGACCAAGGCTGGGGCGGAAGCCATGGCACCCGATCCGCCTATGAAGGCTCCTACAGTTGGTTCGATGCATATCGAATCCCTGCCTTCCACCCACTCTCTGATGATAATCAACATCAGCCTGCAGACCTCGTAGCTCAATACCAACAATATTACGAGAAACAGCGGCCCCGCTTCGAAATATCGGCAAATTTCTTGCCTTCAAAGGAAACGTTGTGCTGCAATAAGGTGGCCGTCCGTCAGGCCCAAACCCGTCGTATCTCCTGGCATTATCGCGATGCTCTGGATCCTAATTCCGATGAGGCAAAGGAGATTGGCGCGAAGGAGGGTCGAGGCCCGGGAACGACTAGTGGGCAAATGGTAAGAGCAATGGAGATTGGCGACGAACTATCCGTATGGGCGAGGGCGAGATTCCCAGGTTGGATGAATCATGTCGATGGAATGAGCGTGCGAGTATTCTGGGCCGTTTAACAAGAAACGTGCGTCTTAAATGGTGGCTGATGATATGTGGTGACTTCTTATCGGTTTGGCATTCCGCGTGGATGTCTCCAATGATCATTTCGATCCCGCAAGAGTAGCAATACAACTCGCTTTAATGCTATCCTTTTTACCAGTAGCTAAACTCGACACAAATAAACTTGATATGTAGATACATGAATGATAATGCATTTGGAATCTCAGCCCAAAATAGAGAAACAATGTTCGACTTTACATCAACTTTCGCCCAGAGATGCAAGAAACCAGTTGGCTCAAAAGTTGGTAAAGCACGAATGTGAGCAGAAAGGGGCCGAATGACCACTGCAGAGAGTAGTTAGTTTCTGGTCATTCAAAGTGCCCTTTTCGCTAATGCCAGTATGCCCTAAAGATATATGTGAACTGTAGTGGTAAAACGCCCCTTCGTTCCACGAATTTTCTTAACATTTCTGATGATCGCTTTTTGCCCAAAAAATTCCTCCTCATATATATACGCCATTCAAATCCTTCTCATGGGTATTGTGCGCCTGCATGAGTGCTAAGTATTAATTCAAAATTCCAACCATTCCCGGATATCGTCGTCATCGTTCCAGATTTATCTCCGTGAAGCGAGTCATTCCTACTGCGGGCCTCGTGAATACATTTGCTCATGAAAATCGACATCTTCGCTACTCGGCGTACTCATGTAAGAGGGTCGATGGAAAATATTCATTCGACCCTTATCGTCCTCCACACTAGATACCGTTGTCGTGCTCATTTCGTCAACGTTTGTAGTGCTTGTAGTAGCTCGAAGTTTCGCACTTGATGACACTCGTCGGTCCTTCCCACGCCCTTTAATTCCTTTATTGCTATTTTTATATAGAGTTGCGAAATATTCCCATAATTCAATGTCCTGTGGCGCTAGGCGTTCGGTGTCGGTTAAAGAAGAAAATCGGAAAGTCAAGTCCCGAAGAGTCTGCGCATGGAACTTGTTCTGGTGCGACTATATCCAGTTTAGCCGACAATTAGACAGATCAAAAAAAGCGATCGAGCGGACCAACCTTAAGGTTACCCAGTTGTGTGAATTGCTTCCCACAATCATCCAACCTGCAGATAAATGGCTTTGCCTTCTCATGTGTGATTTTGTGGGCTCGGACATTCCCACGTTGTGCGAATCTTTTATTACATATTTCGCAAGAGTATGGCTTTTCTCCAGTGTGCCGTCGCTCATGCGTCTACAAAATCAGCATTGGTAACAAATCCTCGATCGTGTCTAGTGGAAATGGTTGGCTTACCTTTAAGTTTCCCAGCTGAGAAAACCGCTGACCACAAGCAGGCTCTCTACAAACCTTTGATATAGACGAGCCAAAGTTAGCATTAGCAATACCAACAAAGAATAAGAATCAAAACGTACAAATGGCTTGTCCCCGGTATGCGCCCGCATATGAATATCCAGATGAGTCTTCTGGTAGAAGCTTTTCCTGCAATGAGGTAGATTGCATTCGTATTTCCTTCTTGGTTTCTGTTTCGTAGTCAAGGATCTATCCGGTTGTGAAGTGAAGAGCCCCTGACCACCAGGCGCTGATCCTCCGTAGGCTGGGTGCGACCAGCCTGGTACACCGTTTGTAAATTGATGCAGAGGAGGCAGTTGCGGCTGGACGAGTTTCGGCTTTGCTTGTATAGTTTTCATTAAAGTATCAACCTCTGTCGAGAACTCGATTTCGGGCTTCAAGCGGACTTTTGAGTCAGATGGTTCTTCCGGCTTGGAAGGAAGATGAGGCAAGCGGGACGGCTGTTCCGAAGCGGCTTTCGCCGGACTTGTTTCCGTTAGTCTGGGCAAGCCATTTCTAGGCGGGCCAGCGTTTGGCAACGATTGAACTGGTGCTGATTCCGGCAACCGGCTGTTCTGTGAACTCGTTGGAGGTGCAGATCCATAGAAACTTTGATAAGAGGCATGGCTGGTGTTCAAGATATGTCCGAATCCGTAGGAAGATGAGTGTAAGGATGCCGCGTAGGGGATCGGTTGATTTGAATAATATGTCATTCCATGATCCTGTGGTGGCGCCATCATCCGACGATGGGGTACCGCCGTCAAGTCATGGTTGCCAAAGCCATATGTGACTGGAACTGCTGTTTCCATGTCAATGTATTTGAGATGGCACTGATGAAAGAGCTACGGCCGTCGAAATCACCGGTAGGTAGGAAAAGGAATAAGTAGGTAGGATGCTCAGAGATGTGTTCCGATATAGAGTCGATGCGCGTGGAAGTCAGATAAAATCGGTTGTGTAACTCGTGACTTTCTTTTCGTTCGTTTTACTTCGCTTTTCTTTTTCCCTCCTGCAAGTTTCCTCAACTCTTGTCCGTCTTTCCAAATGTTGTATAATGTTTAGCTGGCGGATCTCGTGCAGGAGCAGTATTGAACGATCGGCGTGCTCTTCGATTTATGCCTGGGTAACGAGTCAAAGCAAAACTCGATTGTATTCCAGAGGGTCGGAAGAAAACCTCGGAGGAAAGTCAGTAGAGAAAGGGATATATCAAGGAATGAAAAAGGAATATTAAAGATCGGTGCGGCTAGCTAATGCTCTTGCTGGGGCAGGTGGATGTCTGAAATTAAGCATAAAGATTGGATGAATCGTTTGGTGGGAGGATGTACCTATGTATATGATTCCAAGCAATGGCACAGATCACTTAATATACAAGAGTTCTCCAAGATGTCCCGCAGCTTGGGTTTAAGCGCAGTGACACCGAAAGACAAAATCCACACCAAGTGCCTGGAACAATAGGGTTTGTCTGGGGAGAGAAACAGGGCCTTTCATGTCGATCATTAACTCATGAAAGGCAGATTTATTATCTGGCCCCAAAAAGGAGCCAAACTGCTCTGAGGTTAGCTCATCCAGCCATTGTAGAGGGAATGATTGCGGCAACTCAAAGAGAACTTTGTTGGCGCAATACAGTTTTGGAACTGGCCTGTGGTCCGTAACCAATAATAAGGACCCGATTAAAAAATTTTAATCTCCAAAAATGGAGTGTGGGACACAACAGAGGATGACAATTCCTTAGGGGAGAGGACAGAGCTCCCAGGTCTAATGTGATTTAGCGAAAGTGACCCTTGTCAGTTGGGGAGTGGGCTAAGGTTCGAGTTGCGCAGCCCAAACAACCCAATCTTGTTCAAGGCTCGGAAGCCAAAAGGACTGGAATCAAACGCACCAATGATAATGAAGCAACAAGCCACTAACAGTGATTATTTTGGGGGAGTAAAGGGCCCTTGGGCCAACCAGGCCGACCAGGGGAGGCGTGTATCCAGCAATCACAATGACAATTGCGTTCTCATGCGGTACAACAGATACGAAGCCATGTACTCCGTAAAGTGACCGGGTACCTGGACGGAGGGATGGACGGACTTATTTCCAGTCTGCTACAGAGAGCGGGCTCTGCCAGGACCCGTGGGCAAATACATAAACCATGAGACATCAGGGTAAACGATCATGGTCCAAAACTTGCGAACAGGCTCTTTGAGGCATTCTTCACCCGAAAGATTTGAATTGGTTTGGGAACATTTGATTCAAACTCCCGCGGATTTGGTTCCCAACCATTGCTTTTTTGCCCTGTCAACGCTTGAGCGTGATTAGCTCGCGCCCGTCGTTCGTTTTCGGTGGTGGGGCCGGGTCCGTTTGACCACAATTTCGGTGTGCCTGACTGAGCACTAAACGGTCAATCTGGGCGAGCCGACGACGAAATAGAGGAGCGAGTATGGAGAAGTGCTATATTATGACACACGACTTTGGTTTTTTTTTTTTTTTATTTATTTATTTAATTTTTTAATTTTTTTTAATTTATTTTTTTTTTGCGTTTGCAGGGTGAATGGGAAAGGTTGATTACAGGATTACAGGTATGATGGTGGTGATGAGATTTGTGATCCGATCTTGGTGCTCGTTCACGGGATGAAAACTGAGGGATAGTCGCCAGGAGGGAAGTTATTGGTCTTAGCCGCAGACTCGACAGCGGCGATTGGGTGAAGAATTGCGTGTTGATCTGATCATCGAAAAAGACCTCCAGCAAAATGGGCACAGCTGGGTGTGGGCAAACCTGGAGAGCACGAGGCACCCGACCAATCGCGGAAGGGCAGAATGACATCCGGTCTGTGTGGAGAGAGGAATATTCACAGCAGCTTGTGCAAGTGTGTGACTTGAACCCTTGTTAGTCTGAGCTGGGCGCTGCAAGGATGCCGTGACTGACCAAAGACCGGGACCTCAGCCGGGACCGCACATCCCATGCTCGGCCAATCCGCAACAGCCCAGCGCAAAGAGAGTTTTGCGATACATCAGCTATCAAGGACGATCCCGCGGTGGTAATGCGCTGCTCGTCCGCCACATTCCTCAAAAGGCGGTTGAGAAAAAAGAAGAGTCGACGTTGGTTTACTGCCAAGACGAAGGCCTTATTATTCATCACCACTCGCGTTGCGGCTCAATCGCCGACAGCATCGGGATGCGTGTCATTGTCGCTGCCCAGGGGACCCGAACTGCAGTCCATTCCGTCTCCTCCGGAGTTTGCACAGCATATTGATCAATGAGCGTCCTCGCATCAGCCAGGCTATCAACTCCTAAAGTCTTACAAGCTCACTATTGTCTTGGGAGCCAAGTGATGTGAGCCTTTGAGGTTGAACATCCTCGCTGGTGCTTGGCCAGACTTTTTCTCTCATCTGACGCGACAAAGCCTGCAAGTTTGCAAATATGAAAGACCCGAACATGGATCGCGTGGAGATTCCCAAAAAAGGAAGCCTCAAAAACAAAAGTCCTCACGGGAAAAAGCAAATGTTGGCCTTGAGCGGGTAGTCTAAGATCCCAGCCAAACAACCAGACTCGTGGGTTTCCCATCATTTTCGTATTTCAATAATCCCGAAAGAACCGATCTTAACTCAGACACATCCCTGGTCAGTCAAATCCTTACTTCCGATGATAAACTTGAACATCCTCTTCCCGATGCGGTGTCGTGACTTGTGCTCGCCTCATAACTAATGATGATATAATCCCAACGGCGTCTCTGGATAGGTCCCCGTTCCCCTCAAATAGCAACCTGCAGGCTCCTCAGCATGGGCCCTTAGTGTTTCAGCTTTTCCTATGGAGGCTAGCTTGGCCCGTCGGACTCGCGGGGAAGAGAGAGGAGCAAACGCTCGGTACGGTATCGCTTACAGAACTCGACACATTTTATTGTGAGTAGTCCGAAAGCATAATCAATACTTAGGGTTTAGTCTGCAAGCCGGAGCGCCGCTCCTGGAATCAAAATTATCGTGATCCTCGGAGACAAAGCGCCCGATGGATAGAAAAGTGGAATACGGAGTTCGCCTTATCATTATTTCTCGCATCAAACCATCATAAGGCAGACAGAAAGGATGAAATCGTGGGAAAAATTAATTTCAAACTGCGACAATCATTACGGAGTACGACGACAGGAGATGTATGATGCATTCTACAAGTTACACAGCGGGTCATTCATATGATACAGAGCGCTTTCGCTGCCGGCACCCATGAAGCAGGGGAATTGACCTCTCATGCCGTTTTGGCGCAACCTGATAGAGCCCTGTTTCGAGCTCTGAGCACGGGTCGGTTCTCTGTAGGGGAAGAAAACCTCCTGCAAAGTTTTTCTTCGCATCACCCATACTACTTCGCTGTCATTCGACACCCTGTCTGTTGATGATTAGGCAGCGCCAAATGCGGAAGCAGTCGGCCAAGCAAGGGTACCATGTAACAAAGCACAGTTCAGACAGAGATCCTTTGCAGCGTGTTTCGCTGATATCGAGTCAGTTCTGAGCGCAACTTGTCTTGGAGTCCCGCGTGACCAAACCCCGTTCCCCTCTAAGAAAAGCTTAAAACATTTGTCAATCTTATCGATCTCATCAGTCGAGACGATGGGTCCAGAAACAAAAAGCAAGCATGGTATTGATACTCTCGATCAAGTTTATCAGCTGGCGAAAAGCCCTTCGAACGCCCGCAGCGGGCTTCAACGAAAGTTCAGTGCCTCAAGTGGAAAAACCTACACATCGCATTTTACTCACACTCTTCTTCGTTATGCCTAGTTCAAGGATCATCCCCTCCAGAAAATGAAGCGAGCACGATCAGTCAACCTTGTTGCCTGAGCCGGTTCGTTTTCTTAAGGACGCTCCTAACCGAGCGAGGACAAGCAGGTGTCGATTCGCAAGATAGCACAAGCCAGCACTTCGACGGACGGGTGGCTGCAGCGCCAATTTTGTTTTCTTTTTCTTTCTCTCTTTTTTTTCCTTTTTTTTTTTTTTTTTCCTTTTCCCTTTATTTATTTATTTTTGCCCCAGGGACACGAAATATCGCCCGCTTCTGAAACGAATTGGTTAAATCGTAAAAGACTCCATTCTCGGACAGTAAAATCTTTCTTCTCGTCGATTGGGCTTTGATTTCGCGCAGCGAAAGCCATCGTCGGCAATCAATCCGTTCTCCTTCCGCACCTTTCACCGACAGAGCGGGAATTTTAGTTTTCTTCACAACTAGCCCGAGTTGGAGATTATGGACCAGCGCATTCCAGTATATCCAGGATTATTTGCATATCATATTCTCGTCACCGCCAGATTACCAACGTGGCCCATGTCAAAACAACCCGACGTCCCCCTAGCTTTGCAGGAAAACGTGTCATTTCCCCAGTTCCCGGCTTCCTGGACAGTGGGAGCGAATTTTCTTCTTTTGGGCTTTTCCCGGCTTATTTTTAAAAACTTGTTCGGTTTTCTAATTTTGCTGCTTTTCTTAAACCCATGGTCCCTGCTTTTCTGTCTTGCTTCTCCCAGGGCCCCTCCACTCATCGCGAATTCAGCTTCACAATTTTCATCCCTGCTGGCTGCTCTTGATACCGTGAGGGGATACAGCAACAAAAGCCGTTCCTTGTCGCCCCATGCATACGAGATATGCCCACCAAGTGGGTTATTGTTGTTTGAGATTTGAAGAGAATTGTTATTCTTAGCAGCAAGTCGGTTAACAGGGACCAAACCGGGTAATTACTGCCTGCTGGCTGGTCCTGGACCTTTGGGCTTTATCCTAGTTACCCGGGAAGCGACACTTTGACCACGCGGCCGCCAAAATGCAAGCTAAAGGTAGCAAGGCCAACTTCCCGGGTGTTTTGGCAGATAAGGGCTGAAGCTCTCTTCGCTTCATTTCCCAGGACTATTTTGCCCCGGGAGAACCCACATCGGGTTCTCGACCCTTGGTGCGCATGAAGAACCCGCGAACCAAAGATTACCCTGGATTTGCCTTTACTGGATAATGAAGAACATGGGGCGTACGGGATCCAGAGTACACTGCATGATCCTTCTCTCAGCTTGTCCCACAGTGCAAGGTACTGTACATACGCGTTCCAATTTTCCTGCAGCCACCATGTTCAGAGTTGAGGAGGTCGTGCATTGTCCCTTCTGTGTCAAGAGCCACTCCAGGATCGAGTCAAAGCAAGCGCAGACTGCAGGATTGCACAAGGATCCGTTCGTCTTCGTCATTTGTGACAATATTCCAAATAAACCATTCAAAATTTCCTAAAATTAATGCAGCTTCTGAGACACATGACTGTGTGATCGTGCAAGTGACTAAGCACCGATGCGACAAATTTCAAGGCGCAACAGTTTGGGCTCTCTTCATGAGAGAAAGGACGATATGCTGAGCACTCCATGCGGAGAACATCTAATTTGTCTTCTCGATATTCTTTGCCTACTTATAAAATCGCTCTTCTTGGCTTTTACCTCTAAAACCCATATATGGTGAATGGGTAGCTTAGCATTGAAACACGGCCTCTTGCCTCTCTTTGTCCTCTCTTGTCCGTTTCAATTTGTATCTGATCAGCGGAATTCTGGCATCTTTTCCTTTGGTTCTCTCAGTGACACAGAATTGCTTTGCCGCGGTTCCCGTTAATTTCTATCCCACCCAGTCATCCGGTGGCCTTTCTACTCAGATTTCACGTTCCACGATCCCATATTTGGGAAATTGCATCTCAGACAACTGCGAACCGTTCAATACCCGAAGAGCCAAGACTTATAATGACTGACGCATCCCACCTCCGCGGAATGCTGAACCGGAACTTTATGGAGGGCACAAAGCCTCGACGATTGGATTGTATTTCCACACGGCAATATCCCACTGAAGTTCCCGTGCGTATACAAGCTGGCTCTCTCTATGCCCTGCCTTTTATACCTTTGAGCAAGAGAAAGAGTGCGGTATGCTTCTGGTCCTGCTTCCACTCTCGATGTCCAAAATTTTACTATGACGACGACATACTGTACTCCTTAATAGGCCGTTGTGCGCGATATGCAAAGGTTTGATTTATACCCGGTCAACGACCAGCAATACGCTTTGTCGTCCATAAGATAAAAATTTAGTTGTCAAGTATTTGTTCCCTAACGCTCTATAACGGTGGAGCCGAGGTCTTCACAACGGATGACAAGTTATTTTTGGATGTCCTCGCCGGTCAGTAATTTGATTTATAGCTTTGATTGTGACAAATGTCATGGCCCAGTCAGCTGCAGTTTCTAAGTCAACCAAGCAGTAATCCGTGCAGCGCTGTACATCATGTACAGGACCAGTGCTATAGCAGGCAAAGTTGTGACTGTCCCACATATATAAACTGCTAGAGTCAATGATGCTACAGGAAAACATCGATTGATTGGATCACATACTCTGCAGGCAAGCTTCAGGAGCCCACATGCATTAAGAGACAGTCACGAGATTACGTCCAGTGATGGATTTGCGCGTCGCCTAGATTTCAAATGTTATCGGCCGTCGGTCTTCGAAAACATGCTTTGAGCGGGTTTAATTGTGAATCGATCGCAAGGCAAAGCTATGGCATTTAATGTTGATGCAAGAGCCTCATTGGAGGCCCCTGAAGGGGTTCACCGACAACCGTAGCAACTTTGCCCTTGCAATTCTTCTCTCGTCTCGTGTCTCCAAGTATCATTCAATATGGCTCTCCATTACCTACGACTGCTTCTCCAAAGGGTCCTTCGGGAGGCATTATCACTAATTGGAGACGATAGATTCCATTAAGCATGATCTATTCCCAGCCTGAGGCTGTAATAATCTCAGATATATAGCCAAAGAGGCAGCGGAGATGTACTTTATGACTCTCATTCTTTCGACTGGTCTAAAGGACCATGTTGACCTATTGTAATTTGTTATAGAGCTTAGTATTCACAGAACGATGGCTCATAGGAATCATTGGGTAAATTCTAACTGCGGGCTGGACCTGCCGTTTAGACTCCATCTATGTTCGCTATTAGAAATCTGCAGGGCACAAATAAGTAGTTTTCTCACGTTAATTTGGTTTGCGAGGTGTTTGGGGGATTTGAGCAACCTTTCAGTCAGACCACCGCATCAGGGAGAGTTAATGTCCTGGGGTTAGCTTGCAGGTACTTCCAATGTCGTTATCTCGGTAGCAAGACTCCCGATTTAACGTCATCCTCCAATAGGTTAAGGGCCCTTCGCACAGCGACATGATGCCTGCTCAAGAGTCCACGGAGGGCATCTCGCGTCATATTAATGCGATCAATGAGATAGTCTCGGCTCTGTTCTTCGATCTCGGTCATATAGTCATCATAGAACTCACTCCAGTGATCTGCCAGATGTCGCAGTGATCGATGTTCTCGTCCAATGAGCTTATATTGGTCTCGAATCATGTCCCGAGTACGCTCGGTACGTTTCGCAACATCTCCTATTTGATGGTACCGGAAGACGGATAGTACCTGCTTGGGTCATTGTAATGTTTGTTAATTTTAATTCTCTTAGGAAAAGGATGCTCTTTACTAGGGATGAGGAAAACCAACCACCAATTTCAAGGTACTTACCATCCGCAAATTGCCCAATAGTTCTTGAGTGATAGTGCGATCACCTTCGATGAGCAGTCGAAGCCACCTATGCCACTGGCTTTCGCTACATCTCCTTTGAATGTCAAACACCGTCTGTTTCTGGGCGTTAATTTGCCTTTGCGTCATAACCATATTCTCTCGATTAGTCGTCGACCCGAATGCTTCCCATACACGATCGACAGGGGATCTTAAATTCGGACTGAATCGTGCTACGCGGCTCAGACCTGCACGCAGCGTGTTGGCGCCATAGTAAAGATTCTTCAGCGCTGCTGAGTCAACTGGCGGTGCTCGTGTCGCTCTAGATCCTCTCCTACTGCCTCGAAGCCAACCTGTGTTCGCTACTTCAATAAACCGGGTATGCAAAGAAAGCTAAGGTGGAATAAGCTAACAGACATATTGATCCCGGGACCCAAAACTCACAGGCACCAGATGCTCGGTTTCGGCTTCAATTGGTAGGGTACCTAGGATATTGTGACGGTCGATCCTGTCGCTACTAACACCAGTGAACACACAGTGAGGGTTTCTAAGTCGGTAGTAGCGAAACAGTTGGTATGGCCAATGGCGATCACTGCGAAAGAACATGCTCCGGCTGGCGTAAGGGCGCGCCGGGGATAGGAAGTGCGCGAGACCTTTCAACTTGACACGGTATTGACGCTTCCCTCCGCGTGATTGGGGCCGATGCAGCCCTTTGCACGAGAGTTTTTGGTTGCTCCATTGGACGAAATCAGGTTCGGCGCAAGGCCCAGAATCGGGCTCGAATAAAGAGTTATCGCATTTTGGCCCCTTCTTTAGATGTCTTCTGACCGTATGCCAATTCGTCTTGTCACGGTATCCTGAAAGCCGTCAGTACCGCGATTAAAGCGTTGTATTCTAGACGCTTTAAGCCATCGCAGAAACTGACCGTGATAACGTGGGATCGTGTCACCGCATTCGTTGGTAAGAAGTGCAACGTTATATTGGGCGCACTTCGCATCAGCGCACGCACTGTTTCCAATCCAACGGCAAATGTTAATTGTGGTCCGCGAAGGATTCGGAAGGAGACGAGCTTCCTCTAAGCTCCGTGATGTGACTCTACCGTATCCGTCTTTGCAACTCCAGTCAGGACTTGAAGCACAGTTAAAAGTCAGTTTGCAAGAAAGAATAACCTCCCCCCCCCCCCCCCGGGGCGGGGGATCAGCTCACCATTTCGTCCCATAACACCTTATATTTGAGACTCCCTGGTCTTTAGTTCCAAAAGGAAACAACTTGGCTCCGAGATGGTATTCCTGACCGTAATACCTAAAACCCATATAGAAAACCCTTGAAGATTGAATTTTAAGACGCCCTTGGCTAAGGAACAGGTCAGTCATAATCTTGAACCCAGTTATCGTGGAGGAATGACATACCGGAATAATCCTACCGTGGTCGCATTCGCGGGCCCCTTATGGATGATACCGGAACAGATCATTCCGTACCTGCTATTGATTGTTTGTCACTGTTGGACCCCTAGATGGGACTTTATAGCAATCATCCTTCTGTTTTTCTTTATCGCTTCTTTTCTCGCGTCCTTGACTTTTATTTCTCTTTGCATTCGGTTCTATCCCGGTTCCAGATGCAACTTTCGAAAGCCAAAAGTTGAGACCTATAAAAACATTCTCTCTTCTTCCGCCACCCAGTCGGCCTATGCTTCATATCTTTAAATACTTCGTAAGAAGCAAAGGACTCATCCGTACCTATCCTCATCAATGAGCTCCTGAATCATTCCCAAGAGGAGACTAAATGGGGCTCGGCTGCATACATGTATCGGTGAGACTCTAATTGCTTAGAAGGTCTCAGATCCCGACTTATTGTGCTGAGATTCAAGAGAAATACTCCATCAGTCAAAAAGAACCAAGCTAGTGAATGTTTTACCGGAATTTGCTTGGGGGATATCTCTAGGCCTCTTTCAATGACCATACTAGAGATTGGGGGTCGATGTCAGAAGCCTTTTAGTTTCCGTATGGATCATTGCAATCACAAATTCAGCTTCTTTTGTTTGTGAACATCCCTCTTTTCCTATGTGTTTGTTCATTTTCAAACCCCTTCATACACCAAGGTAAGCGTTGCTTCTAATTTCTGACAGTTAAGGATGGCTTCTCCCAGAAGTGATTGGCCCTTGGAAGAGAGACTTGCAACCTCCCGATGCCGACTGGTTCAGTATTCCAATGCTCCGTCCGATTTTGACAAGACATAGTGGGCGGGGGTGGATTTGCTGGTCCGTTCTGTTTCTATAATCCAACGGAATGTGAGATAGCTGGGAGTCGATTTGCTTTCCACTTTTAATAAAGGCGGGGAGATTTGCTGTCCTCTCTGGATCGAGGGTCAAGTGGTGATCTTGTATCCAAGTTCCATGTTGATAAATCGCCACCATGTGCAGTTTGTTATACGCACTTTTTGCCAGCGCAGTCATTGCGACCCCGCTTGGCGGGGATAATGTCATGAAACGACAGGGCTTTGATGGACCGGTGAACCCGGGAAGACGCCAGATTGCGGTTGGCACAGTACTGCTGAAGATGAGATTTTCACCTGTGCATACTTTGAAGAGCAATGGGAGCTCACTCACGACTAATTTGTGGCCAGGGTAGGTGAGAATCCTGCCTTCTGGTCATGGACAAATATGCTGACAAAACCATAGAATCCCAGCACGGAGGATTGCAGTGGCATTCGGGTAAATTCGTACTGCATTTATGTAGAAGAGTTGTCGATACCCGTTCCCACGCCTTCTTTGATCCAGGAAAGAATGGTTGATACGTGCATCCAGTTCTACAAGGCCGAACCAGGCGACTCTTGCTGCTTTTCATTGCCGAAAAGTTTGGATGGCTGAGCGTGTGGTACTTCATAACGTGGAATCCCGCGGTGAAAGACGACTGCTCTGCTCTATGGGCTGGGTATTACTATTGCACCAGGGATTACTACAGAGGTGATCGACTTGATCGCGGGCTGCTGCCGTTATCACAGGCAAGTCACCTCTTCACATCTTCTGGGGCACATAGCGGGAGCATGCTCGATTTTTCCCGTCGTCTTCGACTCTTATTTTCCGGCCAACTATCGTTTATCTCATGATTTACTCTAAAATATAGGTATCTCTGAAGCTCTAATCAGTGGAATAAGCGAGTTCCAAAAAAGAACACAATAATAAGCTGGTGAGCGGCGAATTGGCGATACCTGCGCAATGTAAATCTGAACACAAAATCAATACTTAGAATCAGCCTGTCAGTACTTGATGGGGGATATTGTAGTATGAATAGTTACTGAAAGGGAGAAATAGCCACAATCATGTACCTGGCCTTGTTGATCTGGAAAAGTGTTTAAATTCTCGGTTACCACTTCATGCTTCTTGTAGCAAGAGTGCCCTGTTGCATAAAAGTGTGCCAATATGGACTTCATTGTCCTTGAAGAAACCTGGAGCAGAGGCCTGGGTCAGCAGACATTTACAAATGTAAATAAGACAAAAAGGGATCATCTCTTGTGGATTTTCTCGTATATTCCCCACTGCCTTTCCCCAGATTTCAGTATACGCCAAAGAGTAGTCAAGCAATCTGGAGCAGGTCCATTGGGGCATAAGCAGCGAGGATTCACAGCAGACAAATCATTTAAAAAGAATGAAATAGCCCGGAAAAGTTTAGGACGCAGTGAGCCCAAGCGAACGCAGGTTTTTGTAAGGGTGTTTGGGTGATCGATTTCCTCCACAGGGAATTAGTTACCCGACAAGCAGTGTTGGATTCCATTGCCGCTTGGCCATGGCAGCGAACACAGATCAGAGAGTGTACAGGCTCTCTCACCATTGGACGAGCTTTATCATATTCTGCACATCGTATCCACCATGGGCGGCAACCGACATTATCCTGACCTGAACCCAGAATAACCATATTCTGCCCTGTATATCTTCACAAGGCACATCATGATAATTTTCTCTAGAGAGTGGACCCCGTGAGCAATATCGCCCCAGCAATTGACCCTCTTGGAAGACACATCGACCCCTCCAGATCATGACCATCCACAATGAGCACTTTATGCCCGCGAGTGGAACTACCTCTCCATCACCGGTAAGATGGCCGAGCGGTCCAAGGCGCCAGGTTAAGGTCCTGGTAGGGGAAACCCTGCGTGAGTTCGAATCTCACTCTTATCAACATTCACCCTTTTCAAAAAAGGGCAATTCCTTTTTTTTTTCTTCTTCCAGAGGGCGGGGTTTTTTTACCCTTAGGCGTCAGACATGAGCATGGCGGTTGCAACGATTGGTTGGAAATAGACGCAATCCCTTTCCTTGCCCACTGTTGCGCATTTATCAAACTCTCCCCTTTGTGTAGAGCCAAATTTGGGCGGATGGCCTAATGTGTGATCGAGCTGTCGGGAATTATGTCGATATTTACGGGTGGGAGATGACCACAGGAGATAAATTGTACAGCCGGACCCAAAGGAGCAGGCTTGGCATTTGGTGGTTATTTCAAGCTCATCAAGGAGCAGATGGATTAACTTGGTGCAGTTTTCATATCAAGTAATAGCTTAAACAGGGATTTGCTGTTATGGCAATGCTTATCTATTCGAATATGCTACGTAATACAGAGTAGATTAGGGTGAAATAGTGAAGAGAGCATGCTTGAAACGCAGCATGAAGCACACTCGGTTCATCTACTATTATTTCTCAAAGACCAACCTCATAAACAATTTTCCCTGGTCCTCCAGAAGGCACATTATCACCAAACAAGGAAAAGTGACTATGGTTGAATGGACACTGGAAAGATTTGAAGGACAGCAGCATAAGAATTATTGAACACACAATGGACAGCCCATGTAAACTGAAAAAAGGGACAGTACCTGGTGCATACAAAGAGACGAAAACACTCAAGTAATAGTTCCAAGACAAGAAAAGAAAGGTGTGTATGCGTCCAGAACATACACATAAAGCAATAAAAGAGAAAGCTAGTAAAAGCCCATTATTCACCTCCATCATTCGCCATACATACAGTCCCCCCATCCGTGCTCATCTTTGTTTTGTTTTAACCATACCAAAGCAAGTTATCATTGTTCATAGGCACATTTGGGCTGCGACTGGGAAACAAGGCCAAGGATCGGCAAAGTAACAAGGATATGAATACAAAGGTCATAAAAATCCAACTTCCTTTCAAGTTTATCTCAAAAAAACATTTGGGAAGAAGACGTGACTGAATCCATGAGGTCTGATTTGTTTACCGACGACCCCAAGGACCATAACTGCAGAAATGATGCTGTTAGGATTGGAAACAACAAGAGATACACGGAAGATAAAGAGAGGTAGAAAAGGAAGGCTAAAAGGTAGCTCACCTCCAGATTTTCGCGCGACAGTCACCACTTCCTGTCGCGAAGAGCTGGCCTGTTGGACTTGGCGCAACGGAGATGACTAGAGAGTATATCAGCCACAGGACAGCCATATAAGGTCGGGAGAGCGCATACCGGAGTTTCTGTGTCCTTGGAGCATCATTTGAGCATGGCCAGTCATAACATCCCAAAACTGCACGCCTCTGTCCTTAGAGCCACTGAGAACCCAGTGTCCATCTGGTGTGAAACAAACGCTCAGAACAAAGTCCTGTTTGAATGAGTGTAAGTATAAGGAGATCTTCCGTTTGCCAAGAAAGGGTATCCCGTATGACACCTACCTTATGTCCTTCAAATGTACGAACACACTTGCCACCTTTTGGACCGCTGCCGGCCATGATACCGCGAGGGGGAGTCAGCTCCCACATCTTAATGGTCTTGTCTAAACTGCCGCTAACGAGGTCTCGTCCGTTGGGTGCGAATGCAACTGAGTAGACGCTGTCTCGATGTCCATCCGGGCTTTCTAGTCGCTCTACGAGGTATCCAGTTGTGGTATCCCACACTCTGACACTCCTATCAAGAGAGCCGGCAGCAACGTATCGGCCATCGGGAGAAATAGCAACCGTTGTGACTCCATCCTCGATGCTCAGTATGAGCTCCTGCTTTCCATCGTAAACGTCCCACATTCGCACGGTCTTGTCACCACTGCCGGACGCAATATATCGACCATTGCGAGAGTAGTCGAGAGAGTAGATATCGTTTTCGTGGCCGGCAAAAATATGTCTGATTTTCCGGTTCGCGATATCCCATACCTGCATTAAAAAAAACATTATGATAAGCGGAGTTCACAAAACAATGAGATACCAAATTCAATTCTCCATACCCTGATTTGCCTATCTTCAGCACCGGTAGCCAGGAATTTTCCGTCCGGACTGAAGCAAACACTTCGAATGTAAAGATCACCCTCTTTGTTCGCAGTATCATCTTGCAATGTCGTAACCAATTGACCAGATGCAACGTCGAAAATTTGAGCAGACCGATTGCAACCTGTTGCGACGTATTTCCCATCGGAACTGAATTTGACGCAGCAAACAACACTGTTGTGGGACAAGGTGTGTACCAGCTCGACATCCAGCACACGAGGAATCTCAGGATTGAACACCGCGTACCAATCAGTGCCTTCTTTCTTTTGGGTTGGAGGGAGCTTGTCGGGTTCCAATTCCCCGAGGGCGTTTCCGACACGGTAGGGAATTGGCTGTCCAGGAGTGGGCTGTGGAATCTGTGGAGATTCTCTGGGATCAGCATAAGCAACCGGCTGATTCTGCTGGGGAGTGGCCGGTCCAGGAGGAGCTCGGTTCGCGCGTCCTTTTCCAGGGCCAGGGGAAGAGGTTGGAGCGGGTGGAGGCGGTCCATAACCTGCAGTTCATGAAAACAATGATCAGAATCAGCGCGATAAGAAGACCCAAGAAGTCACATAGGCATTCTCTGGAAATAAGTACCGTTCACCGCAGAATTCGGCTGATAGCCTCCAAACGCGCCCTGTTGTGGTTGGGGTGGTCCTTGTGCGCCGGAGGCCGGGGGTTGCAGGGAGTGTTGGGGTGGTTGCTGTTGGTCCTGAGGAGGTGGAGGAGCTAGAGCAGGTGGCCCACCGCCTTGATTTGCAATGATCCCACCAAACAGATTGCTAGGGCCGTGGCCTAAGGCAGGCGGCGGCGCCTGGGAGAGCCCGCCGTGGGTTGGAGGTCCACCAACGTGTGAAGGAGGGAGATGGATACCACGGGACTCTAGTTCCATTCGTAGACCGCGGATCTCGGCCTCGTATCTGTTTAGACCAGAGAGAAAAAAAGAGAAGAAGACATCAGCCAGGATTCAAAGCGAATGATATGCCGTTTAGAGTCTGCTTTAGAACAACCTACTTTTGTTTCATATCAATATGCGCCTGCTCCAGCTGGGTTACTCTCTGGCGAATCATTTCCATCTCTTGCAGCTGCCCGGTCACTAATGCGCAGAGTCAGTCAAGTGTACCAGAAAATTTCAACCATGTTGTGTCCCATAGCAGTATGGTAGTAGAGCGAATGCGCCAAAAAGCCATGCTCATCCATTACTGCAATCCTGGGTTCACAACGGGATCTGAAAAAGGTATATGGCTGATGTGCTTCGCGGGTCTGCGTACATTGGTGCTCGCATTCTCCATGGCTCCGAGATTGATTCTCATACTCTTGACGCAGCTGGTCAAAGAGCTCTGTAAGACGCGGATTCGGCGCCGGAACCATCGCTCGATTGTACATATTCGGCCTATGGAGGGGTGAGAGGTGTCAGGTGTTGGGGACACTGGCGAGGAAGGACAGGGTCGAAATGGTGTCACGTTGGCGATATCAAATACGCGCGCTCAAAACTAAAAAAACAAAAAAGAAAAGCAAGATCAATGTTAATAACTGTTAGATATCAATTACATATAGGATTAATATTATCCAGAATGAAAGTGCAGCATTGGGACCACTCAAGGATGATGGATTGATGGAGTGATGTTGTTGTTGTTGTCGGGATTGAAGTCTGAAAGTGAGCGAGGGGTGAGCACTGACCAACTCTTGAGGCTGAAATTGGCGCACAAAGCGAGGTGGGCTCATGCGGTGAACTAGCCACACGCCTTCAACTCAAGATGAAATAGAGAGAGACAAAAATCTGTGAATGAGCCACCCCTAGCACGGTCAAGTTAATATTGGTGATGGGGAGCTATGATGGGAAACGTGAAGGGGAAGAGAGAGAGGAGCGGGAATGATGGAAGACAGGAAAAAGATGGTGAAAAAGGGAGACAAAGTTCGCAACAGACGAGGTCCTTCTGATACACCCGTGACAGAGGTTGTGATGGACCCTATGGTACCCTGGTTGATGGAACGGGGAAACCAAAAGCCAAAGATAAACAAGTTCAGTGGAAGAAGCGATGAACTGGCCGTGTACTGCTGCCAAGCGCCGTGCTGAAGGTTCTTTTCGCCTTCCGCCGCCTGGGGTGGCTTATATAATCACGCTTGCCGCGCCATTTAGACTTCTACGCTAAATTAGCCTCTCCATCTGCCCCGTCCGTGGCGCAGGCTCAATTCGTCAAAAAAACGTGGGTCGTTTGTTCAGTTTGCATTCCACTTTTGTCTCAGTCGGCTCTCCAATGGCACTCTGGAGAGAGCAAGGAGACAGACTAGGCTATGTGAGGTATGTACATACCTACTTCATATATCTGTGCTACTTACGATTCAGTGAACAGCAATGTGAATCATCTACAACTTTTCCTAAAGAAAGAAATCTATTCGTGAATGAAACGTACGGTACATATTCAGATCTACTTGCGCAGCCGGCGCGAGATAAAAAACTGTGCTTTTCCATCTAGAGAACTGCATCGCCACCATACTATCTCCCCCCATAGAAATTCAATCTTTTAAATATGCATGTGCCCTCTTCTCAAATTGACGATCTCTCCCCTTTGTTTCGCTATCTATTGGATACACTATGCCGGTCTTCTAGCCGAAGGTACTCCTTGAAGATTCGCCTGTTGAAATAATCATCTATTACCCTATCAACACGTCTTTAGGCTTTATGGAACTTATAACGATAGGATTAGGTTGTCCGAGAATTCTGGCGCGCTGCGAAGGATGCATTTTGGCGCATATCAAGTTATATCTAGCTAACGCAGCGTAAGACCCCGATTCGAAGTCGTGTTTTGCGAGTTCCGTCAGGATATCGGTCCCTATTGCAATGATAAGTTTGAAGTAGCTGCTACAGGAAGCTTGTGCCGTGTGCAATCACCTAGCCCTGCAAAAAAGGTTGGTGTGTTGTGTTGGAGAAACTCAAAATGTATGAAACTTTTATGTAAAGATATGTGCATGCAGCCGCAAAATGAGCAAGACGGGCGAGCAGCGCCCCAGGTGGTTTCAAGATTAGCGGTATAGGAAGGATACGATCATCAGAAGAATCCCCAATATTGTGCTCTCGAGTGTGTTGGCTTCCCATACGGAGATTTGTGAGGCTGTCCGAATAGTGGACTCCACGGTTGCCTTCAAGACCAGACGACAAATGTCAGCTGAATCTGATGGTTAATTCAAGCACAGTATCAGCGTTACCCTATATGCTAAGTGTATAGCATGCCGTTATTTACAATCAGAGTTGAACCCTTTGATTTTAACCCCTTGCGAAGTTCTAGATTTCCATCAGTTTTCTAGGCACATGTATTAGGATACATGTTTCTATTATCTAGTATTGTTTGTATAAGCTTACCTCGAGAGAGCAGAATATATATTCTGTGGGCTCTTTTGTTCAGCCCGAAGACTCGCAAGAGTATTAAGATATTAAGAATATCTTGATCGAATTCATCAGATCCAACATTAACAACAACTGAAGCCCCGAGATTTCATGCCATTCTTCTTGATATCCCACAAGATTTTTTTGGCAAGCTTGCCCAATTTGCTTGTCATTGCTTCCGTCAAGGTGGTCTTGACAGATGCATACCAGAATCAGAAGACAACATTTCTTATCACCAGCGCAGTTAATGCCGGCCTCTGACCCTCTGCCCTTTCTAGAGCAGGGCCTGTCAAGATGGGCTGGGAAACAAACAGGGCACAATGCTGGTAGAGAATATTCCCGACATCAGCCTCTCTGCTCTCCACAACTGCTAGCTAGCGGCTAGGCTTCTTACAACCAGTCGAATAGGTCCATCTCCAAGGATCACAATGATCATGCGCTTAGATTTGGCGCATCTATGATATCTTCAGAACAGATAATAATAATAATAATAATAAGACATGGTATAGCTGTCAAAGAGTGTCATCGAATCTTCGGTACTAGTTATTTTAACTTCAGAAGAGCGACAGAGAAATCCATTTTCTACCAAAAATAATATTGCTCTAAGTAATTTTGATGTCTGCCATGTATTAAGGAACCCTCAGGGATAGCTAGTTGGATAGAAATTGCAGGCTTGAATGATTTCCTTCAAGCTGTGGTCGTTTGAAGAATATACGGTTCAATCGAAAAGATCAGAATTCGAAGGTATGATATCCAAAAGGATCCTTTTTCAATCATTATAAGAAAGTATGGAAAAGTTTCGGCATAGCATAAGCTGCGATTCGCCTGTAGTTGCTTTTGTAGATTGAATCATGATATAATGGTGTCGAATTCCTAATACGAAGGGCTTAGTTTTCCATGCCAGATTCGATGCTTGCTCAACAGTAAAGTCAATATTGAGCCCGCAGGAGAAGACACAATTTAAGGCGGTCTTCTAGCTTCGACCCAGTGTTGCCAAACCCAGATGCTGCCAATACAACAATGAATCTAGCGAAAACCAGGGAGCACATGCTATGGAGGAATTTGACACGTAGAGATGGCTAGCACCTGTCGTGCCACTGAAAGAATGTAAAAAAACCATTTGATACAGTCGCTAGGGGCACTAGGATAATTGCATAAGCTGTTAGCCAATGCTGCAGTACATAGTGTGTAGCCATCCATACTTTTCTTGGCCACCTATCAAACGCCGGTGATGGTAGTACGTATTGTATTCACCATTGACTCGATTGATGACTGTTGCATCGAATTTTTGAAGTTTGTCTCCTCACCAACACAATAGCTGTGGACTAACTATTGAGCCAGTAGTCTTTCACTGTTCTTGCTGTAAATTGACGGGGACGTACTTCATAATCCCAGTAATGCATGCAAACTTATGGAAGTAAAATTAGTCACGATAGTGACTAATGGAATCATTAGCTGTTGCTTGAATTTGATAATTTGTAGATGCTAAGCATATTCTCTGGTCTGGAAGATATATTAGTTAAGTGAAATCAAATATAAGTACTATCATTAGACTTGATAGCACCAATGTTCTGTCAGTTCTTGTGTTCAGCATTCTGGTCTGTAGACCAAACTCTGAAGTCATAGGCTTTGCATGGTTATCATAGTATAGATAAATAGTGGTCTTCTTGTTGCTAAAGCCATGACCTAGCTGCTCTAGAATTCAAATCAATTCTAATTCTGAATATGTGCTGATGCTCTCGATCGTCTGCAGTAGCTGCTGCTTGAATCCCCAGCATCTACATGCTCTGAAGTGCATTGCCATGACTTTCTACTCATGATGGGGTATCTTCATTGCTCTCTGGGGCGCAGCATGTTAGCTTCCCGAAGACTTGGGAATTAGAATGTGCCGATAGCGACACCTGAACCTGACGAGACCTGGACGTTTTGGGCTGCTGGTCCTGGAGCCAGAGCTATCGGAGAAGGTCTTCGTGGGAGCTGTGCTGCTATGTATTCTTCTTGTCAGCTCCTTCAAGGTCACCCACCGAAGGCCCAAACAACTCCGCAACGAAGGGGGAAGGGGTCAGTGTCCTCTCGAGGGACGGTAACTGGGAGGAGGAGCCGTGAGGGGAAGAGAGGTGAGACTGCGAGCCGGCAGCAGAAGGTTCTAGTACGCGTTAGCCCTACCCCACGCGGAGGCAAGGCTCATACAAGCACGCGAGGTAAAGGCACAAGGGTCCACGCGGGTAGAGGACTTCCCAGCTTGTGGCCTTTGGGCTAGACGAGCAGAGCGACGAGGGGCAGCCATTTTTTTATGTATTTTCAATATATTTCAGAGGTGAACACAGCCCTGTAGCACTGCCCAGGGAAGCAGGAAGATGGAATGGAAGTCCCAGTTCCATTTGATATTAAAGTCTCTTCTCATTAGTTCCCCACTTTACCTTCATTCAGAAAGGTCTATGAATCGAGGAAAACAAAGGCAAGGAAGATTTGGTGTCAAAAAATACAGCTCACTTCAACAAGTAAATTGTAGGAATGTTACATCTAAGTCCAAGTAGGGAAGAGGATTTTTAGCGTAATCTCATGCTGAAACTTTTGTAATAACGAGCTCAAGAGTTAGCAGCACAGTTAGATATCTTAACTCTGCTGTTTTAATGATAGAGTACTCCGTATAAGCGCGCAATTTGCTGCATTCAACCCAGTTCGACTCGTGAGTCTTGAGGTTGAGTTAAGCATGCCGAGACAAGCTGGGGTCGTTTGTTTGCAACCAATGAGAGAGCAATCGGACCTGTTTGAAGCGAGGGTCAAGTACTTGGACACCCAAGGAATGGAGGCGAATTGAAGCAGCATTGAAAGCTTTTCCACATGATGGTGAGAGGGGTAGAAGAAAAGCCCGAAGACTCCTCTCGCCTTCGTATTTATTTGTAGCAAAATTGGGCCCTAGACTCTAGGTGGGGAAAGCCGGAACGAGTTACGGAGGACGGAGTACGTCACATCTCTTTGGGGCGTCAAACCATGGGGTGAATTCAAGGGCCGGTGAATTCTATCAAGACTCACTGCATCCATATACGTAACCGAAATGGCGGAGCTCATGCGGGCAGTCTGGGAGAATGGACAATATGCGGAGTGGTTATCGACTCATGGGGTTAACCCGGTAAAACAGGGATAGCGTTGGATCAAACGCAAACCCAGGATCAGGATCCGATGACTCCGTTGAAAAGAGCAGTAGACTACAGGACTTGGTTATTCTTACAGGTTCAATTACCCCGTCAAAGCAGCTCAAAAGCATATCAACTGCAATGACCGCGTAGTCCCAGGTCCAGCGGCCTGCGTAACTGTGCCAGCGAGGAAGACGACGCGGCGATCAGATAAGGACGGGATCCCTGCTAAGCCCCTGACTAAGCACGTAATACGAAGTACCGACCGGAGTTAACGGCAGCGAACTTCCCGGCCTCGTCTGATTACCCGTGCTAAACCCAAAAAGGTCATTCTCTTTTGGCGTGCGCCGGCGGTGGAGTCGCGAGCGAGCTTATCAGATTGTCACGGATTGGAAAATAATATTATTAAAAAGCCACTGGAACTCCTTTTGCCTGGCTCATCATTCTCTACTCCTCCTCCAGCATCACGACGACGCCCCCGAGATACTCAATTTCTCGGCAATCTCTCATACTTATTCCTTTTTAGCCGGCTGCGGGTGCGAATCGATCGTCCTGACCCAGAATCGGTACCTTGTCGCTCCCTTTATCAGTTGGATCTATGAACCACCACTTGTGAGTTCACGAAAGAATTATCACGGACATCTCTAGCCATGGACGTCGTGCTTGAGGTTCTCGATACATTTTTATTTGATTATCTCTACGCTCTGGCCGCACCAGCATCGCAGCTAGTTCCGCTGGCCTATTCGCAGATCCCCGATGGCCTAAATAAAACCGCGTCAGCTGCTGGTGGTTTCTTTTATCGTCCCGCCTCGCAATACTTGTATCTGGAGCCGTCGAAATACGCGTATATGAGCGCGCTACAGCGAGACAATGTGTACAGACAGGGCTTCTCTCTTTTCATCATCACTTGGTACGAATTCTTTGTTGGATTGCGGCACTCGATCCTGGTTCTTGTTTACTGATGATGTGACACATAGGGTCTTCGGTCTTGCCGTATATTTCATTTTTGCGACTCTTTCTTACGTTCTAGTTTTCGATAAAACAACCGTCAATCATCCAAAATATCTCAAAAATCAGATTCGGCAAGAAATTGCACAAACCTCTAGAGCGTTGCCCGTCATGGCGATATTGACTGTACCCTTTTTCCTTGCAGAAGTGCGGGGTTACGGAAAGATATACGATACTTTCGCCGAGGCGCCCTTCCAGCTGTACAATATCCTTCAATTTCCCCTCTTCTTCATGTTCACCGATGGCCTGATCTACTGGATCCACCGCGGCTTGCACCATCCGCTCGTTTACAAGCGCCTGCACAAGCCACACCACAAGTGGATCATGCCAACCCCGTTTGCTTCGCATGCTTTCCATCCGGTCGACGGCTGGGCGCAAAGCTTGCCGTATCACATCTTCCCATTCATCTTCCCGCTGCAGAAATTCGCATACGTATTCCTCTTCATGGCAATCAACGTCTGGACTATTCTCATCCACGATGGTGAATACGCGAGCAACAATCCAGTCATCAACGGGGCCGCCTGCCACACCATGCATCACCTATATTTCAACTACAACTATGGCCAATTTACTACCCTCTGGGATAGACTCGGTAGCAGCTATCGTAAGCCAAACGATGAGCTATTCCGCCGTGAAACTAAGATGGGAGAGGAAGAGTGGAAGCGACAGGTCCAAGAGATGGAAACCCTCGTGAAGGAGGTTGAAGGCGATGATGATCGCCAATACCTACACGAAGAAGAGGACAAGAAGAATCTGTAAATCTGCCGGCCAGATGACACCGACGATATGGCCCTTGATCGCGTGCGTGGATAATAAATACGTCTTACTCCATGCATGTAGGTGGGACGAATTATGACCAACAAACGAAACATCTGACAATGTCGACTGCCGGCTAGCACTTTACTCTCCGAAAGCGAACATTTCTCTCCTTCATGCAGGCTCTTACCCCTGCGGATACTTCCGCCAAGGAAGTCGAATATTTTTTGGGGTTCTTTTGAATTATCTTCTAATAATTCCTCGTTCGGATTCGTCCTTGAGGGCCTGACCATATTGTCGCACTTTGGTTGGATTCCTGGGTAGCACTGAAATATCAATCTCTGCCCTCCCGATGTGTACAACCGAGCGATTTATCTTTAGAGGAGGCGGGGATGGGTTTTGTTACTAACATTTTTATTCCCAAACATGCCTGCCTGTTAATTCTCTTTTTCTCCCGGCAGTTGCACTACCATTTGTATTCTTATTTCCCTGTCTGTGTATCTACGTTGTTATATATGAAACTTTGTAATATCAACATCTTTTCTAAGTATCAAATGATGGCCTCGTACATAAATCGCGTATCCAATAAGGTGTAATTCGCTAATTTCTTTGAGGGATTCCGCTCCTCATGAACTCCTTTCAATTCGTCAACGGTCGATAGTGGATCTCACTCTATGCGCATACCGAAGACGGCTCTATACTATATGTGTCCACATGATACTCGATAGGAGGATTCATCCGATTACAGAAAAATAAAATAAAATAAAATAAAAAATAAAAATAAAAATAAAAATAGAAAAGGCCTAGTGTTTTCATTGTAGACTATGCGCAAAGAACATAGGAATGCCTTAGAGGTGCTCAAAAGACAATCTTCCGTCTATTTAGAGTGTTCGACATCACTGGATTAGAAACCATGTTTCCATAGTAATGATGGTCAATACCATAAGGCATCCTCCTTCAGCGACAGAGTAACTATAATGTACTGTTGCTGATAGAGATCCTCTTGATGAGTTTGTGAGTCATTTGCTTGGGGTTTGGGAAAGTCCACTGTTCGCGCGCCAATGCAAGTTATGGTTGTGAAAGGTTAGGATATCACAGGTGAACATAATGAATAATGGTCCATAGCTAGGAGAAAACCAAAATTTCCTCGCTGGAAGTGCCTGCCATGAGGTGTCCAGTGCTGTGACATATAGTCACATATTGGGAGGCATCCAGCCAAAGTTCACTTTCAAAAACTGCAGTAGAATAGCAAGGATAGGTATTACCAACCCAAGGAAAAGATAACAGAAAGATTGAGTAATTAACAGCCCTCGAAACTGCAGATTAGTAGCCACAAATCAACCTGTTTTAAAAATACATTTCTCCGTCAAGCCTCGATCCCTGTGCTTCACTGCTTTCTACTGAATATCGGTCATCTCATTCTGTCCATCCGCTCCATCCGTTTCCATAGCAGTCTGTACCGGCTGCGGTTGCGGCTGCGGTGGCAGCATCGTCCCTACAGGCACCGCATTAACCATCGCCTCAGTGATAAACGCGTCCTCCACCGCAGCCTTCCGCCTAAACACTCTCAGCCACCTTTTTCCCCACTCACGAATAAGCTCATTCTCCGGAGCCAACGCACTATCATCATCGCGCTCCATCATCACATCGTTTGTTCCGCTAGCAACGGGCACAATAGAGTCGTCGATAAGTCGAAACATTGCTCTCATGTCTGCGCTCTCCCTCGTCAACGCATCTTGTATCACGCTGAGTTGTGGTTCTACGAGCGTTGGCTGAGTGCGGGCAGCCACAATCTGTCGGATGCGGTTCGTAACCTTGCCCATGGTGGCGGAGATCATTTCGAAAATGTGGGGTTTGGCGAGAATACTGCCAGCAGCAAGATTATCGACGAGAGCCCACTCGATGACCGATAGAGGCGTAAGGATGGTATAATTGAGGAGCTTGTCGACGATATTCACCGCATTTCCGGGCTGGTCGACCCAGTATTCCATCACAGAAGTGATTATCTGGCGGCGGGCAGCTGCAGATCTGGGGCCAATGGCAAGCAGTCTCTCTTTGCATCGTTCAATGGAGGAAAGAAGATGAGATAACGATTTGGAGCCGACGCAGCAAATGGATGTGACAAAGGCGTCCGTTGACGGGATTGATGGGTCAGCGAGTCCATGGGCCTTGGCTTGCTCCTCGATAGAGGCGATGACAGGGGCAATTTCTTCGTCCGACGCCTTTTTACGGATGAGTTGGAGAATTTCCTGGCCCTCTTTTGAATACGGGGTAGCTGTGTGTTCCATTAGTATCTCATTGCCGTAAATTAGTAACAGCTGTTAGACCTACTCTCTTGTGCGTATTTGAAATCAGGAGTATCCTTCTCCTTATTTTCAGAGATCAAAGCCTGGTACGGCTCCGGGATAGTTCCCTTGATGCGCTGAGCGAAGCTCAAACGGATCTCTTTATCCAAGGCGCCAATAATGAAAGCCTTCTTTGGATGCACGGCTGGCAATTCAACGTCATCGACCCTATAGGGTGTCAGATTCCCGAATGGTCTATTGGTTGAAAGATCGAAGGGTTAATATACTCACCACTCAGTCCACTTCCAAGTGAAACCGAAATTGCTCAGATGATGAGAGAACCAATCAAGAAATCTGTATGTAGGAGCTAGATCTAGTTTGTCCACATTGCGGTAAAGGAATCGAATTGCTCGACCCAGGCTTGGCGCAATGGCTGCCGGGGCAATTTTGCAAGCTTCAGTCAAGACGGAGTGGTAATATACCTGCTTATGTTCAGGCGAAGGCAGCTGTAATAGTTGAGAAAATACCGCATCAAGCGCGACATCCTCTGGCTTCCAGGTCGGCTTATCCGGAGCTACATCACGCAATTTATCAAAGGGAGTAGCACGCTTGATGAACGTGGTTGGTGCGAAATAGCAGTCAACGTCAATCAGAAACTTGGCTGCGGCAATTCGGTTGTAGTCGAGGATGTTGATTGTGTCAACCAACACATCTCTAATCAAGGAAGAGGCGATATCCGTAGTCGAAGGGACGGTCTCAATATTCTGGTCAGCATAAACCGATAGGAAAATCTCAGGGAATATCGCCCGTGGGCCGTTCTTCACTGGGTCGGGAATAGAGATGCTCGGGAAGGGATGCTTGGTGGCGTTTTTGAGAGGGTCTCCGTCAGAGTTGTCCTCCTCCTTGGGTGGCATCTTCCATGGTCGGGGAAGGCACGCAAGTTCCCAAGAATTCTTAGCTTCGTTCTGAAGTTGTTTTTGAAGTAGGCCCAGTGCGCTCAATCTGTCTTCCTCCGTTTTTTCTTCCGATGGGAAAGGATCCACGAGAGCCTCTAGCGTATGCGGTGTCGAGGCGATGATATCCGTCTTCTCCAAGAGCGCGGATGCATGGGATTCGAACCCCGATGCTGAGGACCCCATAACATAGGATATCGTGTATAGAATAATCTTAACAAGCTCAAGGCCGAGAGACTGTTTTTATGAATACGTTAGTAAAACCCCTCCCATCCGTTGTAGCCTTTGAGGATACGTACATCATCAGAAGACGCTGTCTGCAAGTCAACAGCCCGAGAAAAAAGCTCTTCCAGTATTGGGAAGATACCATCCCCTTCAAAAGCGCCCTGAAGGCAGCCAAGAAAGCGAAGGACAAGTTTCACTTCGCGCCACTCGCCAGCAGCAATATAGGACTGGGCCATTTCGCCAGCTTTGGTGAAGGCCCGGCTAGCGATTTCAGACTTTTGAGCGTTGATCAGGAGGACTACCGCCGCAACGAAGGGAATTTTAAAGGGCTGTTCGATAACCCTATGGCCAAATCAATATGGTCAGCTTTCGGTCGCAATAGCAACCCAGGTCCTCACGAAAAAATGCTCACAATTGCAACACCAAATCTTGGAAATCATTTTGCACCTCTTCATCTTCAGAATGTTCGCAGATAGTGTTTGCGATCTTGGCAACATCGTCTTCGACTCTTCGTACGGCCTATATTCGCACAAGGAAAGTTAGCACTCCCCGCAGACACCTTGGATCCCAAGGAATGCACCTAGGGCAAAACGACTCACCGACTCCGCGATTGTCAAAAGCTGTCTCCGAACTGACGCAGACAGCGGCTCCTCGTATCGCCGTCGCGGTCGATGGCGCTCCCCTCCTTCATCCTCTGCTCAATTCATAAGTCTCCAGCTCCTAACAGTATATCCTCCACCACTACGAGCGATGGAAGCAGGCACATAAGCCATAGACAAGAGACGCACCTCTGTACCGCCTTTTGCGGTTAAATCCTCCCCCTGGCCGACGCGCTTCGTGGTCCACCATCGCTTCTACAGCTACCCTCACAGCAATGGCCAAAAAAGAGGGTCAAACTCGAGAAATGCTAGTGATTTGTAGAACTCCTTTTTTTCACTAGAGCGCGAGTACTTCACACGTTTCCGACGGCGCGAAAGCGAAAACACCTCGCTCTCCCGCGATCTCACTGATAGCCTGGAAAGCCTTCAGCGCGATAAACGGTGCGCCAACGCAGTCAAACCCTTTAATCCAGCAGTTGAATATCTATCATCAATCCAAGTAATCAGCAACATATCCAAACACTTAATGGAGCACCTCAATACCGCATTTCGTCCCCACCACACGGCAAGTAACACAAACCCCAAAAGACAACAGGATCAAAAAAAAAAAAAAAAAAAAAAAGAAAAAGGAGCTCCCGCAACTAACCCTACCGCAAAAGTTCTAACTACCTGCCGCTTTGCCTCACGCCAGGGGGAATTTGATAGGAGGATATAGTTACTCTCGAGCTTGAGCGGTCAATTGCACAGAGAGGTCGATTCGATTTCCGGCGTCTGCACCAAGCGACGACTGGGGTGCTTGTCAGAAGGAAAACAACTCCAGACTCTCTCAAACCAAAGAGCTCACCCAATCAGATGAGGTTTGCAGTTAGCTGGTAAATGGGGGCATTTCCAATGCCAGCCGGCGGCTCGCTATTACATTTATCCGACATCACGTAGGTAGGAACTTAAAATGATATCCGGCACGACGATCTTAAAGGACTTGACAGCAGTGATAAAACATGTCCATATCTACTGTACTTGCTGCGAGCTGGAAAATCCAAAGTTCAGAAAATGTGCTTTGTAGTATAAGACAGGTGCTATAATACCTATATAACTATGCAAGCATCATGGATTCAGAATAAAACAGAGCTCCCTATTGCAAAAACCATGAAGGCGCCACGCTGCAAATTCTCAGGTAGTAAGACATGAAAATGGGAATGGAAAGTAGTGACAAAGTAGGACGTCGGTTCAAGGTCAAAGGATCGGTTAGCCCGGGGTGGTGTGTTAAGGGTTGAGAGAAAGGTGGAAATAGTGGGAAATGATAAATACCACTGGTTCAGGCAAGGTCAAAGGACTTTGAGGATTGACAGAGACAATGAATGCAGGTATCTGGATTCAATGATAGTCCATGGATATGGAGGCCGTCGTCGAATGCGAATATCGACAAAGAAAATACACGTCATCCCCAAACTCAAGCTGTCTCGCTTTGCTTTTACCCGTTTACTCAATCTTCTCGCAAAGCCATCCTGTCACTCTCGGCTACCCTCCCCCCCACCACGCCTATCATTGAGACACCTTGGTTAATAAGTAAGAAAAATGAAAAAGAAAAAAGTTTCAGCAGGCATAACATGTCCCTATTCACTTGCAATTTCCGGAAATATGATTTCAAGACCCCGCCGACCTGTCCAATAACTCCATGGTATCACGCGTTCACCATATCATGATCAGAAAAAGGAAATCATTGATTCATTGCCGCTTGGCACCATCAAAACCATGAATGGCATGATTGTAAAGCATTTTAGGTTCGAGGTTTTCATGCAGCGAAGGTCTAGACGATAACTCGATGGGATCTTTGGTGTTTTTAAATTTCTGTTTTGAAGAAAAGAACCGTTCGATGCATAAGCTTGAAAACTCGCAAGTCATGTCAAGAGAGAAAGACTTCGAGACGAGCATTTGTCACTTCCAGCAAACAAGAATAGAGTTTGTGGTTCATGAGCTGAAGCTTTAATTCAGTCAAGGCGTGCCATCATTTCTTCCTTTTTGAGCGGAATGAAATTATCAATATCAATACCGCGGGAAAAGAGTTCGGATTTTGCATGAGGAGGCACCAGCTTATGGTTCAATGAAGGAGAAATGGACAGCTCTAGAGAACACGTCAGCTCGTGATGTGTATTTAGCGGAGTTATTTGACTTACCATGGTGAGTAAAGTTAAAAAGCTTGGGCAATTCACGGGCAGAAGCACTTGGGTGGCGTGAATCCGGCAAGCGAGTATTCGGGTCCCTCAATTCATCGAAGAACGGGTGGCACATAGCCTCGATGGCGGAAAGACGCTGGGTCGGGGTATATTCAAGGAGAGCAGTGATCAAATCAATAGCCTCAGGTGAAGCCTTGCGGAAGACCTTCACGGTGGTTTCGTCAGTAAATAGAACGCTAAAAGCTGATGTTGCGCTGCATACCTTGTTGAAGGGATGAGGTTTAATCTGCGGAAATTTGTGTTCCATATAATTCGGGTTCATGGTCTTAATCTGCTCACGGGTCGGAGTACCGAGAACTTTGATAATCTCAACGAGCTGATCGATACCGGATTCACCGGGGAACAACGGCTGGCCCAACATCAATTCTGCCATGACACATCCAGTGGACCAAACGTCTATATTCTGATTAGCGATTACAAGTGGAAAAAGGGAATCGAAGAACACCAAGGTGAAATACCGATCTGAGTGGTGTAGTTAGTTGCTCCAAAGATCAGTTCCGGCGCACGATAGTAACGTGAGCAGATGTATGAAACATTGGGCTCATTCTCAACAAGAATCTTGGCGCTCCCAAAATCGCAAAGCTTGAGCACGCCGGTACTAGGGTCGAGAAGGAGGTTCTGAGGTTTAATGTCACGGTGGCAGATACCCTGTGAGTGGATGTATGCGAGAGCTCGGAAAAGCTGGTAAGTGTAAAGCTTGACTTCAAGCATAGGCATAGTGGTTTTCATCTTGTTAAAGTAACGAGATGCACGATAGACGGTTTCAGGCACAAATTCGAGGACCAAATTCAGGTAAACTTCATCTTTCTGCGGATGGATCGGGGTTTCCAGTCAGTTGCCGCAAACTTGAAAGAATTAAGGACAGTGACTAGACTTACCCTATCTCCGTTGGAATAGTAGAATGCCTTGAGTTCGACGATATTCGGGTGACGAACAATGCGCATAATCTGCAGCTCACGGTTCTGATGGACTTCAGCTTCAATATTTGCAGCGGGCGGAACAAAGAAGGGCACGACCAACCTTGAAACGTTTGTCCTGGAGAACACGCTTAATGGCAGCATCCTCTCCGCCTGGAGAGAGCTTGGTCTGAAAGACAACTCCAAAGGACCCGTTGCCAACAATCTTGCACTGTGTATACTGCATCTCCCGAGTTTCGCCAGTCACGCCATCCTGAACTTTCTCGCGAATGACCTCTGCAACAGCCGAAAATTTCTCAGTCAGTTCAATTCGAAATGTGGGATCGAGTACGGAGCAGAAACGACTTACCCCCCATACGCAAGCTTGAAAACATGCTGGGCCGATTCTGTGACATTGCAGGCAGAAACGGAACCCGTAGGTAGACGACGCTGTCCAAATCTGGCTACAGCGGAGAACGGCTGGAGAAGTCAAGCAGAGAGGTGGAGCGTAGGCTCAGCTGTAAGGTCCGTCTTGGAAGAGGACAGGGTTCAGGGAAGAATCTTCGATCGAGGGGCGGGGGAACGTTTGCGGAGATCGAGAATGAGGAAGGCTGGCAGAGAGGTTAAAGGAGGATGGAGGGAGGAAGGTGGTGTGAATGCCTTAAATAGTGAGGAGATGCGACGAAAAGTGAGCGGCTAGACAACACAACAGTGAATGATGCGACGAAAAGTGAAGGGAACTTCACTTCGACCTCAGACGAAAGCGTGAGAGAGGTGAGAAAGTGAGAATTGAGTGAGTACAAGGGGACTTTCACTGAAGGTGAATGTCAAAAGTGAAGAAAAGAAGAGGAGTCTGAGAGGGCAGGTGACGTTGATGGAGAGACGAGCACCAGAATGGAGCACGGTGTGGGAAGGCGGAGTGGGAGGAACACTGCAAAAGCAGTGACACAGGAAGGGGGAGATATGTATGCAGGGAACCAGATTAAGCCTCAAAACACCACACCACAGAGAATATTGTTCTTGAGACAGTTATGAAGGAGAGGTGAAGAATGGAAAGTTTCCAGGAAGAATAAAAAAAAGGACGGACCCGAAGGTGAAGGTAGGGAAAAGAGCTGAAGGTTGGTGGCTACAAAGACTCGACCGGTGGTTAGTCTTGCGGAAAGCGAACTGCTTTTCCTTGAGGGGGGTCTTTGCTGCAGTTTATTGTATTATGGAGTACAACATATGTAAGTTATCTGGCTGCATTACAAGCTGATACATGACGGCCTGGTGTCATGGAGCATGCACCTCAGGAATCCTCCGCAACGCAGAAACGGAACGCTATCCACACAATCTACCTGCTCTTCGGACCCCTACGGCGCCGTCCAGCAATCTATTTTGAGCTATCTGCCAGAGCAAATTCCAGGACTCGCGAGAAAGCAACGTTGCCTGGCAGTGACTTGGCCCCCCTCCCAGCACAGGAGCGCGTAATTTTCCCTGCTGCTTCGCATTACCGCGTAATTACGCAGGGAAGGTTCGTGGAAATAATGTGTGTGTGCTTGGAAGACGTCAATGTCCACGTGCTTCAGCCTGACGAAACGCCACTCAAGCAGAGCGACAAGGACATTCACGGCTCCTGAAACAGAAAAATGGGCTCGAATGCCCAAACCAAGTTCCAATATATACTTGAAATTCAAGCTGACGAGGTTTGTGTGTTTGATGTGAAATCCTGGCAGCCCGAAGAGTTTCAGCATGGCTTGAGCCCAAGGAGGGGCATGCACAGAGAAGTTTCGGGCCAGCAAGTTGCGTCCAGAGTTACCTTTAGCTCAACCATGACCCCCCCGCCCCGAAGTCTCTCTTCCAACAACTTCTGAAAAGGTTCCAAAAACGCCCAAAGAATGGGAGGCAATGACGTGAAGACCGGGAGTACACACGTCTCAGCTGATCACCTGCGTAGCTGAATAAGCATGCCGGGTGCGCGGGCGACGTCGAGTTTCCAGTTCTCAGGAACATCCATGGAGCGCAGGCTGGGTGTGAGAGAAGGGTTGGCGGTTGCGACTGCTGATGAACAGCGATGCTGGTTGGTCGGGTGACCAATTGCAATTTTCGCCCGTAATGAATCTTACAAGAAGCTGGCCTATGGCAACCGTGGGATTGGTCATTGATTGGCCGCCGATTGCTGGCTAACGGCGCTAAGGTAACAAAGCTCGTACCAGCCCGGCGCTCTCCACTAACCCTACACAGGACAAGATATACGGAGTGCGCTCTGTACATATACGTAGGTTGGGATATCACTTCGCCGAGTGCACGACTCGACCAGCACAGGACGCCATTGGCAACATTGAACCTGACAGGTGCATCTGCCTGGTCGTTCTCGTCACTGCGATGCAGAAGTTCTGCTTGTGATGCCTGGAATCCGCTTGCTATTCCCAGCAAACGATTTGGGCCTTCTCCTCTCGGGTAGCCGCTTGCAGATGAGGAGGGGTAGGTTGCTATCTTCATCGGCTCTCCTTGGCGACGTTACACACCAGGGCCCGAGAAGCCCGCCCACACAAGAGAAGCTCTGTGCTTCCCCGATCCACCGCTGGCTTCATCGTCAGTCACCGGTATCGCCAAGCAAACATGAAGTCACTGGTGTTCTTGACATCTCCCCGTCCCAAAATTTGGAATTATAATAATATCAAATTCTATTTCGACTGCTTTTTATTGCGCCAATGCAGGAACAGAACCATAAATTCCTCCTCCACAGATACAACATCTGCAGTAGCTGTGAAAGATCATTACATCCGACTGGTTTATCGACCTGTACTTCCGAGCAGTGACATCTTAATAGGCTACGCTTCGTGTGCAGTACCTCATCAGCAGATCCTCTTGGGAAAATCCGTCCACAATTACTCACCTGGATCGAGCTCGCGGGTTATCCTGTTACACAATATTCAACCGCCGCAAACGAATATTTGTATCCAATTTCTGTCTAGCAGTGCATGTATTCCGTAGCGGGCGCGACTTTCACTCGCAAAAATAAGACGAAGTATAACTATCTATTTTAAGCTACGGGTTCGACGGACGAAAGTGCTCTCTTTCTAAGAACTGAGTTCATGATCGACGTTTGCCGTCTTAAGTTGTGCAGCTGTTGAGGATGACCGGTCGGTGGCCAGATCGCTGCAAAGGGCAGATTGGCCAAACGGCTCGCGGGAAACTTCTTTTTCTTACAAATCCCGGCTCACTCCTTCATTAAGCCGGTCACGGCGCGATGACGGGGCTGGAACATTCCCGTTACTCCATACTTCCTCCCGCCCGTCCACACATAGACATACATATGTCCGGATACATTTGGACTTTTATGTTTCACACTCAGGAGTGAGCCCTGATTCGGTAAAACAACTCGCTTCTTGCAGAAATGACGAAATGTCTAAAAATACTCACGTGCTTTGACTGATTCATTTTTTTCGTGAGCTGCGTCGAGCAGATTCCCAGGCTCAGATGGACCAGCGCCACACCAGTCAAACTTGCGCCAGGGCGGTGTGATATCGGGATCGGCTCGTCCTTCCGCAGGTATGTATACCCTGAAATTTGCGAACCGAAACGCTGGGGATGCTGCTCTCCAATCAAGGGCTTGATATTCAACCTTGACAGAGTTTTGTCAATTTCGATTTACCCAAAGTGCTCAGTGCTGAAGCCATCGCAGCCTTGTCCATGAGGTTGCTGCAGGAACAGCAAGAATCGAGCGGTGTCTAATTATCAACGGTACCGGGTACATGGTAGCCTTAGCAAGGGACTTTCCGTGGTTGTCCCTCCAAACCGATATATGGAGCTTGTATTACGCCACCTTACGTCTATGCTTATTGCCACAACATACTCCAAAACTAGGCCAATTTGAGTTGCGGAAAGCTCGGCGGATTTTGGACAGAGCATGTAACTTGGTACCCTTTCGCGGCGCGCGGCGCATTGTAACCATCGCTCTGGTGGCCGGGTGCTCCTCGATCCGAACACTGGCTCAAAATTCGAAGAGGCAACGGTCTACGAAGTATCGTAGACATCTTGACGTGATACTCCCAATATTACCGTGTTTCGTTTCCATGTATCATCCCCGGGAGGTTCCTTTGCCGAAACTTCCTTTTGGATTCAGGAACGACTTCACATTCCCCAGGAATCCTCGTGGAGAATTGACAAAGTGTGCCTCTGATTGTGGATTGCTCTCCTCCACCTAGACTGTGGAGAGTCGACTTCAGGTTCCTGCCCACCGAGCCGGGTTAATCTGCTTTGGGAAAAGCGTGGCGCAGCCAGGTGCCGAATCAGCAGATCAGCTGGAAGCCACTAGCTGGGTGGGTCCGCCGCCTCCTGCTCAGGTGATCATGACTGGCATCCATGTCCATAACTCCGTAGGACTTAGCGGCGGGTCCAGGTAACTGCGGCGGCCATCATCCTCCCTTGCAGCGACGCTAAGAATAAATCTCCCACAACGTTGCCCCCCGGCCCTGTGCTTGTGGGTAGTCTGAAGAGCTCTGGGTTGCGCGAGTCGGAGCTCTCCTGGTGTTTCTGGGCTGGGCAGATCTTTGGCATCGCCTAGTGTAACCAGTCTGCAGCCATACGTTCCCGCCCGGTCCCTCACAATCATCTTTTTGCGAGCCCTGACATATTTTCTGGCGATGGTGATGGATGCTGAACAGCAGAAGGCAGGTGGAGCCACTCCTGCTGCCGAAACGGGAATTGCGCAGAAGCTCTCGCATGGGTTAGAGCGCGTACAACCCCTTGGCGCGCCAACCTCCCAGGAGATACCCAGGGACACGGCAAGGATGATGCTAAGAGAAATTCAGGACGCTCAGGAAGACGCATTTATCAGTTTCCAATGGACCTGGTGTCTCCAACCAACAAAGATGTCGCCTTCATGAATGAAACTAGATGGAACTTTAATGGATTTTCTTTTTTTTTTTGGGTGCTGAATGACCATCAAACAGTGATGATTGAATCGTCACCCAGGCAGGATCCTTTAGATATGGACGAGCTATCGATATATCGCCACGCCGTTTTAACCATGCGCACGGCTAGCGCCTATGAGTAAAACTCACTAGCAAACCAAGGCGAGGCTCGTGCGCGGGCGTGCTCTTATTTTTGCTCCATATCTCATTAACGTTCCCCGAAGCTTTCTCGAGCATAAAGCCTCTTACGCGGACTCTGTTATGACAGAAGCAAATCTATATAAACGGATTACATTAAGCTATATCCCGGATAATTGTGATAGGCCGGGAACGAGGATTTAGCGGAGTATTTTGGTAACTTGCACATTGCTTAACACACTATTTGAACAGTGCGTGAATTTCTAAAGGCGTGCACATTCCCGCTGGTATCAAGCCAAAAAGGAGACTTACATCATCGGGCAGATATATGTATATGTATGGCCCTGGGCTTGAGAGCAAGACGAGACCGGGGACGATGAGACATAGGGAGTCAATGCACTGCATGTATCTTACCGTGGAGCCGACTGCCATCGAATTACAGAATATACGGAGTACTTGGTATGTATTTATGTTCCAAGGCAGATCGCCTCTGCATACTCCGTCGTGAGACGGACTTTCTCATGAAATGTGTCCTCTGCCCACGAGTTCGCGCGCACATTGTGTTCCGGACGGTTGAACAAGTTGAAATGCACCATGCCGCTCACATTCCATGCAGTCTGTCGAGCTCTTCCAAGAAAAAAAGAAAAAAAGAAAAAAAGAAAAGAAAAGAAGAAAAGAAAGGGAAAGAGGGAGAGAAACACAGGGACTAACCGCATGCTGGGTTGCTGGGCTCTTGTCCGTCTGATCTACGTACTTCCTGATTTCACATGTCCGAACCAACAATGAAGCGGAGACAGGGGAAAGAAAGCTGCATATGCTTATCGCAGCTCGCTTTCTTTTTACATATTTCAAAAGGGCAAATGATGCATAGGCCGCACAATTGTGCATAGAACCTGCGGGACCGACCTCAGAAAAGCTACTTTGCAGAGCACTCTGCGTTCCTATCAGAGAGTACTCTGCTTTTAGGAGCATGAACTTGAAATTATTGATCGGCCTAGTGTGTGAGGTAGGCCCGGGGCCATTTCCGAACGACTGTTGGAAGCACGAAGCCCAAACAAACTTGACTCGAGGACGGTAAATGCTCGCACACTTCCCTTACAAGTTGAGATGCTGGCTGTTGACAGCGACGAAGCACACGATCCCTTCCGTCCCGCTCGTCCGCCCTTTCCATCATTGACACTGGCAAAGATCGCCAAAGGAGACGCGCACTTTCCAACCTCTGGCTATCTAGGCTGCGCCTCGGTGCTGGGTTGGTTACAGAGACCACGCTCAGTGACTGCTTGGTAATACGGCACAGCAAAGATATGGCCTTATGAAATGCTGTAACCTAATTGCTCGACCTTTAATGCCGATCGGCCTTGTGTTCAGGGTGTGCAGCTCTATATCCTGGGTTCCCTAATCCTGTCTGGTTGGGATTGATATCTGCGCCAGAGGATATGCACCTGCGGGAAATCTTCGTATTTATTCTGCAGCGGGAATACTAGTTACTGATGTAAGCAAGACCTGATAGGCCAGCTCATGGCGCAGGATGGTCGGCATTTCGAGTATTCCGCACTTTTTCTTGCGAGTCACGCATGACGATCCATGAACAGGGGGCGGAGCTTTGCTCTTCATCTCCTCGAAATAAAAGTCCGGATTGAACTCGACTCCAGCCTGGTAGCTATCTATGGGAGGAACTAGTTACTGAGCACTTCCCATCCCGGCCGATAGTTCGAGTTCATAAGTTAAGCCATCTTGAACGCATTAGTTAACATGGTTCCTGTGGCTGCACCCTCTAGTTGTGGCGATCATACCACTCCATGTTGGACTCTCCAAAGACCAGTTGAAAAGGCGCTTTGGATCACAAGCAAAAGCTCGAACACCTGGGCCTGGCCCACGGTGGATTTCGAACTGGGCTAATATCTTGCAGTCCAAAATGTACACTGTTTGTTGGGGCCAACACCTTTGAACGCGAAAAGCCCTGCACTGGCAGGATAGTTTCGATGCAGCTGCGCGGATTCTAAGGCTCGTCATACCTCTGCTAGTCATGCCCGGGCCTTTTCGTTTGCGAGCGGAGACTGACAAGCGTCGCTGGCAACTCCTATCGTCAATTGAGAGCAATATCTGTTAAGTATGAATGTTTGAAAACGGGACAGCTCTACAGCAGCACATCCCAAAGAGGAATCCTACACCGTGTGTTGGAGCGGCTCAAGACCCCCAACCAAATATGATTCATGAAGGCTCCTTTCGACTAGAGATTATAAGTATGTGCAAGGCATACACATCTGCGTCTCGGTGCTAGTGCTACCACTTAAAGAAGATTGTTTTTGAAATTGATATGCTTCAACCATGATTCAACTTTTTTGAGAATTCAAAGTGATCCAGTCGCTAACGAAGCTGCTAGAACCCTTCAGCCAATCAATTTCTTCCCAATCCGCATCGTCGATTCCAACCAGGTTGTGTGAGCCCTGAATGCCTGCCAGGCCGCCAGCTCAGAACGGTCGAAAACACAATCCCATTTTGCTGCCATAATCAAGACTTTATTTTACAAGTGAACCTTCCTCTAAAATAAATCACGTCAACGCTTTCGAACCGAGTAAACCCGTCAGAATCAAACCCACAGCCGCCCGTGACCAAACAGTCACCAGGGCACGGTCGAAAAATACAGAAATAGAGGAAGCAATGAAGGGAAAAGGTAGAATGGAGAACGAGGCGAATGGGGGGATGTAATGCAGACAACGGTACAGAGGTAGTCTATACAAGGAAGATCGATCCCGATGCGCCAGTTATGACCGCCTCACGGATATACAAATAAAGGGGAAATGGATTTCCCTCCGGGGCGTCCCAGAAGGTATACCAGGAGTCCGGTATTAAATGCGTTGAATGTAATAAAGAGGCAGGTGGAAGGTGGTTACGAGTGCGCCTGTTTCCCGGATGATGGGATGTGATGCGGTGAGAAGGATGTCATGAGTGTCATCGTCATTAAAATGGTGGTGCTGCGACGTTGGCCATGTCACCACTTTCCTGCTGCTCCATTAATTCCTCTGAGGCCATCTCGAATGATACAGCGAGGCCAATTTTCGCTTGTTGCTATTTATCGCATAAGTTAGGATAATATCTTAGACCGGTTCAAAGGGTGTCACTCAAGTGGTCACTAACCTTGACTTGGTCGATCTCTCCAGCGAAGGTCAAAGAGATGGGCATGGCAACTCTTTTCTCCAAGAGACAGCCCAACTTTCCAGAGCTGTCAATCTGAGCCCTGAAAGTTGATGCTCTGAATTCGTATTTTGCCCCAACGGTTGTGGTTCCTTCTTTTCGAAGGCCACCGCCCATCATGGGGTTGCCACTTGGGGAAAATTGAAGGTTCATGTCAACGCCTGCCTCCACTTTATCGGAAAGCTTCTTCCAATACGACGCATTGATTGCTCCCTGAGCTTGCAACTGAGCGCTTGCAATCCAATCACTACCCTTGTATCTGGCACAGTATGAGATGGCCGTCTCCGGGCGAGCATTGAGTCCTGCACGCTGCCACATGGCCTCTAATCCAAGGGCCAACCCTGGGGTAATAGATTGCAAATAGCTTCCAATGTATATTCCTGTAAGGCCACCCTCCAGGAATGATGGGTTGAACGCTTTGATGGAGACAGAGAAATCCGAGCCGGTGTAGTCGTTGTCGATTTGGATGAGTCCCTGGGCTGCCCCCGGCATGATCTGGGCATTGGCTTTAGTGACCAGCGCGGAGGTCCACCGATAATTGCAGACAGCGTTAAGAGCTCCATCACTGCCAATATTGCCTTGCATAAGTACCTACGGTAGATGTCAGACTTTGGTCCCTCGATTCCATGTAGGTGCGTAAAAGGGTGGTCAAAGGGAACTTACGCTGGGAGTGCCAAACATAGAGGAAAAGGCATAGGGTGGCAGGTTCCCTTGCGAACCCATTGTGAATGCATGCGAGACTCTGAAGAGCGGAGAAACGCCAAAGACCTTTGTCAGATCTGCGCGGAGGCCGGTGAACATGAAATTGGAGAGCAAAACATCCTTCTGCACTTCACGGGCAACATTCTCCACGGTGCCGGGGTTCGTCAGCCCAAGGGCTTCTCTTCGTTCCGAAAAGGCATCGTATGCGCCTTTGAGAATCGAAGCCACCGCGTTGTCGGTGACAAAATTGAGCGCGGAACCGAAATCGGCCATGGTGTTCGGAGGACGGGACCGAGGAGAGAAAATCTAAAGGAAAGAACCGGGCAGATGACTGTATCTATATCCAATGCCAGAATCTGCCAGTCGACGCCAACAAATTGAATCCCTCCTATGCGTCCCGGAGTTGTCGCTTTCGAGCAGTTGTGCAGGTTTGCAGCCAGCAACTGGGTGTTGAAGCTTTCGAAAAGCAGGTCAACTTTAGATTTTCTCCGTCCCTGCTGCTTACATCATCGGCACCAAGGCACATGACCTGGTCGCTAACCGGTTTGGGAAGTGTTCTACTGCCACTGGCCGGCTGCTCTCATGCACATAAATGATTTCACCCAGAGCGCGTGCAAGTCGCCTTCATACTCGTCCACTTGATACCGTTATCCACAGTCTGGAAACTGTTCTTTTTCTGATTAACTATATAAGACCGGGGGCCTAAAATCGCATCCGTTGAATGCCTGGTGCATCCAGTTTGGACATCATCATTCCTTATCAGCATCTCCGATAAGGACCATCAACAGAGTAACCGTCGGCCTGTCTGGCTATTTATATTCTTCCTGCTATCTGCCTTGAAGCTCAAGGAGCTTTAAGACATTTATATTCTGCATTTGCTTGACCCTGTCCTGGACCCTGCAGGATCTTTGCCGGACTCAAGTGAAAGTCGCACCCCCTCCTCCGGCTTTTGAGTTTAGTTCCGTGCCGGGAGCCCGATTTTCAAGTCTCAACGATGGATACCCATCTGTAGGTGTTGCTTCCTATGCGGTCCTTTCGGCCTGTCACATATGTGTGGTCGCTAGAATAAGCGACTAGTGTTTATATCTTTGAATGAGCTCGGTCTGTGGACTCGCTCTAACCGCTATCAGAAATCCGGATGTTATCGCCAGCTCGCCTCGATTCCGGCGAAAGTCCAGCACGTTCGTGGACGCTATTCACGATCTTCCGGATAAACCGGAGATTGCACCGGCACAGCTCTACAGTACAGAGTCTGGCCGTCTGTTCCACTCTGGTCGAATTGTCATTATTACTGTTGGCTTACCCGCCAGAGGCAAAACGTCGGTATATCGTGCACTAATTACATATACCAATGACTAATCGTATGTTCTCAGTCACATTTCGGTGGCTATCGCAAGATATTTGCGTTGGTGTGTAATGTCTCACCTGAATCATGTTATGCTAGTGTTGACTTCATTCCGGTCTGACCCAGTGACTTGTTTTGTGACTGTACAGGCTAGGTGTTAAGACCCGCATATTCCATCTTGGAGACTATCGACGTGCCACAGTTGTCCCTGGACAGGATCTCCCTGAGGACTATTTCTTCGTGAAAGGTGTGGTGAAATTCCCCTCCTGACTCGAGTGTACGATCCGAACATTCCCCCGATCTGACCCAACTTGGTCTATATGAATCTTGATTTTCTCATTTAATTATCGATATCCTGTTTTCATCACTAGCTAGCTTGGATCATTCGCTTACCTTGTATTGTTAGCATCCGCTTCATCCGTTCTTTTGAGACAAAAAATTGTCAAAAAGTGCAGAGATGATATATACCATTTCCTTAGCGATGAAAATGGTCAAGTTGCCATATATGATGCTGTCAACCCTATCGCAGCAGGTAGAAGGTCACTCGCAAAGGAGTTTGGTAAATACGGCATTCAAGTGAGTTACAAAGTGCCCAAATGTCTCCGAGGCTTGACTAATATGTTTAGACTCTCTTTATTGAATCATGGTGTGACAATGAGAGGATAATTGAGGAGAACGTACAAAGGGTAAAAATATCTTCACCCGATGTGAGTTCTCGATGAAGACCCCAAGCTGCTAAACGAAGCTCATATAAGTGACGCACTAGTACAAAGGATGGGATCCTAAAGACGCTGTAAAGGATTACTTAGCGAGAATTTCGGCCCGTATACCACAGTTTCAGACTATGGAAGAAAAGGATTTGAATTATATTAAGGTTCGTCCCTTTACACTCAAACCTATCCTAGATTCTTCGCTGACAATATCAGATGATTAATGCTGGGGACAAAATGATGATAAACAACTGTAGTTTCGGGTATCTTCACCATCGTATCGTTTTCTATCTTTTGAATCTGCATATCCAAAATAGACGTACATATTTCGCACGGGTACGTCATTGCCATGGAATGGGTGGTAAACTTATGAAATCCGCTAATTATTTTGCAGGCTGGAACTTCTCTCGAAGCAGATTCTTACAAAGCAGATGCGTCCCTTTCTCCGAAGGGGGAGGAATATGCTCAAAAAATGACCCGACGACTTCTTGAACACCGTGAGGAGGAAAGGCGAGTCGCCTTGGAACAAGGAGATTTAGAAGCACAAGCACGACCACTTATTGTATGGACTTCAACACGGCGCAGGACAATAGAAACTGCACAATACCTGCATAAAAAAGGCTTTAAAACGCGTCACAGGTCGCAATTGAGCCAGCTAAACCCGGGAGTGTGTGAAAAAATGTCAGAAAGGCGGATCCGGGAGGAATACCCTGATGAAGTAAAACAGCACGATGAAGATCCCTACCATCATCGCTACCCTAGGGCTGAGGTGAGCGTGATCTAACCCGGAGAGGCTGCATTCGCTAATGTTTTAGTCGTACCATGATCTGGCTGTTCGGCTTGAGCCTATTATTCTCGAGTTGGAACGTGAGAGAAACGATCTCCTTATCATCGCGCACGAGAGCGTTCTCCGTGTGCTGTACGGCTATCTGATGGCGTGTAACGCAGCCGACATCCCCTTCTTGTCGTTCCCTCGAGATGAAATCATCGAGGTAATTGGTTGAATCCCAATTCTCCAAATAATGCGGAATTAACTCGCCTGCTTAAATAGATTATTCCCGCAAGTTATAATAACGAAGCCAAAAGGATACATGTCCCAAATCTTCCGCCAGAAATAATCCCCGGTTCTCCTGAAGACATCAAAATACCTGTGCCACCTAGTGGCACTGTTTCTCCGATGCCCGATGGCTCCATTGGTGCTCTGACTAGAGGAGGGACTCCACAAAGTGGGCTGAGGACGCCACGCAACCCAGAAAGGATCTCGCAACTCCACGTTGAGGACGTCGTATAACGGACCGTTAATGTCACATTTATATATGTAAAGATATGTCATGATTTTTCCTCGTCTATGATGAGGAGCATACGTCCCTGTTGCCTTTCCCCTCCCAAATCTACCCTCCATGGAGGGTCGATACAAATAGAATATTATCATTTTGTTGTATTCGATACTGTTCTTCTCCCTCCAGCTCCCAATCCGCATCATTGATAAGCACGAGTATACCGGGACGTCTGTAAAGTACCATATATTAGCATTAATCAGGGAGCTTAATTTTGAAGGAAACAGCCTACACTGAGTCATCCAGGACGAACAGCTCCTTACGCTCGTCTTTCATCAGATTCTGGCAGAGATACTTGATAAGATAAGCGATGTTGGACGGAGCACCGGTTACGTCTAATGAAGGCAAGGAAAGCTTGTGTTTGCGCTGGTTTGAAAAGAGCATTTCTAACCCTCCACTAGAGCTATGGGGTTAGCATTTCAATGCATCTTGCTGTGGTTTGCGGTCTGCGGGGTTAGCTTTTGATCTGGGAGACGAACGTGAATTCCACTGTGATATCGAGCAAGGCTAGTTGGCCATTCTCGCCTGTCATGTGGGAGCCCATGGTGTTATCAAAGAGTAAGAATTAAATAATACGTCCAAGATTGTCAATTATGAGCCGGAGGCTGTAGTTTGTGAAGGCAGTTCTGAGAGGGAGGGGGCAGAAAATATCTTATCGATAAGCTCAGAAGCTTGGCTTGGGGCAATCATCAGTAAAACGACTGTTCTCCGTACGGAGTAATACACTCAAGCCTCTTCACGTTAGAGGCCACAAGGTTTCATAAGTTCCTTATTGCATCCTTTTTCCTCGAATATTACCCCTACCGGTAGCCATTCATGGTGTCCATTACAACGGAATATATCTGCGTCGGAGGCAATAGACATCCGGCTGCGGCGGACTGGCACAAACAGTCTGGCCTCGTCGCATATGGAGCAGACAACAATGTTGCACTTTGGGATCCTGCAGTATGGATATGTAGATGCTCCTGAATTGTTCCTAGCTAATTTGTGGTAGGACCGACATAATCGCGGCGTGCACGCTATCTTAGCTGGCCACACAGACAAAGTCAATGTGGTGAAGTTTCACTCGCTACGAAACGCAGATTCGAAACGTCCGCTGTTGATTACAGGCTCGGTTGATCGAACACTAAGGATCTGGGTGCCTAGCGAGTCAAGTCCGCTGACTTTTACACTCGCGGCCACGTTACAAGGGCATGAAAATTCGATCAATTGTATCGCCGTCGCCGAAAATTCAGATGTCTTTGTTTCTGGAGCAGCAGATGGAACGATAAAGGCTTGGAAGATTACGGAAGAAGCTGGGAAAGGGATACAAGCTAGTCTACTGGAATCTGTCACGGTCAAGCCTCGTTTCTTCCCCCTCACAGTGGCGTTAAGGAAGCTTAATCCAGGTACTACCAGCGGAGGGCTCATGCTAGCTGTGGGAGGTACGAGAAGCACTGTTCAAATTTACGTTGCGCAAGATATAAATGAGGCCCACTTTGAGTTGAAAGCCACTTTGACGGGACATGAAGGGTGGATAAGAGCTCTTGCTTTCACAAGTACCGATCTGCCGGGATCGCAAGATTTCCTGCTCGCATCAGCCAGTCAAGACAAATATATCCGCTTATGGAGGGTGCATCCAGGACTTGCAGCTATTCCAGCAGTACGAAATGCAGAAGATGCAATTTTGGGAGGCATGGAACAGGCCTTATCGAACAAGGCGCATACCTTTGATGCAGCGGGAACCACCTATACTGTCACATTTGAAGCTTTGCTTTTTGGCCATGAAGATTGGGTATATTCTATTTCATGGCATCCAAATCCTCAAAAGCTTCAGTTGATGTCTTCATCGGCTGATAATTCTTTGGTGATATGGGAGTCTGATCCGGTATCGGGGGTCTGGTTTTCTGGGTCCAGGATGGGAGAAATAAGTGTCCAGAAGGGATCCACAACTGCCACTGGCAGCGCTGGAGGATTTTGGATTGGGCTTTGGTCCCCAGATGGGGACGTTGTTATAAGCTTGGGCCGAACCGGTAGTTGGAGATCCTGGAGATACGATACCGATGCAGATGCATGGGTGCAGATACTAGGCATTACCGGGCATGTGAGAGCGGTCAATGACATTGTCTGGGAACCGAGTGGTGGATATCTCCTATCCACAAGCGCGGATCAGACGACAAGGTTGCATGCTAGTTGGAAGCACAATGGCTACCATTCCTGGCATGAGTTTTCGCGGCCGCAAATTCACGGATATGATTTGAATTGCATTGCCTCCCTTGGTCCGACAAGGTTCGTATCTGGTGCCGATGAGAAACTTCTGCGGGTATTTAATGAGACAAAATCAATCGCACAGCTGCTGGAACGGCTGTCCGGTTTTGCACAGTCATCCACAGAAGACATGGCCGAAGCTGCTAATATTCCGGTTCTTGGGCTCTCGAATAAGGCAGTGGATGATGCTGATGCTGATGCTGAGCATGAGGGTGAGGGTGAGGAGAACGGAACGGAAGGCGAAGCGCCATTGCAGGCAGTTCAGTTAGATCCCGATCGTCCTCCGCTGGAAGATCATCTAGCCAGACACACGCTATGGCCAGAGCATGAAAAATTATATGGTCACGGCTATGAAATCTCAGCTGTTGCAGCTACTAATGACCGGTCTCTTATCGCCACTGCGTGCAAAGCTAGCTCCATAGATCACGCAGTTATTCGCCTATACGATACCCAAACATGGCGCGAGATACGCCCGCCACTCACGGCGCATTCATTGACGATAACCTCTCTTCGTTTTTCATATGATGATCGATATCTCTTGAGTGTCGGACGTGATCGGCAATGGGCTGTCTTTGAGCGTGATTTCACGGATAAATCTTTATATCGTCCTTTTAGTTCGAATCTCAAAGCGCACTCGCGGATGATACTTAGTGCGAGTTGGGCACCGCACCCAACAACCAGCGTTTTTGCAACTGCTGGCCGAGATAAATCGGTTAAAGTATGGGCTCAGGAAGGCACAGCTTTTGTGTGCAAGTCCAGCATCCCCATTGCTCGTCCGGTTACCGCGATTGACTTCCTACCCACAGTCCTTGATGGTAGGTTGTCTTTGGCTGTTGGAGACGACTCCGGGGAGGTTAGCATCCATGATATTGCTATAGATAGCTTCACACCTGGGTCGCAGGTGACTATACCCAAGCATCAAAGCCCATCCAAAGGTATTTTGCAATTGGCATGGCGACCAATATCTACGTCGAATGAAAAGAAGCCTGGATACCAGCTTGCTGTCGCAAGTGACGATTCTTCGGTCCGGCTATACAACATTGATGACGTTCCACGTTAAGACAGCGTTTTTGGGTCCCTTCTTGGTTAAAAAGTATATATTTACATAGCTTGTCTCTAGACCAAGTATTTTTCTATGGCGTTGAAGCAGAAACTCACTCATCCACTACAGTATATCCCTTGTAAAATTTGATAATTGACTAGAGAAGGAAATTCGTCTCACCGTTAAGGGTTGAGAAAACCCAGTTAAGAGGTTAAAAAGGGTTGAACGTCACATGCCAGCCGACTCCGCCTATATTTCCATGTTATATCCTGGTTCCACTTTACTCTCACTCGGCCTTCCGGGTCGCGGCCCTCTTTCTTTTAAATCCCTCTTCAGCCATTCTAGAACCAACTCACCAAGTTGACTATTCTCAGACACTCTTGGTTTTCCGGCGTAAAACTTTTCAATCGCACCCCAGTCTCGTACTTGGCCCATATGCATGTGCACAAGATGAGTGGGCCAATTTGCAAGGTTATCCAAGATGTGAGTGGCATACAAGATAGTGCACGGTCGGATTTCCGTCTCTCTTCGCAAAAATGCCAGGAAATTTGCCCGACTGAGTAGATCTAGATCAACAGTAATTTCATCCAGCAGGAGCAGATTCCATGGCCGCAGTAGACCCATGGCGAGCTGAACACGGCGCCGCTCACCGTCAGAAACAGCGTGCATATGCCATGATAGATCTACGTCGAGAATCTCGACCAATTCATCGCGACGTTCAGGGTAGTGGTCGCCTCCAACGGATGCGAGGAGGGTGGGAACATCAATGTCTGTGCGGACGATGGGGTTCAGGACCCATTCCACCCCGAGATATGTGACGCCTTCAAGCCCCTCCTTAAAAGGATCGACACCACCGATAGTTACGGTATTAGCTGGAGCCAGGCGTTTTCCTGAGAGGAGACGGAGGAGAGTGCTTTTACCCGCACCATTCGCTATTAGATGGACAATTAGCGGCGATTGACTACTGGATAGGTCAAGATTAGAGGAATGAAGAACATATCTGACCTCCAATTAGCAAGGTACGGCTTCCCAGAGGGAGGTCAAGATTGATGTTTGTAAGACCAGCTGTGCCGTCGGGAAAGCTGTAGTTGAGGTCGTGAACGTGAACGGATGAATCCGGAGTGGCTGACGCCATGGCACTAAATACAAATTATTCCGCAGTTGGAAAAAATGGAATAGTTTAGACGATAGCTGGTGTGGCCTTAAGGCTGAACAATTGACTGAACCAGACGTGGGAATGGCTTTCGCAAAATAATACGACTTTTCTCGATTGCGGGGGTCACTCTCCGCTGCTGTCTCCAGTGACGCAGTTGTTCGTTTTATGTAAGCGGGTTTTTCAACGGCGATTTTACCCGCGAGAAAGCAATTGGCAGAAGACGTCTATCAACCATCGAGTTACTCATGTTCAGGACATTTAATCCTGTTAGGTTCTACTCAACTCCACTACGAATCCGCATGAAGCCCCTCATCACAGTCCTTGGGGCCACGGGAACTGGAAAGTCCAAGGTTGGTCACCAAACCCGAATGCCCTCCGTATATCATACAGTTGGATGATATCAAGACCCCTTACAAGCGTCATTTCATTTTGTTTTTTCCAAAACTAAACAATTGATAGTTGGCAGTTGACTTGGCTGTTCGCTTCGATGGGGAAATCATCAATGGAGATGCCATGCAGATGTATAAAGGCCTGCCCATAACAACTAATCAAATACCGGTCGAGGAACGGGATGGAATCCCACATCATTTGATCGCATGTATAGATATAGACCAGGAGCCGTGGAGGGTTAGCCAGTTCCAAAAAAGTTGTCTTGAACTTATTGAAGAGATAAGATCAAGGGGAAAACTGCCAATACTTGTTGGCGGCACGCATTACTATACCCAGTCTGTCCTGTTCCACGAACAACTCGTGGATAGAAGGAAGGATGAAGATGAGATTACCAATCAAGAGTTTGATGAAATTGCAGAGGGCGAAAAGTGGCCCATCTTGAATGCCCCAGCGGAAGAAATGCTCCAGAAACTACGGGAGGTTGATCCTGTGATGGCGGCGCGCTGGCATCCGAACGAGAGAAGAAAGATTCGACGTTCTCTACAGATATATTTGCATACTGGAAAACCAGCATCAGAGATATATAAGCAACAAAAAATGCGGCTAAAAAGCCTCTTAGCATCCACTAACGCACAACAGCATCGTGCCAGTGGCGATGTGTGTGAAGATGGGGAAACCGGGCATTTGAGATTTCCGACACTGCTCTTCTGGGTTCATAGTGATAGAGACATCCTTCATCAAAGGCTAGATGATCGAGTGGATGCTATGATCGACCAAGGCTTATTAAGCGAGGCGAAACATATGTTTAATTACCTTAAGGAAAAAGAGTCTGAAGGTGTTCATATCGATAGGACCAGGGGCGTTTGGGTTTCTATCGGATTCAAAGAATTGGATCCTTATATCAGTGCTCTCTCTTCCGGCCAGATGTCGCCCGAGGAACTCCAGGGGCTGAAAAAAGAACGCGTTGAATTCGTCAAATCAGCCACCAGACAATATTCCCGTAGCCAGATCAAATGGATCCAAGGCAGACTGTGGAAGTCGCTGGAATCAGCTAACGCTACTGACCGTTTGTATATTCTCGATTCGACAAACGTGGATGATTGGAAAAGGGCAGTTCGTTTACCTGCTGAAAAGGTCGCCGAAGCTTTCATCTCTGGTAACCCTCGGCCGCACCCAAATGAGATATCGGAGATCGCAAGAAAGGTGTTTGAACTTAAGAAACGAGAGGCCCAATCTTCTAGCGATGATATGGAAATCAAACGCAAGACCTGTGATGTCTGCAATGCAGCGGCTATGACTGAAAGGCAGTGGGAGATCCATATGGCAGGAAGACGGCATAAGAATGCAGTCAAGGCTGCGGAAAAGAGAGCGCAACGGGAGGAGTACTTTAAGCGCATACGAGGAGCTTCAGAGGGATGAGTGAGGAATTAGCACATATGGAATATACTGGTCATCTCGGTCTTGCGACGTAAGATGCCCAACAAAAGCCAAATCACGGGCCAAGTTTCCAACGGAAATTTTGGGATCACTGGTCCAAGCTTTTGGCTAGAAACCCTAGCGGCTTCGATGTGTGGGATCTTCCTAATTTCTGAAAAGCTCGGGGGCCACTGTGTTGCGTAGACCAACAGATATTCAAAGGACACCTGCACAAGAACTGCCTCGCACAATGGGATTGCTAAAGACGCCAAAACGCATAGTATGGGTATCAAGACGAAAATTTGAGACATAATGATACAAATATCTGTTGTCGAGTTCAATTCCGTGAGCGCCATTCGATGAAAGCATCCGATAAAATTCCACCGTGTCCAGAATCCTCCAGCTTAAAAACCTCAATGACGGGAGCTTTCTCCACTCTCCTTATCCTCCACATACCTTCGGTGTTAATTATACCCCGAATCCCTTATGCCATTAGTTTCAATTAACATTTTGAGCTTAAACTCTTGCGATATGGGGACAAAGAAACTCACATTCAAGTAGTTGAGCCGTGAAATTGATGCAGATGTTTCCATCCCAGTTACGTCTTCCTTGCCTCTTGACAAATCCGGGAATCTCGTGAGTTTGAAATTCTTCAAGTCGTTGCAGAATGCCGTGCTCATTTCGAAACCCAACAACTATCTTGGGGACTCCAAGAAGGAATGATTGCGCCCAAAATTTGAGAAGCTTCCGTTCAAATTTTAGCATGTCTCTATCATTGCGAATCTCCGCAGATGTTTTCAGTTCTACCCAATTTATTGGATCATCTTTTCTGTCCGGTTTGCAATCCCATACTGTTATGAATTAGTGAGCGTGCGCTCCCACAGGGTCTGGGAGGTCAGTAACCAGCTCACCTGCATCGACTTCACCGCCGATGACCAATTTCACGCCTCCTATACCGGTACGTACGACAGAGCAATATTGGGAATTATTGTTCACAATCTTGTGTTCTCGCGACTCGATCGTTTCCCGTGACACGGCGTCCCAGGGCTCATCAATGAGCGATAAAGTTTCAAACTTATAACCTAACCGCATTGTTGGTCAATGTGGACTCGGAAAGACGTTTGGCATTGGAAAATAGCCTACCCCAGTACATCATCCTGTCCTGAGAGGGAGCCCCCGGTGGCATTCTTTGCTCTAGTTGTATCTTTTTCTGAGCATTCTTGTATTCGTTGTTCTCTTCGATAAAGCTGAGCCACCGTGAGACGAATGCCAAAGAACACCCTGATAATTGCCAAAGAACTATGGTAAACCGGGTGCAACTTACATAGAGCCCTTTTTAATGAATAAATCGTCAGTCCCAATCATGATCTAGGGTAGCATGCGGGAATCATTTTGCCCACTTGATAGTATGTAGCATTCATTTCGAAGCTGTAAATCTCTCAACACTTAGCGTCCGAGCTTGCAAGCCTCTGAAATAGCTGGGAACATATGATATTACCCGTTCCAATTGTCAAATGAAGCAGTCATTAACTTCCATATCAGAATCAGCACTCTCGTTCGATAGACTTGCTGTTGTATGCATTCCCTCAGAGCAGCTCACAAACCTTGGTCATCATGCCCCTCCATGTTATCACATCGGCCTCGCACTTCGCACCTGTGCTCTTCTCTAGTGCGATAATGGTGTCGAGTAGCGCATCCAGATGTTCATCTGCCGAATCGTCGAGCTTTTTGAAGGTTTCGAACCCACCGTTCAGGTCCACGGGTAGGCGAGGAGGATAGTAATAACGGAGGGACGACTCATCAAGGAGGAAATTATGGTCATCGTCGTAGGAGAAACATGCGATTTCCTTTGAAGCGTTAGTAGGTAATGCGCTAAGAAAGCAGTAGCTAAAGGGTCGCCTGCTGTATTCCCTAGACGCAACAGCTTACCTTTGGGCGTCGGATTGCGGCATTCGAGCCAGCAAATCGCTGCAAAGGGTGGATATCAAAAGTATGAGAATTCATGATTCGTTTATGAAGAAAGGAAAAAAACAAAAGAGAAAGAGAAAAAGAAAGCTGAAGAGTAGCTTTTCTTCGAACTCATATAGCTTGTAATAGAGAGACGGAAGCTCGGGAATTTTGGCGCGGTGTACCGGGAAAATAGTTACTAAATAGCGGGGGGGAAAAAAGAACGACGCCGCAAGGATTCGAACCTTGGCCCCCGAAGGGATCACATATCCTAAAGCAGGAGCTTCAAGTGTGACGCGTTAACCACTCCGCCACAGCGCCTCTGCATGTAGCAAATGCATTTTTTAACATTTTTTTTTTTTTAAAAAAATATTCTGAATCTATATTCAATGCTCTGCTCTATCACACTCGCGGCCGCAAATGCAGTCCCACCTAAATCCGGCCACCTTATGAAAGACCAGCCCGCAGCGATCTATGACCGCATGTTTATTGGTTTCAGTCTGTGGCCACAGACGTTATAAAATTAAAGAAAAACTATATCTTCTTATCTTTTTTGTGCTGTTATTTTGTTTGGAGACTGAATAAGATCATCGCCTCTGCGTCCTAGGCCAACAGCATTATGACCTCCCAGATCGACAAGACAATTGCTCGGCAGCAAGAGAAGTACGCTCAGCACCGTTAGATGTTGCGGATATGCTGTTTCTAGCTCATGCTCCTTTCGATCTTCCCCGTATCCGTGCTGCGCATTGGCGTCTCCTAACTTAAATTGCCTAACACTTGCTCTCTATAGGATCGCCGCCGGAGCATACTATGAATCCCACCAACAACTTCGTGTCATCGCTGCCCGATACCTGAAACAATCAAACTATGATGCCGCTGCCGAACTACTTGCTGGGGGCGCGATCGCGCTATTAAAAGCTGGAGCTCAGCAAGGTGCCTCCGCTAGTGGCGGTGATCTCGCGATTATGCTTGTGGTTGATGTGTATAACAAGGCTGAGTGGGAGCTTTCCGACGATGAAGTAGGCAATAAGAGAAGACGTAAGTTAGTCTCGTCCTCTTGAAGCGTTTGTCACGAAAGTGTGATCTTTGGGACCCTGGTTTGGCTCACTGTTGGATGATAGAGCGTTTAATCGATATTCTGCAAGAGTTCCCACCCGAAGAGCCTACGAGAAAGAGATATATAAATGAAATGATTGCGTGGAGTGCAAAGTTTGGATATATTGAAACAGGCGACCCAGAGATGCATCATGCTGTTGGGTCTATCTATGCTGAAGGTCAAACACCCTATGAAGCCCAGCTTCAGCAGTCTTTATTGCTGTTTACCCACAGCTCTGCGATAGGGATGCTAAATACCGTTAATAGAAAACGAAGTGTATGACGCAGAACGACATTTGGCTTTAGGGACAGCCGACTCGGCGGAGATACTAGCACGACTAGAGTACACTTGGTATACTCACGATGCGGTGCACACAGCAGGAATATATGCAGCTCGTGCAGTATTCCCTTATCTACTGACTGGAAGCTTTCGAAACGCGAATAAGGCATTTTTGATTTTCAGAAACCAGTTATCATCGTCCCCAACAAGCCATGCCCTCAATGTCCAAGAAGTGAGCAGTCAGAGTAATGACGTTCGCGTTTATCCATCACTACCACTGCTAAATTTCACAAGTTTGCTGCTGCTGGCTATTCAACGCGGAAATGCAGACTCGTTCAAGCAGTTGCTAAGGCACTATGCGACGTATATCCAGGAAGCAGGAGAATGGGACCAGGCGCTGGCTCATATCGGGGAGGTTTATTTTGGCATAAGGATACCCAAACAGTCGAATCCTTTAATGGATATGATGGGAATGTTCTTTGGCGGAGGTCCTCAAGGTGGAAATAGGTCAAAGACGCCGCAACGATCCAAAGCCGCGAAGCAGGTTGATGCTCCGCCAGTGTCGATGGATTTGGATTAGGTTGGAATGCGACCTTGGAGATACCCTGTCGATTAAATGTGACTGAAAAGTAGAGTGGGGCGTAAAGGCGCAGCAGCCGTGAGTGCTTATGTGTGGCTTCCACCTTCTATTTCAAACATCCACCTGTCTTCATCTAGCAAGGCGACTCTATTCTTGAGACTTTGTTGGATAAGCAAATACACCTCTACACAGCGCTAGTTAGTAAAGCATGATGTATAAAGCATAATCAAGAGTTCAATCTTAGTGGCTCGTCTCGAGAGGCTGCATGAAGCGCTCAATGTGTGTAATATCTGCAAAGGAGGATATTACATACCAGAAGGTTCACTATTCATCTGCCTGCTTCGATTACGCCGCATTAGTTCCGCGATGCTCGCCTCGATTTCTGTAAAACGAGTTCATATATTAGCCGTAAGCCCTATTTAGCCTAGGATTGCTATCTTCCAGCTGGAACCAGGCCAGGAAACGGGAAATATGTACTCTCTTTATCCGCACAGCTTATACCTCCGTCGTGCTCCAGTCCAGTATGTCCAACACTTTCAACAGCCCCCATCACCTCATCAGCGTCCTCATCGCCAGCACCCTCACCAAGACTTCCGGGTTGTAAAATCGGCACATCGACTTTATAGGTGCCATTCTTGTCCCGCACGACGATATCGCCTTCGTCTGGAAGAGAGCAATTTAAAGATAATACACCCGTCATAAGGCGGGATTTTAATATCCCTCCGCCCAAGGTGCTGCTCATTCCACTCCCATCACCGCTACCAGAGATTGTGCGGGTGTGGGTGCGATTGCGAGAAGTTCCTAGAGAGCTAGTGGAGGTGGACGAATTGTGCTGACGGCGGCTGAGGTGAGCGTGAAAAAGGTTCCGTCGGACTGTGGAAGGCGCGGCGGGAGGAATTGGACGCGAAGAGATTGGGCGATTGGTATCAGCGATGGTGGTTGAGGCGTTGCTACTGCTGGCAGACGGAATGCGGGTGAAATGGGATCTAGATGCCATGTTCGGTGGCGAATGGATGTCACCATGAGGAGCGTTCCTGAGGGCGATATGGAAAAGGATATTGTCAGCCAATAAGGTGTGACTAGACCATATTATAAGGAAATATTTGTTAGGAAGAATAATGTATCCATAGCTGAAATTTGCGGGTTACGTGGTTCTTGATTCCATATCTTAGGTGAAATGCACGGAGTATGGAGTACAGCAGGTAAGGTAGTTCACCACTAAGCGAGCCACACCACTAAACAAGCCAAATCTTCCACCACCAAAATTCCTCCAACATTCAACATTCAATATGCAACAACATGGTCAACAACACCTCAATTAGGCTTGCAATTGAAGATCTTGAATCACAAGAGACCCCAAATTACACTACAACCATGAGAAAGTACTCAGTTAATCAAGAGATCCTGCACCAACAGTATAAAGACTTGCAACTTGCTCAGAATAAAGCAGTCTCCTGATATAAGAAAAAGCTCTCTGATATACAGAAGACAGAGCTCCTGAATTATATAAACAAGCTCTCTAGCTGTGGCCTTGCCATTACATCTCAGATTCTATAAAATATTGTATAAGAGATGACAGAAGAGAATATTGGAATCAACTGGGTTAATTAATTTTGCAAGCAGTATAATAACAAGATCAAATGCATTTATCTCAAAGCAATTAATCAAAATAGACAGATAGCAGATAATTATCAGTGCTTTAAGCACTTCTATATACTTATAATTTGATGATTTATTTGATTACTTGCAATTATAGTTATTGATACTGGCTAACTATTTGACTACTACTTATAAAATAGTTGGAGCAGAAAATTAATTAATATAATCTTGAGCTCTCAAATATCTACAACTTTAATAAAAAAGAATTCCTCCTAGGCTTCTGCCATGTCTTAAAGTGATTAGTCTCTATTAAAGCTCTATAAGCTGGAAAGAATGCTGCTATCCAGAATGATAATTGGGAATTCCTCTCATTACTTTACTCAGTCTCTGCTGAAGAAATTACACTACCTCCAGCTCTTATTTACCAGAGTAAATCACAAGATCTCCAGAATATATGGCTAGATAATTATAATAGAAGTGAATGGGCCTACTTTGCAGCTTCAACAAATGGTTGAAGCAATAATAAATATAGACTGAAGTGGTTGAAATGGGTTTTCAATCAGCATACTAAGAAACAAGCTGGTTGAGAAAGATATCTACTTCTACTAGATGATCATTTCTTCTATATAAATATGAAATTTATCAAATATGCTGACTGTAAAAAGATTCTTCTTATAATTCTTTCATCACATTCAACCCACCATTTGCAATCTCTTGATATTGGAATCTTTGGATCACTGGACAAGGCATATTCCAATAAGCTGGAAGCACTACTACATCAAGAAATAAGCTATATTTGAATAACAAAAAGGGATTTCTGGAGACTATTCAATATGGCTTGAAAGAAGACTTTGACAGTTAAAAATATACTTACTGACTTTGCAAAGACTGGAATTAACTCTCTGGATTCTCAACATTAACTACACTAATTTGAAACTGCTCAAGTCTCTATACTGTCAGTTAAATCTTCTATTCCTAGCAATATGCATCAGCTTCAACAAGAGATCAAGAGTATATGTCTCTGATACAGTCTAAATTTACAGAGTATTAAACAGATTATTCAAGCTAGTGAGCAGTTTGCTCTTTATAATGAACTGCTGGAATATAAGAATCAGCAGCTAAGATTAACTCTAGTAATGAAGAAGCAATGCTGCAAGTGAGGCAAGCCTCTAGATCTACTTAATAAAGATAATTCTAGTCAAGTACAGTTCTAATCTTTAATAAAAGTTCTTAAGACACACAAGCATCTGAATAAAATAGAGGCTGAAAAAGCTGATAAAATTACTCAAATATAAGAGATAAAACTTCAACAAAAGCTTCAAAAGAAGCAGACTGCTAGAAATATTAAAAAAAAATAGATTGAACAGAAGAATGCCTGTAAAAAGACTTGAGAGTAACAAGAGACCAAAAAAATTAAATATACTAGACAAAGAGAGACACAATATGTTGCTTATAAGAAGAAGAAGACTTTACAACTAGCAGAGAAGAAAAAATAAACAGTTGAATATGCTAATAAATACCAGCAGTCAGAGCTTTAAGTACTGGCTTCAAAGCACCATCAGAAGAACTCTTCTACTAAAGAGTCTTATTATGGAGAGCCTATACAACCTTCCAAAAGAGGAAGTAAGAGCTCTACAAGTATCTCTAGCAAGACATTAGACTTTCTAGCTGAGAAATCTACTGTTGACATTCCTTTGAATTCTTTCCTATCTACCCCCTGAATCTCTCACTCTGGCTGTAATATTAGGTCATCCACCTGTTTATTTTCCTAACTATACTAATTTCTATGCTTTAAAGAATACATTTATTTAATATTTAATAGCTATTTAATAATAAAGATCTGGTTGTTGAGATATTTAATAAATTCATTGCGTGGAGCATTTGGCGAAATTTGGCTCGTTTAGTGGTGTGGCTCATTTAGTGGTGAACTACCTTACTTAGTTAGTTAAGTAACTAATTGTTAGTTAAACATTTTTCCAGATAAAACATTTTATTTGTCAGGATTTATTTCCTATAGTTACCAGAATTCTTCTGGAACATGTTCAAAAATATAAACACTATCAATATGGAGTATAGACTGTAAATAAATCCTAACTGATTTAGTAAAAGAAAGTCTTCTGATCAAATCGCAGGAAGTTCCTTTGCTACTTCACTAGAGTCATTTCTTCTCTCTCTTGCCCAATGTCGCGCATTTCACGCATTTCGATATGCAGTAGCTGCCTCTCGAAAGGTTCTGTATCACCAGTCATGGCCTAAGGCTTGGGCTGGCTCGTAAAATACTCCAGATGACCTCCAGGATTCCCGAGCCGTGTAGAATGCGAGGTATAGAGCTTCGTGCTATTGTGATAGGGTTGATGAGATGGTATAAGCATTATCATATTAAACCAATTCCTCATTACGGTATGACTAGAGACTCTGCACAGACCGAGCACCGAATGCACCATCATAGGAAGCATGCCGCCGGGCTACCGCGGCAGGCTGTTCAGGTCCTTTAATCTCAAGATAGAAATTTACGCAGATTGGACGACTGTCCTGTGTCGAAGTCCACAATGCTACTCAGTTCTTCAATGTTCAGGTCGAGCACCATGAAAAGTGATCGGGCCAGGAACCGGAGACAGTACCATCAGTTAGGGTTTCAGGGTTTCCAAAATTTGACCGTCGCTAATTCAGCCTTCAATAAAATTTACCAGCGAACAAGTTGGTAGTTCATTGCCTGCAGCCGCATTTGCGTCTTGGAATTCTTCAAACTGTTCATAACTTCGATGGAGGATCGTGGCCGAGTCAATGCTTCATTGATTTTCTTCCAGTGTCCAGCCATCGGGGTTACCCAGAGATCTGGGTAAATCCCATGACCAATAAGATGCTGTTCAAAGCCACGACGATAAGTCCCATCACTGCGTGGCGTTCGCTTGTTAGAGGATGGGATATTACTTGAAGGGCGCCTTTTCCTTGAATGATGGCCTTGGTTTGGAAACATCCTATCCTCAAGGACTGTTACTAGGTGGGAACTATTGGGCTAATTAGTTAGAACTACGGAGTACTCCGTAGTCCCCGCAAGAACTAATTTGAGATTTCCATACATTTCAGGGATCAGAGATATCAGAGCCCCCAAGCCGTGCAAACTTTATCTCTCTCAGATGTTGTGACAAGGAGCTGCACAGGAAATCAACGAGTGTTGTGCGTCAGAAAGGCGCTGGGCGTGTTTCAGTGTTTTCCGATTCAGCTCCCTCAACATTTTTGTCAAATAGACTTTTGTTAAGATGTTTTTGGCAGTTTGCCCAGAATAGCTGGCACCTCAAAAGTACGGGGTTGGTATGGAGCTCGAATTCTGCCCCCGAGCCGCCGTTGGCCAATTGAAATTCCTCGGCAATCTGTTCTTGGAGAACTTCGGTTTCGGCGCGCCGTTCTACGGAATACCAGTCCCAGGTCATCATAGGCCCTGTGCGCTAGATGACCTTGAGCGAAGAAAATGGCATGACAGTGAGCAAGAAGTAGCAATTTACAGAATAATCCGCCGGCCATGACTCAGACAAATATTTCCCCTTGGCAAAACATTGTTGCCCGAAAGAGGGAAGCCAGGAATAAGGCGCTCAAGCCTTTCCTTACAGATAATTTGAACCACAGAGGAGAGTGGGTGGTGTCCGTAGCTGAAAGATCGCAAACCGGCTCGGAGAAGACCCAGATTATCACGGACATCAGCAGCATTGAAGTCCTCCATCAGCAACTGGAGAAGGGAGTTTTCACGGCGGAAGATGTTGTCCTAGCTTATATCAAGAGGTTCGGGTGTTCTGTTGACTATAGCCTTTACCGATTCTGTGACGCTAACTGGTGTCTTCATAGGGCAACAATTGCCCATCAAATGGTTGGTGACCGGACTCATTTGATGTGTTTTAATTTGCTAACAAAAGCTATTGCAGACCAATGCCATCACCGAAGTGCTGTTTGAGGATGCGCTCAAGCAAGCCCAGGAGCTTGATAAGACGTTCGCGGAGACGGGAAGGCTCCAGGGCCCACTGCATGGGATTCCTATCTCACTTAAGGACCAATTCAACGTGAAAGGTCATGACACCACTTTAGGATACGTTGGTCGTTCGTTCGCACCCGCGAAGGAAGACGCAGTGCTGGTCCAGATTCTGAAGGATATGGGTGCGATCCCGTTTGTAAAGACGAATTTGCCGCAGAGTATTATGGTAGGATTTGCATTTATGCTGTGACTTTCAACCTTTGTGGATTATATTCTTGCTCATTTTATATTGCTAGTGGTGCGAGACGGAGAATCCTCTCTTCGGGCTCACGCTCCATCCGATGGACCCGGAACTCACACCCGGCGGATCGACAGGAGGGGAAGCTGCCCTACTTGCACTGCATGGTTCCGTACTCGGATTTGGCACAGATATCGGTGGCAGCATAAGAATCCCTCAAAATATGGTTGGCCTTTATGGATTTAAGCCGAGTGTGAGTTAATACTATACGCTGTCCGTGTTATTTCTGAGGGTATACTAATAAAGTGGCAAGAGCTCCCGATTGCCTTATTATGGCGTTCCTGTCTCTACAGAGGGCCAGGAGCATATCCCTTCCGCTGTTGGGCCGATGGCACGAGATTTGTCCACCATCATTCATATCAGCCGCCTTCTTGCCCAATCCCAGCCTTGGAAATTAGATCCAAGGTGTGCCCCCTTGCCTTGGAGAGACGATATGTTTTTGGAACTCCAATCTCGGCCAATGGTGATCGGCCTCATCGTCGATGACGGTGTCGTGAGAGTCCATCCGCATATAAGGCGACATCTACTCCGACTAGCAGACAAACTAAGGGCTTTAGGACACGAGATTGTGGAATGGGATACCGAAGGGCATGATGAATGCATCGCTATTATGGACGCATACTATACCGTTGATGGGGGCGAAGACATAAAGCGTGACGTGGCCATTGCTGGCGAACCGTATGTCCCTCACGTCGAAGCTCTCATAAACAGGGGCAAACCCATCTCCGTGTACGACTACTGGCAATTAAACCGGAAGAAATTTGCTGCTCAAAAGAGGTATCTGGATAAATGGAAAAAGACAACATCTCCGTCAGGCAAGCCTGTCGACATTCTTCTCGCTCCAACCATGCCACATACAGCCGTACCCCATCGATGCTGCCGTTGGGTCGGCTATACGAAAGTTTGGAATTTTCTTGATTATCCTGCACTTACATTCCCAGTTGGTAAGGTCGACGCGGATCTCGATATCCTTCCATCTAAGCTGTATAAACCACGCAATGATTTAGATGCTTGGAACTGGGCTCTCTACGATCCAATCAAGATGGTAGGATACCCCGTTAACCTTCAGATTATAGGGCAGAAACTGGAAGAGGAGAAAGTTTTGGGTGCTGCAGTTGTGATAAATAAGGTTTTACGCATTCAAAGGAGTGATCGAGTTCAAGAGAATTGAACCGGGGTTGCTTTGAAACAGCGATTAGACCAGCTACAAGGAGTGGACGCCTTGTCTCTACATCGAGCCACAGTGCAAGTTTAACTCCTTAAGTACCATAGGTGTTATTTATGCTTCCTGCCTGTACATGTGGTAGGGCTTGAGCGGCAGCTCACCGCTGTGGACACGATCCATATTTGCTGCGATGGGTCTTTCTTTAACCTAGGCTACTGCAGCCCTTAGGTTTTGGGCGTTTGCGGGGTACAGCAGCTCTATGTGTGGGGTACTTACAGCGTATTCCGTAAATAGTTCCATGAGAATCTAGTCAATATACCAGCCAAGTTCCTTGCACACTACGACGTACTTAAAACTTCTCAGGATCCCCTGTGGCTTTGGCAAGCTCTACTTTACAGACAATCACGATGGGAAAGAAGCGGGTTCTCGTTGGTTATGGTGTCGATATAGACGCCGTTGCCGGCTGGCTAGGCTCATATGGCGGTGAAGATAGCAGCAACGACATAAGTCGAGGTGTGTATTCACTACTCTGGCCAATCCACACTACTGAATTGTTAACACAAAAAGAGCATAGGTATCTGGGCAGGCACCATTGGAACGCGTAGACTGCTCAAACTCTTTGAGAAGTACAATATCAAGGCAACATGGTTCATTCCCGGCCACACGCTTGAATCATTCCCCGAGGAATGCTCCATGGTGCGTGATGCAGGCCACGAGATTGGGCTGCATGGCTACTCCCATGAGAACCCCACGGATATGACGCTCGAGCAGCAGCGAGACGTGCTTACCAAGACATATCGTCTCATCACAGATTTCTGCGGTAAACCACCACGAGGTACTGTTGCTCCGTGGTGGGAAACGAGCAAGGAGGGCGCGGAGCTGCTTTTAGAGTATGGGATTGAGTATGACCATTCAATGTCGCATCATGATTGTCAGATGTATTGGCTTCCTGCGGAGGCCAAGTGGACCAACATTGATTACACAAAGAAAGTGGAGGAGTGGATGAAGCCGCTCAGTATAGGATCGCCGACGGGCTTAGTAGAGATACCGGGAAATTGGTATCTGGATGATTTGCCGCCCATGATGTTTATAAAGAATGCACCGAATAGCCATGGATGGGTAAACCCAAGGGATGTGGAAGATATTTGGAAGGTAAGGCAAATATGTTATACTCTTTGTCATTAATATGCAAAAGCTGAAAATAGTTATCCCTTATAGGACCATTTTGACTACTTTTATCGGGAGTATGATGAATTTATCTTTCCAATGACAATCCATCCGGATGTTTCCGGGCGCCCTCATGTATTGCTTATGCATGAACGGTGAGTAGTATTGTTATTTGAATGACATGCTTTCTCAAAGACTAACAGGGTCTCTATAGATTAATTGAATATATTAACAAGCATGATGGTGTTGAGTGGGTGACATTTGAGCAAATGGCAGATGATTTTAAAAGTAAGAACACCCCTCCTGCAGGAGCCTTGATGCCGAGGTCGCCCAAGGATGTGCTGCAGAGGATGTCAGGATCCTGATTTATAATATACATTGCTTGAAACATTCTTGCGGGAATTGGTCTGGCTCCTTTAAGAATATGAGAGATAGTTGGGAGTGAATTAGCTTTGAGGGAAGTGGAGATTGTAGAAGGATTTCTGTTCAAGACACGTTGTGTTTAACAGACGAATTGTTTGTCAACAAGTCGCAGATGTAGTTATATATTCTTACAGCCTCAAACCCTAAGTCTGAATAATTTATTCTTCAAGTGTAGTCCTTTACCACAACTGAGGCCTAAGAATAGAGTAAGAAAGGAACTCGGAAGACGCTTGCAATGTTCCGCTACTCCCTAGTTCTCGTGTGGGGCAGACGTTTCAATCCAGTGTACTCCGTAGGGAGTATGGCGCCTATGTTTGCGCTTGAAGTCTATTTTTTGCACAAGCCAGGAACCAAATTCGCCCTCTTCCCAACTAGGCCATCAAAATACTCCAGCAGTTGGGAAACAGGAATCATGTCCATCTTGCCCAAGTCCGGATTCGAACTGTGCATTACTCGTCCACCGAACAGAACGCGCACAAAATGCTCCTTTTTCGGCTTGTTTAAGCCAGTCCTTTTCGCGTACAGTTCGAATACTATTTCAGCCCCCATTCCTGGCCAAACCATCTTGTCGATTTGCATGATGGAGAGAACGCGCGATATGCTGCCGTCATGAGCAATATTATGTCTATAAACCATCTTGCCATCGTGTCCGGAGATCTGATCACGTAGATGTTGTGCTAACTCGGCAATCCAGACGCCCATGCTGGCAGTGCTAGCCGCCAGGGAGGTGGGTGCATCACGATAGATATAGGAATATTCAAACTGGCCCAGGCGGAAGACCGTATCCGCTTGCGATTGAGAGATGCATTTTGACGTATCGTTGACGGAACAAGGGAGAGGCTTCGCATGACAAAGACGTGCGGATAAATTGTCAAAGTAGTGATCAAAACTCTGGTGCCAACCCGAATCAGAAGGAGGAACACCCGAAACGGAATCCAGCGAGGAAAAGAGGTCCTTGGTCCGAGAGAGATGTTCAGCCCACGTAGTGTTTGGCTGGCTTTTGGCCTCGGAGAAAAGGTCTGAGGCTTTAGGGCATGAGTAAGAAGGCTCAAGGGAGTCAATTGATTCAGACTAGCATTGATTAACCAGAGCGTTTCGTTTAGGAGTGGGCTTTGCCTTACCTCAACGTTGAGAGGCACATGGCCTGATATCCCATACATCCCGTTGATTAGCATTCCAGCAACCTGGCTCGTAATGACGTTTGTCGTCACCCGAAAAGATACTCTATCCAAGTCAAGCTTTCTGGGAAGAAACTTCAAAAGATCATGGTACACAGTGTACAGGTCGTGACCATGCTGCCACGAGTCGTCCAGCCCTCCTTTACTAATCTGCGGAAACGTGCATGTGCCCTTAAAACCGGGGGCAGAGAATGGGGTCACCGGATTCTGGTATCCTTTCCAGTACGGTTCGGCGCTTTGCTTGCCTTTCATCGGTTGTCCGTAGAAGTACAAACCTTCGTCGTCACAATTCCAGGGATATGATTCCTCGGGGAACGTGTTTGACTGGTAAGGAGTACGCTTGTGGTGACGGTGAATCTGTAACGAGCTTTAGAATAGTGCACAATGGCCAGTTGCCATCTTTGCAGCACGCGCAAGCGCAGAGGTTTGACGTACCACTTCCACGTATTGCAATTCATAATCTTTGGGGGGCTTCGTGTACTCTCGTCGGCGCACATGCGGCATATTACACCAATTGTACTGGCCATAGTCCTTGTCTGGAGTATGCGAAGAATTGAAAATAAAGCCATAAACTCCAGAAGCATTAAGGACTTTGTCAAGGTCATTAATTTCGGTGGAGCTGGGCGCATGCCACGAGGCATCCACCGCCCACGCGCCCTTATTCACAAGGACAGGGAGCAAGGCATAGAACCAATTGGGGGAGAGCATGATGGCAAGCGAAAGAACGAGCGGACACAGCGACGACTAGGTATTAAACTAGACGACGAGATTGGAGCATTGCAATCAATAACTAGCATTTGTCGGGTCTTACGATTATATATATGTATATATTATATATACATACGGAGCATTCATCACCCATCTGATCAGATGCCTCCCAGGCTCGATGGCGTTCTTCTTCTTGGGGTTCGTTAGCCCAAAGGTAAAGATCGACACGCATCGAGCCCGTCCCAATCAAATGCCACACGTGCGATCTGCTTCTGTCCTGCACGAATTGATAGCGGTCGACGGCCCATATTAACAAAAATCTAGAAACGAGTCGGCATCTTTAGCAGTGAAGTACTCCACATTAGTCCTTTGAAGAATTGGTCACTGTCGGTAGCTCCAAGCCGGCCAACTTTAGAAACCACCACGGTCAAGGAGAGGTTGAAGTCGTCTCTCGTCCATTCGGCGAGAGATTCGCTCACAGACACCTATTCTCGGCGCCATACTTTGCCATGGCCAGTGGGCCTTGTCACTGGTGGTTTTCAGCGCGCTGGAACAAATGAGAACATCGCATCGAGCAACGTTTAGCAAAGGAGAGCTGGGACTCAAAAAGGGGCAGAGTGGTCACGTGTGATAATCCCCGCGATAAGGGCTCGTCGTTCCACGTGGTGCGACGCGTTCAGACGCCAAAGCCATAGCCGCGTCTCCTCCACGGGCCTGTGGAGAGGAGTGAGTTCAGATTCACGAAAATCAAATTCGAGCACATCTTCCAAAATGGTTCAGGCGGAATCATCCAATGCAGCAGTAAAACATGCCCTGCGCGCAAATGCGGCTGGCGCGCCCCCAGACTATGAGCTACCCTGGTAGGCACTGCAAACAAGGCGAACGAAATTGACGGATGCTGACCGAAGAATTGGAACATCCAGGGTCGAAAAGTACAGACCTGTATTCCTCGATGACGTTGTCGGAAATACGGAGACGATAGAGAGGCTAAAAATAATTGCCCGCGATGGAAATATGCCTCACGTTATCATTTCCGGCATGCCGGGAATCGGAAAGACGACATCCATCTTATGTTTAGCAAGGCAGATGCTGGGAGATGTGTACAAAGAGGCTGTGTTAGAGCTGAATGCTAGTGACGAAAGAGGTTTGTTTCGAACATAATTTTGATTCTTAGTCCTTTGGAATGATGCCATTGACAGTCCGTTTCCTCGCAGGCATTGACGTGGTGAGAAATCGGATAAAAGGGTTTGCACAGAAGAAGGTCACATTACCACCAGGAAAGCATAAGCTTGTTATCCTTGACGAGGCCGATAGGTTGAAACCCCTTTCCATCACTGTGTTTCCACGGCATGCCAATCCCTAACCCGATGCGAATAGTATGACCTCTGGTGCCCAACAAGCCCTCCGTCGCACAATGGAAATATACTCTGCTACTACTCGATTTGCCTTTGCATGCAACCAGTCTAACAAGATTATTGAGCCACTACAGTCGCGTTGTGCAATTTTACGCTATTCTCGTTTAACGGATGCCCAGATCGTCAAGAGATTAATGCAAATATGCGAAGCGGAGGATGTGAAGCATTCCGATGATGGGATTGCGGCGCTGGTATTTAGCGCGGAGGGCGACATGCGTCAAGCAATCAACAATCTCCAGAGCACCTGGGCTGGTTTTGGTTTTGTGAGCGGCGATAATGTCTTCCGTGTGGTCGATAGTCCTCATCCAGTTAAGGTCCAAGCAATGATCAAAGCGTGCTATGAGGGTAAGGTCGATTCCGCGTTGGATACATTGACAGAATTATGGTGAGACACCGAGATTCCTCGAGAATAGCCCCGAATTAAATGTCAGAAACCGCCAGCGCCTGGATTCTGACTTTGAGATGTTTTGCAGGGATCTGGGATACTCCTCGCATGATATTATTTCAACGATGTTCCGAGTCACCAAAACGATTCCTTCTTTGCCAGAACATTCAAAACTCGAGTTCATCAAAGAGATCGGGTTTACGCATATGCGCATTCTAGAAGGACTACAGACTTTCGTACAGCTGAGCGGCTGCGTAGCAAAATTGTGCAAAATCAACATGAAACCGGAGCTTTTTAAACCACCAAGGCCTTAAATTCAGAACGGGATCCCTGAGAAGGAATTCAATATAACATTGCAGTTGACGAGTCGCGCGAACAACGGCAAGCAATGGCGTTGGGGGTGATTATACAGGCGTTTATGGCAAGGTAAACTAGCTTCTCCTGATTTTGTCTCTCCTTTTGAAAGGAGCGTGGCTATCGCTACCTATGGTTTGTGACATTCTCGAATTACTATTTTCAGTCTGGGCCGTGATGGGACCCGGACCACAGCATATACATATCATCGAGTTTCAAACTATCCCCGAAGCAGCGTACATTCACTCAGTATCAACCCTTATCAAAACTGTACTCGAGACTACGGATTATGTCTACATGCATCTTACAGATCTAATTTCCCTGGGTCCCGGAGGCTCTTCCATGCCCCAATCTATGACTCTACTCAACCACTCCACCGCTACCTTGTCGTTCCACCCTCTCCGTCTCTGGGTGCGATCGGCTTATCTACCCGGACCTTGATATATTCCTGGCGCCCCGCATTTCTTCCCATTACAGCTAGGTGGCATTGTGACCGACGTTGGGTTTATGGAAGATGTAAACTCGAGAGAAGCACCAGGGGTGGGTGCCCATCGTTATTCTTTGAGCGCGGGTTTCTCAGGCACGGGCGTAGCTTTAGATGTACAGAGTAGAGTAATTAAAGAGTCGGTTCGTCAAATGACAAAATGAAGATTGACCGAATTAACCTGGTGTGCCTAACACGCGAGCCACGAGCCGGAACGAATATTTTTAAAATACGGAAAAAAAAAAAAGGAAATGCTGATGGTCCCAACGAGGGTCGAACTCGCGACCTTGGCGTTATTAGCACCACGCTCTAACCAACTGAGCTATGGGACCGCTTAATAATTTGACTCGCATTTTCATCATTCATAGCGCCTATCCAGTTTCTTGCCACTCTCCCCTAACACCATACCAAGCGCCCCCTTTCTTTTGAACAGATATGTACCCATCAATCACCCGAGGGAAAAAAAAAAAAGCTTTGTAAATGTATCGGGGAAGCTCTGGTCCATTCACAGAATCGATCAAATTGGCAGCTGACCCATCGTCCCCATGTGCACTCTGAAGGGATGGCTTGTCGCGTTTTCAGAGAAAGTACTCCAGAGCTTGAGATTCAAAGCTAACATCCATGCAAGTGCGACAGCAGGTGAAGTGAATTGGTGTCATGTATTGTCTGAAGGCACAGCTAAGTTTCAGTATGGGTGTGGAGTACTCCCTACAGTTCTCCAGAGTTCGGGATTTAAGGGCAGCAGCGGTCAAATCAAGTTCGGCTTTTGCTCTGGGATAGCCACTAACTAGAAGAGTGCTCCCGGATCAAGACAGAGGGTGTGAGGAAAAAGGATCTTGAAAGTTGTATGGAGCGGCCTAGTAGCGATTCGGATTTCTTTTTTTTTCTTTTTTTTTTTTTTTCCCAAGCTCAGAGAAACGAGAGGAGCTAATGATAACGAGACTCTACCTGCCCTCCCGGAGTGTACATACTATTGCCTAATTTTGGCTGCGGGTGATAGATTTCGGTGGCATTTCGGAGGCGAGATGAAATTCATCCGGAATACTCTCGACCATTTGATAGGTCGGGTCGGGCATGACCTCGACAACGAACAGAGTTGTGTGGCTTGAGAGCTCTTCCATCGGCAACCAAAATCAAGCTTCGCGTTGGCTGTGTCCTCGGAGAGATAATCATGTGGTGGACGGGGGCTACATATTTGATAACTAGCCTTGTAGGTCTTCGTGACATGTATCATGGAAAAGAGCTATGACATTCTCATTATCGCCGGAAGAGATCTTCAGAAGTTTGGATGCCGGTAGCCTCCAGCTAGAAAGCTTGTTTGAAGGGAAGCCAGCCACACGATCGTGGTGCATTTAGGACGGTCCCCGTACTGCACGAGAATCTATCAAAGTTGCCTCGGGAAATACAGGCGCTATCTGCTGAGCATTCACACTTATTACCAGCCGAACCATAAGAGTCGTCTACGGAGTACATGGGTGGATGATTGACTGGATCGCCAAAAAGTTCTCAGCGATAGTTATGCAGTTCTCTTGTGGAGATGAAGAAAAAGGAATCATCATGGTCGCTGATAGTCATACCCCGCATTGTGGGAATCGTGACAAGCGCAACTGTTAGTGGAAGTTTCCGTGTGATTGGGGCCGGACTTTCAAGCGTCCTATCAGTTGCTTATTTCCCCGAAGACGTGGACCTGTTGGGACGTGAAAGCGAGTCCGATAGGGAAGATCAATTGTGGACGATGGGGAAATAAGAGTGTATGGAATTTATGCAGCATTGGGTTACGCTAATGAGTTAGTGAACTGAACAAGGGAATCAAATAAAAAGCCTATCCCCCCTGAAATCGTGCTGTTCTTGTGTGGCAATCAAGAATGTCGCCTAGTGGTCGATTTCTGGCCAGATCGAGCGGCAAAAGGCACCGTTGAGTGAGCCAATTCGCAGGAGAGGCTGGCTCTCGAACTCAGCGTGATTATTGACTTTCCTGGTTGGGTTAAGAGTGTGCATGAGTTTGAAACGTCGAGACCGCTGGCCGCCGCGCTAAGCCTGAGAAGGAGACCCGAGCGAAATCTTTCAGCTCATAGGGAGGAGAGGAGAGAGTTTTGTGTTTGTGCCTGCGTCGACTTCGAGGGCCAAGCAAAGTCCATGAGTTGAAGTTATCATTCGCTGTTGTTCTCCGTACAGAGTATTGCTCTTTCTCTTGTTCAGGGAGTGGCAAGGCTGGTGGGGGAAAAAAAAAAAGGACAGAAAACGGCTTCGCAAGGTTTTGCTTGCTTTCATGTCCTTTTTCGAACAACCCGCGCCAGGCTTAATTTCTGAGACTCTCGGGAAGTCCCCATCCGCGGTACCACACTGTCATCGACCAAATGGCTTTAGGCTAAGCAGTGGATATGTACTCGTGTTTATCGAGCCTTATCATCAGCGCGCCGCCGCTGCGTGCGAAGTATTGATTTGCACGTCAAATGATGGCTGGGCAGAAGAGAAATATAAACAAATAATTGATAATACCCAAGAGAGAGACAGAGAATCGCGATGCTAAAAAAGAGGCACAGACTTTCTCGTGCGGAGCCTGTTTTTCTGCACCGAGAAATAAGGTTCGTCGACCAGATTGCGTGCGAGGAACAACCCGGTGGGGGTTTGAGTTTGCTTGTCTTAGAGCGGATCTACCAGTGACAGTGGCAATCCTCCGTACTGATTGCATCAAAGGGGAGCTTCGGAGTCACCGATCCGCTGGGTCAGAGGAAAACGCTGCTGATATAGTACTCCGTACTCTTCTAATAATTTGCGATCGCTCTGCAAGATGCTTTCATCAGTCGAATCTTAACAAATCGGTGGGGCTGGTTCGCTCCGGGACCACATGGCACTGACAAAGAAGCACTCGAAACATGTGTCTTGACAGGCGGGGAGATTAGCGAGCCAAAGAAGCTGCTCTTAAAGTGCCATTGAACTGTGGGGCTTGTAACGTGAATTTAAAGATCAAATTACTATGGAGTCATAATGAATGACTAGCTAACTAGTTATGTAACTGACTTGGCCCACTAGGTTACAATTGTTATGCGAAGCGTTTGAGTGGTGCTGAGCAACTCGCTACCAACTTTTGGAGCCCGAGTAGAGGCAGCAAGCTTGGGTGACTCGCATTATTATGTCCGCTACCTACAAATATTGCATAATCTATCCGAAGAACTATTTATCAATCAATCCAAACTTCTCTTCCAGTAGATTCCTCACCCAGTTGCGGAGAACTACGGAGTAGGGGGTCCTGCAACTTTTCTTTTCACCCCAGTTAACAAGGAGACGCCATTCTCACCAGAAAAAGGGACTGTGCTAAGGCCAGCCCCCCATCGCCACCTGTCGCGAGAGATACGCTAGGCTCCTTTAGATCGACCAGAAAATCCATGATGAACCAATCAGGTCCAAACGCGCCGTAGTTCTTGACAAGCGGTTTTGGCTAGGAGTTGGTGGTGGGAAAGTGGCAGAAACCTTACTCTCGACTTCACTTGGGAGTCTAGCACTCTGGCCCCTTGGTACCATGTGGACCTTGCTCGCGGGGGAAAGCCTTATATTTGACAGGTTGCCCCAGATCGCGGATCCTGGCAAGGATCTTTTTGATCCGATACAACTGAGAACTTCAACCCGCATTCATATTGGTGATTGGGCTTGATCCTCATGGAGTGTGGCCTGTTTAATTGAGTTGGAGAACTGTCGTTGGAAGCGACAATGCTTCAGCTACCGCAGGATTTTAGTTTTCAGAGTTAAGACCAAAGTCATCATGGCTGGCGAAGACAAGCCGGTGCTGGGGACTTCCATTCCCCGCGAGACGACGCTGGTATGTTCAGTCCCGTGCAGAAGAAAACAAAAAAAAAAACCAAAAAAAAAAGATATTGATAGGCCGATATCATTTGATAAATCCAAGAAATCTGTCAAGTCGTACATTGCTAAGCACCGGCTATAGATACTCGTTTGGGTCTTCTTTGCGATATGTACGATGCTACTCATCTGTCGGTTCGCGATTCGATTATGGCTGCATAGGCAACTCTTCTGGGACGACATCTTCGCAGCAATTGGTTATGTGTTGCTTCTCGGCCACGATGTAGTGGCCACGATGGTCACGCCGGCAATTTACATGATGATTGGAACATATACAGGACGCCCCAAACCACCGGACTTCCTAGACCAAGTTACCTACCTGGTTAAGTTGATGTTTACGGCCAACATCCTCTTCATTCTCTGTTTGTATTCGGTCAAAGCAAGCCTGCTGGCCTTGCTTTGGAGACTTGTCAAGAATCTCACCACATTCCGTCGTGGATGGTGGGCGATTACCGTAATCACGGCTATCGGGGCGCTTGCCACCATCATTCTGGCCCCTATTTCGTGCTCGGATTTGAGGGCTTGTAGGTGCTCCTTTTCATTTATTGTCACGGATCGGGGGTTTGACTGACAACCTGCGTGTAGTCGGATGCACTTCGCCGAAAGACATCGAACGAGACCTCATCACAGTGAGATTCACTGCCGCGTCAGATATTCTAACAGATCTTTTAAGTATGTTAAAAAAAAAAAAAAAACAATTTTTCCCCCCAATGAATCTATAGATTGATGACGTTCTAATGCGTTGCAACCAGTCATGTCCCTCCCGGTCGCGTTCATTCTCACTTCTTACCTTCCCACACCTCAAAAAATCGGTCTTATCGGACTCTTTGCGCTCGGATTCACAGTCATTGCCATGTCGATTCTCCGCATCGTTGTGAATGATAATAAATCCAAGCATCCCCCGCCTGCGTGGCTCCTCTTCTGGAGCGCAATGGAAAGCACGGTCGCCGTTATGGTATCATGTTTTGCCTCCTTCAAATCGCTCTTCACACTTCGCAAACGGCCCTCAGCATACCTCAACGACACATCGTATCTCCAGTCGAAGAGTAAATCGGGTCGGAGCGAAGCTAGGAATAGTATTGCGTTACGATCTCGCAACCGATTCGAGCGATCTCCCGGGGCTACGAAGGCGGATATGAACACCGTTGTGATATCGAGCGAGGGAGAGCCCAATAAGTGGAGTGACGACGGTTCGAGAGAGGAGATATTGCAGAGAACCGAAGTCGAAGTGAGGTACGAGTCGGCATCTATCCCCGGGCAGTCCACAGTACCGGTAGCCCCGCAGCCATAATGTCCATTTTTTTTGTCTTTGATGTGGCCAAGTCGGATTCTCGAAACGGAGTCGAATGGGAAAGGAGGGGATTCGAGGTAATAGCGTACGCTCGAAGTATGTATGTACACACCCTAGAGATTCCCGGCTTCGCAATTTTCGGCGTGGTCCCGGAACCTACCCTGCGTGATTGGTTTCATTGTCCCACTGCGTTTTCTTTTTTCTTTTGTTTAATATCGAAGCGTGTACACATAATAATATCCACATACTTAATGTTTGCTGAATGAGTTTCCTTTGCCTTTGTCGGTACAGCAGAAATGATGATCCTGGGAGTGATGCTGCCCGAATGTTTCGAAGATGTCGGCGTGTGTGATCTCGTGTGCGGCTTAACCCCACTGGTTTCAACCTGGGGGGGGGGGGGGGGGTGGGGGGATTATTCCAGCGACATCTGATCCGGGAACGAACTTGAAAGCTCTGCAAGTGAGCTAGCCCGGAGTGGCGGTATTTTGCAAAGCAAGCCGCTAATCAGGGCGCAGACACACCGGGGAAGGAAACGATCAGCCAGGGCGATGTTGGGCGGGTCGATGCTGCGATGATGCCTTGTGGTCCCATCTGCATGAGCTTTTGAGCACGGGTTGGAGTGCGACCTCGAGCAGGCATCCAAATTCGTGGCTCTTTCGAGGCAGCCGATCCGAAGTGCCGTGAGCAAAGGGGAGGGCAGCACGCAAGCATAGTTGTTGAGGGATGAACGAATTCCTCCGCGAGCGACAGCCTTTCGCCCCGGTCTCTCTCCGATCAGATAAAGGACCTTGTCTGTTCTTACGACGATGCGTGCGAATCCAGTCGAGCTCATCCCATTAACTAACCCGGTATCATGAACTGGGTGACTTTGCCATGTATGCGGGTTCCGGTCTCTGAGTTGGCGGATGACGCCGGGAGGAGGGGGCTGCGCAAGCCTTGACTGGCATTCTCTCAGCTCATTCACTGCCCTCAAACTGACACCGAGAGACTTGGCTTACTCATTTCCGGCTTCTTCGGGGCGCCCGTCCAGCCTTGGAGCTTTTTGGCTTTTACCTTTAACTCTGCTGCCCGTCATTTGCAACATCCCCCACAGGCGCTGGGCTTTTCCTCTTCCGAGCCGCGGTCGTTCCTTTTCTCCAAGTGCGTTAAAATTCTTAGCTAAGCCATGTTTCGGCCTGTGATTGGGCGCGCCGACCGGTTTCTGGGCGCTGATTGGTTAGCCCCAGCCGCTGTCTTGGCCTGTCGAATCAGAGCCGCACAACGGCGAGACCGCGTCAGCAGTTGGGTCAGCCCCAAGACTCCGCGTAATCCGGGCGATGATTGGCCGTGGCCAAGCCCTGGGCGCCCACATGGCCCAGCGGGCTGTCATCGTGGCTTGTGGCTGTTGCGAGCGTTGTGCTGCTTGAATTCACGGCGCAAAAGATGAAGGACATATGCATTGGCGAAGGCAACTGGGAAGTTCAGACCATGGGAACGCTGGCGACAGAGCTGTTATTCAGTCAGTGGCGCTGACGTCAATCGTCCCTACGAGTCCTCCATGCGGATGACCAACTTTTGAAAAAGCCAAAAAAAAAAAAGGCAAAAAGGAAAAAAGGAAGCGCCAGAAAATGGACCAACTCTCTGTGCGGGACGAACTGCTTGATTTGTTGTAACATCTGTATGTCTACTTTGATAGCTTAGTATCGTGTACTCCGTACTCCGTACTCCGTACTCACTACGGGCGCACAACGGCCACACGGATGCTGCTGCCGGCGTTGAGACCCTGTGCGACTCTTGTTCGAGGATCCACGCGCGCGGCTTCGTTCCAGGCTCAAAGTTAAGACTCGAATTTAAAGTACGGGGTACGCCGTAGCTAGCGAACCAGCGATTGGGCTAACCACGGTTGAGGATGATCGACTCCCTGCTTTTTTTGGCTGTGACATGCATCATCAATTTTCTTCCCCCCATCCAAAAGCCGTTTTCCAGGTCTCATTCGAAAGATTCGCTCTCTTGGCCACAGAAGGGATCTTTGAGGGGGGCGTGGTTCCTAACTAGATTAGAACTTTACCAAAACTAGACTTCGTAGACAAGTCCTTTGCTTTCTCTCTTTAAAATTCTTTTCTGCTTTCTCTTCTGCTTCATGTTCTTCTGAACAGCCTAGTCTGCAGGCATTTCCCTGGGGTATCAGGCCCTGACCGCATATGTAAGGAGCCCGAATCCCTCCCGTTTTGCACCTCCTAAACTTGAACCCGAAGTGACTGTTAATCAAAGCCCATTAGCACGTTGTGTGCTTATATGTCAATAACCACTCTGCAGACCTAGCTTTGTCTTCCCTATTCACGGTATTCTCGCATCGTGCCAACCCGGGCTGGATATTCACCTTCAATCCACTCATCACCGGACCTTAGCCGTTTCTCCCGACCCCCCTTCCCCCCCGGTCCACCATGCGTGGCATTATTTTCTGGTCGCTGGCTTCAGCGACGACATTACTATACACGGTTCAAGCACTCGAACTAGTCAAAAGATCATCACCGGCCGTCGTCGGCTTTGAGCTCGAGCGTAAAAAGATCGTGAACCCAATTGAATATGACAAACGGAGGAGACGACGACAGAGCGATTCGCAGGTGGTAAACCAGGTTCTGGACAACGAGGTATGTAGTGTTGTGCCTTAAATCTACCACTGTGACTTTTCCCGGGCGCGTTGTGTTTGATTTGGGGCTGTGGGGGGAGGGGGAAAATGCGGTGGGGAGAACAGGGGGTTCACTATGAACGCTTGCCACGACGGGGACCCTGCTAACGAACAACTTCGCCTTGTAGAAAACACTTTACTTCTGCAACATTACACTGGGGACCCCGCCGCAAAATCTGCGGATGCACATTGATACCGGCAGCAGTGACCTTTGGGTGAACACCCCGAGCTCAGAAATCTGCAGCGATCGCCGGCGGCTTTGTGAGGTCGGCGGCACGTATGATCCCAGGAGATCATCATCATACAGACGCATCAACGATGACTTCAACATCACTTATGCTGACGGCTCCGGAGCGGCTGGCGACTATGTGTCGGATACACTGCGCTTCTCGGACGTCACTCTGAGAGACTTCCAATTCGCCGTCGGGTACACCTCATCATCTCGAGGTATGCAAGAGCAATCCCCCTGAATTCAAAAAGTGCAGAATCATGACTGATCGGTGTTTCACTGCAGAGGGTGTGTTGGGAATTGGGTACGCGTCAAATGAGGTGCAAGTTGTTCTAAACAGACAAAGGCCGTATGCCAATCTGCCACAAGCTTTGTTGGACGGCGACTTCATCAAGTCCAATGCATACAGCATCTGGCTGAATGACCTAGGCGCTAGCAGGGGAGAGATTCTCTTTGGCGGGGTTAACGCAGCCAAATTTGAAGGCACTCTGAAGACCGTCCCCGTCGTGGGTGTTCGCAGGAGCCGTAGGGACCTTGCTGTAGCCCTGACTGGTCTTAGTGTTAGAACCGGTGCAGGGGAGCAGCGATTCCCAAGCGGAAATTTCCCCTTCAGTGTCGTCTTGGACACGGGCAGCAGTCTCACCTATCTCCCAGATGTGATTACCAATGAAATATTTGACGCTGTTTCTGCCGTCTGGGATCCTAACTTCGGAGCGGCGTATGTACCCTGTGAACTTGCCAACTACGACGCTCAATTTGTCTTCACTTTTTCGGAGCCAAGCATCTCCGTGAGCATGGATGAGATGGTCATCAGCCCCGGCACCAGCCCCACCGGCGAGACCCTCCGGTTCAGAGACGGCACTGAAGCTTGCATCTTTGGAATTGCCCCAGCACAGGTCAACATAGCTATTCTCGGCGATACCTTCCTTCGGAGCGCCTACGTTGTCTATGATCTTGAGAACAACGAAATATCTCTCGCCCAGACTCGTTTCAACGTCACCAACAATGAAATACTTGAGATTGAATCGGGAACAAACGGCGTTCCTAGGGCGACTGGAGTAAGGGATCCCGTGTCCAGTGCTGACATTACCCCTTCTGCCACTCTTGCAACTACCCTAACTCCAATTTCAACTTTGACTCCAACTATGGATGGCCAACCAGTGAGTTCCACTGCCGGAGCGGCTCCGACATTGAAACCTGAATATCCCCTAGGGGTGATTGCAGGTCTTGCGGGCGCTGGAATGATTTTTGCTGCCATGTAAAAACATTATCTTTCACCTTTTCTTAAAAAATTTTTATTTGCTCATTTGACGTCGGTATTTTTTCATGAATTGGCTTTTTCTTCACTTTTTCTTTTTTTTTCCCCAGGAACTACTCCGTACACTGGGCGGTATATAAAAGGAGAAAATGCATCTCCCGGATGGACATCTGCATTGGAAATTTTGATTTCCCATACGTATATTGTGAGCATGTGGAATACATATATACTCCGTACATATATGCATATATAATATAGGTGGTCTTGCGTCATGTATGTACTCCGTACAGAATATGGAGTTTGTGGCTGAACAATCATTTGAATTTACAGAGTACAGATTACCGTGTCCATAAGCCATTGGCTAAAATTTATGGACCGGTTGATTGAGGATGAAGCAAACCACATTAGTTGCACTTTGGATAGTGTATCCTGTTCTCTAGCCTTTAGAATCAAGCATGAAGCCCCCCACGACTCCGGAGTATTGCTGGAAGCAAACCCGGACCCACCTGCACGAAACTGCGCCAACTGGATTGATGATGTTTAACCTGAGGCAAGAAACCTGGCCTGATCATGAAACCAATGGCCAATACGTCCGAAAGCTTTTGTGCACTCATAACAAGGAGGGGAGGCAGTTGCGTTGCATCATGAAGTTGTATCTAATCCTGACCTGTCATTTTCCATTTTTCATTTATTATCCGATCTCTCTACCTCTGTCTCTCTCTTTCACTCCGTTTGCGTGTGCGTGTGCGTGCCCTTGTTAGTATCACCACAGTGTCTCAGTCAAGAACGAATGAACCACATATTCAGAGTAGTATGGTGGGAGAATCTTGCACTAGATATTCAACCCAATCATTTTGCCACTTTCAAACATACGGAGCTTTGGAAAATTCCCAGTAATAGACTCCTATAGTCATTAATATCTCTGGATATTGGACTGTAAGAGTAACAGGAAAACTTTCGGCACTGGTATATTTTCGGTATTTTTTTTTTTCAAACAAAATCATATTTTTCGCCTCGCTGATGGTAACATGAGATCCGAATTTGATTACAATTTCAGGAGATACCCTCGCCATCTTCACACCCCCAAGTTAAAGATAATGTTTCCGGCGTTGACCTTTCCATCGACGCTTTCCAGATTACGTGCTGAAAAATCAAGCGTCGAGTAAATAGTGTTTACCTACGGCTCGGAGGCTACCTTTCGACCAGTTTCTCTCTCTTGCTTGCAAGACATATCGAAGAGATAAATGGCGAAAACAAAGTCAAAATGGGAGGAAGTTGGTCTTTGAAGATGAATAACTAACTAATCCAATTAAGAACTGTGTTGGAATACCCTAGGCTAGTGAATCAAGAGCTTGAATGTAAGACTTTAACAAGACAATGGAAGCAGTTATCTTCAGGCATGGTAATGAATTTAGTTTGTAGAATTTGTTGGATTTGAATGTTGGGATGCTGAGATGAGATGAAATGGCAGCGTCTTGTTATTTCCATTCACAGTGTTTATAAAGACTTGTATTCCACACCTACATACAAACATAATCACTCTCCTCATGGCCCAGGGCTACATTTAGGTTCCTCCGTCGTAACTTGTTGACCCGCTATACCAACTTCCAACTGCAGTCGAATCGAGTCCGGATATTCTTCCAAAGCTAGCTTCAAAAAACCTGAGGATATTTGTGTAAAGTTCTCCAAGCTCCTCCTTCAGCATTCCATCAACACATTTCCAGTATTTCATTAAGTTGGCGAAACTGCTCATGTTTCACAACCATGGAGCCTGATGGACAGAATAGAGCACGGGGGAGGAGTTGTTTATGAGCCAGCTGCAGTGAGACCAAGAACAGCTTTCCATATTTCTGTGTCAGATGCTTTTCAGAGGAGTTGAAAGCAGTTGTAGTCGAAATTTCCCTGTCACAGACACCTAATCAGGCTAGCTAGGTCAGAGGCCACATCTTGAGTACCCGATTGAAGATGGTAAGCCGCCTCCTCTCCCCACAGAACAGACAGTAATCCTAATTTTGCTTTGTGGTAAGCTTCACCTCCCATATCCTCCGAGAAGGCATTTTCTTTTATGTTTCCAATTCTGATATGTAGCACACGCCAATTATAATTGATGATGAGACCTGAGCAATGCCACACCACCGGATTCCAATACTGGTGCGGCTGGAGAACTTCACTACAACAGGGAACTCTTCACAGCGCTAGCCAAATGTGTGATCAAGAACAAGTGCGTATCCAATGATGATAATGATGACAATAGCCGTTTACTACATCTTACCTGGCCTCCCAAACACAAATGTGAATGCACTTAATAATACTATGCAAGTTATTTGATCTGTGTTATTTGATATTTAATTATGAATGGGCCCCTTTCCCTACAAGGGAACATTGAGCTTTCATGCATCGAGATAGTTGATCTGGCTCATCCTTCACCAAAGAGCAATGTTGGAACGTGCTTGATCTAAAACACACCCCTGGGTCAAGCTAAAACACTTTTGCATGCAGACCATTGTTTCTGAATTATAGTCTCTTTCCCTCCCATACCCGAGCCGTAGATGCTAGCCTTGTAGGAGAGACCGGGAATCCCCTGAGGGAGGGCGGGGACATCGTCCGACTACTACTATACGAAGATTGGCGACACTTGTGACAGTGGATACAAGAACTGGAGTAGCTGGACATAGACATAGGAGAATCGTAAACTCCGCTGGATGCGCCTGATTTCCACTACACTTCCCTTCGGAACCGCTCTTTCACTGTACTGCTAGTTATTTTCTTCAGGGTACTGTTAACAAGATATATTGTCTTGCTAGATATAAATACTCCAATGAGAATGCCATGTATAGTATGAACAATGAAACCAAAAGAAAAACTAAACAGCTGAGTAAAAATGCTTCAAGATGTCTTATACCAGATGACAAGAAATATGTCATGGGTTGAGTTAATCTGCCATAATCTTACAGAGATACTGGCCTGCAAAAAGCAACACTGATGCCACCATGCAAAACCACAGCATAAAATCTATCCTGAGAAATATGCCCTGTTTGTTATCCAGCTGCTGAAAATCTTCATACAGCTTCTTGATGAGTTATAGTGGTTTCTCCAGCACTTATCAATAATCTCTTGATATATGACCCTGTCAGTTGTTGTGACTTTATTGGGTCTGGACGCCTGGGCCAGGAGTCATCCTCAAAATAATCATAGTTGTACACACTCCATGGTGCTATTGAATATATAACACAGCCAACATCTAGCAGATCAATATGGAACAATGAATCCTGTGCACAAATCATCTCCATTTTCACATCTAGTGGGAAGATAGCACCATTGGCAAAGCCGCAAAGTCAGTAATTTTGACACAGTTGTGATATATGAAAATATTGTTCAACTTGACATCTTGATGAAGAGCTTTGTGGGTATAAATGTGATAGAAGGTGTTGATCAGGGATCGAACCCAAGCAGCACAAAATGACTGAGATGGCATATTGTGGGCAGGAATATATTTTTCGAGATCACACTGATTTGTGTAGGTCAATCTAATCACCCCTTCATCATCATAAGGTTTGTCGTAGGGAATAATTCCTTCATGAGGACTAAGACATTCATAGATCTGTCTTTCAGTGACCATTTGCTCCAGATGTATCTTGTTGTAAGTGTTGTGACCTGAGGATGCTTTTGGGTATTTGACAATGTAAGAGTTGTTGGTCATGCAAATCACCCCAGTCCAACCAACTTCAAGCAATCCAGGTTGATAAACAGCAACAACAGGTGTCTCTGAGGACATTATTTTCCCCTCTGTTTTGAGAACAGAGAGCAGAGAAACCCAAATTTTGTGATGGGTGAAAGCAAGAAGCACCAATTTTTTCAGTTCGGGGTGGCAGAAACAAAATATTAGGTAATAGCTGTTAATGTACTCCGTACCCCATATCGCTTGACAGATACTATAACACCAGGACCAATCAAATAGGTCCTAACCCTAAAGCTGAAAGCGCTCATCCTTCAAGGGCGAGGGAAGAATAAAGAGAATTATTCTAGATTGTTTGCTGTGTCATATGTCTCTGTTTCTGTAAATGACAACAGCCCGTGCCCCTCCATCCTCTTCATCATCTGTGTGTTTTTCAGTGGAAGCAAACATGTCATCACTCCCAAAATGATCACATTTCCATATTCTGGCCTCCAACCCCCTTGCAGGAGGATAACTGGCGTTTCTCCTCACTACTAAATCCACAATTCTCCTAGCCTGCGCTGGATCACCGCATTCCAACACAGTAAGCTTTGCACCGATAAAATCAGATATATCTAATAGCCGGGGATAAAATGAATCTTGTTGAGCCGTTATCATGGCATTTTCGTCATATTCTGACTTGTGAGTCTCAAGTGTTTGAGGAGATGCAAGTGGTGGAGGAACAAGGGCTAGAGTCGGCTCATGGAGCCTCACGCTCCGCCTTGTGGTTCCGTTGCAGAAGTCGACTGGTGAGATGTACGGCGGATTGGAAATTAGGACATCCCATTGCCCCCTTAAGTCTTTACGACTGTTGCGTATGTCTGCTGCCGATTCAAAGTCCGCCAGTACAGCCTGTAGACTTGGGATTGCATCGCCCTCGCGCTTCACAAGTTCCGCTTTTTCATCACGGAGAACATTCGCTTGCAGGAAACTAATGTCTTGTCTAGCGCGGGGCAACAGGTGGTTCTGCGAAATGTTGTATTCCAGGTTCTCCCTTGCAAGTGACAAGGCCTTGCGGCTTATGTCAATTCCCACTAGAGCCAGATCCGGTATCGATGATGCTAGGAGCGAGTGCAGAAGCAGAGGTATACAACCAGTCCCAGTACAAAGATCAAGAATGCGAATTGGTGCCGGGGATGAGCTTCCCATTCGCAGCTCCGATAGAATTAAGCGTGCGGTGCGAAATGTGTAGGATTCTGTTTCAGGCCTGAGGACCAGATGTGTATTAACATTATATCTTTCAAAGAAATAATAGCTTATATACCTGGGAATTAACACGCCTTTCCTACATAGGATATCCAGCTCTCCAAACGGCTGATCTCCCAGTATATACTGCAGCGGCATTCCTCGTGCCCGATCCCGCACCATCGACTTCAACTGCCTTTGCCGCCATGCATCATTACAAGCATTGGCTTTGCTAAGCGAATGTACATGCTCCCGAAGCCATCGTAGCTCGTTTCTAGCTGAGTCTAGATCACGACATTCTCGGAGGAGGAGAAGGAGGAGCGGATCTGAAGCGTATGCTCGGCGGAGGAGAGTGGAGGCAAGACGGGGCATGAACTTGATAACAGAGCATTGACAACAGGGCCTTGTTCCCTCAGGTGAATTAGCACCTGCAGTTGTGACCTTCAATGCGGAATATTTTCCACTATGTCGTTGTCACGGCTGCAACTAGCCTCAGAACTTCCCTGCTAATTCTTCTCTGAAAAGGATTTGGTTCCTGAATTTCTTGGCATTTGGAGGACTATAAATTTGACCGTTTTGCCGTTTCCAGGTCTCCCAGGAGCCAAAGCCTTGAAGGCGCTCTTGGAATTCCCTCTTTATTTATTTACTTATTTATTTTCTCCCAATGGATTTAATCTATAGACTCCCTAGTCGATAATAGGTCATGGAATCGTGTTTGCGGACTCCAGTCAGCACGAGATTTACGATCGGCTTGCAAAGCTTCAACACCACTGGCGTTGAGTTTGGATCCATACCTCTACAGCTATTGGTGACGCGCAATTTAGTAGATCCCCGCTATAGCGAACCCCCATACAACGAATTCCCCTATATAATGGACGAAATCTCTTCCCAAATTTGAATCTCCCTACAAAATTTGTTAATCCCTGATAAACTGAAATTTGCTAACTCTTTTGAATATTTTATAGGCAATTTGTTATAATGAGACCCAATGCCGCGCCAGACCACTATTCCAATTGAGTGAAAGAAGGCTCTCTGGGCTCACAAGCTGCAGCCTCTTGCTACAGTCAATATTTTGATGGCACTGTGCTGGGGAATCAAGGCATGGTATATAGACATGTCTACAGTCTCAATTATTCACTGCTTTAACAGAGCTTTATTTCCCAAAAGACCTGTACAGTTGGATCCTGAGGATGATTCAATTATGGAGATCACCAGTGAGTTCTAAAGACTCTGCCTTCTCTCAGTAATTCAAAACCTGATGAATATTCAGCACTTTCTCAATCCAGCAGATGAAGTGGTAGAGGATTCTCCTGAGGCTATTGAGCAGCATGTTATTGTGCTGCTAGATCCAGCAGATGAGAGTGAAGAGGATGAGGATTTGGCTACAGAGATGCTCCCACTGATTACACCTTTGGAGGCTCTAGATCTAGTTAAACGGCTCCAGCTGTATGAAGAGCAGCAAGATCAGGGAGATCAACAGCTAATTCAGCAGCTCAACAGCTATGAGAGCAAAATAGCAGCAAGGAGGCTTCAAACTCAGCAGCAGCAAGATATTCGTGCCTATTTTCAATGCGCACCCCCTATATAGTGAATTCCCCTATATAACGAATCGAACAAGCTTCCAAATTTAAATCGCTATAGCGGGGGTCTACTGTATTCGGCCTGAATTCCATCGGACAAAAAAAAACGATAATTATTAATTCTTATTTTGCGCCGGCCGGGACTCGAACCCGGTCCCCAGCATTGGGAATGCTGGATCTTAACCCATTGACTACCAGCGCTATATACACATCCAAGTGGCAAGGAATCCACAATTCCTGTACTTTCCTGTACTGTACTCCAGTGATATTGATCTTGGAAAGATGTATTGTAAACAAAATTGTGTTATTATTCCTTTATGCTTCCTGGAAGTTCTAATATTGTCACGTGCAAGTTGTTGTCTCATAACACAAATGACCTGCTTGGCTAGTTAATCCAAATCCAAGTTGACATAGAATCATTCCTCATTAAAAGTCGCTATTCAGGGAATAAAGTCTATAAAGTAAGAAACAGTACAAGAGCGACATGTGTCCAAGACATAGTGGACGCACATGTCTTATGGTTGGGTTAAAAAAAGTTGTCAATGCCATCATCCAACCTGTTTGAAGATATTGCTTCGATGATGGATTGATGCGAAAGGGGGTTTGCCGCCTTCACTACCGCCCCCATCTCCTCCAGAACTTCCACCATCCCCCTGCCAGTTGGCTTTTCCCATCTCGCTGGGATATTCTCCAGAAATATACCGGAATACCGGCTGCAATGAAAGCAACTACAATGAGTGTCTGCAACGGCTCGGCGAAAACAGCTCTGCTGAGAAGAAACAGGCTGACACAACAAAAGATAATGGGTGTCGCTATCCACGTCTTGTATGGACGCTCTAAATGCGGCTCCCTGATTCGAAGAACGATGAGACCCAGCACAGTAAGGAAATAGAACGTATATCCGGCCACGCCGTAGAATGTAACTAGGGTACCGAATTCACCCACAGCAACGTAGCACACACATAAAGTGCTGTTGAAAATCATAGCATAAATGGGGGTGTAACCGATACCGATGTCGTCTCCGAGTAAGCGGATGAGGAGCTTATGGAACCACGAGCGTGTTCGCAAACGGCCACCGGTGGGACTGGCGGAACCTCCGATTCCAATTTTGCTGAAGATGGAGGGAAGGTATCCCTCCCTGCCGGCAGCATACACTAGTCTTCCGCTGGTAAAAGTAGTGGCGTTTAATGCACCAATACAACTACCAGAGACTACGAGGGCGATGATCAAAGCTCCAATTGGACCAAATACCTTGCCTCCAAACTGAACGGCAACGGTGTTGGTTGCAGCGATGGTGGAAGATGGTAAGACGAAGAAATAGGCAACGTTTGCGAGTATGTAGCAAAGGACAACGAGAGGCATAGCAGTATGGATAACGCGAGGTAGGTCGCGGTTCGCATGCTTAAACTCTCCAGTCACATAGTTTGTCTGGACTCTTAGGTTAGACAACGAGTATTTTGGGACATTGTATACAGTAGATACGTACATTGTCCCATCCATCAAAAGCCCAGAGGCCAGCATATAACGCCACAGCCCAGCTGGAAATGTCCTTGTTGGTCCCTTCAAACCATCCAGTGGTTTTCCAATCCATATTTGGCTTTCCATCGTATGAAAGTCCGGTACACGCGACAATGATTCCCGTTATGGTAACTCCAAGAAGTGCGATAAACTTGAAGAACATGAATAGATCTCCGATCCTTGTACCCAGCCTTGTCGATATGCAGTTCATAAAGGTCACAAACACGATTCCCAATAAAGCTACACCCTTGTTGATCCACGGGCTGATCATGTCGGCATCCGCACCAACAATCGCACGCACGACATACTCCCCAAAGATTATGGCGATTATAGCAGCAGAGCCAGGTTTTAAAACGAACACCGCGCACCAGGCGAACAAGAACCCCGCCAACTCTCCAAATATCTTGGCCAGGTAGACCTGTGCACCCCCATTCAATGGGATTGCGCCTCCTAATTCCGCGTAACTCGCCGCGCCTGTCCAGGCAAGAACCCCAGCCACAGCCCATATTATCAGGGAAGCGCCCGGGGAACCGGTGTTTGTGCTCACGCGACCCGGGGAAGAGAAGATTCCGGAACCGATAATCAGGCCAATTATGAGAGATAAGCCATTAAGATACGTCAAAGTCTTGCGCTTTTCGAGGGAGCCATCGACCAGGCCGACATGATGTTCTAATGACGACGCAGACGGTGCCCCCAGGGGAGCGTACCCGCCGACTGTTTGCGACAGAGGGAATAGGTTGCTTCCGAAATCAAATGCAGAGGAAACGGAGTATGATCGGGCATGCCTTTGGCGCGTAATGTCGTACGGAGAGTCTGAGAGCGGATCTTGGTTTTCGAGAGACACTCTTCGTGACGAGGATACCCCCGAGGGAGACGATGACCTCGAAGTTTGGTTTCTTGATTCGGAGGAAGCTAAGGAGGCGAGCTCGAGCGAATCTCGCGCCGCGCCTGCACCAGGCCGTACAGGATCAGAGAACGTTATAGGCGCCATTTAGCTCCGCAGGGTATTCGTAGACGGGGTCGAGTATCTTCAGGCTGAGAACCGTCGCAACAGGGCCATTGTTTGAGTGGGAAAGGCGGTGGTTGATCAATTTCAGTATGACATCATATAACTAGTTCAACATAATTTATCGTGACAACACAGAGGGCAGGTATATTTTTCGTGGGCAGTGTCGTAGTCCAGGTCTTTTAACACAACCAGCCAGCCGAATTAAATCCCAATCGCGCAAACTCAACCTCCATCGCGGCGCTTGAGATGCCCCCTGGAAGGTTCCCACCCGTGTGCCCAAAGCGGGCTAGCTGTCGATCTGACTAATCGGACAAGCTTCTTAGCGTCGACTCGAGGTCAAATTCATGTGATCAAAGATTGAGAACGCGGACGAAGGATCAAGCTTCTCTCTTTCTCTCTCACCGCTCACGCCCCCCCCATGGTCGCCAAATTTCCTGCAGTTTGGGGCCTCGAGTCGACCATAAGGGCGCTTGCCTGGAAGACCTGCCGGAACCCTCGAAGCGTCCAGTTTCGCGAGAATGCAACGAGTTCAAATACGAGCAATTCCTTACCGAAGAGACGCCGCTGGCTACAAATCACCATTTTGACCGTAGCCGCGGGCGGAATCGGTGCATACCTTCAATATCGCGAGAAAAACTCTAGTTCAACGTTAAATCCCTTCACGTTCACAAAGTACGAACTTATCTCCAAAGCACCCATCTCCTCCACGTGCAGCGTCTTCACCCTGCGGCCGGTCAAACAAGCGCAAAACTATGAAGTTTACTTGGAGGCGTGGAGAAAGGGGCTATGGAGCGTCCAATTCAAGCAGCCACACCTGCAGGTCGGACGAGATTATACGCCACTCCCGCCGATTGGGGAAGATGAGCTGCCGATCGATGAGGCTGTCAGGGACGGTGATAATTTGCGGTTTTTGATTCGGAGGGAGCCTGAGGGGGAAGTTTCAGGCTACTTGCATTCCCTGAAACCGGGAGCGATACTAGAGTTTCGCGGGCCGCAGATGGAGTTTGAACTGCCTGATGATATCCGCGAGGTCCTATTTATAGCGGGCGGGACCGGCATTGCACCAGCATTGCAGGCCGCGCATACTATTTTTGGGGAGAGACAGCTGAAAGACGTGAGAATGCGTATACTTTGGGCGAACAGACGGAGGGAAGATTGTCTGGGAGGACGAAATGATTTTCCAGCGGCAGCCCCTACTAGCTGGTGGTCAAGGATCTTTTCAGGCGCAACATCCAGGAGAGACGACCCGGAGCTGGCTAATGAGCCTAAAGTCTTTACTGTCTCACAGCTAGAAAAGCTTAAGCTTCAATCTCGCGGCCGGTTGTCTGTTGACTACTTCGTGGACGAAGAGAACACCCTCATTGGGAAAGAAACTATATTACACTTTACCGGTCAGATGGACAAATACGAGACAGACAATCGACGGAAAACAAAATTGATCCTAATATCAGGACCAGATGGATTCATTAGTTATCTAGCAGGCCCGAAATTGTGGAGAAACGGAGTCGAAATTCAGGGTCCTCTCCAGGGTCTTCTTGAACAACTTAACCTGAAGGGTTGGACTGTCTGGAAACTATAAAATCAAAAGTCCATGAAATATCTATATATCCCCAATTTTTTACTTTTTTTGCCTGCATAGCTCTGGAGTATGGTTGAATCATTTCCCGCGGAACCCCCCCTCCGCTTTTCTTTTTGTGCCGCGTTTCTTCGTTCAATATACACCCGTTTCTGGTTGGTATATCATTATTTTTCCCCGTTTTATCTCAGCGATGATTCCCCCCCCCCCCCAACAAGTGTTGAAACATATACCATAGAGTATACCATCACGCCTTGCCCGCTTTAGACACGTCCATTGGCGTAATCCTCCAGATACTGAACAAGTCTCTCGACATTCTCAAGTGGCACGGCGTTATAATTGCTGGCTCTCATTCCGCCGACGCTCCGGTGACCCTTTAACCCTTGAAGCAGTCTCTTCTCTGCACCGATAGCGAACTCCTTTTCCTTGTCTGCATCACCTCCATGAACACGAAAGCAGATATTCATCCTGCTCCGTACGTCCTTTTCTGGCACAACAGTGTAAACACTTGGATACTTGTCCAACGCACCGTATATCAATTGAGCCTTTGTGTTTGCAATTTGCTCCTGCCCTGAAACCTTTTTGGCTCCGTAAAGGCTTACTAAATTGATCATGACTTGACCGGCGACCCAGAGGTTGAAAATGGGTAAGGTATTATATAGCGAATTGTTTTTGGCGATTGTGGCATAATCGAGGACGATGGGACCGGGAAGTCCGCCGATATTGAGCTGGCGGAGCAACGACGGCGGAGGGGTGGCGGTGTGCGGAGGTAGGAGATCTTTTCGTATGATGATCACTGCAATGCCAGCAACACCAATGTTCTTTTGGGCGCCACCCTGTGCTTGACGATTAGTATGAAGCTGGCGGAATTTTTGCGTCTTGTAGAAGATAGATAGGTAGATGAAAGGAGAAGACTTACAAATATGATTCCATATTTGCTAACATCCACTTTCCTGCTCAAGAAATTGGAGCTCATGTCGGCGACCACGATTCTTTCATCCTCCTCATCACCGCCATGTGGTTCCAAAACCTTGGGGAAACTCGGAAATTCTACGCCGTCCACGGTCTCATTGTCACAGAAATAGACAAAGGCAGGGGCCGCTTTTCCGCCCTCTTTTTTCGTCTTGGTGAGATTCCAAGTTTCTTCTGATGGTATCTTGCCAAACTTCCCTCCATTGTCCTTCCTCGCATCAACAGCAACATTGACATATTTTTCTCCAAGCAACCGAGCTGCTTCCTGGGACGCTTTCAACGACCATGATCCGGTGACAAGGTAATCCAACTTCAGTTCCTCCTCGATCTGCTTCTTTAGTTCCGCCACAAGTGTCTCCTCTGGAGCAGCGTTGATCTTCCGCCGTCTTCTCTCGACCCATACACTGACGAGGTTATACACCACGGCGCTGAATTCTCCTGACCCGCCGGCTTGCATGAACAGGATTTCATAATTGTCTGGGACATCGAGGAGGGTAGTGAGGGCCTCTTTGGTCTCTGCAAGGATCTTGTTGGCCGTTGGGGAGCGATGGGAGATCTCTCCAAGACCAAGACCGGCATCGTTGAAGTTGACGAAAGCTTTGGCGGCACCTTCGACAACAGGGGTGGGGAGCGGGGCGGGGCCCGCGCCGAAGTAAGCAACCTCGGACCGGGAGGGCATGATCGGCGTGTGATTTGGATACTGCGTAGAGGAGCTGCGCTTCGCGTGGGATGGTGATGATTCTGCGGTTGGAGGAGTTAGTAATGCTGGATTTTGGATGGTGGAGCTTGACGTGGGCAGGAGGGGCATACGGACGGTGACGGTGGGGTGATGTCTACCAGTGAGTGATACTGCAGCAGCATCTATAAGTCGTCACTCAACTCGCGGAACTTCTGAGGGAGAAGTACAGAGCAGTCGCTATGGGGCGAATGCGGTGATATATGTACGAGATGGACGATTCTCATCCGAACGGGTTTATCGCACTGAGTCTTACTTGCGAGCGATTACAGAACCAGTTGGCATCTCCCTACGAACCATTCAAGACATTGGAGTTCACATATAAGTAGTACCGTAACTAACAACCCCCTGATATGAAGACGATAGTAATTACTTCTGAGATGAAGGAGAGCTGGAGCTCTGATACTGATAAACACAAACGTCGAGGAGCTCCAGCGTTTTCCCCCGAATTCGGAGAGAGGCACAGAGTTTTTTTTCTAAGCTCACGGGGGGTGCCTCGACATCTCTCCGTGGGGCACCTGGTTCCTTTCGAGTTCCCTGTGTGCCAAATCGCAGGGCACTTGACTTTCCCGATCGTTTTCGACTTTGACGATGGAAGTATCACAGCCAAAGCTGTCCTGCTAACCGTCGACGTGCAACTTTTCCAGTGAGTTAATTTGCTGACTAACCAATAAACCCCGGCATCGGAGAAAAGTGTTTGCCACGTTTGCACGGGCTGATTGAATTAGGTCGTCGCTGATTGCTCGACGAAATTCTTCTAAGACGGCCCAGACGAGCAGTTGAGGGAAGATGACCAGCTATCAGCAATTGCTGCATCGGCAGGTGCGCGGGATAGCCACGCAGGCTTCCCTGGGTGCACGGAGGTCCTTGGTATGAAAATTCCCTCCGCTGGGCACGTTCCGTATCGACTAACCCCCGAGGATAGACCAGGCCTTTACCCTTTGGGCGGGCACAAGCTTATAGATTACGAGCGTCTCCTGTGATTTTGAATCGCCGGTGCCCTAGGCTCTTTTCTTCGAAATCATGCGCCTTGTCGACCGATGTTTTTCACTCCCAGAGAGAGGACCCTGCGGCAGCAGCTATCCTATCGGCGATGGAGTCATCCAAGGCCGTTCCCCAGACTCTTACGGAAAAGATCGTTCAACGCTACTCCGTTGGCCTTCCTAAGGACAAATATGTCAAATCTGGCGACTATGTTACAATTTCTCCCCATCGCGTCATGACTCACGACAACAGTTGGCCTGTTGCGTTGAAGTTTATGTCGATTGGCGCCTCCAAGCTGAATGACCCGAATCAGATTGTCATGACCCTCGATCACGACGTCCAGAATAAGTCGGAGAAGAATTTGAAAAAATACGAACAGATCGAGACGTTTGCTAAGACCCATGGAGTGGACTTCTACCCCGCTGGTAGGGGTATTGGTCATCAAATCATGGTTGAAGAGGGCTACGCCTGGCCGGGCACCTTGGTCGTCGCATCCGACAGTCACTCCAATATGTACGGCGGTGTTGGCTGTCTAGGAACACCGGTTGTGAGAACCGATGCTGCGAGTATCTGGGCCACAGGCAAGACATGGTGGCAGATTCCACCTGTAGCAAAAGTAACTTTCAGGGGAGTTCTACCAAAGGGGGTCACAGGAAAGGATGTCATCGTTGCACTCTGTGGCCTGTTTGATAAAGATGATGTCCTCAACCACGCCATTGAATTCACCGGGTCCGAGGAAACCATGAGAAGCATTCATATTGACGATCGCTTAACAATCGCCAACATGACAACCGAATGGGGAGCCTTGAGTGGACTCTTCCCCGTCGACTCAATGTTGAAAGGCTGGCTAAGATCAAAGGCAACTACGGCAGCTATGTGGGGATCAACTGTTCCCGAGCTTCAGAGTTCTGCCGCCGAGCGGTTTAAGCATGCTGCACTAGACCAGCTCTTTGAAGAGCCACTTGTCGCTGACAAAGGAGCTAAATACGCGAAGGAACTTTTCCTTGACCTTTCTACCCTATCACCATACGTCGCGGGACCAAATTCCGTCAAGGTCGCCACGCCACTAAAAGAGCTGGAGTCCCAGAACATCAAGGTGAACAAGGCATATCTAGTATCCTGCACGAATTCGAGAGCATCCGATATTGCTGCAGCTGCCAAGGTTTTTAAGGAAGCCGCCGAGAAGAACGGTGGAAAGATTCCCAAGATCGCAGACGGCGTCAAATTCTATATCGCCGCTGCGTCCATCCCCGAGCAACGCGCTGCCGAAGAGGCAGGTGACTGGCAGGCGCTTCTCGAAGCTGGTGCTGAGCCCCTTCCAGCCGGCTGTGGCCCATGTATTGGTCTTGGAACCGGTTTGCTGGAACCTGGAGAAGTCGGAATTAGTGCAACAAACCGGAACTTCAAGGGAAGAATGGGTAGCACAGAAGCTAAAGCATATCTCTCTAGTCCCGAAGTCGTTGCTGCCAGTGCTCTTAGCGGCACGATCAGTGGTCCTGGATGGTACGAAAAGCCTGAGGGATGGACTGGAGTTGTTCGCGGCGAGGGTGATGGCAATGAGATGATCACTGCTGAACAGGCCCTCGAGAAAGTGATCGGCCAGCTCGACAGTATGGTTGAGGACGCTGAAAAGCTGTTTGCGAGCGAAGAAAGTAATTCTTCGGGAGAAGAGGGTCTTACAGAGGTCTACCCCGGATTCCCTGAGCGGGTCTCTGGAGAAATCGTTTTTTGTGACGCTGATAACATCAATACTGATGGTATCTATCCCGGAAAATACACTTATCAGGACAACATTCCCTACGAGCAAATGGGCGAATACTGTATGGAGAACTATGACACCCAATTCGGTAAAGTTGCTAAGGCAGGAGATATCCTCGTGACCGGATACAACTTTGGCTGTGGAAGCTCTCGAGAGCAAGCCGCCACGGCGATCCTAGCCAAGCAAATCCCGCTTGTTGTTTCCGGCAGCTTTGGCAATATTTTCTCCCGGAACAGCATCAACAATGCACTTATGGGCCTCGAGGTGCCACGCCTGATAACTCGTCTAAGAGAGACTTTTGGAAGCGATAAGACCGATTCTAAGCAGCTCACCCGCCGAACCGGCTGGACTCTGACTTGGGATGTGCGCCGAAGTCAGATCGAGATCCAAGAAGGGCTCGATGGACCGAAGTGGACACAGAAGGTCGGCGAGCTGCCGCCGAATGTGCAGGAGATTATTGCCCTTGGCGGATTGGAGAAGTGGGTGAAGAATTCGATCTCATCGTGATACCTAAATCCAGCTTGTACGTGTATATAATATTTTCTTTTGGCCGTTTCGGTGTTTCCCCAAAAAGAGAGCGCACTATTGGTGTTTGGGATCATAGATGTGTATTTCCGTCGGATTCATACTACAATCAGTTTTGAGTAGAGTGTTTGTAATATCGAAGGATTCTACATACTATAACTATCCCGGTTTCCGATGAAAGTAGCAAATCCATGGCCCATTTGGCTACTAATCCTGCCCGAATTTCAAACCAAACAATAGTGTGAGCGGTGAAACCCAACAGATATGAATGGGGATGGACGGACAGTCCATTCGAGCCGAGGGAGGAAAAAAACCAAAAAAGATTTTTTTCGAAGTAGCATGTCTTGGTTTCGATCCAAGGTCCTCCGGGTTATGAGCCCGGCGCGCTTCCGCTGCGCCAACATGCTTTGTTGCTGCAGGGAACAACAAACTTTCCCCTTACTAGCCTAAATACCTTTTAGTGTGCCGAACCGCAATAAGTAACCAGGGCAAACCCTGAACTATGGGGAACAGCATCTCAAAGTGTACGGAGTACTTCGTACGCGTGTCGATGTCTTCAGCAGGGTCAAGGCGCTCCTCTAGCTTTACCGTGTGGCATGCTCCCGCTCGGACTCGAAGAATAGGGATCCATTATCCACGAATTCGCTCGCTCTCGACGGCTATGTCCAACCGCCTTCATGGGAGAACGCCAAAACGCTAGCTTTTGTGGAGATACATACACCGCGAGTCCGTGATCGTTAGTCTACGAGGTAAGGAGGATGAGGGTTAAATATCGCCCGTGCCCAGAACCGGGATGGCTCTGCAAGAGGGTGGAGCAACCCAAGTTTCCGGTGCCGGATCCTTCGTGTTTTCTGGGACAGGAGAACGGTGCCGCACATTGACTATCGCGAACCCCTCCCCTCACCCTTTTTTCCCTTGGAAAGGCCGCAATCCCTCGGAATAAAAGCCTCTCAAAGGTCTTGAATTCCACTGGGGCAGACATACATACTCCTGTTCCTTTGCCACCGGCGTGTGAGTGCATCGAAACCTTCGTTCGCTCTCTTCGGCGGGTTCTCATTGAAATCATTGAGCTTGATCAGTACATCGCTAGGACTAGTATTCAGTTACCAAGGATCCATATGCCATAATAGCTAACCTGTGCTGACATGATTCCTACTTTTACGACCCACAGGAGGGATATGACCCACAGGAATGCTTTGAATTCGCTTTTTTCAATAGGACGGTTAAATCGTTCCACGATTTATACCATTATTGGAAAATGACCAATCGGCATGAGTGGTGTCCTAGATGAACGTGCATTTGATCTGTGTGTTCAAAATTCCAGACATCATAATCTGTGGCCGAAGTGTTCCTTCGACTTTCCCACCAAGTCAGGGTTGAGCGTGCACCAGGTCCAAGCCCATCATTGTTGCGACGTATGCGATCCGTATTTCTAGAATAAAAACAATCTCAGATTGGTGAGATGACATTTTCATCTACGGAATATATAACCGCTGTCTTTCTGCACCTAATAAATTTGATAGCACCCACTTAGTCGTCGGCATCGAGGCCCCCAGTGTTACGGCTACAAGCGACTTTTCCCGTCTTTTTCAGCAATGATTATTCGCCTAGAAGCCGGTGCCTGTGCTAGGGGCACTGGGCTCCGTTTAATTACTCTTCCTGTCGTTAAATGTCACTCCGCCCATCGACAATCAGGCATTACCCCGTACTGCTATCCTTCATGTGAACGTGTTTTTACTACGCTTTCGGGGACCTGTCAGCACGCAGAATATTTCCTCTCGGTCGTCGAGCCCCACGTCGAGGCGCACTTTTTGTTGCCCTTATCGGTATATTAAACAAAGTCTATAAGAACCGAGCTTCCAGTACTTCGCTCTGTTGGCCAGCTTTTTTTGGGGGCCTGCCTCTCTACCTTCACAGTTAGCAGCCTTGCTCTTTGCGGCTCTTGTTTCCCAAGCTTGTCCCGATCCAGTGTGGCTGTCGTGGAGTGTATTAAATTCTGTATGTATGTATGCATGTATGTATCTACATGGCAGGACATTGGATAATGCACTCTAACCGTGTTGCAATTATATTTTGTCTCTGGGAGAAATGGCACTTTCATACAGATTTTATTCCGGAGCTTTATTTATTTATTTATTTGTTTGTTTTCTTTTTCTTTTTCTTTTTCTTTTTCTTTTTCCCTTTTTTTTTTTTTTTTTGGATTAGCCTGGTTAAGAACCGAGCCTGTTGTCTATTAAGCGTATACTTATTGTAATCCGCGTTCCGCACACACACTTACTCCGTACATACAATAATTTTTAAAACGCGCATGGCTTTGAACCTGTTTCACCACCCCTGTTCCATAACGTTTCAACAGCTCAACGGTGTCTAGGATAATTTTTCTTAGTCACCTTCTTTTGGGTAAGTAGCCGACGTGTCCTCTGTAATTAGGTAGCTACTAACTTAACCCTGACCGCTTAAACGTGGCCAGAAGGCCAGTCTGGGCGCAGTATGGCTCGTGATAAGATTAAGGCTGAGCGTGTAGCTGGAATGAATTGCCGGTAAGGCTGGCGGGAAGTAAACAGTCTCCATCGCTTAAGCCGGAGGGAGGATATAGCTTGGCCTATGGCAATCCTTGGGTCGCATGTTTTCCGTACATCGACGTAGAGTATGTCTCCGTGGATACTGTGCCACCCCCAGTATTGGCCGGGTTGAAAGCTGGCTCGTTCAATCAGAAGCCGAGAAGCCAGCTGTAGATCCCTCAGTGCAAAGCCATATTGGCCGGCTTTTGCGGTCGATCCCGCTAGTTCCCCGGGCCAATGTAGCGGCACCGCCGAAGTGGGAAGTTGGTAGCTGCTGGATATGCGACATAAAGGCTCCCGTAGCTCCAAAGTGACTCAGGATTGCAAACGCATTTTCAATCGGTACTGGCCCGGTTTACATACTGCCCAAAACTCAATTCAGAACCAAGGTATCAACTCTTCAATTCGGAACTGCTCTTGGAAACTGACACTTGATCGGCCCTTGTGTAACATTCTTGTCAAATTTAGGGAAGAGTTAAACATCTACACCGTATGGCTGGCTGGTCTAAACAGCCTACGATCAGGATGCCAAAATGTAGCATCGTATAGGACCTAGAGATGTTTCAAATCGGTTCTCCAAATTCTGTGCTAAAATACTGATCATAATCAATGATTTTCATCCTAACAATTCTCTTAATACGCACTGGAAACCGACGGGGTGCGTGTGTGTGTGTGTGTGTGTGTGTGTGTGTATATCACTTTTTTCGTAGGCCTTATGCAATCAGAGACTATGAAGGCCATGCTATCTGTCCAACTAGTTACAGGCATGTGTTCTTCTTGATGTGGGGACTTCAGTTAAGTCATTCTGTTTAACTAAGCTCAAACTGCACATGATTCCCAGAGGAGAAGGTCTTTTACAACTTGCATTATTCTTCTGATTGGAGCCATGTTCTAAGGGAAAATCCTTAAAATCTTGAGTGTAACTGACACATCTCAACATTTGCAAACTAATAAAAAGTAGATGATTTTAAGTGAATCATCTTGTAAACCACACAGGCCCAGTACATCTCATATCTAACTCATGTATATTCCTGATCCATAGCAATCAATTATAACTACCCAACAAGATAGCACCTGTCCTTCTAGAATGGGATCCCCCATGGTAAAGATTTCTTTTTGATTGAGACAAGATTTGAACTCACAACCTTCTGTTCAGTGTGGTCAACTCCCCAATCAACAGAACACCTACTTCAGAAGGATTCCAGGCTGGCCCTTTCCCACTCGGCCAACCACCCCACCGGAAACCGACGGTGACACATTCCTAGGATCAATAGAAAAAGAGAATAGGTGACGGGCTACAAAATGGTTTGAATAATCTTCTTTTACTTGCTAGCGACCATGATCTCAATGGGGCCATAGGTAAGGCAGATTGGTGAGATGCCTGTAGCACCTGTCAGCAGACAGTGGAATTTCTCGGTCAAGATGAAACGGTAGAGTGCGAATCAGTCGTGGGAAAGCCGATTAGCCCATAGGCGCGACACAAAACCTGAACCGGTTGAATCCTTTTGGGAGTTGAGATGTGCTCAGAGTTATGTCAGTTATTTTCCCCATCTTGACTTCAGCTTTCGAGGACCCCAGTGTGGTGGCTGAACGGACCGAAGCGCCTTGACCGCTGATATACTTTCCACCTATTCCTTTTTTCGTAGGGCTGAAGGCGCAGTGACCAGTTCCATCCACGTGGTTACATATATTACGGACCCAAGACGAAGATTTCGCTGGTTGTGTAAACTTCGCCTTCAACGTCGGGACTTGAGTCAAATGGCCAGTATTATTAATTATTAGGTGCTGTAGGTATCACCACCCGATTTGGACAATTTGGACCCAAAACCGGAATGGACCCGCGATATTTGATAGATAGGTATGGCCCTTTTGTCAGCAGCGTATTAAATAAACTAAAGGCTTCGCGCGGACATGACTTATGACCCCGTGTTGTGTAACGTGGCCAGGAACAGAAAATCATATCCGGAGACATGTTTTGGCCAAAGGCTATGAGATATTCTTAGTCTTAGCCGAGAGGGAGCACAGAAGGAGGACGGATGATTTGAAATCGAATAACCAGCGAAGTCATGGCCTATCTGTTTGCATGATAAGTGTCCGGACCGCATCCCACATCTCCGAGCAACCCGGTTGAGGTGAGTCACGTTCTTGGTAATACGGAGTATGTAATGGCTGTAAGGCGTACGAGGTACCTCAAATACTAGTGCAAAGCTACATTCTAAATTTAGCTTTAAGCTCAGAATCGTTTCCACAGCCTAAAAAAAGTCTTTTACTTTCATGCTTTGACAGCTTGACACCGAAAACGTTGCCTGGTTCCTCTCTAGTCAATATGTAGTTAAACAACTGGCATAGATGTATGGACCTCAGTTAAGGAACAAAAACCAGAAAATGCGGCTCCAGACACAACACTATTCAGGGGCCTCCTGTAGACAGTATAGTCCAGGCACACATAATCTTCGCAAGGCAGTTTACCTAAAATACAACGACCCACACCAACGGTTAACGCCGAGCAACAAAACTTTATTGGTCGAAGGAACACTGCACCAACCAACTGTTCGCATTCCTCACTCTGACTGCACCCGAACCTGCAAATAATAAATCAGTGTCTGCAAACTGCCATTTGAATGCGCAGATACATTGGGGTGAAAGCCAAACTTTAAAATTGAACAGCCCTCGCCCCACTGCTAAAGCATATCCCTCGGTATGGTAGATCATCTTCGTTGTAATTGCGCATCATCGCTTGGCCCAGCCCACGCAGGCAACAACAACGATGAATCATAGACACGAGACCCTTACCAAGGAGATTAATGCATTGAAAATGTGCTAAGCCATGTCCCCATCCTGACCTCTTTCCTCGGAGCACAAGATGTCCTCAATCCAGATCTGAACCCTGCGTGGCTGGTTTCCCGGAAATCCCATATGGCCCACTCGCTCGTTCGGAACCTTTCGTCCAGTCACTGCCTGAATTTCCTCGGTATTCCCTTATTTACCTACCTGAGACAATCGTCTGGATCGTATCTGTAGGATCTGATTCGCTTTCACTCATCAGCCACTGTTTTTAAACAAAGGGCCAAGGGAAAAGCAACAACCGGGAGGGGTGAAAAGAGAGAACCAGGAAAGGCAAGAAAGCAACAATGAGGGTGAGACAGAACTGAAAGGTTTGGACTGGGATCTCTCTGCTTTGTGTCATAGGGGTCTATTTTGTCGACCCTTATGCTCTCTTCTTTTTTTTTTTTTTTTTTTTTTTTTTCATGGGCAGCCCCCGTTATTGGGTCTGTTACAGGTGTGCCCCCGGGCTCTCAAGGGAGAATCTGCATGCTGTGTGTACCGGAAACGAATCGTGACTGTGCCTGTGCACGGGGCAACGGATTCGAGCTGAGGAGTTGGTTCCATGCATCCTACGGTTCTCTACCCGTTGTCATTAATATTTTCAAGAAAGAGAGGCGCTCTAATCAATGCTTCTTCGGATATATAAGCCTCCTTCATCCCTTCTCTCTGCCTGTTCCAAATTCCATCTTTCATCGGCTTCATTCAAGCAAGACCTCTTTTTCTGGCTACAAATTTTAATACTATTTGTCCTCATATTCAGCCAACCTTTCAGTCTTTACTTGTTTCAAGATCTTTATTTCTCCCTACGTCTCCGAAACAAGTTCGCTTTATAGTCGCACGCATAAATACCAGGCTCCTTCGCTCTGCCCTGAGGCAACCATCCGCAGAAAATCTCAACCGGAGAGAAAGAGCTTTATTCTATATAAACCCTACATGGGGCGCGGCGGATACAACTAAGTCAATTGCAAGAACAAAACGCCAAATCTTTCGCGCCTTTGAGACCAAAGCTCTACCACCCAAAAAAAAAAAAAAAAAAAAAAAAAAAGGCTCAGCCTCTCAATATTCCGCTCTCTATCTTCATTTCGGAAACAAATCAAACAAAATGGGTCGTGGCGGCTACAATGGACCCAACCAGGCTTCTGGTTCAACGCAGCCCGTGAATCGACAGGGTAGAGGCGGATACAACGACATTCACGACACGGATGAGGACTCATATGCGCCTCGATATCCGAAACACGAGCAATGAGTATTTCGAAATATGTCGAAACAGCGCAGGACGTGTTTCGAACCATTTCTAGAGATCCTTTTTCCAGAATTTAGTTGAAGAGACGGAAACTTTTACGGGATTGTACGATATAGAATGGCTAGGCGTTTCGGTCAACTTTGTGGATCGGGTTCAATTCCTCCTCCGGCGATTATTTTCCTACGCAAAACCTGTTCGAATTTCAGGTCAGTTAACATTTGGGCAAAACTGGAGAACGACGCAAAGAGGAAACCAACTTTTCAAACACTACTCCCAAGACACTCTCTACGTCACCACCTTCGCCGCGGCCGGTAATCTTCGCTAGCGAATCCGCCGCAAATCGCAAATGTTCTGCCGCCAACACGATATCAACTTCGTTTTCGTCAAACATTTGACCTTTAGCGAGCGCATTTTCCGGAGTTTGTGCATTATTGTTGTCACTTGCGATATTAGCGTGTTGGATCTGCACGGTTTGGGATAGAAAGTCTCTTAGATGTTGGGCGCATGTTTTTAGATTAGAACTTTGTCGGTGCGTGACTCCAAGTGAGTCCTGATAATAAGAAAGGTCATAACGATTATCCTCATCTTCTGATCGAGAGGGCATTGCCATTTCCTCGAATGTATGAATTAAGCCTCTCAGGAAGTTTTGTATATTACCAGGGTCCCGTCGGTCGGGAGACCCATCCTGCGCATCCTTGCAGGAAATTGCGTAAATTTGGTTTTTGTCGAGTCCCTGGAACGTGGAGCAAATCCTTTCCACCACGTTCGAGTATTGCCGACTAGTAACATCCGAGTTTAACCTATCAGTTTTGTTGATCGCAACGATCACTCGCTTGTCGAGACGCAAGCAATCCTCAATCGCGCCAACCACCTCAGCTTCCAGCTTTAGCGCGGAGCCATGCTGGTTCTCCTCAAGTGACAAAACTGCGATAACAAGATCTGACTCCAATGCTCGCGCCTTGGCTCGACGTATACCTTCCCTTTCCACTTCTCCAATAACAGTAGAATCCTTGCGCTCTTCACCAATGAGCTTAGGTGGCGCAGACCGCAGTCCCGCCATATCTCCAAACTTGCAAAGCCAACCGCCAAGGTCAACGCCAACATCAACAATGTCACGAGTGGTTCCTTCTTCGCTACTAACAATTGCTGCTTCTCGTCCCACAATTCGATTTAGCAGCGAGCTCTTTCCGGCGTTAGGGGCACCAAGCAATGCGATTTTGATTCCGCTTCGCAGCAATTCTCCTTTCGAGGCATTTTCAATGTGAACATCGATCTGGTTTAGCAGTTTTCGAACTTGTCCCGTGACGGAAATCATAAAATCATCTACAGATTCATCGAAATGTTGGTCCTCAGAAAAATCAATTAGCGCCTCCAGCTCGCCTCGAGCATACAGCAACTGTTGCCTCCAATTCTCATATCTTGCAGACAGAGTATCGCTTGTACCCCTAATAGCTAGACGCCGCTGCTGCTCGGTATCGGCTGCTAAAGTATTGCCTAATGCCTCAATCTGCGGAAGATCAAGGCGATCATTGAGAAAGGCTCGGCGAGTGAATTCGCCTGGCTCAGCGTACCGGATGCATGACTCTAGCCCGGTCTCGATTTTGTTCTCTAGACATTTAGGTATTGCATTGAGCACCGCTTTAATCACTGCAGGACTGCCGTGGATGTGCAATTCAAGGACGTCTTCACCTGTTACAGTCTTTGGGGCCGGAAAGTATAGGACCAAGGCGCCTGAATCGAGAACCGCATTCGACGATGGAGATTGCGTTGGATCACATAATGTTCTAAGAGTAGCATACCGTGGCTTTGGCAGAGGAGATCCGGGGCACAAGCCTTTGTATACCTAGAATTGCGAAAATCAGCAAAAAGAAGCTTCGCGGAAAATACGGATGCTCGTCATACCTGTATACAAGCAGGGCCAGATACCCGCACAATAGCTATTGCAGCTCTTCCTGGTGCTGTGGATAAAGCGTATATCGTTGCAGGAGCTCCATCCGTAGGATGTAGAGGTGACCGCGTCGTAGCGAGGTTCCTAGCGGGTGACGGGTGGCCTTTTCCGGGAATTGGCCCGCTGAGAATCCTTTGGTAGGGGAACGGAGTCCATAGCGGACGGGAAGACAATACTCGACGGAGTAGAAAACCGGGAATTCTTCGCATACGCAATGAGAAATCTCATGGAAATCACTGAGACGAAAACAATCTCGTTCGTGTAAAGGCAGCGGATGCGGTTGTATGGGCGTAAGTTTAGAGTCACGTGGGCGTGCCCCTTGGCCCTAAGAATGCTGCTGTCAAACTCCGTTTCTCATCATCACAACAAGCTCGGGATTCATTACCGAGATGAACAGGCTCCGCTAGCAAACACATCAGAAAAAGGTTTTTAAATGAATCTAACCGCGTCGCACCTTCTAAGGTTTAGTTAGGTCACTGCGAGACTGATACTGTACGAGTTAATTGATCCCGTTCGAATGAATCGGACTTCTAAATGTCAACGGGGGCCTGGCCAGCAAGATTCCCACTCCATCCATCATTTCCCTAGAAAGAAATCCAGCTAGCTTGCTTCAGCGCCGGATGTTGAAGCCTGTTAGTTAATGGCTCACAGCCTACCGGATATTCAAGAATTCTCTGCAGAAATCACCATCTCTAAAGAACTACCCCGTACACTGTGGTTCTTATGCCGTTGTCCGAGATTGGATGGATTGTTGTTTTCGTCCCATTCATGTCAGTTCTAATCAAAAAGTTGGCCGCATAGGTAGCGGTAAGGACTTGGTGTCCCGAAAAATTGATTGCCGAATTCACCCAAAGACCCTTACAATATCTTCAGAGGGGAAACCAAGAAGCTTCCAACAGTAGAAACGGTTGCTGTTCGAGCTTTTTAAATTCTCGGTGCACTTGGTAATTATATGTGAAGCTGCCAATGCTGCTACTATCTACTCTTGGTCCATTTGTGTTCGAGCTGGAATTGGAGGTAGCTCATGCTTGACCGCTTACAGCTTCAACTCGCCTTAATGTTCCGAGGGACGCTTGCTAGTTCTGCTTCCACATAAATCCGCAAATCAAAACTTTTGCACGGCCGCAGGCCGTCCCACCGAGAGGTCGATGAGCGGAGCGGATTGTGTCGCATAGTTCCTTCTCCTGAAGATATGGGGACCTTGATAGAGAAGATCAAGCGTCATTCCAAGTTACCCCTTGGAATCAAACTTCCACATCCAATCATAAGTGAGCAATTACAATGTACCTTCGGAGGAATTTGCAGAAAGCTGCAGGTATTGCATTTGAATCAGATAATAGGTCGTGTCTTGTTCTCTGTGGACGGAAGAATGAGTAACTTGGAGGCCGTATAAGAACGGCAAGGATGCCAGGGCCTTTAGCCCTGAGGTGAAAATCTCGAAACTCGCCTTCATTTTGCTACATATCTTGCAATTGACTAACGATAGTAAGATGGAAGTCGACTCAGAGAAAAGACCTGCGGCCCATCGCTCACCAGAGCCCAAAGATGGAGCTGGAGGGACACAGGGCCAAGAAGCCAGACGGCTGCCTGTTACCCTACTATCAGGGTTCTTGGTAAGCGTCGGGGCTACGTGAGTAGGCATGCATTCTAACACTCTTGATATTAGGGAAGTGGAAAGACCACCCTGTTGGAGCATATCCTCAAATCGCCTGACCATGGACTTCGAATAGCTGTGATTGTCAATGATATGAGCAAGTCAGTTTGCACCCTATTTCAATGCAAGACACTCCGGGCTAATTGGGTTACTTCAACAGACTTAATATCGACGCTGCCCTCATTACACATCATAAAGTATCTCAGACGAAAGAGAAACTCATCCAGCTCCAAAATGGTTGTATCTGTTGCACGCTCCGTGGGGATTTGCTCTCGGAGCTTGCGCGCCTCACAAGACAGAAAGAAGTGGAATACGTTGTCATTGAGAGTACTGGTATTAGTGAGCCGATGCAAGTGGCGGAAACATTCACTGCGGAGTTTAGCGCGGCAATGCTTGAAGCTGAGGATCAGATCATGGATACCGATGAGGATAGCAGGAAGATCCTCTCCGAGATGTAAGAGTTTCATTTGAGCTCACCACTGCCAGAGCCGCCCCTTACTAACCGGCCTTATTTCTGAATGCAGTGCCGAGCTCGGAGGGCTTCACAATTTAGCAAGCCTTGACACGACAGTCACTGTAATTGATGCATTCAATCTTCTATCGAGTTTCGACACAGCAGAGTTTCTTTCCGATCGCTATGGCTCCAAGGAAATTATTCCTGAGGATGAACGCACCATCTCCGATCTCATGGTAGATCAGATCGAGTTCGCCGATGTTGTGATTATCAATAAGATCGAGACCGTTGATGAAGAAACCCGAGGTCGGATTAGGAAACTCGTGAAGTTGTTGAACCCTGATGCGAAAATCCTAGAATCCAGTTACTCGAAGGTCGATGTACGCGAGATTATCGGAACCAACAGATTTGATTTTCTCAAAGCAGCCTCGGGTTCGGGCTGGTTGAAAAGTCTGCACGAGATGACGGTTATGAATACTGATCAGGGAAAGAGGATGGCACCTAAACCGGAAACCCTGGAGTTCGTCTCTTCCTCCCTTTAACACAATCTCCTGCTACGAATGCTGACTTGGCACCCAGGTACGGAATTAACAATTTTGTATATACCGCTAGGAGACCGTTTCACCCGCGTCGGCTCTTTGCTCTTCTTCATGACAAATTCATCCTTCTTCAGCAGGGAGAGGAGGAAGAAGAGCAAGAGGACAATGACGACGAAAACAAGGACCAAATGGAGATCGACGAGAATGATCCTATGTCTGAGGACGAGGATGAAGATATGGAGACCCAAAGCGTACAAGGTTTCGAACAGCCTGATCCTGCAGTTATTCTTGCGAATAAACGCGCACATGCATTTGGGCCTGTTCTACGCTCGAAGGGATTCTTTTGGCTGGCGACTCGCCCCCTTCAGTTTGGGGAATGGAGCCAGGCCGGGGGGATGCTGACGGTGAGCTGTGGAGGACCTTGGTTTGCTGAAGTACCCGACGAAGCCTGGCCAGAGGATAAAGATGTCCGCAAAGCCATTGAAAACGACTTTCAAGGCCAGTGGGGTGACCGGCGCCAGGAGCTCGTGTTCATCGGGGAAGGCATAGATGTAGACAAGATCACTTCTCTGCTGAACGAGAGTCTTTTGGATGATGCTGATATGGCCCGTTGGGAAAAGGTCATGAAAAATAAGCGGTTGTCGAGAGAGGAGAAGGCAGAAAAATTGGCCAGGATGTGGGAGGATGGATGGGAAGGATGGCCTGCATTTGAAATCGAAGAGGAAGACGAAGACATCCAGGAGAAAGATAAAGAGAAGGATAAAAAACACAAACACTTTGCAAGTGAGTATTTTGGACACACCAAAGAGAAGACCGGGAGCCATGCTCACCCTCATCACCATCACCACAAAATGGATCGTCTGCATCAGATGAAGGCAGTAGCAACCTGAAGAAAGTGGAATGTCAAGAGGAATGAATAGGCCATTCTGCTCACAGCATCAAAATAGTTGAACAAATATCAAGTTGTCTTCAATCACCCATATCATGCAGCTTTACAATTTCCAAATCACTCATGTGCTTTAAGACTCATCTCACCCACCAGTCAAATCATGAGCTAAACACCAGTCAGAGAACAGCGTTAATTCCCACGTCACAACATTTGCAAAATGTTCCCTAAAGAGGATAGCTGGTGCATATGGGCTAGATGGATGCAGCGAAACACAATGATAAGAAGATGTATTCGAGTTTACCCTGTACTGAGGGGTGTTCCATACTGGCAGGGCGACTTCACGCCCTTCAGCTTTGTTGTCAGCCTGCTCGAATGTTCGTGGCTGTTCGGTAATCCAACTAGCACCTCGCTCACGTAACCCACATGGATTAGTTAGACGAAATCCCCATTTAGGTAGCTTAGTACGGAGTACTCCGTAAATAACAAGCATACGAGTCCTCCATCAGTGGCTGCGGCGGGTGTTTCTTCTCCCGAGAAGAAAGTTTAACCAACAGAGCTTTGGTAGCTAACAAGCTGGGGGTCCCCCAATGTAGAGAAAGGCAAACTGTGGGGTGAAAAAGGGCTCCAGAGCTGCGAGAATGTCCTGAAAACTACCTAAACATTGGCAACATGCTGGCATGGGTGATCCAGCAAAGAGCCTCATTCATTGTAACTATGTACGTACTAGCAAAATTAGGACATATCCGAATCACGGACATTGAACTGCTCACAATACATTTCATGATGAGGTCACTAATGGCTCATGTTGCCGTTATCATTATGGTTGTTGAAAAGTAAGTGAGATGAGCTCATGGTATCGCTGCCTCGGCATCCGACAGCTTTTTTCTCATTGAAGACTTTGGAATGCTACACACCGGCTTGTGTTTTCCCACTTTGTTGCTGGGAATTCAGCTCTGTCCTCAAAGCTACCTTGCTCTTCCGTCCTGATCCTTCATCACATTTACTACAGGAAAGGACAGAACCCATGGTGCTCGGCTGCTTGTTTCTACCGATATCAACGATAGTTAACTAGCTGCGGCATAAACAGGCTGGGCTCGTAGTACCATCTTAGCTACAAGTCTGGGGTTAGGGTGACACCGTCAGGTAGCAGGAGGTAAATTGCTTCGCAACTGGGATAACATGCCACGAACGATATTACGTTATCTTGGCACACAGCATCTTTTGTTTTTTTCGTGTCGAAAAGTCAAGTAGACTAACAACCTAGGAGGAGATAAGCCGAAAAGCTAAGTTAACGAGGACCCATATGCAAAAATGCTTTTCCCCAGGCGCTCGACTTCGAATCGTGGACGTAGTGGATATATCCATGGCAGACCCATCCAACATCTCCATATTTCCAGATTGGGGTTGAGCTTAGCCTGAAGCGAACAGTCGACAAACCGCAGCCAGACACAGGCTTAAGACTTTGAAGCCTTCTCTTGGCGTTCAATCCAGTGGTCATGGGGCAAATGGATCGGTTTCCATATCCACCCCTGACAAACGCTGACAATTGATTATGATACGCGTTCTTTTTCCTTGCTTCCGGAAGCCAGAGAGAGTTGTCCATAATGGGCTCTTTGGACCCCAGCCGGGGTTCTTTTGCCCTTTGGTTCTCCCCTCCCCGGGTTTTGTTCCTTGATTTAATTTCTCTTAATTATCCTGGGGTTCCCCCGCGTAGTTTTTCCTCAAAAAGCTTCGCCTTCGCTGATCTACCCCGGCCTGTGAAACTCTGTTCTTGTTTGATACCCTAACTTTTGTTGACGATTGCGAAACGACAATGGCGCCTGACAGTGTAGGCAAGACCTCTTCCGACGAGGACTCCGTCCGGGGGGAGAAACCAGCTGCAAGTAATGGTGCCTCTGTCGACCTCGAAGCCGCTGGTGAGAAGGATGGCTACGTGCTTGACGCAGCTCAGATCGGAACTACAGAATTGATGACGGCGAAAGATGGTCATACAGTCTTGATTCCCCAGCCTAGCAGCTCGCCTGCTGACCCGCTGAACTGGTCCAATTTCAAGAAGGCTCTAATCCTGACTATCATTTCTGCAACGGCATTCTTGCCTGATTATGGAAGTGCCACAGGAGCTGTCACTCTTATCCCCCAAGCCAAGTAAGAGCCCATTTCTTTCTTTCTTTTTTTTGTTTTTAGTCAGGAGACTAATGAATGATATGCTGACATATTTTCGGATTATAGAATCTGGGGGATGACGGAAGATGAGGTGAACCACTCTCAAGTAGGGAATGTCTTCATGTTGGGTGCTGGTGGCGTCTTTGTTGTCGCCTTTTCCGCATACTTTGGAAGATATCCTGTCTTGTTCTGGTTCTTGGTCATTGCTTTGGCGACTGCAATCTGGTGTGCTGCAGCGTTGACGTTTGAATCCTTCATGGTAAATGCACTTTGATGCAATAAGTGTGATGCGCATTATGCTAATCTACTACCCTACAGGCCGCTAGAATTCTCAACGGTTTCTTTTCCACAGTTATGCAAGGGGTAAGGAAAAATCTGCCGCATGATCCATCGCGCCGACACTAATTACATACTCAGGGTGGTCTTATGTATATCAAAGACATGTTCTTCTTCCACGAGCATGCGCGAAAAATCAATATCTGGTCAAGCTTTATCATCGTGTCGCCGTATATGGGGCCTCTACTCACAGCTTTTATCATCAACACCCAGAAATGGCAATGGGCCTTCGGTGTATATTCAATCATAACTGGCCTCTGCCTTATTGCGGTGATTCTCTTTGTGGATGAAACTTATTATGATCGAAAGATCCCGGAGGACCAGCAACCGCCGCGTGTCAGTAGATGGAAGCGAATGATCGGTATCGAACAGTGGCAAAGTCGCCATACGAGAAACACCTTTAAGGATGCCATGATGCGTCCTGTCATCGTTATCTCCAAGGTGCCAGTTTTGATCTCGATGTTATACTACCTGTTTACCTTCGCGTGGGTTGTTGGCATCAATACTACGTTGTCAATATTCTTGGGCCCGCTCTATAACTTTGGGCCAAAACAAATTGGTAGGCATTTGTCCTCAATTGATTCCATCGAACTCGGAGCTTACGCGACGTAACAGGTTTCTTCTACTTTACACCAGTTGTCGGCGCTATCCTTGGCGAAATTGCAGGCCACTGGCTTCACGATATGATCGCGAGAGTCGCCTCCAAGAGGAACCATGGCCGGTTTGAACCAGAAGCACGTTACGTAGCTACTTGGGTTTCTACACCGTTCTTGATTTCTGGCACGGTCCTTCTCGGATTTGCGCTCGAGAGAGGATACCATTACATGCTTGCTTCCCTCGGTTGGGGCCTCTACGTCTTCGGAATCATGATCACAACTGTCGCTGTGAATGCATATGTGCTCGACAGCTACCCAGAAGCATCCGGTGAAGTTGCAGCTTGGATCAACTTTGCCCGTACGACTGGCGGATTTGTTGTGAGTTATTTCATGGTTGAATGGGCAGGGAAGCAGGGCGCCATTCGACAATTTGGCACAATGGCGGGTATCTGTGGTTTTGCATTTGTGATGATTATCTTCCTGCAAATATTTGGCAAGAGACTAAGGCAATGGGCTGGGCCGGTCAACTTCAAGACTGTTTAATATGGCGAGTATATGTTTGTACTCTCCTTTTCTTTTCTCCGTTTTGTTAGGAATTTGCTTTCTATGAGGAACAGGATAGTCATTCAAACGAAAAAAAAAAAAATATTTTGTGAATTTACCAAGTGTATAGTTAGTCAGTATGTATCTTTTACAACCGGGTTCGGCCCTCTCTGAACTCGATGTCTTCATGTCATTTCATTCCCTAACTAGTTTTCTATCCGATGTATCCGGAATCGTGAGGGAACGCAATGGCCACTGGTGTTTCTGCTGACAGTGCTGCTCGCCTGCGTAGAAACTAATGCCTGGGTTTCTGGAGCAAGGAACCCCAACTCTGGGGCCCCAACCCCATGGTTCGCCACACATACATGCCCGTGGTTCGGGTAAATCTTTACCCCAAGAAACGGAGTTTATTTTGTCATCCTGAGGAGGGAGATTGATTGGACAGTCCGGCTGCCTATGAAGAAGCCTGTGGAGAAATGGTGAGGTTTTCGATAATGCAATGAGTATTTCCGCGCTGCGCTCTAGCTATAAGTTAACTATCCAGTTAACTTTTCACCAAGTTCTGGACCTGTGAAGACTTCCCCCTACCCCAATAGCTCTCTGCTCCTCATATATTCTTCGCATATTGACTCATATATACATGTAAATAATGTCAATCATTCACTACGCAGTGCGCTTGTGCAGTTTATCCGTGCCATGAAACCAATCTAGTAATCCAATTGACCCATAATTCAAATTGAATTTCTCATGATGCAAATCATGCATCTTGGCTATCCCGCTGAAGAAATCATATCCACTGTGGACAAGTGCTGTATTGGACAGCTCGTAGGCAAGGAACGTCCAGAAGGTCAAGATGTGGCTCCTTAGTAGCGCCGGTGGGAGTGTTATGGGCAAGACATTCGCGACGATGTGTTCGATCGGATGCGCGTATTGGGCTGCGAGTGCGACTGGCGCGGTGAAACGGTGGTGAAGCTTGTGGATTCGTGCGTAGAAGATGCGGTGGTGGAGGAGCCGGTGGCTGTAGTAGAATAGGGCTTCGCGGATCAGGAGGGAGATGATAAAATCCCGGGCGATTTCGGGGAGAGTAGGGAGTGAGGGTTCGATTCGGTAGGGGCGTTGCGGAGAGATGAAGATGAGGATGATGTGCAGGATGGAATTGATGATTTGGTTCCGCAGGACGAGGAGAACGCAGGATTTGATTTCCTTGCTCGTCGGTTGCTTGGGGATGGGCTGGAGCTTGTGTCGGTTAGAGAAGGACGGCGCCCAGATGTCCAGGGACAAGAAGAAGAGTGATGGGAGCCAGAAGGTGACAAGCTGGACGCTGAGGGTGCCGAAGAATTCAATGACCGCCGGGGAAAAGGAGCCGGTAATGTTGGTCCATATTGTCTCCACGGAGGCGCCTTTAGTCAGGCTGGTGATGAGACGCTCCATCGGGGATGCCATGATGTCAAATGCTGGCACAAAATATCTCTTGCAGCGAGGTCCTAACTATTGAACCACGGATTGATCTGGCAACGGGAAAATGTTCCCGTCTTATCTTCGAAATTCCTTCACATTTTTGGTGGTCGTATCACACAAGCCCGACCTCGGCTCAAAAAATGCGGATTGGGGTCAGCCCACATTGTGCTGTGTCTTCATGTGAGGCAGATCTCCGGGCCACTCTGAAATTTTATTCTCCTTGTTTCTCCCCGGTTTTGTGGCCTTGACGGAAGATGATGTTGTCAGAATATTTATGAGGGTGTTCTCAAGGAACATGTGTGCGCAAATTACGAACCGAGTACTTCGTAGCACACACTGACTTGGAAATCATGCGGACGGGAAGTTGTGAGGCATCAACCAAATGAATGGCTATTGTAGCGAATTGCTCTATATTTTCAGCCAACCCTGCACGCATCAATCAGGCTGAAGAATAGCAAAGTGTAACCATATCCACTAAACCAAGGCCATTTGCGCCCCTTGTGACATTCAATGCTGGTTGGGGCCCTTTCTGCCGACTTAAACCATTTTTCTCAACCCGCAGCTGGGTATATCTATACACATTTTACGGTGGAGATCCTCGGCGGCGAAGCCCGCTGGGCGTGGGGCGGAACGAGGCGGAGCGGAGCGGACCAGCCGTCGGGGGCTTAAAGCCAAGCGAGATACAGGTGGTTTTACACGGTGTTAAATTCTTCCCTTTGTTATATCACCGGGCCGCATTTCCAAGCTCACTGGCATAGACAGTAATGGGTTTGTGTCTCAGGGTTTCTTTCCGGTAGTTAGTTAGTCGGTCAATGTGTTCATGGATGTCCGACATCCCAAAAAAAAAAAAAAAAGAAAAAAGGTCAAAGCTCCCATCCCCTGCTAGTGAGAATAGAAAGCATCCTGGATTCACCCAATTTCATCGCAATTGGAGCAAGAATACAGAGCATCTCGTGCAATGACGGGAAAAATAATTTAGGCATACACATGGGTATTCCCACAAAACAACCATCCTTAGAGACAATAGCCTCGCCCTTTACGCCATTGAACCATTAATCCCTCGCTAAATACCGTTAAATGCTTCATGTATTTCCTTTCATACCTCGTTCGACGATTCTGGTGACAGGGAGATATCGCTCTCTGACCTATCGTCGTCCCGAGAACTCACGCGGATTTCCATAGTCTTCATTATGCAGCCTGGCTCTATGTTTTGGCTAGGGAGAATAGCCTCGTCACTCCCCCCACTGCCATTAATCCCATTAGGTCCTATCCATCCTTTGTATTCACTGAGCGGGTAAACCTGAGCATTTGTGGATGTAAGAATCATTTTCCCGCTTCGACTTCTATTTCGGCCGCCACGGGACCGCTCATGGTTTGGTCGACCAGATATTCGAGAAAGCGGATGACTGCAACGGTTTGGGGAGGAACAGGATGTTCTTTTGAGAAGGGCATTGACCAAAGGTCCCAGCGTGGGGATAGATGCGGCGATTATGATTAAATATTGCTCTGTGGTGATACATAGAGCCAGAGGGATACTGTGGAAGGTATAATCATCTCGTTTCGATATCAGGGAGACGAAAATCGTTCTGATGATTGCAGCGATCATAGCACTAGATTTTGCATTAGGATTGACTGGAAATAAGGGTTCGAGTGGACGTACACTATCCCAAGTGCTGTAACGCAACCGAGCCCAATTTTCAATTTTAATTCCGTTCGCGACTTCCAGAGTATAAAGATTGGATAGATCGCAAGGAGAAGGTCGGAAAAAGCTGAGAATGCTAGATCACGTCGGTTAAACCACCACATATTCTTCCCGCAAAATCATGATTGATCCAAACTTACATCCTTGAAAAATAGCATAACTCCGCTGAATCGAAGGATTCCAGCATGTTCCTTCGACACTAGAGTCCCAGAGTAATGGAGTGGGATCACACTGCCTGTAGAGTGAGTATATGCAGAGGACGTTAACAATAGTGAGCAGAACCATTCCTCCATAAAAAGCCTTCCTTTGTTCTTTTGCTCTGTCGACCATTCGGAGGAGGAACAATGCGACGGATACCTTTCCCCAATTTGTCGACATTACGTGTAAGCCTTGAGATATCCAGTTGAATTTATTGGCGAGCATCCTGTCGTATTCAATAAGATAGTATTCATGTCGCCCGGTGCCGTGGCTGACGCTGAGAGTGAGTAGAACGGATTGCGCCGTCGCATTAACCTTGAGAGACGGTTAGATCGGTGGTTGTATCAGATGCTGAAGAGTAATACCATAGCGAAACACATGAATGTATCGTCCCAACCCCAGGATCTGTTCAGTCTTGCCCGGCTAAATATTCGCGACAAGATGAGCACCAACGCAATGCTAAATTCTACCCACATTATGATCGTGATCGCATTGCCTCTATTGACGTCTCCGTCTGGGGGAGGCCCAGTGACGACCATCATGGCGGGCCGTATCAGGACGGACGGCTATACAAAAGGACGAGTTTCGCGAGCCTCATGAGAGGTCTAATCGAGTGGCTCCATGTGCGAGAGCCGAGCCTAGAAATGCGAGTCGAAGACACTTCTCGGTTGTACACATCGAATAAGCTGATTATGGGAATACATTCAGCATCGATCCACTCCACTGTTTAATTGTGTACAGGTGGGTTCGATCCGCTGGGGTGTCGGGCGGCTGATATGAAAAGGACAAGAGATAAGAGTTATTTGAGATTCCCGCCATTTTTCGGACATCAGGTGCCTGTCGTGTCTTCGATCGAGTCAAACCGGTCAGGCTGGGATTAACGTGGGAAGTAAACCAGGGTCAACCTGGCAAATAGCTCTTACAGGCGCTATAGTCGGTAGTTATGCACCAAACAGGAATCTTGAAGGTGAAAGAAAAATATTATGTCAGGAACTGAGATCAAAATCCATGTCAGCATGTTTCATCAGCGCTGCTAACTGAACTTTGTTTCTTGTTTGATGGCTAGGGTTGGGAGAAGTGCAAAAGAGCCAAAATGTCGTCTCCCGCATGGCGAAGCAGAGCGGGTGCTAGTGTTACAATTAGCGAGCTAGCATGAAGATGTAAAAAAGGTGAAAAATGTTGAAAAATACATCGATTGTGTCAACTTTTTCCTGTAGCCGCTCCACCCATAAGAATTCGAACCTATTCAGATGTGGAGAGGCGGCGGAAATGAAGAGCTAAACACGCTGGCCGTTAAAGGTATGTCCGATGGGAAGCAATATTCTCCTCTTGTGACGTGCAAGGACAACCAAGCCACCGGTCCGGGTGCGAATATAGGGCAGGGAAAGCCGTTAAGACGTTCTCACTTTGTGGTGGTCCAGGCAGATGAGGAACGTGAAGACAACGTCAAGGAGCCCGGTGTCATTAATCATTGTCTCGGTTTCGCAACTATGTACGGAGTACTTCGACAAGTTACCTGGCTGCTCATCGTGACGATCGTACGGGGTGGCCTCGTTAACTCGGTATGTCTTCGATATGCGGTGCACCGTAGCCCCTAGAATTCCATAGTTATTTACTCATGCAGCCAAGGTCAGAGCACTCGATGTTCGCCAGCAACGGACAACATGCACGTGTATTCCGTCCTTCGTACCCCGTAACTGCTCGCATTTGCCAGCGAGAATCATGCACGAGAATCGAACAAAACACGGCCCCCCCACCGGCCCGACTGGCCTTTCAACGCGAAAAAATAAATGTTAGCACAACCTTTCCCCACTTAGCTCACTAGCCGCTGTCAATCGTTCTCCTCGCGCAGCCAGGAGGCCGCTCAAACTTGAAGGTATCATTTGTCATTTGCTGCTGGGGATGCAAGATCAGCAAGGGGCCTCTGATCCTTAACAAGAGATCCGGGGTACATCCTCTGGGATCAAGCTGCCCACCTCTTCATCCGAGCACTTTTGCCTAAGCTTTTGTCTCGCTAACTAGAGTGATAAAAAGGGGCGGATCTCAATTGGCTGATGTTTATAAGGACATTTGTTCATGCAGGCAGGGCCACATGGTGGGACAAAATGGAGCGGGGAGGCTTCGCTTCGTCTTGATTAAGTCAGGGAGTACGGGGTACTCCGGACGAACTGGGGACTTGTCGCTCTTAATAGAATCTCGAAGGAGCGCCGGGGATGTGAATTCTGGAACTTGGTTCCGGGGGCTCAAAAGCACATGGCTTCCCATGTCACACAACATGTGATGCCTGCAAACGATCGCGGAGATAAATTTCTACCCATGCCGATTCGCTTGATGTCGAGGGGCAAGCTCGCACCAGCAGCAACGCAAAGCGAGGTAGATCTTGGTTGATGTCAATTGAGGATTATCATCATCCTATGTCCGCGACTAAGTGTCTCGAGATTTGAAATTCCAGACACGAAAAGTGCCATCCCTGGCCATATTCACCCCAGGAAACCTGTCATAGGCCTCATGTGGTCGTCGCTTACACGAACCAGATTTGGGAGAAAGAGGAAAGTCTCACATTAATATTAATTAATCGCCGCGTCAGCCTTCTTTTGTAAACCAGTTAATATCTGTCGCGCTCATGATAACAATTCGTCTATAAGGGCAAATCCCTTCCAACATGCAACATAAGAACCAAGCCCCAGCGGCTAAAGCTCAACAAGACTCAAAGGGGGAAAAAAATAAATAAAAGAAAATAAAAGAAAAAAGAAAAAAAGAAAATAAATCAAACGGTGGGGGAACATGGATACCAAATAGTCAAGCACTCAACCCTCCAATTAACCAGGAAAAAAAGACTCCATAACTCAACCGGAAAGATACACGGGGCGAGTTTAGCCGCAAGATGGAAAGGCACGTGTCTCGCGCTCGCATAATACAAGGCGTCGAATAGAAACCTATGCTGAAGACCAAACATGTGTAGAACCGTAAAATGTCCGAATAAGAAAAGAGAAGTGCGTAACGTTCATGCCAACGAGGATATAAGGTGTATGATGAAATCTAAATACCCCAGTTCGACAAAAGAGTGGTGTTTTACAAGACCTTAAAACAAAAAAAAAAAAAAAATATCAAGTTTCTTCTTTTTTCTCCATCTCGTTTGGAGCAGGGGCAGGCTCCGTCGCTGGCTCGTCGGGCTTGGATGGCTCTGCCTCGCTAGGCGACTCTGGATTGTGCTTTTCAACTGTAGCAGTATCGTCGGGGACTTCTGGCTCCGGAACTGGTGGTAACGGAGTAGAATCATCGTGGCTCCCTTCTTTAGTTGTGGCGGTCCCAGCTACTCGCCTCCTCATTCTTCGATTCCTTCTTGCCTCTTCAGCGCTGTCTCGTCGCCGAGCACGAGCCGTATCAGAGTCCATGTTCTCTCGCAAACCTTGGAGCATGCTGGCCGCTCTATCTGCAACATCTTCGCCCTCCGAAACCTGAACTTCAGCAGTGGGGGAGCTAAATTCCGGTTTATTCTCCGGCTCTTGTGCATGCTCTCCGTTGACTGCTGTACTCTCTTCGGGCTTCTCACCATCATTTAGCGAAAGTTCAGGCATACGCTGACCCGACGCTACACGAACTTGATGTCGCTCTTTCAACCTCGCACGACGACGGCGATCACGTTGATCACGTGCCTGAGGAGCAGCAGCTCGCAGTTTCTCCAACAAAGAATCCATCGCTCCGCTGCTGGCTGCCGTTTGCGAACCTGTCCCATCGGCTCCATTCGTTACGGCAGGATTGACACGTTTCCGGGCCAAAGATGCCTCCATTCGGCGTCGGTTGTCCTCCCAAGCGATGTTCTTGTCTTTAGACTTCTACATTTTAAATGCCTAGTTAGCTCTAGAAATCCATGCATGATATAAGACGTACGAACCTTCCATTCGAGCAAGAAGCCCGCGAGCTTTCCAAAGAAGTCTCTCCGGGCATTCTCATCAGTGCTGTCTTCACCATAGAATGTCATGATATCATCAAATGTCTTGGACATCTCTTCGAGATAGAGTTGCATCTGCTCTGCTTTCCGTCTCGCATCTTTCATGCAGCGTTGCACCACGATGTTTACTCTGTCTTGAGGATGGAATTTCTTTGGATCACTCAGGTTCCCTGCATCGAGGCTCGACTGAACGTTCTTGATATTGCCAATATATCTTTCCGCGTCGGAACGTAGTTGGTCGATGTTTGCTTTGTGAACTTTGATAACACCTCCAATTTCGTCCTGGAAATTCTCCCATTCGGGGTATTGGTTTCGAACAATGCGCTCAACAAGATCGGCGAAAGTCGATTCATTTTTGTCGTCCTTGACCATTCCCAGTCTTGCCAGCGAGCTCAGCTTAAATCCGACGGCTTGCTTATTTGAATCATTCATGAAGTTACCAATATCCAGAATTAGGCCAAGTACGTTCATTAGCGAAACAGAATCTCGTAACGACTCGCAAACTTTGACAATTTCCTGAAGGTTAGCGGATAGTTCATCGTACTCGGATTCAAATGATAGCGTCATCGCAAGAGCTCGCATCCTCGCTTTCCAATAATGATGCAGTTCGAATGCCGTCTGAAGATACACCTGATCCTCGCGCGTCAATTCGCTGGGATCTTGCTCTCGGGTTGATGTGGCAGCATTTGGCCCTGTCCAGTCTTTGCTATACGGTGCCATAAGCTTGGCTGTGTTTTCCGGAATAACACACATATCCTCTCGTTGGAGGAACTCCATAATGACACTGTTACCCACAATTTCCGTATCACAGTGAATAATCATGCGGACAAGTTCCTCAGCAGGTACTTGCGAGAACTTGGCCATGGCAATCTGGAACTTGTGCATCAATTCACTAGAGATAATTTGCTTTTTATCCTTCTTCTTTGCAGTGCCCGAGCCAACAAGCTTGGTCTCTTTTGCCATGAATAGTCTCTCGACTTCATCCAAGACCCCCTTCTTGGCAAGCTCTGTATATTTTTCTTCTTTAGATGCGTGGGTTGGGGCATGGGCTGCCCATACCGTTATTTCTGGAGTGTCCACCTTATCCCAATGAAGGGCCTTGAGTTTCTTTTTCGGTCGGATGAAGGGAAGTACAACACCAGGTGTACCTGGAGCTTGAACAGATGATAGAAAATTACCCTTCCAAGCTCCCGGCAACGGTGGTGCACCGGGAGGAGGGGGTATTGGAGCTCCTGGCATAGGTGGCGGGGGTGGTGGAGGCGCACCGCCGGAAAATCCGGGCAAGGGAGGTGGCGGGGGTGGAGGTGGCCCTCCTGAGAAGCCTGGCAAAGGTGGAGGTGGAGGGGGCGGAGGACCTCCTGAAAATCCAGGTAGCGGAGGCGGAGGCGGAGGTGGCGGCCCATTGAATCCTTCTTGCTTTGCTGCCGGTTTCTCTGGCGCGGGCGAGGAATCGGGCTTTGGCGTTTCTTCCTCCTCGTCCGTTTGGTCTACTTTCTCAGCCTTTGAAGCGAGTTCATTCAGGAGACCTGTGGCCTGCTCCGGGTTCATCCGGGGGCGCTTGATTTCAATCAAGCGTGCCTTTTCTTGGACCATCTCTTCGCCTTCTTCAACATCAGAAAGCTGGCTATCCATTTGACCCTCAGCACTAGAATCTTTCCCGGCTTGACTCCTCTTCCGTGAAACCGTCCCAAGTGTGCTATTCGTGAACTTGCGCCTGGTCTCTTCGTCGAGCTCAGTGTCTACAGCGTACATACTGTCCATCCTCTCTCGCAATTCTCGCAATCGGTCTGACGGTCCATTCTGCTGCCATACTTTCCCTTCTAATTTGAACTGAGTTTTCGTTCGTTCCAATTGTTTCTCAAGGCGCTCCATGAGCTTTTCGCGGTCTAATATGCCCTGCATTTGCGCAGCATCCATTTCAGCAATACCATCTTTTCCAGTGCGTGCTTTGGAAGCAGCAACGTCTTGAGCGTCACGGAGCATCAGATATAGTTCTCGAGTTTCAAGTTCGTTGCGTTGCAGCTCTTGAGCCCGTAGCCGCCGGACTTCCGCGAGCTCTGCCTTCAGGGACTCATTTTGGCGGGTTTGGAGGTCCATTACTCCATTCTGTTCTTCAATTTGCTTTTGTAATTTTTTAACCAACCCGTCGGCTCCCAATTCGATCTGCGCTTTCATCGCATCTCGTTCTGCGATCGCCGCTTCGGCAATTTGGCGTGCTTCAAGGGATTCATCAAATGCCCTTCTGGCCTCGGAATCGGTATGTAGCTTATCCAGCAAACTCTGAACGGTGAAATTAAGGCTCTGCTTCAGTTCCATATCCGGTAGTCTCCTGTCCATTGCAACGTAACTCAACATGGCGTCAACGAGCTGGAACATCCTTTGCCCATCTTCCGCTGCATTTTCCCTTATAAGGAGCATGTGTTGCATGGCGGATAAGAAAAAGTCCTGCGAACGACTTCCTCGCAACCTTTCAACAATTGCATTTGTGATTTGAACTGGGTCATTCATGTCAGCGACTTCTCCTTCAATGCCGTCTTTGAGACTACTACTCTCTCGTTGCAGGAGGTCTTCGTAGTCAATGGCCTCGTTTTCCCGATAACGTTCTATTTGTTTTTCGATGGATTCGTACTGGAATCCTTCCATCTTTCCCAAAAGTCGTTTGATCCCGCATGCTGTGAACTGGGCCCTAATATGACAGCGAAGTTGCAAGTCATCTTGGGGAGCATCGATAAGCATATTTATCAAGAACATTGTCGATAGGGCGTATTCCATAAGTAAGTTCTCCATTCCTACACCACCGCTCTTGAATTCCTCGCTGGCGCCCACCAGACTTCCCATTTTGCCTCGTCCATCGATACTGACTTCGACAACCCGCATCCAAGCGTCGAATCGACCAGTTTCACCTTGCAAATTCTTAACATAATCCATGGCCTGTAAAACCTTAAGATGACCCTGGCCATCGGCCCAGTGGCATAAGAAAGTAAGGATTTCGCTAACCATCTTGCGCGTGGTCAAGCGGGGAGATATTAAAGAGCTGGCCAAAGCAACGATGACTTGCTGGTGCGCCAACGCATCATCAGCACCATATTTGTTATTCATTAGGGCTTTCAAACATTTCGCAATGTCATATTCGCGATCTAGATCCTTGTCGCCGGACTGAGCAGTGGGGGGTGCTGGACCTGAAGCCTTCCGCCGATTGATTTTAAGAAGGACGCTTGTCAAAGCAATCTGCCCTTGCGCTTCTACGAACGATTTGACCCAGCTAGACCCTGAAAGTTAGTTATAGGGTTCCGGAAGTGGGCGGTACCATAAAATAAGCTTACCTTATGGGCTGCGTTCGCAAGCTGACGCTTAAACTTCCGAGCTCTTTCGCAGTAATTGTATCATCCATAACTTTCTTGACATACCATTCCGGGCTTCCCTCCTCATCTGCGCGATCAAGCAGACCCCTGGGTCCATCCAACGAGCCATATGTCTGCCGGGCGTGTTGTCTGCGCTTCTGTTCTCCTTGCCATTGTGTGAGTCGATCCTGATGTACCAGCGTCCATTTTTTGGAAGTTGGATACGCCAACATCTGTCTCTTCGCCTGCTCAGGTAAATTCTGCCATCCTCGTTTAATCATTAGCTCATAGAACATCTGATCGACAACCCTATCGTCTTTAGGTCTCGGGAATGAGCCATCTGGTGCCATTTGAAGGGGTGTAGTATAGGTAGGCCAATTATTTTGATAGGGATCGACATTTCGATAACCGCTACCGCTTGACGAAGGAGGATATCGTTCATTAGGATAGCCGGTGGAGAGAAGGCGCCCAGAGGCGTCTTGGGTGGAGGTCCTGGTCGTAGACGATACGGAGGAATAGACACTCGTCTGGTCTAAGGAAGTTCGCGAATTGGCAGACGAGTCCGGTGTGGAATATGGATAGTTGTATGCTTTGCTCAGTTTATCGTAGTAACCCATGCTAGAATGTGGGGGTGGCCTGGGACCGGAGAGATAAGTAGAATTGGTTTGCATTGGACCATTGTTCAGTGGAGAATATTGAGGATATTCGTAGGGGCTCTTTGGAGGATCTTTGCGTGCTGGGGGTTCGGATTTCGGGAGGTAATCGACCGGGATCGGCGACTTTGCATTTGGGGGGACGCTATCGTAAGGTATTGCGGTGATTATTCCAGAGGAGGTTGGTTCCACTTCACTTGAAAGGTCCAGCGCATATAGAGAGTCGCGTTTTGAGTATCTGGAAGAGCGTGATCCGGCGGCACTCCCTGCAACGCTGAACGCGTCTGATGTCCCTTCCCCTCTCGAGTCTGCACCGCGGTCTTTGTGTAGCTTTCTCCCGAAAAACGACTTGCTGGCCGAGGACTGTTTGGACTTATCCGAAGGAGTTGGAGGACGAGGCATTTCGATGGAACTACCGTGTCATGCAGCAAAACTGAGCGGTTAAGATCCCAGCAACATCGGGACCAGCGCGGCCAGAGCAAGGGATTTTGGCGGCGGTCGTTTCCGTTCTGGCATACACTTTTCCCGGTTAAGCAAAGGTCCGGGATATTGTGTCCCCTATCGCGTGCTTAAGCAACTGCAACAAAACTCTAGTTAACTCCCAAGCAAGGAATATGCCGACTCCTCGCGCCAGCGACGCATGAAGAAGGAAATGATTCTCGAAAGTTATTATATATGCAAGCAGCTTCGTCGAACTGTGAAGCGCAGCTCCTCGCTTGAGTTACCCCGCTGGAAAAAAGTGAAGTCTAGTATTATACCACAGACAGTGTCTGCACTTTGCAAAGACGGATAATTAATGCAGTCACTTCTGGGCATTTCACAAACGAGAGATTGTAAATCTGCATGAGTATCTCCAGGGCGAATCGCAGCTAAGGGGGGGACTGCCCAGAAAGGGTTAAGCGCCCGGCTTCACGTGAGGTCCCCACCGCCGAAGGTCAACAGGCCCTGGCCGTCTCACGCTCCAACCAACAGAGCTGAGACAGCAATGCCCTGGGCAAATGCTTGTCTGGTAATCTTGCCAGTCACAATAACATGTCACTTATGAGGTTTTTAAGAAAGGAAAAGTGTTTTTGAAAGTTGCACCCGCCATTTGGCTGGACAGAAATTCCCTTCAACGCCCTCATGCTTACGAAATAAGCCATAGATCTGCTGAGCTATGGGGTCTTCTTTGAGCGTTGTGAAGGTAAAGCCTGTTGAATTGGCCCGGACATGGGAGCGGAACCAATTTGCTGACTCCAACCATGTAGACCCTCTTCGTTCCCGCCCTCATTTCCCTCGGTCTTTACATCCTATTGTTCTATGCAGTCATTCCTTTTGTTCGACGATACCGGCAAAGATATGCCCAGTATCTCCCTCTTCATACAATCTCGGCCCACACATCCTCCCTTCGGGACCGTGCATCCGATGCCCTAATGCGCTTCGTGCTTCCCTCCTCATGGAGAAGACAGTTTGTTGAGGGTCAAGATGACTCTGGCAGCGTGTTAGACGAAGAAGGCGAAGGGATGGTTGGATTTGAAATGGACGCTGCGCGCAGAGCGGCCCTTGAAAGACAGAGAGACGACCCTATGGGCACGGAAGGGCGACTTAGTCGAGAACTAGAAGAAGGCTTCATGGATGACAGCGACGATGAAGTCGGCGATGATAGAGGAGCCACCCAACGTACACGTTAACCCAACCTGGATGAACACCCGCCTACATCGACCTGCTGACACTATTGATACCCGGTCACCAAATGTTACCACGATTCTTATTCCACGGTTTCTGAACTTTTGAGATCTGAATTGCAAGCAAGAGCACTTTGACTCGCCTCAATCTTTTTCCCCTCCTTTTCCTCAGCTGCCTGTGAATAGAATGAGGAACCTTAACAATAAAAGAGCATGGTATAGACCTCTCTCTTTCCCTCTTAGAAAACATGGGACTCCTTTGAGGGTAGTATCCCAGTTAATGCATGAATTTTTGTTAACAGACAAAACTCGTTCAGCCAATGGGAATAACCAGTGAAACCGATGAACGTGAGGATTGTTATTCATGCTGGAGTGGTGTACAGAAGGAAAATATCGTGAAAAATTGGAAGCTTTCAAATGAAGTAGCTTTCTCTTTTTTGTGCCATGATTATGTTATCGGCCACCTATCTAGGCCCTCAACATCCCCCGGCAACAACAAGTTTCCTGTCCAACTCTCATCATCCATTCTTCCCCATCAGCCTTTGTTTCTTTTGCTGGAGGCCTTCTCAAGCATTGTGGTGAATATGGCCATACTTGACGGCATCGAAGTTCAAGTGAGAGTTGTTAGTGTTGACAAGGCGCTCAAGGAGGCTGATATATGCGCCGATGATTCTTGCCACAGCGATATAGTCCCATGGGCCAAGGACCCTATGCGGGTTGAAAAACGCGTCAATGCCCCTCCTGGGCAAGTCTTTTCTATCTGTATGCGGATAGCACCAAGCTTCGATTTCTCAGCTGGGGACGGGCTCCATATCACCCTGAAGCTGGATAATGGCAAGGCAGCCAACCATTATTATTCAGTCAAGTTCACCGAATTGGAAGCGGACGAAGACGGATGGTGGATGAAACATATCGACAACGCAGTAGTCAATTGCGAGGATGGGTGTAGAAAAGCTTACTTTTCTTTCGCATACCTTCCAGCAAGTAGGCCTTTCCGTTTCATATGATGTTTTCTGTTGATTGCTTGCAGGCTCATACATTGTAATAGAGCTCCACGCTGTTCCCGTAGGGTACTACTCAGATGTCGACTATCCACAGGGAAAAGTGGCGGTCACAATTATCCGAGTCTCCCATATTACGATGCCACCGAAGAAGGCAACAGTCACAAATCCAGGGCCCACGCTACCCCCCGGGATCCCTGGGAGCGCGATATGGTTTGTATTTCATGGCATCTATTCATTGCCTTAGTCCGAGGCTAACGGCTGACCAATGCGTTAGTTACAAGGTTGGTGAGCTCGAAGTATTCGATCCACCCATGGTACATGAGCAAGTATCACCTGTCGATGATCCGGACGAGAAACCGCGCCATTTTGTTTTTCACTACAAAGTCATCAGTAAGTCACCTATGGGGGGGTTATTACCACTGTTGCTTATAGCATACCAGAATCTTTGATCATGGACTGTGTTGCGAGCGACCTGGAAATATCGTCCTCGGAGTCCGCATCCTCCCCAAACTAACCGACACTCAACCATCCTTTTCTTTCCTGTTCGGACGAGATTTTGGTTGTCTAAGGCTGGTTGGAGCTCAACCTGTGGGTTTGCGTTCATACTGGGAATGTGTGGCCAATGAGTTTTCCTGCAGAGTGTGCCACACCCGTTCGTTCCTAGCCCTTATTGAGCTTTGCTGCATCTCAACCAATAGCAAGGCCATCATTGTTTTTCCTTTTTCTGGAACGATGGGATTGTCAGTGCCATTACATCACTCTGGGTTGCTTCTACAATCTCCCACAATTTGGGCCAGGGGAGCTGATGTCCCGAAAGACCAATTAGAGTTATGTTCCTGAGCCATCTTGTTAGCTTTGATCAAAAAAGAAAAAAGAAAAAAAGAGCACACGTGGGCCGAAGTTGTCATTGATTGAGCTCCCTGTTTGGTTAAAAACCTTTATGGTATTGTCCTTTTCTTTCTTTTTTTCTTTTTTCTTTTTTCTTTGTTTGCGATTTAAACCTTGAGCCCATCAATTTTATCTGCTTATATCGTCAGCCGTTACATGCTCCAAGGAAATCCCAACCCCCAATTCCATCGAGCTCCGGGAGCAAATAGAAGATGGGTCAACATCCCAAGAATGCGATTCGTCTCCAATCAAACCCCCGCATCCATCCCTAGTTCTACCTACTTCCCATGGATGGCGAAGGGGGCCGGAACATGCGTCCAATCCAAGCATCTTGGGTGATGGGGATACATACTCCTTGCCCTCTGTAGGCTGGTATGCTCGCATTCAGCCCTTCCCCCTCCCGGGTTTACGATGCGAACGGAGTGCGGAGTACAAAGGTAGCTTGTATGTTTTCGTTAGTTGCGCCGCCTAGCGGGGAAGTTTGGGCTTAGAGCCAAAGCTTATTGGTGGTTCCGCGCAGCTTTGACCCTCACACCCCTCATTACATCAGCTGCTTCTACCCCTCACGAGTGTTTCTCTTCGCGCGGGGTACTCACTCCTCCTCCACGGAATATCACTTACCTGTGTGACGAAGATGTGCAACACACGGCCTGTTATTGCCGACCTTGTTTCCAAAGTAGCTGTCCCGTTACGCCACGCACCCTTGGAGAAGGACAAACGGGGTTACATATGCAAAACCAGTTACCATCATCGTGCGACAAGCCCAACATCGCTGCGGTCTGAGGAAGACGCGGGGGTATATAGAGTATGACGCAGGTTCACGATAGGGAAGAGGATCCAGGGATCCAGTATCTCTATGTAATCTACCTCCGTAGGGCTCTGTTCCATCCAAAAGATGTTTCCAAGCATTATGGTCCGTACCCAAACTACGGTGTTTGCAGGCCGGATGTCGAAAGGCGATTCTCTTCGTTAACCCCGCAGAGGGACGCATTGTCGTTGTCAGCCAGAGTCTTGGACAAGAACCATGTCTCGGAATGATGGGATTCGAGGCTTCGATTCTTCTCATTGGTGAAATCATTTTGATTCCGGAGGGGTGCCATCAATTGCATTCTCCAATGAGTTGCGATCGATGCGGGATTCCATGCGCGTTTTCCCGCTTGATGCCACCTTCAGCGGGTGGGGTTGCGTGATACAATGGCCCTCTACGCCCAGGATCGAGTTTATTAAGCTCACCCAGGATGCGGATTAATGTTGGAAGAAGGGTGGATAATTATATTTGAATCGGTTTCTCCACCGGTAAACGAAGCTAAGGGGCTGGTGTTGGAGGATTTTGGGCTATATATATCTCGGATGAAGCTGCCTGTTCATCCATCTTTCTCCTCTTTTTTCTCTCCTCTTTCATTCTCATCGATTCTGCATCGGTCCTCTCACGGCAGCGTTCCTCCATCTCAGTTTAAGGTCAACCGCCATTATCAGTCCTACATTGGCTGAGGTAAGGCTAGCTGCAGAGTTGGAGAAGCCTTCCCCACCCTAACTAACTCCGACAGCTGCTCTGCCCCCTTCCCCTCGCCTGCGGGATATGTTACCTCATTTTGGCTTAATTTCGCCTCAGGCCAGCCTCTGCTAACTTCATACTCATTCATAGTTCACGGGTATAAGAAGCTTGGAGCGTCCCTGACCAGCAAGTCTCATCCTCCTATCCACAAGTAACCTAACAAAGCTTGCTTGTTGTTTTACATTTCTTTCAAGATGGTAATTATCCGCTCCCTTTCTCGAGGGCTTCCTCGCCCCCTCTCTTCTCTCCTCGCAAGTCGAGGAAGCTTACGAAGTCCTTCTCCTTTTGCTTCATCATGGACCGCATCGTCTTCTTTACCATTGAATAGCGTCCGGACACTGACTGCCACCTCCAAATTACAGGGTAAAGTTCTTATGGTTATGTATGACGTAAGTTCCTCCTTCCACATCCCCGCCTTCGCAGTCCAATTGCAATTCAATGCCTGTTTAAGATGCAAATCTGGGTGCTAACATTGCTTTGCAGGGTGGGGAGCATGCGAAGCAGCAGCCTGGTTTATTGGGAACAACAGAAAATGAGCTTGGATTAAGAAAATGGCTTGAGGAGAGAGGCCACACCTTGGTAACCACATCTGACAAGGAGGGATCGAACTCTACCTTTGAGCGCGAGCTTGTTGATGCGGAGATCATCATCACTACACCGTAAGTTGACCTATCACTGCAGACATGTGGGGAATTTTTAAGTTTCAACTTTTCTGACCCGGGACTTTGGCTTCAAGGTTCCATCCCGGTTATCTCACCGCAGAGCGTCTGGCCAAGGCCAAGAACCTCAAACTTGCCATCACAGCGGGTGTTGGTTCCGACCATGTTGACCTGAATGCCGCCAATAAGACCAACGGAGGTATCACTGTCGCTGAAGTCACTGGCTGCAATGTCGTGTCTGTTGCCGAACATGTCGTTATGACCATCTTAGTCCTCGTCCGCAATTTCGTCCCGGCCCATCAACAAGTTGCCAGCGGTGAATGGGACGTTGCTGCCGTTGCTAAAAACGAGTATGACCTTGAGGGTAAGGTCGTCGGAACTGTAGCTGTTGGCCGCATTGGTGAGCGTGTACTTCGCCGTCTTAAGCCCTTCGACTGCAAGGAGCTTCTTTATTATGACTACCAGCCCCTCAGCCCTGAGGTCGAGAAGGAAATTGGATGCCGTCGTGTTGAGAACTTGGAGGAGATGTTGGCACAGTGTGATGTTGTCACTATCAACTGCCCTCTCCACGAGAAGACACGTGGCTTGTTCAACAAGGAACTCATTTCTAAGATGAAGAAAGGTAAGCTACATTTTCTCTTCCCCAGCTTTCTCGAAGACCATGGTGTATAGGATACTAAGGGGTAATAGGCTCATGGCTTGTAAACACCGCCCGTGGGGCTATCGTCGTCAAGGAGGACGTCGCAGAAGCTATAAAATCAGGCCACCTCCGTGGATATGGCGGTGACGTCTGGTTCCCACAACCTGCTCCCAAAGACCACCCACTACGCTATGTCCAGGGCCCATGGGGCGGCGGCAATGCCATGGTCCCTCACATGTCTGGAACTTCCATTGATGCACAAATCCGCTATGCACAGGGCACGAAGGACATCCTTGAATCGTACTTCTCCGGCAAGTTCGATTACAAACAAGAAGATTTGATTGTTCATCAGGGCGACTATGTCACAAAGGCCTACGGACAGAGAAAGAAAATCCAGGAAGAGCAACGGAACTAGGAGAATGCAGGAGCTTAGGACTTCGGCAAATGTTGCAAGCAAATGACGAGACGTTTCCCTGCAATGGACTGCAAGGCTGGTGTATCTTAACGATAGCATCCGAATAAGGATATTATGATTAATGCAATGAATTGAAAGAGGCCCAGGCCAATTCCGAACAACTACTCGTAGATCTTTCCATACGAACCTTCATTCCATCCAATCTTGCATCTCAGTCACCTTAGAAAAACATCTTGGAATTGAGAAAACCATGCCCAGAACGCCCGGAGGGCCTTATCGAATGAAGTTGGCAGACTTTGAGGAGCTATGACCGCACAAAAAATGGCCGTCCGCGCCTAATCTCCGAGTTATCCTTAACGTTTCACCCGGTGTATTAATTATACCTCCATGGGCCATGGTCTGGTTTTGGATGACACGAGACGGAGTTTTTTCCGGTCAAGCTGATGAGAAATTTCGGTGGCGAATTCCATCTGAGGGTATTTATTGGCCAAACACCAAGAGCTCAAGAACGATATTGATCAAAGCGTTTCGGGATGTGTTGGAAAAGGTGCGAAAAGTGGTGGTAGCGATTCTCAAGCCTGGACTACCCTGAAATTGATTCTGGCTGCAGCAGTGCCGAACCAATTCTACACGATCAAGCTGGACTTGTGGGCCTTGGTTTGGTCCCTCCCTTTCGCGTCCACCCTGCATGTGAAGCAGAGGTTGAATGATAGGACCTGATAAATAGTGTAGCCAGGAAGGTTATGGGCAGCCGACTTGCAGTGTTGTCTTCTGTTGGCCTCTTGTTCTCTCCGCAGGGGCTACTACCGATTTGTTCATGTTTTCAGTGTGTTTCCTGCACCTGAAAATGTATCATGCACGAAAATTACTCATCCAGAAGGGGGAAAGCATTTGCAGGGGCTGCTGTCCTGTGGGTACTCGATCACAGGTATAGTGCCACCGGAACGTGTGCTGTCGGTGATCTGGGCTCTGTACAACTCTTTACCACAGGGTGGTTATCCATAGAATTTGGCGACATCGGCCAGGAGCATTTCCATAACTCCGTCGCCCCCTGAGATTCCCTTTCATGTCGACGTTGGCCGAATTTGGTCTGGTGCACAGACCTTGCTGCACTTATCATGCCCAGAAGGAACTTATCCAGCGGGCGAATCTGTACTGGAAATGAATTCTCAAATGCAAAGTAGTAGTCGTTTCTCGAAGCAGCTCTGCTACAACGCCGACTTTCCGCCAAGGAACGACCTCCAGCCACACTTCAGTCACATGACTCAATTTCCCGTTCGGGTATCCGTGCGTCAACGTCACCGCGTTCCTGAGAGATGAAACTGCCGTTGTGTCAATCAAAAATCCGCGGTTTAAACTAGCCAATTCAAGAATGATATCCCTTTCGATACATCCTGAGTGAGACAGGGAGATGGCAACATGGATAGTGCACAGGACCGTGCTGAAAGTGACGTCTGAACGGGCGGCCCAAGATATGCACCTGTCAATGAACTACATGCCCTTTGGCGGCGTCCCCTGGTATTTCTTTTATTCGTATCATCCCTCGATTATATTACCCCGCGTTTTGGACAGCTTTCGTTCTCTTTGAAAGAGAGACGATTCTGGGCTTTTGGGGTACGCCCAGCCTGGGCCAAAGTCCTTCGGGATCCCATGATACGAAAACTACTTTTCTTTCCCCCTCCCCCCCTCTCCCCCCCCTTTTTTTCTTTCTTTTTTTTTTTTTTTTTTTTTTTTTTTTTTTTTTTTTTTTTGCATTGCGTGTTTGCCTGCAGCTATGGTTGTTGCCACTGCTGATATGGACCCTCGGGCGGTTTCACTATTGGATAAAGTGAGGAGGGTGGCACTGAGTGCCGCATTTTGGGCACGTTCGTTGCCTACTTTAAAATTAAGGGCCACAGCTATACGCCAGCTCCGTGGAATCTGCGAAATTGAACATTATGGGGGGAATATAACATGAACATCAAGAAAGTAGCGGGAGGTGGAAATGGGCCGCAAATAACTGATGGCCATCACACACCCTTGTTGCCCTTTCGCCCTCACATCCAAGCGCTCCTCAATACATATAAAAGTAGCCTCACATGGTGGCAAAGCCTCTTTATAATGCTCTTTCGGAGGATTTCAATCCTTCGGATATATTCCACAAAACGTGGATTTTTGAGAACCTAAAGCTTCTCGCCGGAAAACCATCTGACAGACAATGGCCAGCCAGTCGAACTCCACATTCCTGGGTCATCTTAGGTCAGATTGTTACAGAATTCAAAATCATGTTGCCTGTTCTGGATTAGGCTAATTTTACGGCTAATAATTCCTCTCCCGGGTTTCATCTTGCATGATCCTGTTACTCATTCGAGGACTCAGCCGTTCCAACTCAAGAACAGGAGAAGCCACTGCTTCCTTGGCCTCGACTATCGTTTACCTAATGTGTTGGCTTTGGCAGCTAAAGACCTTGGTCTCTATTAATTCCTGGGACTTGGTCCTTGGGATTTTATCGGACTGGGTGACAAATGTGGCCTAGATGGGGCACTGTATCATATCTTCATGGAGTACTCGATGAACTTTGAGCCACCTTCGTGAACTAGATCCCTCTCAATGCTCTGGCTTTGCCACTGAAACTCTGAGTGCTTGAACAGTGTCGGGCCAATGGAAGTAAAAAAATATACCAATATTCATGTTCTTCGAGGTGGTTTCTGGAAACCATGCTTTTCTTTCTCCTTGCTTCAACTCTTTCCGGAACCATTTGTCCTTTCAACATACAGTGAAAGAACTGCGCCTATTCCGCATGCTGTTGCATTCACGATGCGATTTCTGTGATTAAAACGGGATTATTGACAGCGTTTCTTTTGGTTGATGCAGTTGTCCACCATGCCCGAACTCTTTACCCCCCAGCGCTCTTCTACACTCTACCGCCAACTGCATTAGTGTTACGCCCTGGAGGACCTCTGCGCATTCATCGCCAGTGTTTGGATCCTCATGGTTCTGAATAATAATGGCTATAGACGAGACAATAATCGACGCATTACAGAGGAGCAAGATCGAGTTCGCTGGCAATGCGACGACTCTGGCCGACACTCTGTTCCTTAAATTTAGTATCCAGAGTCGGATCTCTATCGTTGTCACAGCGGCTTTCAACGTCTTTGCATCTGCTGCCGTCGTGGCAACCGTTTTGTACGATAGCTGGAGAATAGCGAGCCTTAGAGTGCCTCGAAGGTGTGCTCCTCCCTCCATCTAAAGCAGGGGTATGGAACTGATATATCCAAGAAAACTCGACTTTTTTACGAAAATCCCAACCGCTCATATATTCTCCAACGCATTGGCTCTCGCTACTATGACGCAGGGCTCGATTTTCATATCGGTGCAGACCATGAACCTCCAAGATGTGCTCACTAATAACTGCAGCGTCTACTCTCAAATTACCTGGACTGGTAAATACTTCTTCTCTGGACACGAATTTTCGTTTCAGCTAACTTTACGAGTAGCTGCTTGGCTTGTCGGATACACTATCTTAATCTTTAGTTCCGAAGCTGCGATTAGGAGTTTCAACCCGGCCTGTTCAGCTTCACCTTGCAAAAGCTATGCTTCAGTCAACTGGATCCTCGTGGTTGCTTTTTCGGTCTTAACTTGGATACCGTCATATCTCAGGCCTGTGACGATGAGCATATGCACCGCGGACCTGACGCAGTGGGTTGAGCCTTGGTCAGATATTGGGACAGGATTGGCTTCGAGTCTGATTCTTTTCTACATTGTCAACGCCGTAGTGTTATTGTTCCGGCTCCGACGAACCGAAAAGCTGTGCTTTGAGCAAAGAATTGCCACTCGCAATCAGGTATACTACCTGTTTGTTAATTCCGCTATATTTGTGAGTTTCCCCATATATCTTCGCTTTCCGTGACCCTCCATAAACGCAGCACACTTACAGATTTATAGGCGTTCACTTTGCCATTTTGGATACAGGCAACGACATCCCATGCAACGAATGCGGCGGCCATGATCATGTCGATTGCGATAAATTTGTTTGGGATCGTGAATGGTGTCTTATTCCTTCTCCTGCGCGCAACTGGTCAAAACCTGATTACCAGATCCGCAAACCCGGTTTGGTTTATGAAGCCCCCAAGGCGGTACACCGATTCCACTGAGATGGCTGTCGCACAACAAATGATCATGCCAGTTGGCCTTGAGCGAAATAACAGCATCGTGAAGCGCGGAGATTTCTCGAGTGGCAGGTTTGGCCAGCGCCGAGAGCCAGAGCAACCTGATCAAGGACGACGAAGAAATTCGATCCCTGAAGCAGTTTTCCCTGATGGCCGCAGTTCGATGGAGCGCCTAACCGCCGGCATCCAAAGTAGGGAAAGCTTCCTTTCTTTATCTACCACTTCGAGAGATCGATCCTCGGGATTGTCATCCATCGTACCGATGACCGATATCGACGACTTTATCCTCCTTCCACCACAACCGTATTTCAGTCACCGGCGGCGTTCTTCAGATATAAGTGCTGCAACAGTTCAAATTGGGCTATGTCTAAGTAGTATCCCAGTACCGCTGCCAGCACAGCAAGCACACAATTCCTCGAAAGTCACCCATATCCCAGTTGACCCCCCGGAGACGTTAACATCAGCTCGATTCTCTGGTCCTAAAAAGACATCAACAGGTGGTTCTAGAGCAACCCTAGATTCGTCCCTCCCTATCCATCCTTTACAAGTTAACCCTCCTTCGCTGAAGTGGAGCCTTGAAGACGTTTCCGCTCCAACTTATACCACCAACGAGAGGAGCGATAGCACTCTCGATCCTCCACCACTAGCCCTACAGTCGGTGCCTAATCGTGCCTCCCAACGCCTCACCGACCTCCGCGCATCCTACGAAACCAACTCAAGTAGGTCGAAATTGCAAGGCGGCCTCCCCTCTAACCCCAAATCATCGCAGGCGGTGCCGAGGAGGGGAACGAATGACTCTGCTTGGCCCCTACCAGAAAGGTTTTCGTTGTTACCAGACAAGACTTATTCTCAAATTCCGTGGATATGAGCCATCATGTCTATTTAACCACGTTCTTGGTATTTTCTACTGCCTTAGTTCTGCTACCCGGTTTGGGAATGGACCTTTTATTATAAGTGGTGCTGGGCGTTCCAGTTCACGGCTTTTTTTAAGGGCTTTATTTGGTTATATTGCATTTTTATTATAGTTGAAATCTGTTTCACTTCTTTGTGATTTTGGGTTTTGTACAATGGTAGCATCTGTGATTTGACCAGTGGGAAGTGGTTGGCTCTGTTGTTTTGCTGTTACCTGTATACTAGGTCTCTCAGTGATTGATATGTAACTCACATGGTCTAGAATGGCTATGGACATTCTGACACAATCTTTAACTGGCCTCAGTGTATAGTATCCCAGTCACTATACATTAGCCAGTAAAAGTAGCATCTATTTGTCCAGTCATTGATATATAAGCAAGGTTCTAATATACACATAATGTACAGTACATAAACTAAACCCAGGACAGATGATCTGTCCTGTTTAACATTGATGGAATTGATATCCAGCGTTCATCGAGACGCCTTCTCATCCTAGAAAACAACGTTAACAACCTTTCCACCACCAACAACCACAACACGCTTTCGCTTCTCCCAGTGGTTTCTTTCGGTTAGCCAGAGCTTTCCTTTCTCAGTCTCAAGTATATGAGAGATAATCCAGGATTGCTCCTCCTCACTCATAGGTCCATTTCGTTCCGCCTTTCCCTGTTGCTTGGACTGTCCATTTGATTGCTCGACTGGGCCTACGGCAGATGATGAGAAGCGAGGGATTGTAGCCGTGAAACGGAGCTTTCCGTTTACCTGTACTGCTACTGTCTTTGAACCACGGTGCTGGAGCGATTCGACCTGTGGCTCTGTTAACAGTGGCGTGGGCCAGGGTGAAGAGAATATTGATAGCGACTGGTCATTTTCGTTCTTGCTGAGAAGAGAGGTGTGGAGTTGTTCCCAGCACTCCGAGGAAAACGCTGGTGCGATGGGTGCTAGAAGTTTGAGGAGAGAAGAGACGAGCATGTATAATACTGTCTTTGAAGCTGGGGACGATGGAGATAAGGACAGTGCGGAGGAAGTTATTGCGTTTGTGAACTTGATTAAGTCAGATATAACTGTGTTAAGGGCGTAAGGGTTCTTTTCCATGCAGCTTGAGACGGAAGTGATTGTCGAATGTGCGATAAGGAGAAGATTAGCTTCGTCATCAGATAGCTCATCCAGAGGTGGTAGAGCAAGATTATTAGCAGAACGGATATTTTCCCGGCTTAAACCAAGTTCGGCGGATATCAAGGACTTTTCTGAGTCGGAAATGATCTTCCATAGTCGACTAAACCATCTCTGAATTCCCACAATTTTAGTCTCATCCCATTCGAGAATCTCGCTGACTGGCGCGGCGAAGAGAATATGTGCCCTCGTTGCGTCCGCACCATATTTTTCGATGCATGTACTTGGATCAACACCGTTATATTTACTCTTTGACATCTTCTCAAAGGAGATATTTGGTTTGACCTTGGTCCCGGTTAGTACCGGTGAACCCGGAACAGAGAGATCAACCTCTGATGGACGAAGGAAACGGCCGGTGGCAGGATCAGTATATGTCTTGCCGTGCACCATTCCTTGGGAGAGTAGAGTAAGGAAAGGCTCTGCCCTATCAGGTTTTGCTCGATGGCCACCGGGTATTAATCCAGACTCAGCGAGGAATTTGTAGACAAATCGAGAGTAAAGGAGATGTAGAATTGCGTGTTCAATGCCGCCAATATATGTATCAACCGGTCTCGCCAGAGCGGGGGAGAATGGCATTAATTCATTTGATGGATCAAGGAATCGTAAGAAGTACCATGATGAGTCAACAAAAGTATCCATAGTGTCAGTTTCCCTCTTGGCTGGCTTGTTACAGTTTGGACAAGGCGTATTCAGCCAGTCTTCAGCTGATTCAAGTGGATTGCCAGCTTTGCCCTTCAATCCGGCCCCGTCAATGGTGGGTAATTCCACGGGAAGTTGGTCAACAGGAACGGGAACTGCACCACAATCACCGCAGTGAATGATAGGAATCGGTGCACCCCAATAACGTTGCCGGCTTATTAACCAATCCCGTAGTCTCCAGCTTTCAGTAAAATCGGCCGAATTGTTATGGTCCCGAAGGCTCGAGACAATTTCTTCTCTGGCCTTATTCGATGAAATCCCGGTGAATTTCCCGCACGTACTATTGAGAACTCCTTCTCCAAGGAATGCTTCTGCTCTCTGGATATCGTCTTTGTTAGAAAAGCCATTGGATAAATTTGGCTCAATAACCGAGATAACTGGCGTAGACGGCATATTCTCAGCCCAAAAGGCAAAGTCTCGAGAATCATGTCCGGGAACACCCATAACTGCACCCTCGCCATAATCCCCGAGAACATATGGGGCTACAAAGACCGGAAGTTCTGCTGGGATGTTCGGGTTTTCTTCAATGGCATGAAGAGGGTTCACAGCCTCCACACTAGGCAGACGGTATCCTACTTTTGTATCTGGAGGAAGTAGGCTGGCAGAGTTAACAAAAGCTTTGAGTTTTGAGTCTGTTTGCGCTAGCTGTGTCACCAATGGGTGGTTCAGAGATAAGGCAACATATTGGGCACCAGGTAGAGTATCTGCACGCGTGGTAAACACCTGAACATTCAATCTCTCTTTGGGAGTAATTATCTTGAATGTTAGCCGCGCGCCAACTGACTTTCCGAGCCAATGCCGCTGCATGGACAGAATGCGGTCCGGCCACCCGCTCGCCAGTGAATCAAGATCTTTAAGCAGGGCCTCTTTAAACGCAGTTATCCGGAAGAACCATTGCTTCAATTCGCGTTTTTCGACCACAGCTCCAGACCGCCATGAGCGCCCATTTGCGTCGACCTGTTCCAGGTGTTGTCAGAGAACATCGCTACCAAGTGTTGATGTGGATGAAGGTACCTGCTCGTTCGCCAACACGGTCTGATCGACAGGGTCATAATTGACCATTGCTTTCGCCTGGTATGCCAATCCTTTCTCATGAAGCATCAAGAATAACCGTTGAGTATGCTTATAAAATTCAGGGGAACAGGTCATAAACTCCTACTAGCCACATCATGCGCAATACGCGCAAAGGACGGCTTCAATCAGCACTCTCTTCACACGCAGCTCTATCTCCATATAATATTCTCTCAAGGTATATAATCGCATACCCTATCCCAATCAAAATCCGTCCCCAACCCTTTCAATTGTTCTTTCATCTTTGCAATATTTTCCTTTGTCCATGAGGCCGGATTAATGCCCCTCTCTATTGCCGCATTTTCGGCAGGCAGCCCAAATGCATCCCAACCCATTGGATGGAGCACATCGTATCCCTTCATCCGCTTGAATCGTGCTAGGACATCGGATATTGTATACACACGGACATGGCCCATATGTAGAGTCCCCGAAGGGTACGGGAACATGGGGAGAACATAGGCTTTCTCTGCAGACGCGGAGCTGGAATTCCGAGACTTGTGAAATTCCCATTTTCCTTTCCACTTCTTGTCTATCGCGAGGAGGTCGAGTTTTCGGATCGGAGTGGTGGACGCAGCTCGGAGGAGGATTCGAGGAGATCGGAGGTGGGCAGTCAAGCTGATGGCAGTCGGCCTGTGGGGTAGGATGGCTCGTCCCAGCATTAATTGGAGTCGCATTTTTGCTCCTCCTCATCTTTCAACCCCGAAGCTAAAGCACATATGCCAGGAGGCCGTTTTGGCTTTGCATTGCTGAAGCTTCGAATTCAACGAAAGTACGGCCAATTGAGCTAATCCAATAACGGTTTAGTGCTGGTTGATCTTATCTTATCTGATCGATAAGATAGGTGGCTGAATACGGAATCCACCTAATCCATCTTGCAGGGAGAATAAGTAGAATGCTCCTATCTAAAGGCTAAATGCATCGCTGTCTATCAATAATTACTAACTATCATGCAATCATAACCTCAGAATCCCGGCCTCTTCAGTGCCGCCTCGGAAATGATCTCTAACAACACGGCCCTTCAGTATTGTCTCTTTCACAATTCCCTCAACATGTTTCGGCTCAACCCTCCCATACCAAACTCCCTTTCCGGCCAATGGATGTGGTAAATCTGATGCTGAGTTGATAGAAGATGGAAGATATATAATCACGTTTCCGGCATATTTATGACCGCCAATATGACTGATCAACTCCACATTTGCATGTCGCATGCCGTCGACTTTATCAACGCTGACTGAGAAGCCTTCGTGTTGCAACACACGGCGAAATTCAGCTTGAAGAAGGGGACCCATTATCCCACATCGCCGATCTCTATTTCCATGGCCACAGATGAAGATTGTCGGAGAGTGCTTTAATTCAACCGCGTCCGGAAACGACAATTGAAGCTCTGTTTTTCGTTTCATGACCTCTCGCTTCTCCGCTGGTAGGATATTGTGTGCTTGATGCACCTCGAGCGGTAGTAAAAACGCTTTTGTAAATCTCTCTAGACCATCTTCGTCGATAGGTACCTTCGGTATATATCTAAAGCTAGGAAATAAGAATGCAGACGCAGTCTTCGTTTCGGAGGCCGGATCGCACTGGGGCGTAAAGGAGGAATTCGTAATCAAAACACCATTATATGGCTACTCTTTCCCGTGAACGATGTCAGTCATCCCAACCGCCATTCTATTCCGAGCTCGTTGCAACCTACATCAGAGTATTTTCCGCCCCTACTGACTAGCCTCTTTAGCCCGTTCGCTAATAGTCCCCATCCATGATCCTGTCCATCCTCTTCGATCCGACTTCTCCAATCCGTCTGCCCCGTTGCAATCACAACCTGTTGTGAATGTGCTACCATTGTTCCATTGAGATCCTGCTCGTGGTCGATATCGAGCCCCTTGGGCATCTCTGCACATGCGCATGTTGGTTCCGGGCAAGAAGGCGTGACGGGGAACGGTGGTGGAATTTTTATGCGGCGAGAAGTAGAGTAGGAAGCGCATTGGGCGAAAGGGATTGAGGACACGGGTACACGGGATCTGAGGAAAGTTACGGCAGCCATGGCTTTGGGGGAATCGCCAGGGCTTATGACGCGTGTTGACTGCAATTCAGCGTATCAGGTTGTCAAAAATCATGGAGAATATCAATTTCAAAAGAAGAACAAAATAATAAAATAATAAACGGGGCAAAATGGCCTTTGAATATCAAAGGATTTTTTTTTTTTTGAACGACGGCGCGGACTCACGGCCGAAGATCATATAAAATTAAGGTTACTGCGGCCGCTCGGAGATATCGGAGTTGAGGATCTCAATGCTGGCGTATTACGCTCCAGGACCCTTGTTCTTTTTTTTTATTTATTTATTTACTTATTTATTTTTTCTTTCTCAATGCGAATATCTGCACGGAGTACGACGGAAAAGAGTGTAATTATATTCTCACTACGGTGTAAGCAACTTTGTCATTTGCTATTCAAGGCCTCTGACATCCAGCTCAAAACGACGCCAATGCCAGAGGCGACTTGGTCAATGGCCAAAGCTGGCTCCAGAATACAACAGCTCCGGCAACCAAAATAACATAGTATGCAACAGTCCACCCGATACCAAGCTGCTTCTGCTCTACCCGCTGCGCTGGAAACTCCTCATCCTCCTTACATCTCACAATAATAGGCTCAATTGGCATGTCAACTTGCACACGGCCCCAAAGTCGAGGTACTCCGCAGCAATTGCAAAACGAGTGGACAGCAATGACTGCGAAGAGCGACCCAGTACGCAGATATAGAAAAGCAGCGTACCAACCAAAAATCGTCGTGTAGGCGAATTGAAATACTGTGCGGAAGAGCATCGTTCCGAGAGGCGCATATGCGTGGGTTAACTTGAATTCATAAAAGTGATGGACGTGTGCAATCCCAAAATAAAGCGGGGAAACAAACACGATGCTTGTTGGGGAGATCTTTGCCATCAAATGCAGCGCGACAATGATCGAGCGGAAGACTACTTCTTCAGTAATAGGGCCCTGTAAAAGATAAGCATGAGTGCTGTGCGAAGTATAGTTTTCTATGTTAGACATACAGCGACATAATTCCGCCAACCAGCCCATTCGGTAAGAGGCTCAATAAGTGACTGCCATCGAATCCAGTTTCTCCATTGGCCTTCCGCAATTCCTCGTTCAAATAAGAATCCCAAAAAGAGGATAGCTGTAAGAAACAAAGATTTAACGATTTCTAGCGGTCCAAGCGGCCACCATCCAAGGAATCGAAGTGCCTCTAGATAGGTGGTATGTCCCTTAGAAACAATCAGATATAGAGTGCCGAGACTGCATATGAAACACGCCGTCATGACCGCTCGGACTCGATATTTGATAACAGAAGGCGCATCTCTACTTAAGGTCGGAGAAGGTCTGCTAGCCTTCGACATGTATAAAGGCACGACATAGAGCAGAGTGCAAGCGATCTGAAACGTTCAAGTCAGCTTAAGCCAGCTTATTACTTTTCCGAGGAGCAGCAAGCAGAGCCAATGTCCATATTGGGGCTTTCAAGAGCGAAAAGGTTTCCCAGGAATTATCCCAGGATTGGTTGTCATTCAGCTATCTAAGCCACGAGAGAAGGGTGAGGAGAGCGAGAGAGAGATATAAGGAAGCTCAAAAACCAATATATAGGTTAACGAAGAAATTTCTTACCGAAAGCACGACAGCGACATTGGTCGAGATCAACGGCTCGGGTTCTTCATGCCGGTCAATCAGTCCCCGCAAAGCGAAAATCAACGGGCCAGCGGCCGGTGAAGGTAACTCGACGTACCTTTTTTCGAATAGAGCTCTTTAACACGCTCGATAATACCCATCCTTGCGTTGTTTCTCCTAGGGATGAGATGAGGAATTGCTGCGAGTTAAGCAAGTGAGCAGTGCCAGTGCTGCACAATTGGGGGAAAAAAATCCCTCAATTCCAAAATTGGTATTGAATATGCAGGTTTCTTTGCTTTCATATTCCGTAAGAGGCCTCGACAGCTCTGGATCAGGGGGAGCTAAATTTTGAAGTTTGAGCTAAAAATAAACATTCGTGAGCTTCCTGTTATCGGCGAACTGATTTCTGTGGGCATCCACCATCATCTCTACATCACAACACTTTTGAATTCATGTTTGAACATGCTGTGAGAATGGATAAATTAGTGATATACGCTGTACAGAGCAAGAGTTGTTAGCTAACTAATTCCCAACATGGCTCATGAGCCCATCCTGCCTGGACTGCAACCAATCAAAATTTACTCGATACTCCCGATCGTGTTGCTCTTCCATGTTCGCCTCAATGGACAACCGGCCACTATTGGCGGAGGGTAAGCTCACCGCATCAGACTTAATTCGTACGCAATGCCTATCCTCGAATTAAATTCCGGTGTCTTTTCCTGCATCGAAGATTTGGCCTCGTAGGGAATGCAATAGCAGCAGGACCAGCAAAGCAACAGAATGTGAAGCCGAGTCGCCCACGTTTCCAGAGCCGCCACAGCTATCTACATTGATATATTGAGACCCTTATGGACGAGAATAGATTGATACAGCATGCCGAAGGAAAATCCGAATCGTAGTCGGGGTCTTGGGTAAGAGTCAACATTGGTCAAAGGCAGCCTCCAGCCAAAATGAGAAGACGGCTCCTCTTTCGATAAGGCCGCATGGTCGATTCTGATACTATTTCAACGCCTCTTGGTCCCAGCAGGCAGCCGCTGGGAGACAGAAGGGGACCACATTCCCAAAGCTCTATTCCAGAACAAAATGTACTCTTCAAGAACGCTTTCCAGTTTCGTCCGAACATGACTATCAGTCTAGACAGAAAGATCAAAGCCAGGGCTCTCGAGAGACCGACCCTGGAGGACACGCCAAAGGCGTGAGCAGAAGCATAAATCAAAGACTCCACGAGACATACACGGACGGATCGTTCCTGGGCAGGGCTCCTCCCTGCATGCAGCGAAGAAACTGGGACATTCACGATTGAAGGAATCAGCCGGGATTTGTGTAGGAGCATCATACTCAGTCCCCCGTGCGGGTTTCAGCCCTTCTAATTTCCAAGGGATTTATCGTGTGGAAATAACTCTGGCTTGTGCCTTTGCCCAGATCTCCGGGAATCATGATCGAAATAATATCTTGAGATCTTGCCTACAAGGGAAGAATGGTGTGATCGCCGATGCTTTCCGGAGTTACTTCACCCTTCAGCAAGGAATTCGGGAAGATCGACGGAAAGGTTATATGAACCTTGATCCTTGTGAAAACTCGACAATTCCACGTCGTTCCGCCGCAATCAGGGGGTAACCACGCCGTCAAAAGACCACCAAGGGTTCAAAGAACGTTTTCGCCTAGGGCCCCCTTCGCAAAATACGAACATTCGCAGCAAATGGCGAATGAATATTTGATTCCCATGTCCCAAAACACGCAACTTTATCGTAGAGATCAAGGTCCATCACCTCGTCTGGAGAACACCTGTGCCCATAGGGTCTCGCTTTCTCCTCTTCGATTTGCACCTCAAAATTGGGAAGTTCTCGTTGCTAACAGGACATATTTAGCCCCGGTCGTGGAAATTAGAGTCTCCACATCTCCCGCCGTGGACAAGATAACACTCGAAATGATTTATGGCAATCAGGAGCGTGGGCTCTTGTGACTTTTTGTTTGCAGGATGGTTGACTCAAGCTTGCCTAATTCACCATGTATACAGCGGGATTGACTGATTACCCCATGACCTAGTTACTCGGCGTCAACTTGATATGCCGTGATGTACTCCGTAAAATGCGCAAGATCGCACAAGTCCCGATCTTTGGAGATGTAGTTGCAGAGCAAACCTCCACTACGCTGTTGAAGCTAACAATGAGGAAGAACGGTGCCGGGCCTAGGAATGAACCAGGCTAATCTCAGACCCGCAACGGGAGAAGAGCTAGCTGTACTCCGTACTCCGTTTGGAAAGGAAAGGGAATCCCTTCATGAGCAAGTATCATCCAGCAATATCCATTGAATCAAGTGAATTAAGTCCAATTCCCAAGTCTTTTCGCAAACCACGCAACGGAGCGGGCCATATATTGGAATTCACACTCCTGAATTAAGCATCCGTGTTCGAACTTCGGCACCTCTATAGAGTTGCTGAATTTATTTAAACCCGCTTGCCATCTGTGGCTGGCCTATTGGATTACCATAATTTGAGGGTAGCGGCAAAGGAAGTGAAATATGGTGGCGGGCCTTTAACGACGATAAATTCAGGTCGAGAGACAAAAATCAATCAAAAGTTCAGGACTCCGACACCAACAATTGCGGCCCTTTTTTAGGCTGGAAGAGTGGGATGTGCCAAAATTTAGGGCATCCTCCGCTTGTTATCACAAATGAAATTGGAATCGATTTCTGGACTCTGCGGGTGAGTATTCAGCCTATTCTAACCCTAAACCTCAGGAAGCAGGCTCTATCGGGGAGAGCGGTAAGCAGGATCGTGAAGGTATGAGTTTGAGATCGCAGCCTGGAGAGTGGGTTGGGTCAATTGAGATCTCGTTTGCACCCTATTCACTGCATTGCTCAATCGCGACACATATCGCCAAGACATACCTCAAGCATCGGATATGGACAGAGCAGACTCAAGCCGTCAGAGCTTCAACTAGCAGTTCGCGTAGCTAGTGAATGGTGCTGTTGTCAACAGGATGATGTGTGTATAAAATGAAACTGTCCTTTTTAAATACAGTTTCGAAAGCCGAGCTTCAGGTAATGTTTGCCAGGGCAGTCCAGCTGAGGATCACAACCTTGCTCATGGTGCCGGGTGCCCTGGTTAAATTGGTCTCTTTGGGTGCCACAATGGATTTTATCTCTTGTCCTCACCAGGGCGAAGGGGGAAACCATGGTTGTTATCAGTGGGGGGGAATGCAACAATTGCTAGGGGCTGGGGGGACACAGCTGCGATGCAGTCATGTGCCTGCTGGGCTCCTATGCTTTGCAGGCATTTATCGGGAGTTGCGCTCGTGATTCCGTGATTTCCGAGGCCTGCCTAGCTTCAAACTACTCCGTATACCAATCTTAATCGCCAGCTCTCAACGCTAGTGTTTTTCCTGCGGCTTTTGCTGGGCGATGAGTGAACTAACTCAAGAATGTCGGGCCATCAACTCAAGCAACAAAGCGATTTAAAAGAAAACTCCGGATTTGCAACTGATCAGATCAAGCTCTTCCAAGCAAAGTCAATGAAAGCCCCCAAGCAGAGCAGTTAAAGGCCGAAAGACGTTAACGAGTCAAACCAGTGAACTAAAAGCCCCAGTCCGTTCGTGTGGGAAAGTAAGAAATCCGCACGATGCCAAACCTTGGCTGCCAATCTTGTTCTTCTCTGCAGACAACCCTTTGAAACTCAAAGGATTAGTGTCTGGAGAAAAGAGGACTTCTGATTATGGATTGCGGACACTGCCCAAGAATCCAGAAAAAGCCAGACCCTGGGTTTGTTCAAAAAAAAAAAATTCCATTCGCCTTTCCAGGCTTGCATTAGTGGAGTTATCAAAAGCCGGGAGAGCGTTGAGGACCTCCCATCTTCGCTTCCACGCTGGTGAACCGAAAGGGAGGTGCAACAGCGCCAACCAATTCAAGGGAGGGCCTGCAACAAAACAAAGTGGTAATCCCTGTTAGCGTTGAGCCTCCAAAAGCGCCAACCCGCCTCGCGAATTCACTAGTACCCCAGTCCCTTTTGTTGCGATGACGACTAACGCGGATCAAATCCTTATGACAGCCAACAGAAACGCAGATCCTCTCTGAAGGGAGTTTGGCGATGGCTTTCTCGTGGCAATTTATCCATTTTTTCTTTTTACGGGCTCCAGATTCAGTTCAATTTTTGCCCTTGTTCAGTTCACACTTGACCCATTCTCCCCGCATCGAAGCGCGACAGCGACCTTTCGTATATATAACTGCAAGACTAGAGTCCCAGTTTTGTGGTTCGGTCGGCTCCAGAGGACCACTTTCATTGTCACTCTCGCACGACTAGAGACTGGGTCTGTTGTTATGGGATTAGCGCGATGTCTGAAGAAATCTGAGAAGCTCTGTGGTACTCGGTCGTTGGGACTCTCGAGGAAGGAGGACTGGAATGGACGTTGAGCAAATGTCCACGAATATGGCCAATAATAAGACTTTCTCGGGAAACAACACTCCTGCGCAGTACGATATAATCATCGAACAACCGAAGCTCGTCTCCGTGGTCCTCGTTCTCATTTGCGTCGCGACACTCATCTACCTACTGGCTATATTTGTACGATGGAAGCACAACCGACTAAGGGACCTGGAGTGTGTCTTCATGCTCAGCGCTTTCGTCTTCTACCTGGTGTACGAGATTATGCTGCTTGTGTCAATGCCTCTATTCTATCGTCTGAATGCCGTCAATCTCGGTCTCATAGAGAAGTACCCGACCGCCCTTCAAGATAAAGAAAGATTCATACTTCTCCTTTTTGTGAACAATTTGATATTTCTTTTTCTGCTCTGGTCTGTCAAATTTGGTCTTCTTGTACTCTACCGTCGCTTGATGATCGGGCTACCACGCCAGCTCAAGGTTTGGCTGGTTGTTCTGGTCTATACGGCCATCACATTTCTCTTCTCCTTCATTACCACACTCACTGCCTGTGGTGGAATTTCAAATCTCCAAAAGGACCTGCGCAGTAAGTCTACTGGTTTATGGATGATGACTTGACATTCACTGACACAGTTTTGCGATGAAGCGTTTTGTTCAAGCCCTGTTGATAATATCACGCGAAATCTCAATTTTTTTGGTTCCTTCGCATCTGATGTCTCGACCGACCTACTAAGTGAGCGATCTCTCCGAATTTGATTTCCTTATGCCGGTACTATAAAATACTGATTGGCCCCATAAACTAGTTATGGTTCTTCCCTTACGGCTCATATGGGGACTACAGATGTCTTCAAGACGAAAACTGGCTGTTGGCGCTCTATTTTCCGTCGGTATATTTTGTACCATCACTGCGACTATTCGCCTGATCCAGATTACCTCAAAGACCAGAGTTACAAACCCCAACGCCTTATGGCTAGCTCTCTGGGGTTCGGTTGAGTCGACAACTGGTAAATACTCCCCGGTTACTCCATCGGAGCTTGTCTCCTGAGTCTTCCAGGCTTTCATTCTTTTCACAAAGTTTCACTTTGCATCGCTAAAAGAGATTCCGGTAGCAATAATCGTTGGTTCTCTACCATCTTTACGATTCGTACGGACGACTTCCAGACCTACAGGCGCTGGCGCTTATACCACTAGCAATACCGGGTGGGCCAACAGTCGCAAGTTTCATTCTATCCAAATGCAGCCCTATAGTCCGAACAACACCCGACACGTAACAACCGTATACGGGGGTCCGGATACCTCTTCATCGCGAGAGAGCCTGGCTCCCAAGAATGGAGTGCTGGTCACCACGCAACATCAGGTATTTTGGCCAACGTAAAATGTGCACCAAAATTGAAGACCTCTGGCTAACCAAGTGATCTGTAGATCCGCACTGAGAGGATAATCCCCGGCTAACGATGTTCTTCCCGCTTCGCTACCTATATTTCCTCCGTGGTCTTTTCTACAAATGACGACTATAGAAAATACTGTCACCAATATGATCGTAATATTGTTAGTTAATGTTTCCTAATGATCAGTTTGATACCTTCCCAGTTTTCGGAATCATTGAATCCTATCTCTACAAAAGATATATCCAAATGGCATGGTCTTGAAAGAGCTTTTGCCTGACCTCTCGGCTATGTTTCTGGAATTTAGGTTTTAAGGTTGCGCGTGCAACTACTCCGCGCCTCGAAATGTGTGAACGTTTGAATTCCCCTTTTTTTTGGGTCCCACATGCATTTCAATCGAATCCCGGGATACGGTGAATCCACCGTACCGTTAATTTGAGGAGAAGAAAGGGAGAAAGAAATGAGATGGCTATGCACTGTATATTAAATAAAAGAGCAAGTCAAATTATCTAAATCCTAGGGGTTTCAGTGGTTTGCCTGCTTGCCATAACAAAAGTCTTGTTAATTTTAGCCCTCGGTTCCTTGTAAAGTCCGCATGGTCGCAGATGTACTCCGTAATAAGTACTGTGAACCGCTCTCTTAAACCATTGGTTTTCTATACAGAGTACAAGCCTGTCTTCTGGAACACTTCCAGGAAGCTATCATTCTTGTAGATAATACAACGTCTTCGTAGAGAACCCACTTAAATGTCTCATGTGCCGTTTCCGACAATCGATCTGGGAACTTATACTCCGTACGGAGTAAGGAATATCGCCGTTTGCATCGCATCGCTTGCAGAGGGGCTAAAAGCGGGGTGAAGTGCTGGCCTTTCTGGCCTTGCGAAATCGACCCACTGAAGACTTTGACCTGATTGGACGAAGAGGTTGGAGAATCTGTCCGCATGTGGCGGCAAGGAAGAGAAAAGCAGGTAACTATGGGTTGTGATAAAGCGCGCATTCTTCGCTGATGGAACTAACGGGGCCCAAATCCCGAAGGGCGTCGAATTGTCTCTGGTGGCGGTGAGTTTATTAACTCCTGAGGGCCCAAATGATGGGACAGAACGGAAAGGAAATAGTGAGAGGGTTTTATTCCACTACAAAATATCTGGTGTTTCTCGTGAAGGTAAAAAAATAAAAGGATAAAAACCACGACACCAAGCGGATTCGAACCGCTGACCCCGAAGGGATGAGCTGGGGTTGCACCGTCTGGAGAGGTTCAAGGCTCACGCAATAACCACTCTGCCATAGTGCCATTCTGGTGGTTCCCGCAGTCGGGAAGATCCCGAGGGAGACTTCTCGGCTCTAAGGCGGCCCGATGGACCTGTGCTTTAGGCTTAGCGCCCGCTCCTGGTCATCGCCAAGCGCGCTCCACTTCCAAACTTCCCCGTGATTCCATAGGAAGGCCAACGCAGCTGCGGGGACAGAGTCGCATTCCTCGCAGGGCGGTTCCGGACCCTCGTCTTTTGCAGTTTGATCCAGCCAGAATATGATGTTAATCGTGATGCTCGCTAGTGGGACGAAATCCTAGGTAAAATTGAGCTTGTTCCACACAAATTCAAAGCACAGGCGAATACTGTAGGCGAATAGTTAAACGAGCGGACGAACGTCCCACAACCCGAACATATTGGAAGGATGCTTGCTTCCGCCACGCGAGGGACCCGCTTCAAGACCATTCCAAGATTGTTCCGAGCCTGCATGCTCCGTCATACACACAAATCAACCTGAAGCATGGCATCGCTGATGGCCGACACGCTGCGAATTTTTTGTCATCGAACGTCGGGTTTCTCAGGCCGGAGACATGGGAGACCTTGCCAGGCGGATTGTCGTATGAACATGCTTGATATTGTACTCTGTGCACGACTCCGCACATACGTTTCTCTGTGCTGATTTTATGCTCTGAATTATGATTCTCAAGTGACAGGATTCGCAAGAACCCATACCCTTGTCGCTGTCGGGGTATTGTTTGTTCCCCGAGGCGCAGGAACACGTTGGCCACCGAAGAGCCGCCATCAATCGGACAATTCTGCATTGTGAGGACGGCAAGTGGTCCCAAAGATTAAATCCCGATAAAGGAACTCTCCATGCGCCATGCCAATGGTTGGGCCAGCGTGGAAGCAGGAGCGGTGAGATTCTCTCCATCATGGTTGGCAAATGGGGACATCCCGGCTAGCAACCTCGTGGTGCTGGTCGACGACAGGGATTACGGCGGGTGCGCAGTTGAGACTTTAATTTCCTCTGCTGGAGACGTGGTCTGACATGGTATTTGCGAGGGAATCTCGCGGTATATCTCGCTAGAGAAATGGTAGGGAGACAGATAGGGGAAGAGAGGATCTTCCGACGCTCTGTGCTCCCCTCTTCTACCAACTTCTAGACCTCTACAGTGTGGGCTAGCTGCATTATTCGCTCTTTTCGAGTCCTTTTTTTTTTTTTCGGTTGGACTCTTGTTGTTCCAACGATTTATTTACGCCAGGTGTCTCCCGGGTTTTCATTTCTGTTGCCTCTTCATACTGTCTGTCTTTTTGGTGGAGTGGTTGCTACTCCGCCTGTACATGTCTCTCTGAAGATCATAATCACACGCCATTGGCGTTAACTTTGTGTGTGGGCGCGTTCACTAATCAAGCAACATGCGTTCTCACGCCCTGTCAACTTGGTTTCTCTCTTCCATCACGTTGGTGGCAACCGCAATGAGTGCTCAAGCCCAAAGCTATATTCCTCGGCCATTGGACGACATGATAAAGGACTTGGGCTTGGAGGAGTATGTCAAGGATATACCAAGTGGTGATAACCTCGAAGGGAATGTAGCTGCGCGATGTATTATTGCGGTATGTCATCCATTCAATAGCCGTACGATTCAGAATGTACTGACTGTGTCCCCCTTTTGAGGGTAACAGACCGAAGTTTTACGCCGTGTGCTCCCTTCTGAGGTTGAGATGCCTGGCTCTGGTGCATATACTTCAAACAAGGAGAGTTACTGGGCTCAGCAGCAATCGACATTGTCGCCTTCTTGTTTCGTGGCAGCCAAGAGTCCCAAATCTGTTGCAAAGGCCCTTGCGATATCTCGCGTTACACAATGTCCTTTCGCTGTACGTTCTGGAGGGCATTCGGATGTCCCCGGTGCCTCGAATACTGAGGAAGGCATTGTTATCGATCTCCGTGCTTTCAACGATATCAAAGTGTCAGAAGATAAGAAGGTGGCCACGGTTGGCCCCGGCGCCACCTGGGCTGAAGTATATCGACACCTTGACGAGTACGGGTTGACGGTTATTGGAGGCCGCGCTTCCACTGTTGGCGTTGGTGGTTTGGCCCTCGGCGGTAAGGTTTCAATTCAAGTATGATGCCTTCGGAAGAAAAGCCCGGGTTACTGATCGTGTGTCAGGTGGAATGTCATACATTTCTGGACGTGGAGGGTTTGCTTGCGATAACGTCTTGAAGTTTCATGTATGTTATCAAACTATATTTATGCGCGTTTAGAGTTTGTTGTTTCTCGGATAATTGCTGATAGTTCGCATAGGTCATGATGGCTGACGGCCATATCCTGGAAGTAGATGAGAAGTCTCATCCACTTCTTTACTTTGCCCTTCGCGGTGGCGGAAATAACTTTGGTATTGTCCTCCGATTCGACTTCGAAACTTACCCTCTCGGCGAGTTCTGGGGTGGAATTCGTGTTTACCCTGTCGAGGCTAAAGAAGCGATTAATGGCGGGCTCAGCTCGTTCAACGATAACGCATGGGATGACCCAGACCTCGCTGTCATTACCTCCTTTATCCATAGATCAGGAAACTGGTACTCCACCGTCATCTTTGATTACGCTAAACCCCAAGCGAACCCACCTATCCTCACCACAAATTTCGCGGACCTACTAAAATACACTCCCTCAAGAGACACTAGCCGGATCACCAATATGACACAGTTTGCCGTTGAGCTTGGACAGGGTACACCACCCGGTCTTCGCCAGCAGTTTACCACCGTTACGTATAGGAATAGCGCCGAGGTACAGAATCGCATGGTGGACATTTTTATGGAAGAAGTGAAGAACATAGAAGGCCGGATGTCCGCCAAAGAGGCATTCGCACCCATTGTTGCATTCCAGCCTATTCCTCCCTCCATCAGCTCTAAGTTTTCGAAGAGAGGTGGAAATGCGCTTGGTGTAAGTCCTGACGATGGGCCTCTTATATGTAAGCTCCCCCACCCAAACAAAAAAAAAAAAATGAGTAGCTCGCTTGTTAGTAAAATGACACGACGATACTGACGCTAGTGAATAGTGGTCAACCTTTGCTTCCAATGGTCCAACGCTGCTGACGACCAGCTTGTTATTTCGACAATTGACCGGGTTCTTGATAAGACGAACGAATTTGCTAGGTCCAAGGGCCTTCTACACGATTACATCTATATGAACTACGCTGCTCCATACCAGAAGCCGGTCACCAGCTACGGTGCCGAGAACGTGAAGAAGTTGCGCAAGGCGCAGGAGGAGTATGATCCTTCCTTGGTCTTTGAGAGGTTACAGCCAGGTGGATTTAAACTGGACATGTAGTGGGTTTTTGTACCTTCGAACGCGTTCGAAGTTAAAGAGATAGGGGAAGGAAGCCGGCCGTTCTGGCCGGATATCATATAACACATCCCTTGTGTTATTAATTTATTTCGTTTTTGTTAACTCGAATCATGCAGTCACATTACGCGTGCGCATCCAAGCTATCTGGACAACTCGAACATACATAGGCGGGGTGGATTTTAGGATCTGTATATATACTTCCGGCTCATAGATGCCGATATGTGACCGAATATTAGGGGGCTAGAAAGCCCAGTCAAGAACAATAGGGGGTTATCCTGTGACTGTGAGAGGTGACATGCGTATCCCAGTAACCTAACGGCAGGATTGAATTTATATCGCGAGTTATATAACTACGAGGCATAATCCCATCCCCCTTTCTTCCCTAATCGTACTGAACAGCGAAGAGTGGCGCTCAACGTTCTTGCCTCGAGACATCCATCAGGGAGAAACTTGATGGTTAATGCGCAGAATACCCACATATTCTCCAATGGCCTGGCTGCATCTGCATTTGCTGGGCGAGGAGACGCACCCTCTTTTGCAATATGAGGAGACTTTACTTTCAGGATTTGAAATCGCCAGGTTGAGGATCTGCTCAGATGATCCGACGCCTGGGCTCTGGGACTGAACAAGCATCCACCTCTCAACAGAAATCAAGGATTCTCGCTTAGGGCTGCTGGGATGGTGTTTCTCAAGAGTCCCAACGCGCTCCTACTACGATTAGCAGAGATTTCCAAAAGGATCACAGAGATCCCCTGAAGCCAGGCCTATTTCGCGTCCGAAAAAACTCCTGCCGCCCTCACGATCAGCCACCCACCCGCCGATTCCTTCCCCTTCGCGACGCGCCACGGTTTCAAGGGCGCGGAGAGAAGATTCTCCGACTCCACGCCCGAACAGCTGATGCCACGTGACCTGGACCGTGCGCCTCACCGCCTCGTTTCAGGTGCCGCGCTAGGCCCGAGCCGGCATGGTGCCTTGGTTTCGTCCGACCCACCGTCCTTCGCCCAACGTCGCTCGCGAAGTCCGCCTCGCCGTCTCTTTCACTTCCCTCCAGCCAGCGATCCCCTTCTGCAACCCTTCCTTTCGGCTGTTTGTTGCTTTGTGCTTTTGGTCTTTTTGCTCTCTGTCTCTCCTTTTCCTTGTTCTTCATGTCATTCATTCTTTAAAATAGATAATTGGCCCCTAGTGCTATAATGACTGTCTTAATCGCCTTTTAGCCATTCATTTTATCGATCATTCGCTCTCTTGCCGCCCGGATAAAACACTTTATCTGCAGTCCCTCGTTTGAACTCCTGGACAAGCCGAAAAGCCAGATGAAAATAGCATCAATTTGCGTTCCCTGATACTGATCTTCATCAATTGCACGGCTTCTTTGCTGACACTCTTTTCTGAAAAAGGCGAACCAAGCAGTTTTATTATCTAGACAATCATTCTTTTTTTTTTTTTCGCTATTGGCAAAATAGGACTTTGCTTAATTTATATTGCTTTAATTATTATATTACCCTCCTTTTTTTTTTTGGCAACCTTAATGAGATAATAGCCCTTGTTACAGATCCCTCACACACCATGTCATTGTCTATTCCGCCCCTGTCCCCATCTTCGAAACGTCGAAGGCCTTTGCATGAAAGAACTCCGTCTCAAAGCAACGAACGCCCACCCGCGTCAACGTTAAGACTCGTTATGGATAAATCTTCCGAAGATGAAGCTGACATCTATTCTACGGATCCATATCCCACGAAACCGGAGCATATTTTATTGCCCACACCTAGCGACAACCAATATGGCGGACCCCTAACATCGAACCCTGTTTCAGCTTCGTTCCATAACGACTCAACCGATACCTCCCCCTCGAGCGCGGAATATGCCAGTCGAAACTTCCCCGAGGATCACGGTGGAAGTGTCTCGGAGCTTTCCACCCTGGTGCAGGAGGGAAACCTGTCGAGCTTTATTTGGGGTGAAAGCCAAAACTCAAGCAACACTTCCATACCACACCTGGCGACTCCCGTCATCGATGAGGCCGTCGAGGCCGGCGACGAAAAATCTGAAAGCAGTGACCGAACTCGCCTTCCACCGCTGAACACGACGATCAAGACCGTACCGCAGGACGACTCGACGCCAGAACAGTCTGACTCGGGCCTGACCAGCAGTTCGAGTCCGAATGTGGTTCGTCTGGGCTTGACTTCGAGCCCAAACGTTATTCCCCTGGAAAGCTCATCTCCCAATTTTATGCCACTTGTGACCTCCTCGCCTTATTACGTCAAGGAAAGCGCCTCAGATTCTTCGTTATATTCCGCCAATACATTTGGGACAGCCAGACGGTATGTCCGTCCACAACAGCAAAATTCGGGCTTTTTGGAACGAGACAGCAACCAGTCACTATCTTTTTCTTCGGACCCTCCTAGTGCTATTCTAAGAACGCACCGATCTACATCGTCTTTTGCGCTCTCAAGAGGGGGCTCGACACATACACGGACGGCTTCTGCATCCACTCGGAGCGGACAGTCACCCTCGGATATCCAAACGATCATTGATAGCGGCTTGCCTGTGAAGTATCCAACCATCCAATCACCTCCGTCCGCCGGTTCGTTAGCGGAAGGATCCTCGTCGAGACTACCCTCACAATCATCACAGTTAACGAGGTATCAACCGGGTAGAAACCGTCTCTTGTCAATTGTGCCCTCTGAATGGTCGGCGGAAAGAGCATTGAGCTCGGCCAGTGCCTCGCCCCAGGTTGACCAAACGGACTCTAGTACGGAATCATCGGGAGATAATGCAATTAGGGGTCGCCCTTCCGACTTTTCAATTCGGCTCGTGGCTCAATCCGAAAGTGACGAAGGAGCCGACACCCTTTCCCAACTTCAGCCTTGCTTGCTGCGAACGAAGCGATCTGGATCTTTGAGTAATCGTTCTATGGTATCAAGATTTGACAGTTTTCGATTGATGAGCAGACCAGGTTCTAGCGCCAGCTCCATCCTCAACACCATCCCTACTTGGGCCAAAGTATACTATCGCAGCGGTGGCGCAGGGCTCCAATTATCAGCTCTGTCTCTAGTTGAGGGTAGCCGCCCTTCGACGGCTGCGAGTGCCCGCCCCGCCGCCCATCTGGGTCCTCTAGAAATATCCCGCACACGATCTCGACCGAGGAAGAACACCGACACTCGATTAGCTTTGCCTACTGCTGATACGAGGGATCCCAGGACACATTGGGCTGGTGGGTTCCAGCAGAGCGAGAGGAACGTCCCAAAAACCCCTTCCCAAGAAGACCTTCCTGCGAATTGGTCACCACATCTATTTCCAGATCATCGCACAGGCTCCGTTCGGAGGTCTCTTTGGAACCCACCTTCTTTGGACGAGAGCGCGGAGGGTATAATAGGCTGGCGCAACGTTCAAATTTATTTATTTTGCCTAGGCTTCTTGGTGCCATTAAGTATGTTTTTATTGTCCGCAAAGAGTGTTACGAATGATTTGATAGAAAGTTACTGACTTTTCTACAGCGTGGTTCGTGGCTGCCTTCTTACCACTTCCTCCCAAAGTCTTTCCGTTAAACGAGGAATTCACCACCGACCAGCCGGACGTCGAGCGAACGTTCAACAACCGAGTCAAACACATAGACCAAATTCGCTACGAGAATGCCCGATGGTGGCGAAGGCTCAATCGCTTTATGACACCAGTAGGCCTTATAATCATTGCTACAATTGTGAGTTTACCCTCCGCCAGTTGTCAAACTCAATTCTAACCTCTTCGCTACTAGGCTACTCTATCTGTTTTGGGAACTAAAAACATCATTTGAGAACCACAAAAAATAACAGAAAAAAAAGCTTCGATTTCTTTTCGGTCCTCGACCGTACGACTTTACGCCTTTTATGCTTTCTTTATACATGAACCTACGACCGAATAAACAATCCAATCCGTTCCTGGGGCGCCGGATTCGCATCCACCCCCTTATGAACTTACGACGGCGTCATTGCTCGGTTATTTAATAGACCTTTTTCGTTTATTCAGCGATATTTGACTTTTTTTTTTTTTTTTTTTTGACTTTAATGCTTCTGACGACCTTATAAAATGGTTCGGCTTTTTGTTGTATGTTTTTGTGTGTTTGGGAGCTTTTATTATTACTACTTCCACAGCTTCAAACTATCGCTGTTATATACTTCCCAAATGTCTACACCTCTCGCTGTACAAAGTATATTTTACAACACTTGCCTGTCTAGTGTCTGGAAGTATTATTCCTTATCTTTTTTTTTCCCCCCTTGCTGCCTCGGCGGCTAACTACCTTTGGTTATTGGGTTATTGAGGGTATAAATTCTCCCCTTTTCGGCTTGGAATTTATGTGGGACATTATGGATGGTCTTTAATTGGTATTGAGTGGGAGGGTTCGTTTTTAGGGGGGTTGTCAAATATTAACTTCATATTTGAATGGAGGACATTACTATTTGGCTCGCAGTCTTCTTTTCTTGTTTTTGTTTTTAACTATGCTGAGAGGCACTTTGGGCCTTTCTTTGGAGTACGGAGTATGTAGAAAAAGAATTCTTTGGCTCGAGCAGCACGGTACATCCAACAATATATCCTGCAGTTTGGATTGATTATCATGTCGCTTTCAATGACGAGGTACGGCGTATAGGTTGAACGTGCGTCTATTCTGCTGTCTGTGTAACATACTCTCGACCGAGTCACTCCATTTCTGCAGCTCGATCCTTTACCGAGTATATATGCAAACCACCGTCGAACTAACGAATCAGGCGCGCCAATGCACGCACGCATGCTTTCCAACGCTCATGACAGGATCACCTCTTCTTTCTCCCCAACCTCTCCTCAATCAACACCTTCAACTCATGGCCCGACGGCATGCTCACCACACTCCCCCTTCTCCTCTTCGCCTCAATCTCGCTCCGAATCTCACTCACCGCCTCATCGAACTCCCGCTCCGGGTCATCCGGCAATCCCAGCGTCGGCGGCTGGGCGGGTTCTTTCTTCTCGTCCCTTCTTCCAGCGGCTAGGCCCTTATTCCTGGCGTCGAGCTTCTTGACGAGGAATTTCTTGCCAGGACTGGCGAAGAACGCGAGCGAGGATGCGATGCCGATGATGCCGTAGAAGTAGACGTGTTTCCAGGCCGTGATGCAGTCGGTGAATTGCAGGATGATGAAAGGGGCGGCGGCGAAGGAGAGCGCCAGCTGGGTGGTTAGCCAGCCTAGGATGTCGTAGTAACGCTTGAGCGGAGTAGGCTTGGAACCATCTGTTGTGAGGAAGAAAGGACGGAGGTGGCGGCGGAAATCTGGGGAATGTTAGTGCACTGGGTTGACTAGATCGCTTGGATGGGGGAGATTAATGCTTGAAGATCTGGAGTTAGGCATACTTTTGGCTGTCGTTTGGAGGAACGCGCCCAAGACAAAAGTGAGATAGTATCCTGCGTAGAACCCATGCCACATCGCACTTGTTAAGAAAGTCGCTAGACTAGCCCTGAAACCTGGTTTCTTGCCTCTTGGAGTGACTCGTAGATAGACATAGTTTCGGAGCCAATGGTTAGTATTCTTGTTCCAATTGCCTAGATACGCGTGTGGGTTTTGAGCCGTTTCCAAGCCCCATGGATTAACGTTTTCCAGCTTATTCCAGTGTGTTTTCCCGGTTTGAGGGTCGAAGCCGTTGTATCCCATGCCGCAGAGAATGCAAGCTCCTTCAGTCAGCGCCCAAACGCCATAGTATTTGAACCGAGCGGTAAGGCCAAGCATGTGCAGGATGAAAACACGCTTCACAAATCCACATTCCAAGTAATCTTGGCTCAGAACCCGGGACTTGCCATACGACGGGCCAAACTGAATGAAAAGTAAAATCCAGAGTAACCCCTGCAGCATCTTCCACATTGCCGGACGACCACTCCGGGGTATCTTTCTCTTTTTCCGTGTCGGGGGTACCTTTGACGGGTCTACCCCAGGTGGGTGGTCGAACATAGTTGTTTCAATCCACCGTTTATACTCGACGTAATCAAACGCAGGTCCCGCGAAGAGCGAAGGGAAGAACAGCACGTAGCCCGCAAAATCCAGAACACTGGGCATTCTCCTAATAGCGGCATGTTTCTGGCCCTCCGAGAGCATATTCTCCGGCAAACGGCCGTCGTGCACATTCCAACAAAACGCACTGAGTTTCATCACCAGCACCATTTGCGCACCAGTGATGTCAACCGCGGAGGGTTCGGCCACGATTTGGCGGTATATATGGCTAATTGACATATACCCCATCAAGAAAAGAAAGCCTATCCATGGCATTAGGGATCCGTCAATGTAATATGCGATCGCGTATGCTCCCACTGCATTGTAGAGGAGGGTTCGGAGGCCGTCCCAGAGGTCGAAGAGGCCAACGAGGTAGAATATCGAGACAAGGACAATGAATGCGTTCTTTTGCCATGGCTGCGAGTCGGGGAGTCGTTTGAGAATCGCAGCGAGGGGGTATGAGAGAAGGAAGGAGGTTACCAGCTTTACTGTGAGATGTTAGACTGGAGGACGTGGTCGTATCAGCTTGGTTTTGACATACGCTCATCAATGGAGGCACCAGTAAGCTCAGAGAGCGGAATAAATGCTTTTATGGAGTGAATCTATTAGTATATCATCATTGTCTTTATTTTTTTTCAAAGGTAATTGCGAGTCGACTAACGAGTATCTATGTATGGCAGCATCTTGTGGGTGTTGTTGGACCTCAGCAATTATCCCAGGTAAGTCGGTGCAGCTAGGACCAGCTGCAACGTCAGACAAAAACGAAGGCTGGCAAGCTCATGTTTGAAAGGAACGAATGAATGAGCTTGATACCCTGTGTTGCTCTTAATGAAAAGGATAAATATGTTGGTTTGGAGCTCCTCAGTTCAAGAACAAATTTTTCTGTGGGGGTTAAACCTGGATGTCTTACAGCTGCACCAACAGCATCACGAGCAACCTGCAGAAAAGCTGTGTTCCTCCAGGCACAATACTATTTGGCAAAATCAGATATGGAGTATTGAGCTCATTGATATCAACACTACTTTCTGTGAATTAACATCCCTTTCTAGCTATAATTGTGATATTCCCCAAGCATATACAAAGTACTCCATACACACTTCAGCCATGAGAATGACCTTCAGAAGCTTCTGAAAATCATTCACGCAGTACTTAACAATACCACATTAAATAGTTATTTAAGAAAACTAGAGCTCATCTGATCCAGGGCCTTCGTCGTGCTGGTAAGAGGGCATTCAGCCAACTTCCTAGAATCCTGAATGATAGTGGGCGATAACCGATCTTCTCCAACCCTTTATATCTTTGTATCTCGTGCTCCCCTAAACCGCTACTTGCGTGAATGAAAGCCTGCATCTATTCTAGGAATGCAGAGTATAGAGAAGTGCATATGTACTCCATACAGAGTATGTCCTGTGGTCGCTATTCAAATAATGACGTACCGGTGGATTTCTGGAGGCCATTTACCATCACGTGATATAACTTTCAGCTGGGCTCTAAACGACCAGGAGCTGGCGCGAGCAAGAGGTGGGAAACAACAATCTCACCGGTCTTTTGTTATTGCTCTTCTCAAACCCAGGATTATCAGGGAACTTTATATCAGGATTGGCATTTGATTCTACTTTGTGCAAGGGAGTTGAATAGAAATCGCCGGAGATGGACGTTGTCGCCTCGGTCTCCGGATACATATCCAAGATGGTGTCCGCAGGCGACTCATCAACGCCCGGTTCCTCTGCTGCTAAAATGAAGATATTATTGCTTGATAGTGAGACCGTGGGAGGCATGACCTTCTATCCCTTATGACTTGGTCTAATCGATACACTAGGTACACATTGTATCCAGCGCCACGACCCAATCCGCCCTCCTTAACAATGAAGTCTATTTGATCGATCGCCTTGACAATCAGTCGCGGGAGAAGATGCGACATCTCAAATGCTTATGCTTTGTCAGACCGTCTCCGGACTCGATCCAGTATCTTATTGATGAATTGCGAGAGCCAAAGTACAGCGAGTACTATATCTACTTCAGCAACATCGTTCGCAAGTCCTCTCTCGAAAGACTTGCGGAGGCAGACGACCACGAGGTTGTAAAAGCGGTCCAAGAATATTTTGCAGATTTTTTGGTGATCAACCCGGATCTCTGCTCTTTGAATATCGGCTTCCCGAAGCAGAGGATATGGAGCCATACCCCTGACATGTGGAATTCAGATGCGCTGCAAAGAACAACAGAGGGCGTGATCGCGCTATTGTTGTCGCTTAAGCTGAAGCCTCTGCTTCGATATGAGAAGAATAGCTTAATTGCCAAAAAGCTTGCTACAGAAATTCGATACCAGCTCACCCAGGAAGAGCAACTCTTTAATTTCAGAAAGTCCGACACACCTCCAATCCTACTTGTATTAGATCGCAGAGACGACCCCATCACACCTCTTTTGAACCAATGGACATATCAAGCGATGGTACATGAACTGCTCGGTATTAATAACGGGAGGGTCGACTTAAGCGAGGTCCCAGATATTCGTCCAGAACTCAAGGAAATTGTTGTGTCTCAAGACCAAGACCCATTTTTCAAGAAGAATATGTACCTAAACTTTGGTGACCTTGGTGGAAGCATCAAAGATTATGTTGAGCAATATCAGTCGAAAACGAAAAACAATATGAGTATTGAGTCTATTGCCGACATGAAGCGCTTCGTCGAAGAATACCCGGAATTCCGGAAGTTGTCTGGGAATGTTAGCAAGCATGTCACACTTGTTGGAGAGCTGAGCAGGAAAGTCGGAGAACATAATCTGCTTGATGTCAGCGAATTGGAACAAAGTCTTGCATGCAATGATAATCATTCCAATGATCTCAAGGTTGGCAGTGACAGTATCCTTCTACTATACATCCTCGTGCAGGTATTAATTGTCTCCTCAGGCTCTCCAAAGACTCATCCAATCTCCGTCAGTTACAGTAGATAATAAGCTGCGTTTAGTCGCCCTCTATGCCATCCGATATGAGAAGCAGCCATCGAATGCTTTACCGGTACTCATTGATCTGCTCACTGCCGCCGGAGACGTCCCTCCTCACAGGATCAATATTATTCCAAAACTTCTAGCATATCACCACTCGCTTCAAGCTCCTCCGGTTGCGGGAGGATTTTCAGATCTATTCGAATCCGCTTCCTTCTTGACTGGGGCTCGTGATCGCTTCAAGGGCCTGAAAGGCGTCGAGAATGTATATACGCAGCATTCTCCGCGGTTGGAAGCCACTCTACAAAACCTCATTAAAGGACGGCTGAAAGAGCTGCAGTATCCCTTCCTTGAAGGTGGCGGCCACACTCGGGACAAGCCACAGGACATTGTCATCTTCATGGTCGGTGGAACAACCTATGAAGAGGCCAAGATGGTAGCCCAAGTGAATGCGAGCACACCCGGTGTTCGAGTCGTCCTCGCCGGGACATGCATTCACAACAGTACGACATTCTTAGAAGAGGTTGACGATGCCGTAGGGAATTGGCCGGAGCCGGCTCCTGCCACGGCAGCGGGGAGGTTACGAAGAGAAGTGAACCGATAGTTACCCTCAAGCTAAGGTTGCCAATGGGCTTTTTAGGCTATTAGGATTTCTCGGTGCATGCATGCGTTACTTTTTCCAGGGAGTTTTATGTCAATATTTGTATGACCGGGATCGTTAGAGACGAGGATATCATGAAATATACTTGCTGTTACTTATTGACAAGGAACAGCGGTGCTGTTGCATCTGAAACGTAGTTAAAAGTGCCCTGATATTCCACGTTGTTTTCCAGCACCTCCATAGTTTGTCCTCCACACATGAATTCATTGTGGGACCAAGAGCACTGTGCGGGGACCATTCTCTGCGAGCGCCTGAACTTCAACACGCCTCAATCTCAACCTTTAATCCGATCAAAATCGGAAAGCTTTCATCCCAGGTATCACAGCTATTTTTATCTATGGAAAATCATTCACAGGAGCCCAAACCCGCACCGTCTCCGCAAACTTCGCGGGATGCAGCGCTTCGACTTCCGCCAACAACCAACCCTCCGGGGCCACAGAACCCACCAAAACAGTTGGTCTGGCTGGTAGGTCGGCCCACCTTCGCTACGTAGTTCTTATAGCGATGTGCTCAATTCAATCCTAAATTATAGATATTCGGCGCAACGGGCCACATGGGCCGTTCCCTCGTGAAATCCGCCCTCGCTCACAATGACCTCGTCGCAGCGGTCGGCCGCACCTTTGAGAACTCGCCCGCCTACATGGCGCGTCTGCAGACCGAGAACAGAAACTGCCTTGGCCTGCTATGCGACGTTCGCGCTCGAGAGACCGTACAAGCCGCCATTGACCAGACAATCGCCCACTTCGGCCGGATCGACGTAATCGCCAACTGCTCTGGGTACGGCGTCATTGGGGCGTGTGAAGACCAGGAGGAATATGACATACGAAATCAATTTGAAACCAATTTCATGGGCACATTGAACATTGTGCAGTGCTCGTTGCCGCATTTTCGAGAGCGCAGGGCCGGGCGGTATTTGATATTTAGTTCGACGTCTGGTGCACTGGGCGTGCCTGGCTTGGGACCATACTGTGCGTCGAAATATGCTGTGGAAGGGCTAATCGAAAGTATGCTGTATGAGATTGATTGTTTCAATATTAAGGGCACATTGGTGGAACCGGGACATATTCGTCGCGATGACTTTGATAATTTACCTGGCATCCCCGTTCCGGAGACCTATTTGACTTCGCCGTTGCCTGCGTTTGGACACTTCTTGGTTAAGCCCGCCAGTGCTCCGTATAGTGGACCCACAGTACCGGCGTCTCATGCTAGAAGAATGATACAGTGGTTGGGCGATAAGCAACCTACGAGTGCGGTGAAGGCCGCAGAGTTAGTTTGGCAGTTGGGCCATTGTTCTTATCCACCGTTGAGATTACTATTGGGAACATACGCGGTGGAAAGTATTAGAGACCGACTGAAATGCATTACAGAGGAGATTGAGGATTGGAAACATCTGAGCTTTCCGTCAAGTGAATCACAGCCAGCCGGAGTGTCACAAGGAACTGAGAACAATGGGGAATCGGGCACCCAGAGTCTGGAGCCGAATATACAGAACATAGAGAACCAACCAGGTCCATCAGATGCCATCATGACGGAGTGAACAAGCGATTTCCCCGAAAATGTAATATATTTCCGGAAGTGGGATGCGAATGTCCTCCTCATCCACCTTGGCTTCACCACACACAAACAATCAAACTCAATGCGTGGTTTGGTCATTACGCGGGTCCAGAATTATTGGTGGCTGCACTTCCGCGACGCCGAGTGAACCAATCGGGAGTCTTTCTCTTAAACGTCTTCCCATGAGCAGCCCGCAGATACAACGAGAAAAGCTTGTCGGCAAAGTCATCTAGCGACTCATATTCCACTCCCAATCGGACCGCTGCCGCGATCCCAGTGATGCAAGCAGCCTCATGCATGTTCTAGCTGGCGTCAGAATCAGGCTCTCACCAAGTCATTGATAAAACAGGAAGCTTACGGCGAAAGTCCAAGCGCCTGCATATATGGTGTTGTTTTTCCCGTTGATATATCTCAAGTAAGGAAGCACCCTGATGTAATGCTTCCAACCCTGAGATGGCTGGTGTATCCACCTTCTTTCCAGCACCGCTTTATCGTCTATTTGGTCAATGGTCCAGATACCTTTCAGGTTTTCGCCCAGAAATCGACTTTGAAACACATGGCGTTCAAGTGGAATCGGCGGCGTGCCGGAGCCAGGTTCCGGGAGGAACTGATACTGGAAATTCGAATAGTCGAATGCCAGTTCGTTCTTACCTGGCCTTGAGTGATAGGAGAATGTGCAATATGACGGACGGAAGCCGGATTGGATGCCGGCCTCCCCCTTTGCAAATTTGATTTGTTCCTCCTGCTCCTTTGTGCGAGGCTTTGCACAGAGCTCCTCTTTGAACCGGGGTTCATACCTATTCTCAAAGTAATTATGGTCACAATGTGTTATTGTGATGTCGTCGTAATATTTTACGCCACCAAGTATCCATTTTTCTCTCCATGTGGCTGTTTCTCCGAGAATCCGCTTCGCCTCGTCTCCGGGGACACATAGGACTAGCTTGTCGAACTCTTCTGTCATGCTTCGATCATGAAAGCTGCCTTCTGTTACCCGAGCGTCCTCGTCCATTTGTCGAGTTTCCACGATAATCCCACGCTCATTCCGTTGGATAATCTTGACTGCCTGTGTATTAAGGCGAATGGTGACGCCCTTCGCCCGAAGCCCGGAGGCCCAGTCCATATAGAAACGGGTCATATTCGGGAATGCGAACATTGGCGGACGTGCGGGCATGAACCCAACAGGGTCGTAGTCCCAGATTTTCATTTCCGGATCTTCAAACAACCGTACAAGAATACCACATGGGACATCTTCCGCCTCGTTTCCGATTCCCATCAGCAGGGACGTTATTGGATAGACGATCCTGTAACCGAACTCTCTACTGAGACCGAAGAGCCAAAGAAATCTTTTCAGGGGGACTATCCAGAGTGGAAAAGGAAAATGGCGGACTGCTCTCAAAGCCCTCCCAAATTTCTCGATTTCGTGCTGGTGCTTTTGCAGGAGAGGGGTCGGGAACATATTCGTCCAGAATCCATCTTTCCCCTTTCCAAAGGAAAGCTGTATCCGCACCTCCTTAGGTTCATAGCCATACTCTCGAAAAAACTTATAGCTGTGCCGAAACATGCGAGTTCCTCCTTGCGCGCCTGTGTTTGCCCAGTCCGCTCCGAATTTCTCTCCGTCCACTGCTAAGGACATTGCCAGTCCGCCAGGTATTGAATTCTTTTCCAAAACGGTGACATCGAACCTTTCGGGCCTTTTTGCGAGCGTCGCGGCACATGCCTAGATAAACACGGTTATTGAAGTTTCCTTTGTAGCTTAAAGATGCGCATATCTCTCTTCACGACTGTATACTAGACGAAGGGCCCACTAATTCATACCATTCCTGCCGCTCCGGCACCGATTATCAAAACTCTCTGCTTACGGTGTTCAGGATTCGTGTTCCAGCCCATTGTCGCAGCACTGCAAATTAGGACGCATCACCTGTTGGTCCGGATGAAGGCGGATTTCGCATCCAATTTAGCGAGTTCGGGGGCGTTGTCGGGGGACGTTCAATTTAGAATGCAATCGAAAAGGCCGGCAGCTGCGTCGGGCCGACGGTTTGTCAGTTCTTCGGCAATCTTTGCGCTTTTTCACGTTACATCCGATTTTAATTTTTTAATCCTTTGCCGTTTACATCGCTTTCGCCCTGCTCGGGCGTGAACTGCTAACCAAGAATGACGTTATTGATCGCCGTTTGACTTTACGTCCTTGGTTAGTCATTCCTGAGAAGCTTTCTCTTGCCATATGACTCGAGAGTTAATTGAGGACCGTGGAATCGTGTCAGATTTGACCTCCGGACTGTGATATCGTGGCGATAGAACCTTTTTGGAGGATTTGAGGAACATTCGAGGTCCCGCCAGCGCTTCGATTAAGTTATTGAAAGGAACTGGGAATGATTTCTAAACGATGCGGTATCTAATCAACATCACAATGCATAGATAATACGAATACTGACGCTGTCTGGGGATTTAAAGGTTGATGGGGGCGCTGCGAAGGCGGATATGGTGTTGTTGTTCCGTGCTTGAACCCACCAGGTGGCCGATAACTAGCTAACTCCTGCCCGACCACCATAGTTAGAAATATAGCTGAAATATACCTGGGGTCTAGAGGCTTCAGATTAACCAGCCCCGGAATCCAAGACGAGATGGTATCCGGTTGAGGTTGTAATACTAATTAGGAGACTAGACAAGCGTAAAGTAGAGAATAAGCTTTGATTTATTGATTCTCATGCTGTAAGGTTTTTTGTTTTCTGTCCGGAAAACACCCATGAAAGTCCGATATGGTGTAGAGGTAACATCGCTGTCTCTCAAGGAAGGTCACAGCAGCCCCGGGTTCGATTCCCGGTGTCGGAACATCAAAATTATTCCCTTTTTTATTTTTTTTTTTTTGGCTCTCGTATATACATATATATATAAGCAGACAACAATGATAGACAGTGCTCCAAAGCATCACAACTCTCAGCTGCCTTCACCAGCCTTGTCAAACCCTGCTTCATCTGAGAACAAGCATCATGCTCGACCTGGTCAACACCATGAAATCCCATTTGAGGGCTTGCCATCCAAGGCAGCATGCTGTGGAGAGCAGACAAGGGCCTTGACAGTTAGTGCATCTAATACACTGACCGCCACGCCCAGCATTGCCTCAAGCAGGGACACCAGTACTGATTGTGAAGATCACATCTCTGTCCTCCCTGGTCTGAACTGGCAACCACAACATAAAAGAAAGCAACTGAGATCAAACTCACCCCCCCCCACCATGTACTTTACTCTCAAGTGAATACAGAATCCAACCAGTGTGATCAGCCACCTTCTGTTGCTGTGGTAATCCCAGTCCACTGATCAGCCAGCTTGATGACAGGAACTTCCAGGGACTCCCTTGTGCAGCCATCACACTGTTTTTACCAAGCCAGTGCAAGTTGCAATAGCAAAGAAGACCAGCCAACAGACAGCTTCACTGGAAACCATTCTCTGCTCACTAGAAAAGCTGCTGCTGATGGCGGGGAACATCTGCAGAAAAGATGTTGGCAGAACCTAATCTCAAAGACTGCTCAGAACACCTCAGTTTCCACCAGCTGTCACTCTAAAGGCTCTATAGCTATACTTGAGGCCCCATCTGGAGTTGACTTTCTCACTAGTCCTGGTGAGGCACAGGAGATTTTCGGCCACAGCATCATCTGTATTCAACCACATGGCCAGCAGCATGCATATTTCCTTACATTTCTTCCAGATGCCATTGATCATCTGCCATCCCACATCCAACCCCAGTCAGCCCCTGACCAGCCATTATTCACCAAACATGCTACCCACACCTCATCAAAAGCATGTGCAGTCAAGAAAGGAAATGTGCAGTTAGCCCATTGCCAGACCCAGAATCAGAGAGTCAGCCCCAAAACTCAGAATAATCATTCAACGCGCCACAAGAATTCTAGGAAAGGGAAGCCATGGTTACCAGAGGAAGAGGAACTCTTGATGGAGTTAAGAAGGAATTGGGGGCTTCCTTGGTCAACAGTGACCAGATTGTTCTTGGATCAATATCAGGGAAGAAGTCAAGGTTCTATTCAGGTATATTGGAGCACAAATCACAAGAGGCTACTATAATGGCTTCCCGCACACTGTTCTCTTCCCTCGTGTACCATTTTCTGACGTCAGTCGGAAACCAGGATGCTCGTGGGGATAAAAGATTGATTGACTGTGGGCAGGCAAGCATCCATGCATTGACATCAAGCAAATTCTCTGTAGCTCGTCAATGACAGCCAAGATGATCCTCAGGACGGGACTCCTGGGTTGGTTCCGGGCAACTAAAATACTCATAGCGTAGACAAGTGATCATTGTCATACAGAAGCTAAGGAGGGTCAGGAAAGGCCCGACAAGTACATAGACATAGAACAGATAGAGAGACTACATCATGCGCGACACAGTACAGAACTCACTACGCGGCAGCTTGGGGTTGTTCAGGTTATGAATTTTGCTGATCACACACTCTTTCTGCCTTGGGCATAAGGGTCCCTGCGGCCAGAGCAAACAGGGAAGCACTTCAGGGAAGAGATGCATTACTTCCTGAAAGCGAGGGGTGGGGATCTCTCTACTGAGAGCTACACTAAATGCCTGCCGCGAGTGCGGCTGGAAAAGACCATAAGTGAGTCAATCAATCAATCAATCAATCAATCAATCTGATTGGCTGCGGAAGCTGACCCACAAATCAGCACCGCAGTCGCGCTCACTGCGGTGGAAATCCAATTCATTGGCCCTGTTGAGTATCACGGTCGCTAAACCTTACAGCAGGGATCGGGAACGGATATATATGGGGCATCCCACACATGTAGAAGACAACTCTTCAGTCAATAATAAGAATCAATCTTACTATCACTTATCTCAGCAAAGATCCACTGGGCCCAGAAGATGCCCCCTGGGCAATGTCCACGCCCATTGGGCGCGGCACAGCAATTACCCATGCGGTTTGAAAATCGTAAATTGGGTCAAAATTTTGAAACAACCCAAGTGAAGATGGCAGACGCCAGTTGATGGAATTGGGTAAAATTCAGCTGAGACACTCCGCTAACAACATCAAGTAAAACAAACTACCCTTTCAACCCACTCAAGCATCCGTTAGCCGCAGATTTCGAGACCCAATGTCAATTTCGAGCACGCTCGGCTCATTTAAGGCGAAGAAATGGATGCTTCATCAGTTCCCCCGCTGTCTTTCGCTCCTCTGGGATCCACGAAAGCATCATCTTTACAAACGACAGGAAATTTTCTCTGTCACTCTCTTCAAGAGAGGGAATGGTGTCTGCCAGTGTTCGATTGGGAATCAAGTCATCATGCAAAAACTTGCCTGTTATGACTAGTTAGTCGGGCGATTGGCTCGCATATGTCATGCAGGGTCCTCAAATACCATCTTTACTAAAAAAAGGGCCACCGAAATATTGTTCAGAATTCTCACAGACATTCCCATCATCCTTCCTTACCGGCTCAGGAAATTTGTAGCCCACCGTTGAGTAGGTCCTTGCGATTAGTCCAGGGGGAGGAGGACCGAGCAGGGCAATCATTTCGGCGAGATGGGCTTTAGCATCATAATGGCCTTGTTTATCGTAAACCTGGTGGAAAAGCTCTTGTCCCTGCATGATATCCCAAATCTGGACTGATGTTAGTTACATAATGAATCCAAGTTCGGAACCATATCGCGCACGAGAATACCCAGGTTCCAAATATCCGCGCTTGTTCTCCACCCACAACCAAGAATAACCTCCGGTGCGCGGTAGTGGTCTGGCTGGATAGGGTAAATACCACAGTCATCGCAATCGAGTCTTGTGGCTAGCCCAAAGTCAACGATTTTCGGTATTATATTGTTGATCTTCCTCAGTGGCCCGAAGTCATTGTGACAGCGATAAACTGGTCGGCCTGTGGAGTCAATTTTATAATGCATTGGTTGATCTAACTGAGAGTTCATGAAATCACCAAGCACAGCCGAATCCTCAAATGTAACCATGATATTCTCAAGTTTCAAATCTAAAGTTATAATGTTAGCCAATTATTATCCAAATAAGCCAATTCTGCCAGAATACAGACCAGTGTGGACAACTCTACATGCCTCATGAAGATAATCAAGGCCTGCCAGAAGAAAGAGTATGTACGTCTTGACAATTGGAAGGGGGATCCTCCCATCTTTAAAACGCCTCTGGAAAAGCCATATTGGCTCTCTCATGGGCTCGTACGCAAGACATAAATGTGCTCCTTCTGGGCTGCTGACCTCAAACCAATCTAAGGATGTTCGAAAAAGTGGATAGCCACGATGGGATGGATCTGTCCCAGAAATATGCGCTTCAATTTCAAGTTCATCCTTGGCAGAACTCTTGTTGGTGTTGGTTATCTTCAGTGCTACAACACTTTCAGGTTCTGATTCGCCACTATATAGCTCATTAGCAACGGGCAGCGGCTATTATAGTGGACAATGATACCCCCGCATATCACGGGCAAGCCATACAGTCGAGGACACTCCCCAGCCAACCTTTACAAGGATTTGATACCGATTGGCTAGTACCTCCCCAGGACTTGCCGGGTAGAATTTCTTGGAATTATAGCCTGGACAGATCTCTTCATCGACAGGTTCATCTTGATGTAAAAGAGGTCCTGGAAGAGGGGGCGGAAGAGGTTTCCTGCGAAATGAGGAAAACAAGCGCGCCATCGTACTTCTTACTGATCTTGCTGCAGGTTGCATTTCAGTGTGGTCGCTCATCAAATAGAGGTGGAGCCAAACATAACAACGTCTAGGTCAGAAAAGCGAAGAGGCGGTTGAAGAGGCCGAACTGGAACTCTGGGGGTTAAATAGCCAGGCCCATTTGAAGTGAAGCCATTTTCGGCTCCCTCATACAGCTTCTGGTTGGAGGGACGGTGCTGAAAGACCGACGCTGGAAGTCGATGAAACGCCCACGATCGTGGGGCGCTGAGGGCGAGTTTGACTGGTGCGTCGTGGCAGCGAGGATGGGAGCGTTGTGGAAGGGCAAAGTCACGTGTTACGAAATGACGGCCGAAAATGGCGTCGAATGCGGCCGAAAATGGCATACATTTGGTAAGTCAAAATTGTCAGTTAGAAGAACAAAAAAAAAAAGACAACAAGGAAGAGAAAGAAAGCCCTTCAGTTCATGGCGATTCCGACACCGGGAATCGAACCCGGGGCTGCTGTGACCTTCTTGAGAGACAGCGATGTTACCTCTACACCATATCGGATATTGACGGCAAACGAAAATGTTTGCTCCCACTAGCCTTTTATTTTCTTTTTCATGTCGAAAGCATAGGTATTCTGGGCTAGGAAGTGGAGACACGCTAAACGCAACTACGTCATTTTGTCTCCATGGATATTGACCTGCGGAGAGCATCACCATCGCGATTGATATTTCTATAGCTGCACAGCCGTGGCTGCATAAGCAGGAGAGCGGCGAACAATAATGTCTTCAGACTCAGAATACGCTTCTGGCTCTGAGACGGAGTCCGCGCCTTGCTTCGACCCAGAATCGCAGCCGTACTACCGGCAGATCCTCAAGTTCCTACCATCCGAGTTTCTCAAGTACAACGAAGAAAAGCATTCTATCAGCTCCAAGGCTCAGTGGTTTCGGCCCCACGCGTCCCGGTTGTCGATAAGCACTCGCTAGTCGTCCATATCGACGGCGCTTGTCGCAACAATGGGAAGCCGAATGCCCGCGCAGCGTATGGCATATATTTCGGTGTCGGAGTCAGAGTTAGAGTATTCCGTGACAGTATCAGGCCCGGCATCATCACTGTACCCTTGCGCACCGATGTCCAAGGCCTCAGGTTTAGGAATGCCATTGTCACCGTCATCGTTATCCTGTTGCACGTTTGAGGGAAGCGCAAATAGTGCCAACTGCTTCTGATGCTTCGCAAGGTGTCGGCGGAATTGCAGGTAAAGAGCGAGCTCCTGTTGCACAGGGAACACTATACCATACTATCGGGACTCCATTGTCTTTCCTGCATTTTTATCAAAGCAGTCAATTGACTAGGTTGAGACGTATTTTTATAACTCTGCCGAAGTTGCTCCCGGAACGCTGATTCTGATGTAAAAGCTTTATGACTGCATTCCATACATTCCCAATTGCGCATATGCACCTGTTTTCATGCTCAAACCACTCATTCCGGTGCGCAAATAACCGATCAGGGGTTGCGCAGTCTTCAAACGTACATACATATGGATGGAGATCCCTGTATACATGTTCCCTATACTTCCATTAGTGCCTTACTCCAATTCCACTTTGGTATCAACTTACCGCCAAGAATGATGGTCACGGGCGGCAACTATCATAAAACATAGAGGGCACTCGGATGGCTTGCCATTCTTCGCTTCTTCAGGTAGTGGCGATGGACGCAGTTTGACTGGATTAACAGATGTTGCAGTGGAAGCAAAGGAGCTCGCAGTTTCTGAGCAAGCATCGTCTGGAAATTACTCAAGTCAATCCCTTCCACGTTAGGAAGACCAAACGCAGCTGTACTTTGCTGAGCAATCTCAGTCGAGTCTTGTTCGGCATCATGGTCGGGATGCATGCCATGGGATAACTTCTTGTGGTGTGATTCGCGATACTTCAAATACTGACGGCGCCGAGAGATGGCTCTTCCCAGCCGGGAGGCTAGAAACTGGCTAGCATCCGGAAATTTTTCACGGACATGCATGGTGTCATATGTTTCGTAGAAAGAGGTGTCGTTATCGACGGAGCTCATGATCCGATCGTGGGGAAGCGGGGTTGCGTATGGCCATGGAAAGCCGCAGTAGACATGTCACAATCTCTACCACGCTAGACATTAATTGTTTTAGCTTCGTAGATGCTTCTGGTTCCTGTTTAGTCGAGGAACACGTCGACTGTGTGTCTGCAATGTCGTCCTCATCTAGCGAATCACCATCATCATCTGACGAAAGGCAGTCCCATGGGACCTTATCGCCACGGACAATTGCGGTCACTATTATTTGGAGTGAGCCAGGTGTCAACGCAGTAATAGCTATATAGCTTCCAAGACCAACTCACTACCTCCTAGCAACTCAAACAAGTCCCAAGAAGTGATAGCACTCTCTGTCGGACATGTGATGCATCTCGTAGCCTGTAGTTCAGTTAACTTCGCCCTACCCTATGGGCGGCAATATTGCCAGACCATATCCTGAAGCGGCCCAGTTCGTCTCGAACGTCGGCGAGCTGGACCTGATCTTGGAATGGACTCGGCTCCAAATCAGCGCACAGCAACGAAAAAGACACCAGACAGCGCTGCACATGGAAAGCGATACTCCCGGCACTTGGCGTGCGGGTCGTTGCTGAAGATTCGGTCATATCTGCAGACATGCAGCGAAGAAATTATTTATATCGCGGTGATCAATATCTATAACGCCTGGAGAATGATGGCAGTATCACTTTCATCGACAACGACAGCAAGCAGATACATGTCTCGGCTCCACACATTGCCATATTCACGGCTGGCAACATAACATCACGAAGTTTACGGCACTCGATGGCCGAACCCCGCCAACAAGGCTGGCCATGGATGCATCGCACGCACCCAGTCATGATTGATCTAACTTGATGGCGGGGTTACATGGATTCTTTTTCCGCCACTCGCATTCGTAGCCCCAGTGCTTCGCTGCTCGATTGAGCTTCGAAAGAGACTTTAAAACGCATCCGCTCTTCTCCCCTTTCGAACGTTGGATTACACTAATACCTTGGCCAGGGAGCCATTCAGCTGGCTCTGAGAGGCCAGGCTCCTTTCAAACCTTGCTCCTTTATTTTCAGATATCATCAATACTCCCGTGATGCCCTTGACGGATTCGCCAATGCGATAGGTAGGTAGGCTTTCCTTGCTTTGCCCAGGACTTCAACTGATAATTTGTTGAAAATGTTCCAGGAACTACGGCGTACTCTGTACTCCGTACCTTGATAACTTAGTTATAAATTATAGTTAATTAAGTCCGCTAACTAACTTAGTTAAGGTAGTTCACCACTAAACGAGCCACACCACTAAACGAGCCAAATTTCGCCAAATGCTCCACGCAACGAATTTATTAAATATCTCAACAACCAGATCTTTATTATTAAATAGCTATTAAATATTAAATAAATGTATTCTTTAAAGCATAGAAATTAGTATAGTTAGGAAAATAAACGGGTGGACGGCCTAATATTACGGCCAGAGCGAGAGATTCGGGGGGTAGATAGGAAAGAATTCAAAGGAATGTCAACAGTAGATTTCTCGGCTAGGGAGCCTAATGCCTTGCTAGGGATGCTTGTAGAGCTCTTACTTCCCCTTTTGGAAGGTTGTATAGGCTCTCCGCGATGAGGCTCTTTAGTAGGGGAGTCCTTCCGACGGCGCTTTGAAGCCGGCGCTTGAAGCCCTGACTGCCAGCATTTATTAGCACGTTCAACCGCCTGTTTTTCCTTCTCTGCTAGTCGTAAAGTCTTCTTCTCCTCACAAGCAACACGTTGTGCCTCTCTTTGTCTAGCATGTTTGATTTTTTCGGCCTCTTGTTGCTCCCAGGCCTTTTTACGGGCATCCTCCTGTTCAATCTGCCTTTTTTCAACATCCCTAGCAGCCTGCTCCTTTTGAAGCTCCTGTTGAAGTTTTGCCTCTTGTGTTTGAGCAATTTTATCAGCTTTTTCAGCCTCTATTTCATCCAGGCGCTCGCGTGCCTTAAGAACTTTTGTTGGAGACCAGAACTGCGCTTGACTAGGATTATCCCTATTGAGTAGGCCTAGGGGCTTGCCTCGCTTGCGGTGTTGCTTCTCCATCACTAGAGTTGATCTTAGCCGCTGATTCTCATGTTCCAGCAGTTCATTATGAAGAGCAAACTGCTCACTGGCTTGGATAACCTGTCCAATGCTCTGTGAATTTAGGCTGTGCCGGAGATGTATACCCTTGATCTCTTGTCGGAGCTGGTGCATATTGCTAGGAATAGGAGGTTTAACTGGCAGTGTAGAGGCTTGAGCAGTTTCAAATTGGTGTAGTTGATGTTGAGGATCCAGAGGATTAATCCCAGTCTTTGCAAAGCCAGCAAGTATATTTTCAACTGTCAAAGCCTTCTTCCAAGCCACATTGAATAGTCTCCAGAAATCCCTTTTTGTCATTTGAATATAGCCCATTCCTTGATGTAGTAGTGCTTCCAGCTCATTGGAATATGCCTTGCCCAGCGGCCCAAAGATTCCAACATCAAGAGGTTGCAAACAGTGGGTTGAATGCGGCGGGAGGATCATAAGGAGGATCTTTTCACAGTCAGTGTATTTGATAAATTTCATATTTATATGGGAGGAATGGCCATCTAGTAGAAGCAGATGTCTTTCTTGACCAGCTTGTTCCTTAGTATGCTGATTGAAAACCTGTTTCAACCACTCCAGTCCATATTCATCATTGCTCCAACCATTTGTTGAAGCTGCAAAGTAGGCCCATTTGCTTCCATCATAATCATCTAGCCATGTATCCTGGAGATCTTGTGATTTGCCCTGGTAAATAAGAGCTGGAGGTAGTGCAATTCCTTCAGCAGAGACTGAGCAGAGCAATGAGAGGAATTCCTGACTACCATCCTGGGTGGTGGCATTCTTTCCAGCTTGTAGGGCTTCAATAGAGACTAATTGCTTTGAGGCATGGCAGGAGCCTAGGAGGAATCCTTTTTCATCAAAGTTGTAGATGTTTGAGGGCTCAAGATTATATTGATCAATTTTCTGCTCCAACTACTCCATAAGTAGTAGTCAAATAGTTAGCCAGCATCAACAACTGTAATTGCAAGTAATCAAATAAATCATCAAATTACAAGCATATAGAAGTGCTTAAAGCACTGATAGTTATCTGCTACCTGCCTATTTTGATCAATTGCTTTGAGATAAATGCATTTGATCTTGTCATTATGCCGCTCGCGAAATCAATTAACCCAGTTGATCCCAACATCCTCTCCTGTCATCTCTTGTATGATATTTTGTAGGATCTGAGGTGTAATGGCAAGGCCGCGGCTAGAGAGCTTGTTTATATAATTCAGGAGCTCTGCCTCCTGTATATCAGAGAGCTTTTTCTTATATCAGGAGGCTGCTTCATCCTGAGCAAGTTGCAAGCCTTTATGCCATTGGCGCAGGGTCTCTTGGTTAACTGAGTACTTTCTCGCGGTTGCAGCATAATTTGGGGTCTCTTGTGATTCAAGATCTTCAATTGCAAGCCTAATTGAGGCGTTGTTGACCATGTTGTCGCATATTGAATGTTGAACGTTGGAGGAATTTTGGTGGTGGAAGATTTGGCTCGTTTAGTGGTGTGGCTCGCTTAGTGGTGAACTACCTTATATATCACGTGATCTTCGGTCTCGCGCGGCGAGGATGCCGTGATAACGTCAAGACAATGAAGCGCTGCTGGAACAGTGTATTACCCTGACTACCAGGCGGCGACAAGCTTATATGAAGCTTCCAACCCATAGTCGCTTGTTTACGCGTTTAGCCGTCTATGTTTCGAGATCGCGTCTTGCCCTGAGGTCATATTCATTATACGCCTTGGAGCCATATTCCAGAATGGATGGCTATTATGACGACGAGGAAGCTATCAATGCTGCTTTAGTTGCTTCTTTAAATGATTCCATCAAACCACACTCCAAATCTTTGGCTATGGAGAGGGACGTGGTGGATCTTACTGGTGATCCAGAGGGCAATTCTCCCAATGATGCCGTAGAGGATTCAGTAAGCTCGGTTGACGATCCAGACCTGCGAAGGGCAATTGCGCTATCATTGCAGGATCAAGCTCCCGTACTATCACCACCTCAACGTCACCATGCCAGAGAAGTCCAACGAGAGAATCACGTTATAAGTGAAGACAATAAGGGCTTCAGTCCTTCATCGAAAGAGCACTCCTCCGGGGCTTTCTCTCTTCGTGGGATGGATCGAAAAAAGCAGGAAGAAGAAAGACTTGCGAGGCTGGCAAAGAAGAGAAAAGCGGAGGATGTCTCTTTGGCAGAATCACCGGCAAGACAAGCCAAAGTGGTGAAATCTGCGCCAATCGACCTGACTGAAGAATCTAACCAACAGAACCATGCTAAAGCGGTGGCAGCATCAAAGCCACTTGCTTCAAATACACCTGATCCTTCCTTACAGTTTCCCAACGGTGCCATAAAGAAGACGTGGGCCTTCAACTATCCGCGAGAGGACGATATCAAATTTGAAGAGGTAGTCCAGAAAGATGATCTTGAACTTGCAGTTCTGAGCTCATTTCAATGGAATATGGATTGGCTATTTACAAAGTTCAATGTTAAGAAAACTAGATTTCTTCTCGTTATGGGACATAAGTATGAGGAAGAGGTAAGATGCCTACTCACTGGACACTCCCTCATGATATTTCCCTGCTGATGGCATATCACTAGAAACAACAAACACAAAAGGACTTCGCAGATATCCCCAGTATTCGCCTGTGCTTTGTGCCGATGGGTCCACAGGTTAATTGTATGCATTCAAAGCTAATGCTTCTATTTCACCCTAACCATCTACGACTTGTTGTTCCCAGTGCCAACCTGGTGCCGTATGATTGGGGAGAGCAAGGTGGTATTATAGAAAATGTAATTGCTAGGATATCCAGCATTGTCTTTGGTTGTTGGCTCTTGCTAACAACGTGACAGCTTCTATTCCTCATAGATCTCCCTCGAAAAATTCTGGGCTCCCAGGAGAAGACGTCGACGCCTTTCTTTGATGAATTAGTCTACTTTCTAAAGGCATCAGCCTTACACGAAAAAATCATTGCAAAGCTTTCCGAATTTGATTTTGGCAAGACGGCAGGTTTTGCGTTCGTCCACACAATGTGAGCCTCTGCTGTCTCCTTCCCGCTCTTTTTACTAACACCCAACAGAGGCGGCTCCCATACGGGGTCAGATTGGGGCAAAACCGGAGTCTGTGGGCTAGGAAAAGCAGTTACAATGCTGGGACTCCAAACGCCCCAACCCCTGAAGTTGGATTATGTTGTAAGCAATGCGGTAATCGATTGAATTGCTTTTGACCACTGATCTATCTACAGACATCGTCTTTGGGCTCATTGAACGATCAATTTATGCGAAGCATGTATCTGGCTGCTCAAGGTGATTGACCACCTGCTCCTTCGCTGGTTTTCAGCTAAGAGCCCTATAATCTGACATGGAGGCTAGGTGATAATGGGCTAAAAGAGCTCACTTTACGCACGTCTAAGACGTTTCCAAGCGATAAATGGGGCGTCACCGTAAAAAAGGCGGACGGCGCAGAATGGAAAGATAGGTTCCTTATTTACTTCCCATCGTTAAAAACGGTGCAAGGGTCCAGGGCCCGTCCATCAGGCGCTGGCACCATTTGCTTCCAATCAAAGTGGTATAACCGGGCGGAATTTCCACGCCATACATTAAGAGATAGCTTGAGCCGCCGACACGGCATTTTGATGCATAGCAAGGTACATCTTAAGTTCTTTGCAGAATTTATAGTTCTTGTCTCCTTGCTAAACGGTACTTCTAGACAATCTTTGTGAGGCCAGACAATGGTAAAATCATTGGTGACGCAAATACAACTGCATATCAGGGCTGGACATACGTCGGAAGTGCGAACTTATCAGAGAGCGCATGGTAAGTCAGCCCTATTTTAGGTTAACCGTCACGTTTCCACTGTCATTTTACTATTCCTAACGACTCTACCATTATTTCAGGGGCCGCCTAGTTATTGACCGTTCAACCACCAAGCCTAAACTCAATTGCAGGAATTGGGAATGCGGTGTCATAATTCCGATTCGAGATGGGAAGCCAAGTACAACTGAAGAGGATGTCAGGCAGAGTAGTGATGATGATATCGATAGAATATTCGGGGGCATTGTACCGGTTCCGATGAAAGTCCCTGCACCTAAGTATGGTCCTGGCAATGGACCGTGGTTTTATCTTGAGGATTTCCAAGTTGAGTAGAGTTATACCCAGCACTGAGATAATATTTGAGTGCTTAATATGGAACTGGACTTGCGCAAGAGCCTCGCCATTGCAGAACGTCTTCCTCACATTTCCTCTCCCTGTCCTCACTCATCCTCGCCATCTACCAGAGCTTGACTCGTTTGTGTCACTGTCTAAATTCATTCACTGTCCCACTCTACTTTGTTGCTCGGCAGAGAACGCCTCTGCTGCTAGGCAAATAAGAGCATTATTATAACACAATTTAGGTCTCCTATATCTTCTCTGCCATATTCACCTCATGAACTCTACATAATTACCAAGAAATACGTCCTCAAAGAAGTAGACGGGAGGGCCAGAGAACCCGGATTTGATCCCGATAAATCTCGGGAAGGAATCCAATACTCAAGGGATTACGGTTTGTGTGGGAAATCTTGAAGGAGGCAGTGATTCCTTTAGACATCAGTGTTTTCTGGATCGAGCCGTTGGCGTGTAGCTACAACCAAAAGTATTGTGACTGACGTCTTGGATGAGCGGATCAAGCAAAGTTTCATCATCTATATCAGTAAGAATATGAAGGAAATGACTTGCAAGGAATAGAGACTGAAACCTTCCTTTATCTCGCAAGAATGGAGGAGGTTGACACATAATAGGCTTTCAGGCTGGTAAAAAAGCGTCCGGGTTCAACGTTGAGGAGACCAACACGGAGCAGGGAAAGCCCAACAGGAAGCTGGACATCAAGCTCGGCAACGGTATGTGTGCAAAGCGAATCCAAAGCCTGCTAATCAGGGATGACAGGTTGCTTCTGTCCAAAGCACGTAGTAGTCATAGCGAGGTGTAGCTCGAATGTTCTCCGTCCTTTGTTAGCTGAAGTCTGGGTCATGTAGCTATCGGCATAACGTCAAGTATTGTGACGAACTGCTCTGTTCCTCGCGGCCATATATGCTGTAGATGATACAGTCAATTGATTGTGGCGGTTCCTCCAAGAGCGCTGGTAAGTCACTTCACCACAGCTTCATACGGCCACACGCTCTTCCGTCTGTACGCGTATATCATCCCTCAACAAAGACGGGATTTCAAATTCCGAAAGCCCATTACTCCGGTGAATAGAAGCGGGAGTTCGCGGGTTAACGTCAGGAGAGCCTGCATCCTTTCCTGCTGTTACCCCCCCTCTTTTTCTTTTTCTTTTTTTTTTTTTGTATGCCAGCACCTTGGATGAATGCAGAATTCCCCCTCCTTTTAGCCGCGCTACTCATGCTGAAGAATAGGAGATAGCCGATGTGCGGATCGGCGACCACTGGTTGGAATGCGACGCTTTAATTTCCTAGCATGAAGGGTGCAGGCATACCCTTGAACACCATTTCAATGAGTGCTGCGTGAGGGACAGAGTTTGGACAATTGGATTGATATTCCGAAAGTGTTGGGGCATCCGCTCGACAGGGGCTAACCATCAACTGTGCACCAAACTCGCTGGATATTGTTGTCAGCCCTTTTGGCTTTCGTTTGGAGCTGTACACTTTAGAAAGGACTACAGAGCAATGACATCCCCAAAAAATTGAAGATTTGACCTAGGCGAGTAGAATCAATCATATATTCCGTACTCTGGACGCATAAGTACGAACAAGCCCTCTTTGAGAAACGCTGGTGTGCCACGAGGATCCAAGAGATGACTGATCCATTTCGTCATCGACCCGAAAACTACTCTTGATTGCAGTATGGCCCGGCTCGGGGGATAGTCGGGCGCCCTACGGGAGTTCTCCATCGAGCCCAAGAGTAATTATTGTTGCAGCCCCTCCAGACACGCGGAACGTCGATTCTCGCCTGCACCACATTTCAATATGATAGGTCATCCTTGAGGGCTTGCACACATCAGAAATATGACGGTCACGGGAGGATTATTAGGATATTCTCTAATAGGTATGAAACATATCTGTGGACAATATGAAAACATGCCGCTTTTCTCCCGCAGTCCAACTCCAGCCTCCACGGTAGAAGATGCCTTTGAAAGAGACAGGTTGCTGATCTCTTGAGACCAAACAGGGAGGATAGGTCAGATACGTACTCCGTACTGCTCACTTGATTTGATACGCAGGCTCAACTCCGACATGGCGGCCATTTTCATGCTTCCATCAGCTCCACTGTCGTATAGAGTCATCGCAATTGCCCAGGTGAATCAATAGCGAGAGTGGACTCGTCTTTCAAAACTTTGCGAAGCAAATCTGCCGTTGGGGGAGGGAAAATAAAGGAGCAGATCAAATGAAGTCTGTACTCCGCACTCCACATGTACGTGAGAATACGGCCAACAAAGCATATTTAGAGTAAGCTTAATGTTGATTGCTTGGTTCGACGTGCATTCATACATTATGCATACATATGTAGCCGCTCAGGTGGTTTAAGCTTCAATCAATCAGAGTTCAACTTATCCTGTCCACTTCGATTTGTGCATATGCGGAGCCTTGAAAATATGACCTGTCAACCCGATAATTCCTTCAGCTTGCCCTATGCGCACGCACAATAGCATCAGGTTCTGGCCCAAGACATGCTGACGTATTTTATTTGGGACCACTTGGCCCAGACTCTGTACGGAGTCGGAGGCGTGGACGATATTCTCGAGGCGTGCAGCTGGTTCAGTTTCAAAATGCTCCATTGCTCTCTTCTCCTTCATATCCCGCATATCATACTTGTCAATTTTTGAACAGCACGCTGACTGGAGGGGTGGAATGGTGGTTTCATTCCTTGTCTAAAAAATATTGGTGAAAGGACCAATCTTGTGTGACGATACGTACCCGGCCACTTGGTCGCAACGGTGAAATCCAGGTCACTAGCAAGATGTCCGAATAAAGGAAAATCGAAAGAATGGCATGCGTCGGCGGTCGCAAAAGCCAACCGAGATAGTGGCATCCAACAAAAATGACAAAAAAAGAATTCGGAAGATGGAGCAGGAGAACTCGGAACATTTACCAAGCAACCCAAACGCTAGCAAGACAGCGAATCAGCAAGCAAGCACCCCGAATCTTTTTGCTCCTCGCCAAACCCTTCTGGAGAGAATATTATCTCTGCATGTGAATCTCCTGAGGAATCCTTGCACCATCATGGGCTAAAGAAAACGCTCATGCAGGGGCAGAAGTTTGTCTCCCTTGAGACTTTTACGGGGCACAAGGAGAGTAGAACCGGAGTGGACGGAGGACGAAGGACACATTTTTCCCTCCCTCCAGACGGCAGGATTGGGTGTTTTAGCGTATTCATGGAAAGAAGGGATATTTGTGTGGCTTGGACTCAACCACTGATCAGAAGAGTCAAAGAGCCATGTGTTACACGGCGGAACCCGATTCCGGAGAAATGGTCGCCTGATGATACTTCTCCCCGTTTAGCGTACTCTACACGGTCCTTGCATACCTGGCAGAATTTAATCCAGGACTGAAAGGCCGTAGTGACGATATGGAGTGTGTACTTGCTCTGCATCTGCAGCTCCTGCAGCGTTCATTAGTTTTCCAGGTAATTAGTTTGTAGTTCCCTTCCTCGAGCCTGGAACTGGCTGGAGACGACATCCTGGGATTCAAATGATAGGAGTTCGTCTCTAGCATGAGAAGAATGGACCTCGGGAAAATGGGATAGTCAGCAGCATACGGCACTAGACGGAACGAAGGGCGGGGATCGATATATTTAGATGGTTTCATTCAAGGTGTCTTCCCTGTCGGCAGGGATATAGGGTTAATCGTCTCAAATGTGAAACTCGCCCTTGTCCACCAGCATGCATTCCTGCGAGGCAACTTGTGGAGAGGTCTCGCTGTGGCTCTCTTCACCCATGTTTTATTCCGTACTCCGTACTCCGTACTCAAGAGAGAGTTCGTCTTCCACTGGAGGACATGATCGACATTCGAGTCGCAAAACAAAGTGGACTAACACAGCCGGGTAGCTCGCTATTCCGTACTTAGTTATTGACTGCCATGCTTATTACCGGGAGGGACGAAAGGGAATTTTTCCGTGTGTACTCCGTATGTTGAGAGAACCAAGTATTTGACGAACCGCACTGTGGTTAGGCAGCCCGGAAGAAAGAGAATCAAACTGCAGAGCGACGAAGTTGCCCTATTCCCAACAGAGTGGTTATGGTTATGATTTTGAATTCGAGCCGATCAAGCTTGCTTAGCACCTCCTCGATACGATCGCTCTCATGGCTCCTAAGTCACCCTGAGAGCAAACCCACAGGCGCTTGGTCAGCTTTCTCCGAACTCGTGTCGCTGGCATGGTAGGTAGTACTAAATAACTGGTTATAATTGCTTTTCCTTGCCGGGCTGCCGGTTGGGCCGATCAACGACCAGTGAGCAGCGGCACTTGCCTTCAGATGCCTTTCCAGGCCCGGCTGATGATGAATCGGCTCGAAGAGTGGAAATTTGCGGGCTTTTTTGGGATGTTCATTCATCATGGGGCTTGATCGCCGAAACCATTTGATAGAGAAAGATCAGAGATAGTCTTATCGTTAGGAAGACCACCACCTGCTATTAATAGCCACCAGAGGGTTTCACTTTGACCTACAAAGGACTGCTTCCACGTGGGTATTGAGTTTGTTTGGATCGAGGTCGGTGGCTTTCGATATCCATCGATATCGAGACCAGGGAGAATCTCGTTTGTGCCAAGGACGCTTTGATCAGAAACGGAGAGAAAGAGTTAAGTAACAGTAATATCTCTCCCGTGTCCATGCCACCAAGCCATCATTTTGCAAATTCCATCAGAATTAACGTTGAAACAAGGGCGGCCGTTGAAAAAGAATCCGAAGGTTACAGCCGCGCTCATCCCCAAGGCTACTCCGTACATCGCATCATTCCTGTGGATCTTTTACACACCGGCCCCGCTGCAAACGCGAGTGCAGGCGTGCAGAGGATGTAATATTATAGCAACGCAGCCCGTAGTACGAAGAACACTTGACTTGAACCTAACCGTGTCTCGTGATCACTTTGTTTGGGGCCTCTTCCAGGCTCAGCTTGGCCGGATGGAAATGAAGAGATCTGAACTCCGGGCGGAGAACATACTTACTTAACCCCTTGATGTCACGGCTCGGCTAACTAATTACTTGTGCTGTTTGTCCCGTGGAAATCGTGAAATTACGGAACAGAGAAGACAAGGTGCGTGGAAGGAAAAACACAGCGCAGAGCGGTTCTCTTTTTTCGTGGGCGCTTTTGCGGAATGTCCGGATGCATATGTATGCACGTGTACTCCGTACTCCGTCCCAACTCCGTAAATATGAGGTCTCAAATTTGTCTGGCGTGGCGATGGGGTTCGGGTTGGGGTCTACTGTTAATCATTGGTTGGGCAAGATAACAAAAAGAAGCGCGCCCTACCTTCGTCTCGCTCGGGTGAATGGGTTACCAAAGCACAATGTTACCCGAATTTCCTTGGATTCGTCGCGACTGTGGACAAGAATCATGCTTAATTTTAGGCTTGTTTTTGTTTCCTCCCTGCATCCCTGCGCCTTTTCTTTCCTTTTTTTTTTTTTTGTTTTCGGTTGCATGGTGCAGCACGTCCTCTCTGACCGCCGTGTGGACCCGGCTTTCCATTTGTTACCATGGATCTGAGGGCTCAAATCTGTCCTCGGGGGTCTCTTGAATAGTAATTGTATAAGCTTCTTGTTTGATTCATCTGAGGTTTGCTGCACTCCCAACAGTGCAAACAACAATCGGCCAATGTGGTAGAGTAGAGCACCTTCAGTCAATGTCTTGCGTGGATACTCCGTACAGCTGCTATTATCGAGAGAGATTGCAAGGGAAGGGCCCCCCTGGGTATTTTTAATTGGCGCCTTTTTAGCGAATTGCCAGCACACCAAGGTGAACCATCCAAGACATTCAATCACACATTGTTATTTTTGCCAACTATTCCGACCCCGTCTTACTCCGTGGGAACGCCGAATCAACACGCCTTGTCCCATATACAAGTTGACTAGTGTTTTGGAAGTGCGTAGATCTGCAAATCCTCTGGACAGGCACCTTTGCAGCGATGGTTATTTACCTCTTTTTACCAATGTTTTCCATCACGATTGCTCTTGGGCTCGTGAGGGCAATTCATAATATGTTCTCTGCAACCTTTTTTTTTTTTTAAAGTTGACTTTTCGGACCCTGAATATCGGGTAATCTTAGCTTTCTGGGGATGAGCCTGAAACTGAACTCTGAACGCAGTTCGATCAGTCTGGCCCGTTCATCGTTCGACTCAGGGATGTGGCTTATGCGCTGTGGGACTTGGAAAAAAGAGCACGAAACAAAGTTATAGACCAGTATCCGTTTTCATCCATCATTGACATCATTATGATTGTTGTCCTGCGTGGCTTCGTTTATCTTGCAGCAGTCTATCACGTCAATCACTTAGGTGATCTTCTCCCTCATTTGCCAGCGAATGGTTTCTCTGTTGTCTCCAGCAAGACAACGAATCCCGCGTCTCTTCCCCTCAGTCTGTCCTTTTCTCGCCGGCTGGAATCTCGGGAGAATAACTTCCCTCCCAACCAATTGGAGCATATCCTTCTTGTGATTGGTGAAAACAGACAGGGTTTCCTCTCGCCGCGCACACCTATGTACGCTCACGCACCACCCCTCTTCTCCACGGGCGGCACCATTCGACGATCAAACGTAATCCACCACACGTCGAGTCCGTATTTCTGAGGCGTGGTACGGAGTACGGTGGACAGTGTTGAGAACCCGATTGTGGGAGCTGTCCTTGTTAATATCAATATTATATGTTGGCAGTATCATTCTTTAATCCTCCTCAAAGTCTCTTGCCTTGTCCAACATGGTCATGAGTGTATTCCTGCCAGAGCCGACGGCATCCATTAGCAGTCCTAGTCGTGGAGTGTTGTAGGGGTTGACACGAGAACATTTTGTGACTATTGTTTTTGACGCTCGCTAGCGGGCAGTTCCTCTTTCCGCCCTACCAGCCCCATCCCTGACCACCCTATTCGTCCCGAAAAATAAATCAACAAGGTGTTTCCTTCTCGGAAGCTTTTGTCGGGCAATTTTCAATCGGAGGGAACCATCTTTGACTCTTGTGAGTGAAATCGTGGGTTTCTGTTGCGGCTCCCCTTGGATGTCGACACCTGCGCCATGCTGGCGAGAACATCCAACCAAGACTCGCCGCCTTTTTTTTTTTTTTTTGGCTTTTCCCCTCTTGTATCTTCACTCTTGAGATCCTGCTGGCCCACTTCGCCCAGCCGTACATTCCCGCGCCTCTGACTCCCATGACCACTCTGTATTTCGATTAGTGCTATTTCTGTTTTTTTTTTTTTTTTTTTTTTTTTTTTTTTTTTGGGATCTCTACTGCCAAAACCTTCCCCCTTTCTTTCCCATCCGCGGTCCCTTGCCAGCCTTGCCTGTCGAATTCATCACTCTGCAGCACTCCGCAGTGGCAATCAGCCTAGAAGCCAAGCATCCCAGTGAAGAACAGGTTGGCAATTGGCAGTGTTCCCACCCCCTGAACAAGGGCCAAGGGCATGAATTATTTTCCTGGTCATCATCATCACCAGGCATCGTCGATTCTTCAGGCCCCTTCAGGGATAATCCTCAAATAACTTTATCGCTGCAGCTAATCAGCACGCCTCGATCTGCTTGCTAATTGCTGATTTGTTCTAATTTTTAACTTGACCCTGCTCCTTGGTAGTATTATTTTAGCGTCTTTCCCACCGCTGCGAAGATTATTTCTTTTTTCTCTTTAGAACATTTTAATCTTACCTTGGCCAGTTTTATATTATTGCTTTTCGCTGCCCCTTGCCTGTCACGTTTTTGGCGGCTGCTGTTTAACTTTCAATCTACTGAACCTGGTCCAAGTGTTTCCTTCCACCCCAAGCTTGCGTAGAGAGCGAGATATCGAAGCTGGTCTCGAACGGAGCGCTTAGCAATTCGCCGGCTAACCGCAGCAATCGGGGAGAGGCCGGGTTTCTCTTCGTGTGAGCGTATCCGGAGCTTCCCTTCTCGCCTCCTATTTGCACCGGCGGTCACCAGATTATTACGCATTCGGGCTGTGTGATTCGTGGCGAGAACAACAGAAACCCGGAGAGCCACCAGTCAGCTGTAGAGTTTGAGCTAATTTCCTCAGACTCGACCGTGGGACCTCACCAACCATCTCCATCTGCTTCTGCCACACCCCCAATCACAGTCGATTATCGCCAGTCGATTACTCCCCGACCCACAAAGGGCCACGACCCTGATCGCACGGTGAGGTCCTTGGAACTCTATATATTGGTTAGACCCAAGGCTCTGGTTTAGTGCTCAAAGCTTTTTTTTTTAAATAAGAAAAGGGCCTTTGTGAGTGGGAAAGGGTGAAGTGGAAAAAAAAAAAAAAATAAGATCTTGCCCACCAGCTCCAAAACAACGCAACCCCTCCATAAACTCTCTTTCAGCAGAAAAGCCAAAAAAAAAAAAAAAAAAAAAAAAAAAAGGAAAGAGACTTCCAGCGTCCCCGTGTTTCCTGTCGATCCTTAAACTTTAGCAAAGAACCTCTAGCTCTGCATCGCGCAGCTCGAGGAAGGCGAAAGGGGAGGCGAAGGAAAGTTTCGACCGCATCATCGACTTCACCCATACGTGGGGAACGAGCCCTCGACCGAAAGCGAGTCAACCACACGCTCACACTCAACGTCTCGCGCACCTCGATCACAACCTCAAGTGACCCTTGAGAGTCTCCTCTCGCCCTGGCTGCTTCTAGGCGAATTGGAATTTCGCCGTCATAAGCTCGGGATTACTAATAGTCGTCCCTCGATCTCGCCACACACTCTCGCTTCTCTTCCGCATATATACATCTCGTCAACGTCATCAGCTGGCTCGAAGCTCAAGTTAAAGCTGACAGGGTTCGCGAAAACTCACCGGCAAGCAACAAACCTTCATTGTTGATCCCAGAGCGGCACTGGAATAACAACGCGATAGTGTGCGACGCAGAAACCTTGCCCTTGCAGTGCAGCTCCCAACTTTGTCTTACCCTTTTTACACTTTACTTTTCCTCTTCTCCTAACTCTCTACGGATTAAGCTACAGTCATCTACCCTGGCCGCGCTGCGGTCTTTATCTGCTACTTTCGACTATGGGTAACGGCACTACAGCTGTGTTGGAGCCCACTTTCACAGGTTATGTGGCTTCCACGCACGATGCCTTGATCCTCTTCGAAGCCTGCCTTACGGGCGTCCTTCACCATGTCCCGCGACGACCGCATGACCGTGAAAGGGCCCAGCTGGTCCGCAGTGGTAGTGTTTTCATATACGAAGAGAATGCCTCGGGTATCAAACGATGGACAGATGGAGTGACATGGAGTCCCAGTCGCATTCTCGGCAACTTTCTGGTTTATCGAGAGCTGGACAAGCCCTTCCCGCCGGGTGAGAAGAAACGAGCAATGAAGAAGGGCAGCCGGCGTCCACCGCAGCCCACACGTGCAGGCGAGCCCTACCCTCGTCCGCAACCAGATAGCAACGGCCAGGCATACTCCCCAACAACCACCTCTGCCGGAACTACATATGGCGAAAGAACTGCCCAGTCGGAATTAGAGCGGGCGCTCGTGGGCTCTCTAGTTGATTCCTACGGGTTTAAAGATTCAGGGCTGGTGAAGAAAACCATGAGTGTGACTGTCTCCGGGGTTACTCACCACTTGGTGTCCTACTACAGTGTCGAGGATGTGATGCGCGGAGTACTCCGCCCCCCTTCTGTCGTCGAATCGCTCAAGTACATTAGACCGCGTCCCGAGCTCACAACCAAACAAAGCTTCAGAGCTCCCATCGATGATTTGGAACCGAATAATCTGGACACGGAGGATCCTAATCAGGCATTGTACGGTTATCGCAGACCTATGGTGGGCCAAGGATATGCTATGCCGAACCCCAATTACTACCCCATACCTGGACCTGGTTATGTTCCCCATCCCCAGCAACCTGGAGCAATACCTGGATATGCGCCTCTCCCTGGTCATCCTCAATATATGCAAAACCCTCCTCCTCCTCCTCCCCCTCCTCCGTCGGAGCTTCCCCCCAAGACGGAAGACTACTCGAGCTTCCGTGGGCCCGCTGGATATGCCCCGGCTTACGAAGCCCCAAGCCAAGCCATCCCACATATGCCACCCAACATGAACCGGCCGCAGCATGCACCTAATCCTCCCCTATACCGAACGCCTTCGCTGCCAGGCCGGAATGTACAACCTGCAGAGATGCCTCAACCAGTGGATCCAAATGCACAGCAACCCCCGGCCTCCTACCAGAGGAGTAGTTTTAGCGTTCAAGGGGGGATAGAGGGAAGCTACGGAGGGCAATAGGGAGCAGAGGAATATTTCAAAAATTCGCCACAAAATGTCATTTTGCAACCACCTATGCAGCACACATCCCGAAACTTTTCCCCGGTATCGACTAGTAGGCTTGAAAAGGTAAAAATATGGGCTTCAAGATTCAGTTTGTAATAAGAGTTGTTGCAAAGGCAATTTTCGAGTTTCGAGTTCTGGGTGGCAGTTTCTTTTTTTTTTTTTTTTCTTCTTTTCCTTTGTTAAGCTTCATGGCCCCTGCGTTAGTTCTCAGCCTTGTTTAGTGTCTTTTGTTTATTTTTCTTTTGCATATCAAGTATGGACAGTGAATTCGATGCTTATTTTTTCTGCTTCCTGGGTTAGAGTCCGTGAATTGGTGAAGTGAAGGGGGGGAGGAAAGAAGAAGAAAAAGGCTCCTCAAACGGCATTGCTCAAGCAGTTTTAAGCATTCCTTAAACCTGGTCACCCCGATTATTGTGTATAGCTTCATGAGAATATACTCCGTAGTGCCGTCTCCATTAAGATGCTTCTTCAGCACGTCACCCCAGGGTGGGGACTCCCCGTCGCATTTTAACCTGCAAGAAAGCCAGAATATACTTTGTGTCCGTTCTGATAGAATTCTGCGTTAAATCTAGCGCATGCGGCATTGTATCCACTTGAATCTTTAACTCTGGGCTATGGAATATACCCCGTATTATGGTTCCAACGGAGCTTTTGAAGGTTTGCGGGGACGATCCAGCATCCATCTGCACGATCACCTTAATTTTGCTTTTTTTGTTGTATGCTTTTTTTTTTTTGGTGTTGCTCATTTCTTTGCTTTTATTGTATCAAACTGCAGAGGCGAAGACCTTACTCTTTACTTTCTTTAATTGTGCTTGTAGATGCCTGACTTCCCTGCTCTTTTCACACCATCTTAAAATCCACCCTCTTGCGTCCCTCTGTATGTAGAGCTTATGGACACAAAGTGGCAAGATAAATAGGGAAAATGCTCTCTTCACGGATGATAGAGATGGTAGACATGGTAGCATGCAACATGCACCAAGTCCAGCCCTGACCTATTCTGGCACTGCAGCACAGAATGCAACAAAATAGATCCAGCCCATGTCCTGACAGCCTGAATGCATACGTCTGATTGCTGCTGCAATGTTGCTAGCGTGTTCTCTCTAAAGTGTGATGAACTATTGCACTTGGTTGCTTGAGAAGATTCAAAATTCTCCTTTTGCTTTGTTTCTCTGATGGTAATACGCATGATGCATACTTTGCCACTTCTTGTGCCATTTTCCTCGAATCTGTTTAAGTGTGTCACTATGAAGATTGGTAGTCATACCTGGTCTTCTCATCTGGTGTTCTGGAAACTTGCTGTACACCTAGTTGAGTGGGTTTAGTGTCCAGGGCTAATGAATCACATGTAGATACACTTGAATACCGAATACATTTGGGAGTGAAGGTGGGAGAAAGCAACAACAGCGGCAGGCTCAATAGGAGTTAAGACCGGCCAGAGCGACCTATCCTGTGTCTAGGACGCTGGCCGGAAACCTCGAAATGTATGAATACAGGGCACATTATATGTATATATACACCTGACATAGCGAGTCGGATCCGGGCAGTCGCGCAGGATGAGTGAGCGTATTATCAGGGCGACGCGCAGCAAAGTCCGAGTCATACATGGATTTCCTTTTTCAAATTGGAGTGGAGCTCGATAGTTCCTCTGAAGAGCAAGCATTTGTTATCCTCAAAAAACGGTTAGTAGTCTAGCCTGCGATGTCTGGGACACTGTTCGTCCAAGTCGCCGTTTTGAAAGCCCGAGTGAGCCGAGGTTGGCCGTCATCGGGAGCGGCAGGGATCATATTTTATCCGCTGCGGAGTGCTCCCTCCTTTCAAGGGAGAGAAACAACCTCACCCAGCTCAGAATGAATTTTTGAGATTGCTCCATAACTAGAAGGTCAACTGCTCCATAACTAGGCTCAGCCCACTGGCCTGACTTCTGGCTATCACTCAGTATCAAGAAATCATGGTCAGAGGGAGTATCTGACTGATTTTAGATGTTCAGTCACTCAACAACAGCAAGCATGCTACGTAACTTATAGTAGAGACAACAGCACTGCTTGAGCTTAATAATAATAAATACAGAAAGCTACTAGTTCAAGTCTTTAATATCTTTCTAAATAGTATTATCTTCTTTGCTAAAAAGCTGTATAAGCAGCTGCTCACTATAGAGATTCACACAAAGTTTCAACCAACAACAACATTACATCGCAACAGATTTGGAGCTCAATCTCTAATTTAAACTTCCACTTACTATTTACTAAGAAATATGTTACTCATTTGGTTATTGAATCAGCTTGGATCCTGGATTTGTTGGATTTATGTATTTAGAAATTTCTCTTCTCTCAGCACTGGCTGGAGCCTAGTGGGTGGTATCAATACACTAGTCTCTATGTAGTTAGCCTCCAGCTTAGCAGCTTGGATCTCCTTTAATCTGATGCAGAGTTTTTATCCTGGTTCTCATCTCATCCTCTTACAAGGTGGGGGAGAGCAAGGGCATGAATGTATTGAGTTCATGTTCTGTGGTTCCTATAGCTTCCGCATATAGTTAGTAGCCTTGTAGGCCCTTCCAGATCATGTCATACTGGAACACTTGAGAGCCTCCTTAATCCATTGCTGAGATAGCAACTCTCCGAGTTGGTCTATCTGGTCCGGGGCCCTTAACCCAAGGATGATAAGCACTCGACCCTTAGTCGTCGGATAGCGAAGCTATTTTGTCACCAAACCGGGATAAACTACCCAGTTGTGGGGATTCAGGCACGTATAACTCGGAAAGTCCACAACAAATCCGCTTCCAACTGCTAAACCTCCCAACAGTGGAAGAACCGAGATATTGAACATGAAGCGCCGTGCCGCGCTATTATCATCACAATTATGTTGTTCCCACCGGCGTGCCAGATCATGAAAGTGGAAGCCTACTAAAGCGCAATCCGCTCCACAGAATGATGACAATATGATCGCAAAAGGGTGGGGGAAATATTTAGCCCTCCTAAGGAATCATTACAGGCCAGGAGATGTTGATTATACTTTAGAAGGGGCTATTCCTTGTAAGAAATGAGGTATTCATTGTACAGTTAGAGTCGAAACTGGTGTCATCCACAGACCTGGGATTGTTTCTCAAACTTTGGTTACCAAGCAACGTGGCAGCCGCAGCTGTAGCAAACGTGCGATCCCTAGAATCCGCTCAAACCTGCGACTCTTTGGCACAGTCAGATCTCCTCGAAATAAAGGTGGACGCCTACGCAGCATCTCGCCAAACATGCTGGAAGCTCTTTGTGACCATCTGCTTGAAAAGCCTGGTTTGCATCCCGATGAGATGGCCATTTTCCTTTGGGATGAGTTTGAAGTGCTAGCAACAACCATCTAGTATCCGCCGTGCTCTTTCCTCTCAAGGTTGGTCGAAAAAAACAGCTCGACAGAAAGCAAGAGAGCGAAACTCAGATTTACGAGACGCATACTTTCACTTCATCTCGGATTTTCATTTATTTCAGCTTGTTTACGTGGATGAATCAGGGCGTGATAAAAGAATCGGCTCCAGACGGACTGTTTGGTCGCCTCTTGGAGTAGCACTTGCTCAAATCTCCAAATTTCATCGTGACCGACGGTATCAGATACTGCCTGCATATGCCCAAGATGGTATTGTTCCTTCGCGTATTTTCCAAGGCTCTACCGATGCCTTGGTCTTTGAGGACTTATTGAAGAACTTCTGCATCACTGCGGTAGATGGCCTGAGCCGAGGTCTGTCCTGGTTATGGATAATGCATCCTTTCATCACTCTGGGAAGATAGAGCAAATGTGCTTGGAAGCCGGAGTCAAATTAGTATATTTGCCACCATACTCTCCGGATCTGAATCCAGTTGAAGAGTTTTTCGCGGAGTTGAAAGCCTTTATTCGACGGCACTGGCAATCCTACGAAGATAATCCCACTCAAGGATTTGAAACCTTCCTTGAGTGGTGTGTGGATGTCGTAGGTGCAAGGGCACAGAGCGCGAAAGGGCATTTTCGACACGCAGGTCTGGCTGTTGAAGAGACACATTGATTGCCTATAAAAGAATGATTAGAGAATTATATACAATTAAAATATAGGCAAAGGGTTAAACCAGCCACCAAGTCGTAAACTAATCATGAGCCCCAAATTTGTTGAGCCATCTACCCTCACAACATCAACCTCCTCCAAGTCTCGGAGGGTCGTCTTTATATATTCGCCTGCGCCGCTAAGTTTCATAATCTTTGCAACGGCTCGATGGACACCAAGGAGCCGAGCTGATGGTGGATCAATGGTATGACTGGGGCTAAGGGTCAGCGTACGGGTGACGGGGAATATCGGATCACGTAGAAAGGGGATTTGCTCCATTGAATCGATTCTATACTCATACGGTTTGCCCGTTGGTTCGAAATATATCTGGAATTCACCAAACGACCGATGGTGATCATGTGTCAATGTAAGAGCATTCATTGGGCTGTCGATCTTCGGACCATCAATGAGATGAATAATGCCAGGGTCAAACATATTCAAGATCCGGAGTACATTCTTCTTTGAGTCGCTCTGGGGCCTTTGGTCAGTAATGAAAAGCACAGACATGAGGTACACTCAACTCAGACATACTAGATCGGTGTCCCGGGGAGTAACCGTAGTCAGACAATGCGGCAGAATGTGGGCAACCTCCAGATATTGAAAATGGTCGCTTGATTCATTCTCCAATAGATTTCCATCATCGTCCTTACAATCTTCCCCGTCCTTGTTCTGCCGCCTGCTGGCTTCGCTTCTATCGAACTTCCGAGAAACCACGCACCGATGATGATCGCGCACGAGACAGCTTTGTCGTAGAATAGATACACGTTGTGTTGTACCGGTAGGTGTGGATGCCTGTATTGAGGACAATGATGTGGGCGTTGGTTGTGGGGTCTTCACGGATGAAGCTCTGACTGGATACCTGAATTAACATATGATTCTAGCGGTGGGAATTATATTGATAGCATACGTGGAAGAAGGAAGTCCTCAACAATGTACCTGGCAAAACTTTCAAAGGCGCTATTGACGTTCTGTTTTTGATTCTGATCCCATGTAGAGAAATTATCGAAGAAGGACAAAGCGGCCGTAATGTCAGGTTCAATTGGATTTGTTACTCCTGAGTATAGGTTTTCATAGAGGTGTGAGAAAAAGAACAAAAGGAATGCATCTTTCGAAGTAACATGCTCAAATGTGGCCTGGATAAGTGCGGCAGGTTTGTAACCAGGCTGTATAGTGCCCCGGGCCATAATGCTGGATCAGGCTTCTGAAAAGAGTTGTTGCCGTTTGACGATGTTGAGGACTTAAACAAGAACAGCGGCGAGAAGTCCAATACCTTTTCGTTCCACTTTCCATCTTCGCTGAGATCCCACCAAAGTCTATCAATTTTCTCAATCATGGCTTTGCATCGGCATCAATCATCTCGTTTGTATTTGGTCTCGTCATGAGTTGCGAGGCCAAGAATGGCGTCGGAGACTATTTTTCCGCTCCGGTTCCTGTTGATGGAGGACTCGTACGCTTGTCATTCACTAAGCTACCTAAAGGGGAATTTCGTCTAATCTATATGGATCACATGAGCAAGGTGCTAGTTGGATTACCTAACACCTAGCCAGTCAATTGATTGGTTGAGAAAGAGAGGTCCCAACAGGACCCTCTTCCTTTCCAGACCACGATTGATGCGAACTGTCCTCGTCGCATATTCCTCCTACTACTTTCCTTGAAGCGGTCAAGACGAAGAGAGTAGCCAAGGCTAGGAGAGCGCGTAGTTCACCTACACCCATATCAGTGATGGAAGTGGGCCCTGACTCTCATAAAGCGCGGTGATGACCAGCCGGTCTGCTGTTGTCCAGACTTCCGAGATTTCAAGTCATGCGCTTGAAATCTTAACCTCCTTCTCTGGCTAAATTGGTGGGCGTCACGCTTTTCCTGCTATGACTGTTTTGCCGAGACTCTAGTGCCAACGTGCCCGAGGGTGAGCCTTCCAACAGGGTCATTGATTGGTGGAGGAAAAGAGGTCCCAACAGGACCTCTTTCCTTGCCCTCACGAAGTGACCAATGCTGAGACCCTGACCCGTGGGTCGTTCGTGGCACGTTGTGCAGCCGTGCGAGAGAAAATAAACTCGTCGTGAGAAAACTCAGGGATAGGGGGTGGAATGTTGGAAGCTCGAAGGCACACATTCCATTGCATTTCGTCGCCCCCCAACCAGGGATCGGCGCTTCCGATTTCCTTTGTTAAGGTGTCCAGGCAGCAGAGTGTTGGAGCTTTTCTTCTATGTCACACAATTATCAATTAAGCAGTCAATAGCATATTCCTCAAAGTATCTACCAATCCCCTTCAGAGGCAGGTAAAAGGGCCAGTCACCAGAGCGTATTGGGCGAACCGTGTTAAGGGACTTGACAAACTCCCAGTACTCTGGGTATACACCACCGACCTCCCAGTCAATCAGACCAGTCACTCGAATCCCTCCTCCATCTTTAACGGCTAGAATATTCCGGGGATGCAGGTCGCCATGCGTCAGAACAAAGCGATGATTTTCTCGGAGCATGGGCCTGATAAAGTTGACATATGGTTCCATGCCAGATCGACAGTTCCCAGACAGAAGGAATTCGTTGAACTGAGTCTCACTCTCCATCCACAAGGGACTTGTACGCTTCCACATTCTGCAATCAACACACTGGGGCGGGCTCCCACCACCAAGATACTGATCTGGTGCTGGCAGCAATCGGAGTTTCTCCAAGATGAAGTCAAGTTGATCCCTGACAGAGCATTTCTCAACATCTGCCAAATCCGGCCAGAGTTTATCTAGGGAACAACCGTCAATGCGACGCATAAAAGCATAGGTTATGCCACCAAGGGAGAGTACACCAAGAGGCCGCGGGACTGGAATATCTGTAGAATTCCTTTGAATGTGGGCTGTCATGTCCGCGTCGGTTAATGATATGTTTGGTCCAAGCTTAACAACAACGCGATGATCGAGCTGCACCACCGCGCGTGCAAAGTGACTCCAAATCACTTCGCCACCCTTCAAGGCCTTGGATAGCGCAGAGTTGATACCATCACTTGGATCGCCCTCTTCCTCAGAGAACCGCTGTAACAGTGCGGTAACTTCGGGTGCTAGCGGCCGTAGGATCTCCAGTTGTGCTTGCGGAACTGATAACAAATCATTAAAGCACAATGGCTTCTGAGAGCTGCTTCCGCGACCTTCATTTAGATGTAAGTTAGTTCCTAATTACTTCTCCAAGAGCATTGGTGCCTCATACACTTACAGTCTTGACTTTTAAGACTGCGCTTCTGGACCAGCATATGCCTGGTTGAGGGATACAAACGAGCCCATCTTGTAAACAACAGGCTAAGATCGGCCCATGAAACGGTTTTCTGCAACTCATGTTGGAATTTCATCATCACAGATTCATTTAGATCTGTCAGGGCCTTTCGAAGGTCCCCGTCATCGGGGTGGCATCTTTGGTTTTGGACACGGATAGACCTGCGGTGAATGCTCGTTCACGATTCCGGAAAGCGAGGAAAGAGACAAGTAATGAAATACTTGCACCGAATACAAAGCTCACACCTGTTTGCCAACTTGCGAACCTAGACATGGTCGGGGTGCTGACGAGCATCGCGCAAGAGTTCGTTGGGGATCCAGCTCCCTCGCTGGGTACCCAAGTCACCTGACAACCCATCAAATAGAGAAACCAAACTGAACAAACTGAACAAACTAAACAAACAAAGCACGAGCCCCGGATGTCTGTCAGGCGATAGGAACCACAACGATTGACTTCTGATTGAAGTGATTTCATCCGTCAAAGCTACTCGTCTAGAGACCTTCCTCGAAAGAAATGACAGAGACAGAAGCTTAATAGAACGGCATCTACTAACAAAAGATGAGGGAACCTGGTACCACCTCGCCGCCAGCTAGGCAAAGCACTGAGTTCCTTTGGATATACAGCACTGTAAAATCAGGCCCAGGGAACCCCTAGAACATGCTAGGAGGAGCTGAGCTGGACATTAGATTGTGAACTTGGAAGAATGGCATGAAATATAGATGCAGTGCTAGCCTCTTAAAGGCTAGCGCGATCCCGCATAGCTGCCCAATAGGTGGCTGGGATGGTGTATGACTAAAACCAAACCTAACCAAACAAATTCCCTCCTTTCAAGACTTGTGAAAGAGTTAGAGACGTAAACGATCACTGTAATCTATTTGCTCGGTCCCCTTTCCTTTAGCCGCCTCCACCACACTATTTTCAGGAGTAGGAGAATGGAGTACATAGCCCTTTCGGTGATTCTCGAGTCGCCTATGGCTCCTTAGCCGCGCGCTTAACCCACGAGTTCGGTCACAGGCGCTCGCCAATCAGCGAGTAGCCCGAGTAGGTAGTTAAACTTTATCTCCTGACTTTTTTTCTTTGCTGATATTGTGCTTTCAGTTTGCCTCTCGAAGCAGTTGAAATCTCTCCATGTTCCTGGTCTGGGAATGGATGGGAGATTTACACTAGCAACTTGGCTACTAGAATTTGTTCAAAGGGTCCTTTGAATTCGGTCTTACTTTTCCTCATTCGTTTATGCTCCTGAATTACTGCTGCTCAGATCTCGTGGCCTGCGAGTCTTTGCAAAATGCTTTAAAGTATTGAGAAGCGAAGAAATTGAGTTAATTTTCAGAGTTACAGCGGGAGTGTTTTGTTGAAAAAGCGACGGTTGAAGTCTGAAAAACTGAAACTTTGGGAGCTCCATTGGTCGGTTGCAAAGGCCCCTGTTTGGAACCATGCGTGGAACGGTACACCTCCGCGTGTCACTTAGAGCATTGCGTGCTGGTCGATCTTCTCTCCCGCCGCAGCAGCGTTCTCTGACAGTCTCCTACTTTCTGCCTTTTCACTGTCGAAGGCAATTGTTGTTTTCGTCGTTCGCTGACTCGGGCCGTGTTTCGCTGTGTGCTAAAGCATTAAAGACGACCACTTGGGGATGTGGTGATTCAATGTGAGTTTGCCCAATGAATGGAGAAGTTGTGATGAAATCTTGATGTTTACCTGGGTTTAGGTCAGGTTCCGTATCCGGATTTAGAAGCGGAACTGGTTTGGGTTGCAGAGGGCTGCTGCATTGGAGGAGATCGATGAGCTCGGAGCGCCCTTCAGAGAAAAAGAATGATGATACTCAGAAGGCGAGGTTGTACATCCCCTGTCTACTGAAGATTCTGCGAGCCGCGAAGACATGCTCTCCTAGGCAGCCGGCTAACGATCAGCATAGCGATTCAAAACCAAGCCTGGCATCTCGACTTCCAATTCCAGGTCGTGAGGATATCTATACAATCCCAAATATCCTGACGTTCACACGGCTTGTAGCTGCCCCTATGGTTGGCTACTTTATTCTGAATTCGAACCACGTTATGGCTCTATCACTATTTGCATACGCATCCATAACCGACTTGGTTGATGGATATATTGCTCGAAGGTTCGGGCAGCAAACGGTTGTTGGAACCATAATTGACCCCATGGCCGACAAGATACTTATGACTGTGGGAGTGATTTGCCTTGCTATAAAATCGGCAATTCCTGGTACGTTCTATTTTGATAGCATCCGCCGCTGCTTTCGCCGTCGGGAAACCTTCAATACAGCTATACTCACCTTATCAATAGTCTGGCTTGCCGGTGTAATCCTTGCGCGTGATGTCGGACTTGCAATCTCTGCCATTTATTACAGATGGATCTCGCTACCACCCCCGAAAACCATGGCACGATACTGGGATTTTTCTCTGCCATCTGCAGAGGTCAAACCAACTCGGATCTCAAAGGTGAATACTGCTTTGCAACTATTGCTAATTGGGGGAGCGATGGCAATGCCCGTTATTCCCGAGGCCATACTGAGTGCGTGGAATTTGCATGAAGGAATGATTGGATTGCAGTAAGTTGATTTTCTCCCTTGCTTTTGCTTGTTGTCTCTTTCGTTTTTGGCTTTGCCTTTTTTTTTCTTTTTTTTTTTCGCGTCTCCCCATTTGTTAGGTGAGTTTGGGGGAGTTTTTGCACCGCACTCCATGAGCAAAAACATTGCTTTTGCAAGGAAGGACCAAAGTCTCCTTTCGCAATAAATATTGTGGGAGAAAATAAACAAGCACATACGACCATAGGAAGTGGAATACAGGGCTTCCCGTCCGCTCAGCCGTACTTAAGTCACTTGCCGGCCGGCTAGTAGTTGGGTGGGTGACCACCAGCGAATCCCGGCTGTTGTATGTTTTTGCTAACCGGCTTTTTTGATTCTTGTGGGGAATAGCGCGCTGCTTTTTGCTACTTGCTTCGCTTCCTTTTGTCCTTTTTTGTTCCTGCCTTGGCAAAAGTGCTTGGCCCGCTCTTCTTTCACCTTTTCCTCCAGCCCGTTCATGTACCTTTAACTGGGTTTAGCACTCTTCGTCTCAGCGTCTTGGATCCTACCAGGAGTGTGCTTAGGTGTTCTTCACTGGTGCTATTACTGTGGTCCTGGAGCAGCCCAAATCCATGCTGATCGGCTAATCCTGCAACATGCGCTGTCCTCTCATTGTCCCCTTCCTGTTGCAGTCGCTGGCTTCATTTAGATCCCCACTGTACTGGATCAGATCCAACTCACTGACTTCTGATTCTTCCCTGTCTAGGTACATTGTTGCTCTCACAACCTGTTGGTCCGGGCTGGGCTACATCTATTCGAAAGATGCTGTGAGGATACTTTCTCGCGACAAATCAAGGTAGGGGTGATGTGATCCTGCCCCGTAGGTGGTACTCCTCATCTCACAAGCTGAGGTGGCTTGCTAGAGGCCGGATAAAGCATAAAAAGGGTGAAGTTAAATTATCAAATTTTGCAGGACTTGGCAAAGCAACATAGCGACACTTTCACATTTCGTCAATAGATGGGGAGGAGTGGGCATGCAGGCACTTTAGTATCAGGCCCATTTGGGCTGCGCAAATGAGGAGGCACAGCATGAATTGATAGGCTAGGTCAACTTTTACCTGGAACGCGGCCCACACTGTCACCTTAGAATCTAGTATCAATTCAAATCGCAAAGCCCGCCCAGGCTCATGTCTACTGAGAGGTATCATACCATGAAGAAGTAACTGATTCACCGTCTGATTCGCGGCGAGTAAAGGAGGATATTGGGGCGCTAACTGCATTGCTGGCAAGTTTCGGGCCTCAGCATGCCAAACATTTCAGTATTTCACTGTTTTCGCAAGGTCCTGAGTGGCAGTTATCTTCTCATCTTGTAATTATTTATGAATCCTGATACTTAACATTGTGAACTTATCCATGCTATGTCGATGTCAAAAAGTTACCTGCCGTCAATTGTGAGGGTTAAGGTTTAATAATGGCCCGGCTGGCTGTTGAATGGATGTTCACATATTTATTGAACCTACTACTCCGTAAGCTTGGGGCATGAGGTAGCGACACCGAGCGCCTTGACAGCGGACCTCCGAAGCCTCCAAGTCGGAGCGAGTGCGAAGTGGCCGCCGTGTACACATCCCGTATGAATCTTACGGAGAGACGACTATGAACCCACTTCGCAGATTTTTAACTGACGCTCATATCGTGAGCTTTCTCCGAACCGTAACGGAAAACCCCTCTCTTGAAAATGAAATCTCTGCCACAAGCGCACCAAGTGTTGGTTTCATTTGGACGCAGGCGTTTCAGATGCGGGATTGGAGATGGGAACATATTGAATACATGGGAATTGTTATTTGAATGCTAGCTATGTATTCCGTACGGGGCGCCCTGGATTCGCCTAGACGGAGTACTGGTTTCGGAGCTCGCCGGATCGCGCCTGTACAAGCGAGTTAACTAGGCCCGCTCAATCAATGGCACGAGTTGGGGATCCATGGATAGAGGATCGCGGTTAAACTGGCCCCGGGCCTGGTTCGCCCTGTTGAACTTCCCTGGTAGCAAAATCATGGGTGCTTGCGATCCACAGGTCCAGTCTCCGGCAATTCGAGTTAACTAACGCTGAGAATCTTAAAACACTCGGCTAAAAACAATTAACCAGCTAAATCTGGATCACTTGCAGATCACAGTGTACAAAAGAACTGCATGAGCTCGGCGAAAGAAGAATTTCTAAACCTTGCTTGGGTTGAAGCTTGATATGGCATCCCCGAAGCTTCAGAAGTGATAATTTCATCTCAGCTGCCAGAAATCGGCCTCTATCAATAGAGCAGAGCAGGCGTATCTGTGCAAATCTGCAATGAAAATGCCCTTCTAGTAAGTGGCGTCGGATTGCGTGTTCTGACACTGTCCTGCATTCTCTCCCAAATCTTCGTCACTGCGTTCGCAATCTGCAGGAGACGATCTCGGAATCCTGACGGTTTACGTTCGGGAGGTGTGAACCTCTCATGGCAATTTGATTCGAGAGATCCTTCGTGGCCTTATTGACGAGTCGAAGAATCAGATGATACTGCTTTTTTAACGATGATAGCTCCCAATTGCCGATATACATGTTCCAAAAGGGGGCCAACGACACCGCAAATGTTGAATCGTCATTGATAGGGGGCAGCATGCTCTTAATTCTCACCATCTAGTACAAGTCCGAAAATAAATCTAAACGATATATGTAGTACCGATTGCTGAACGGTCGTTGACCATTCTTCACCATCTTGCAGGGGCGGCTTCGTGGTGTAAGGGGTCCACCGCTTTGACATCTTTGCCTCGAGAGTTCATGCCAACAAATGTTAAGTACCAAATGTGATAGGGCGGGACATCAGGACCTTCTACTACCGAATGGCGCAACTCTTCGGCGGAATTTTTATCGGTGAGCTAGAGGCTGGAGGCAGAGCCTTGAAAGAAAGCTGGAGAAGCTCTCCAGTCACTTCTTCTCGGGCCGAGAACGAGATCGATACTATGCTTTTTTGCCGCAGTCCCCCATCTCCCCACCGCCCTCGCAAGGATTGCCGCTTTTGTCCATAGTCATCACGTGCAGTTACCCCTACCTCGCCTTCCACAGCTCGGCCTTGACCGACTGTTGGTTTGCTGGATATCTTGTCGGGGCACGAAGTACATACCGTCTGTCTGGACCGACGTCCTTGAAAAATGCTGTAAGGATAATCACGAAGCGGGATAACGTGAAAAAAAAAAAAAAAAAATCATGAGTGGACGCGCCGAGCATCCGTTTGTATATATTATCACGTCTCAGTGGAATGGGCGCCCAATTCCGAGTCCTACCAGTCCGTCGGTATTCTATCTAAAGAAAAGAAAAGACAAGCCTCACACATTACGTTTTCAAGGGAATGAAAAACAACTATCGGAGTTCTCTTCTCTAGAGGAGACGGCAGTGGTATCCCGAGACTAATGATAACTTCAACTTGGTCTTATCCGCCCACACGTTCACCCGATACGATGGACCATGCAATTGAAAAGCGCCCTGCCCGGATACTTCGGGATTAACTGACCCCCGGTTGCAGACCAAATGGCCCTCGCCCGTAGCTCACTAGCTAGGGTTGACGACGCCATGACATTGCCGAGAAGAGTAAGGGTTCCGAGACTGGTGGAGAGGCACCGGGCGAGCTGTTTTGCTGGAAGGCCAAAGGCCAACAAACAAGGGCCCGGTGTCAGTAATGCGCTCGTAAATGGTACATTCCCATTCTCTGCCCGTCACAACTAACTGTGAAGTTCATCGCAATCCCCGAAAGCAGATAGTGCTACCAACGGCCTGGCGGTTTGTAAGATGGGCCCTGTCAACGCATTACCAGCCGGGCTTGATGAGAAGCTAGGATGCTAGTAGCGGTTAGAATCCTCCGAGGGATGAATATTCAAAATGAATTCTCTCTCCGTGGAAGAGCAGAAATTGCTTCATTCTCTCTATCACCAAGTCAAACAGATCAGTATGGTGACAGCAACTAGAGCGGAAGATCCAGGCGCCCGCACTCTAGCACCATCGGCGCTGACAACAGCATCAATAATACCGAGGACGACTAAGAAAAGCGGGCGCTTTTGGGCTATCTTTCCTGCCCTTTGCCTGACTACCTTTCTCTCCTCACTCGATACGTCCATCCTCTCCACGGCACTCCCGACCATATCGAAGGAGCTCAACTCAGGCACGCTGTACATCTGGATCACGAACGCGTACCTATTTTCATCGACAGTCGTGCAACCGCTTTTCGGTCAGACCTCCAATATCTTTGGTCGAAGATCCCTTATGATTCTCTCCGTCGTCTTCTTTGCTCTTGGCAGCGGATTGGCAGGAGGTGCGAATGGAAATACGATGCTTATTGTAGGCCGAACGGTTCAGGGCATCGGCGGTGGGGGCATCGGCACCCTCGTTGATATAATCATCTCCGATCTGGTGCCCATGCGCGAACGAGGCAAATATGTTGCGCTGATGGCGGCAATATGGGCTTTCGGGACAGTAATTGGCCCCGTGCTTGGGGGTGCGTTAGCGCAGCACGTATCATGGAGGTGGATCTTCTACATCAACTTGCCGCTATCGGCGGCCTCTCTATTTCTTTTATACTTCTTCTTGAAAGTATCTCACCCACGAGGTGAAAACATCTTCAAGCGCCTTTCCAGGGTTGACTTTTTGGGTAATGGGATTCTTGTGGCAGCTGTTGTGTCTATCCTGTTGTCCCTAACCTGGGCAGGTACGGTATATCCATGGTCGTCCTGGAGGATTATCACACCCCTTACCGTTGGATTTGTGGGAATGATCCTCTTCTATACCCACCAAACATCACGCATCTGTGTCGAGCCATCAATCCCATTACGATTGTTTCCAAACCCGACATCCCTATGCGCATTGCTCCTGTCCTTTCAATTCTAGTCTACTGGACCGGCTATTTTCTGCCTATATATTTCCAAGCGGTCCTTGGCACCGTCAACCATGTCCGGCCTCTATGTTCTTCCGATCACTGCTGCTATTACGCCGCTAGGTATCTTGACGGGCATCCTCATCGCGGCCACAGGCAAATATCGAGCATTCCATTTCCTTGGCTTTGCCTTAATGTCGGTGGGGGTAGGCCTCTTCTCCACTCTCGACAATCAGTCGTCCACAGGACACTGGGTGGGATTCCAGTTTCTTTTTGGCTCTGGAGCAGGGATGATATTTTCGAGCACACTGCCTCCCATCCAAGCGTCTGTCAGGGAAGCTGACATGGCCACAGCCACAGCGACGTGGTCATTCATGCGCAGCTTCGGATCGGTGTGGGGTATAGCGATTCCTACGGCAATCTTTAACGATAAAATCGAATCGATTCTTGGGAGAATCAATGACCCATCGCTACGCGTAGAGCTTTCTAATGGTGGCGCATATGGACTTGCGAGTGCAGGCCTATCAAGGACTCTCGGCTCCAATCGGAAATTGCTTTCAGAAGTGATTGGAGTCTATGTTAATGGCTTGCGGTTCACCTGGCTTTTGGCAATACCATTCGCGGTTGCTGGCTTCTTGATGTGTTTCCCTATCCACTATCGACACACCTAGAAACAGGGTATGGCCTCCAAGAACGCACTTTGTAGGGATGGAAAAACTTGAAGCTCTGAGAATTCCGTTGTTCCTTTATATAATTATGTTTGAGGTTGAAAATAAAGCTGGAGTCATCTACGCTCTTGCCAGCCGACATTTTATCCTAGCCAAAACAGGCAGCTTTAAGGTGAGTGCCCTACTACTTAATGGTAGGAATAACAATGAAGGGGAGCCAGGGAAGGCAGAGTGATGAGATCATGTATTGAAAGCAATCCAATGACCGGTACCTAAATGTTTATGGAAACATGTGTCTAATTCTTACCAAGGAATGCATGACCTGGCCTCCCAAACTCCAGCTAAGACATGTTATTCCCGACCCATACTCGCTCCGTGGTAGAACAATTATGCAGTAAATTGGGTATAAGAAGATCTGTTAAAAAGAGGGCCAAAAGGAAATATGAATCATTTTGCCCACGCCAATATGTGCGGTGAAATGGGAAACAACAGCACATTAGGGGAAATCAAACGTGAATTTCCTCCATAAAACAGGTTGAACATAAAGTGGACCTTCATTGCGATCGCTTTCAATATCGCTGTACTGAAAGGGCCTGAAGAAGAAATATTTTAACCGGACGAAGATGCCACACCGGACTCGGCTTCGGCCTCACCTAGAGCGGCTGGTCCGAAATCGCCTTTGCTTCCCCAGGCACCGGTTTTGCGCATGTGCATTAGCAACCTGAGGGCGCCGGTAGGCGTAACACCCTCAATTCGCCGTGCCATACCGACGCTCTCGGGCCGTACTCTTTCCAGAGCATGCCGTTCCTCGGTGCTCAGACCGTGGATTTTTGAATAGTCTAAATCCGGGGGTAGAAGGAGGGCTTCATCGCGAGCAAATATACGAGCACTATTCGCCTGCCGTTTGATATAAGGTGAATAGGTTCCTTCTATAGTGACGCGAGCCTTGATTTTAGCGTCAAACGAGCCGGGGGTGTATGAAATGCCGCTTGGCGAGGTGATATGGGGGATGATAGCGTCAATATCTGCGTTATTAACGCAGAGGAGTTCGAATGCGGAGCGGAGGCTCGAGTCAGTATGGACCCGGAATCCCTTTCGCGACCATACCGTGGAAGGATATTTGGTATTTTCAAGAAGTGTTTGCAGTTCAAGCAGCTGGTATTTGGTGTCACTGAAATGGTTCCAGCGCTTGTCGGTGACTACTCCTGCTGCACGGCCCATTTCGGTCAGTCGAAGGTCTGCGTTATCTGCGCGGGTAGAAATACGGTATTCGCTACGTGTTGTGAACATGCGGTAAGGCTCAGTGACACCCTTCGTGATAAGATCATCAACCATGATTCCAATAAATCCGTCAGAACGAGAGAGAGTCATCGGAGGTTTTGATTGGGAGGCCAGGCCAGCATTAATACCAGCAAGAATGCCTTGGCCGGCCGCCTCCTCATAGCCTGTCGTGCCATTAATTTGGCCAGCGAGATAAAGACCACTTATAAGTTTGGTTTCAAGCGTTGGTTTCAAAGAGCGGGGATCGACGTAGTCGTATTCAACTCCATACCCAGGCTGGAGCATTTTAACGTTTTCCAGACCTTGTATAGTGCGAAGCATCTCGTACTGCGCATCGGCTGGAATCGTCATCGAGATACCGTTAGGGTAGATCACATCGTTGGGTGCAAATCCTTCGGGCTCAAGCCAAATCATATGTCTGGGTTTATCTTTGAACCGGAGAATCTTGGATTCTAGAGAAGGACAGTATCGAGGGCCTTTTACCGTCTCTCGAATATGGACCGATTTATCCAGATTCGCCTTTACAATCGCATGGGCATTCTCGTTGGTGTACGTTGACCAGCAGGTCACCTGGCCTTCATCGCCCACGTCCACAGTATCGTTAAGATAGGAGAAAGGGCTGGGTGGAGAATCTCCAGGCTGGACTTCGAGGGCAGAAAATTCAATAGTCTTGCGATCAAGGCGGGGCGGCGTCCCAGTTTTCAAGCGTCCGAGCTGGAAGCCAGCTTCACGAAGCGATTTGCTTAAACCAAAAGTCGCTGCCTCTCCCATTCGACCAGACGGGAAAACTTCTAGGCCAATATGAATCTCCCCTCCTAAGAAAGTTCCCGTCGTAATTACCACACGCCCAGTTGGTATTACTTCCCCTGACTCCAGTCTTACGCCAACAATCTTGCCCTTCACGCCAGGAGTACTTCTCAGATCTTCTCGGGACACAACTATATCAGCCACTTTTCCCTCCACAATGCTTAGTCCGGGATAATTCGATAACTCCTCGAGCATATACTTTTTGTACAGATCGCGGTCAATCTGCGCCCTGGGACCCCAGACAGCAGGGCCTTTCGACCTATTCAACACTCGAAATTGAATTCCTGCCTTGTCCACTATCTTGCCGGCTACTCCGTCTAGCGCGTCAATCTCGCGAATCACCGTACCCTTCCCAATGCCACCAAAACTCGGATTGCAGGAGCACACGCCGATATTGGAACGGGATGGTGTGACGAGGGCAGTCCGAGCGCCCGATCGAGCAGCCGCCGCACAAGCTTCGGAGCCAGCATGCCCGCCTCCAATAACAACCACATCAAATGGACTATGAGCAAGTTAGTGGGAGAGAAACAGACGCAAATATCGCCTTGATCAGACGTACCGGGCGCCATCTTTCACAGTCGCAAAGTTCCGTCGATTTCGTGGTTGTCTTCTATATAAGGTGCGCACTCCGAAGAGCGGCCTAGGAAGCCGTATCCCCAACATTTTTGAATGAAATGACATCCACGGCGTCCGGACAGTTATCCATTCGACGAAAGGTAATGGAATTGCTTCCTGGGGCATCGAAGCTGATAATGACCTCAACCCTTGGTGATCGGGCTAAAGTATTTCCGGATAAACTTTTTCCCTCGGATTTTTAAAAAGCCGAAAACCGAGGCTTTGACAGATTGGCCAATCGGATCACACCTATCTTTCGTCAGCGCGGGGAACTGAAAGCTCACAGGCCGCTGTTCGATCGCTTGAAGCAGCATCCGTCTATTGCATCTATCTATGCTAGCAGTATTAGAACGCGGTTAGGAGGTATTAGGATAGATAGACGATATTCAATTACCCAACATGAAAGCGTACTGGTACGATAACAAGGAGGTAACGTCCCCTCCGTCCTCCTTTGGCCCCGCCGATAACGCAACCTACTTTGATCATGCTTGTTGACGTTCGCTTCAGGGCGACCAACGCGCTAGCCACGACTCCGGCCGTGCCGTAGAAGAATCTTATCTTTCAAGCCTTGGTGTCCTATACCGTCGATGCCCCAATATCTCAGACGTCGACTCCCTCGCTAGTGATCGGGGCTACAAGAATCGCGATGAGATCACCATCTCCCCTGAGAAAATGGGCGACGTCTACGAAGAGAAAGTGAAAATGTTTTTCCACGAGCATCTACATGAAGATGAAGAAATCAGATATATCCTTGACGGAGAGGGTTATTTTGACGTACGGAGTGAAGGTGATGAATGGGTGAGGATTGCCGTGGAAAAGGATGATCTCTTGGTATTGCCTGCGGGCATATATCATCGGTTCACGACAGGGGAGAGTAATGTGAGTATTGAACTGATGCGGATTCATGTTACGCCCAGAAAGATTGGGGTTTACTAATCCGGGGGTAAAATAGTACATCAAAGCTATGCGGTTATTCCAGGACGAGCCCAAATGGACCCCTTTGAATAGAAGTCCAGAGGTTGACACAAACAAGCATCGCAAAGCGTATTTGCAATCTCGGACTGTGGCTGCTGCTTAGATAGCCGGCTACTCTCGCGCATAGCAACATGATGAAGATTTAAGCCAACATTGTTATACACATTTCATACCCATAATATTACAAACTTCTTCACCAATCAGCTGTGGAATAATTAAAACCCTGTGAACACCATAGTTTTAAGATCATATTCTCGTCAAAATGAGTGTGCACAGTTGTCATAATTACTTTTCAATACCTAGATCCGAAATATCCTGACTCCCCATACATTCCTTGGGAGGCGATAGATTCACCTATATGCGGAGGACGGGGTTCGTGCAAGCGGACCAAAAATAAGATATGACCGGGTTTCTCAAAAGTATCACGCAGACACATTTGAAGCCACTAACCTTCGAACCGGTGTCAGGTCACGGGAACGACATCGGGCAAGGACCCTGGTATTCTGAAAGGATCGTCCCTACAGGCTTGCTCTCGACTATCCTGATTTTGGGGTGAATATCTGACACCAGAAGTCTCATCGCCCGGAGAAGCATTCCGGCGATATCTAAGACCTTCCACATCAGCGTCCCTCGTGGCATGCGACCCTTCAGCCCCAGCATCGCGGGCTCCCAGCATGCTAACGTTAGCAGTGGATACCCCCGCATTCCCACTGGAGCCCACTTCTTGTTGCTCCTCCTGTCCTCTAACCCCGGTCCGGCCCATTCTAGGCCAGATACCCGGTAAGGCAACGACCTGGACTCGTGGCTCAACAACCCTTTCTTCAAACCATGCCTGCACGCGAGCTTCCACCAACTGAGCAACCTTCGGCACGTCTTGAAGGCGGCTCCGCGAACCAATAAGGGAGCGGACAGAAAGGTCAAGTCTATAATCCGGGAGAAAAGAAAATGCTAAGCTGGTTTTGGGAATGCCCGTCGTGCCAGCGTTGTTAGCCTGCGTCACTTGCTCGGTATCTGTCCGCTCTTGACGACGGTTGCCACGTCTATTTGCCCCGGAATAATCATTGGTCTGTAAGGTAGGATCGATATTTGATGGTGATGTGGCTAAATGGGTCGAAGTTTGCGTGGTGCCCGGAACAAACGATATGCATAGTGTCCCTGAAAACCTCACGACAGAAACTGACAGGGCAACAGGCAAGATCGCCGAATAAGGTTTTGGGTAATTAAGAACCAGGTTCGTTTCAATAGCCAAAGAAAGGTTATCATCGCTCAGGTCGACATCCATAAGTGCCTGCAGGCGGCCACCGTCCGAACTCGGGTCATCGATTGCAATAACCCGGCAATTGCTAAATATCGGGAATTCCTCTCCCAGGGATATATCTGTTACTGTAATATCATCGATAAATGACGGCTTTTTCTCCGGATTATTGAGCGTTGTAGCAAGCGACTCGAGTATAGAGGAGGTCGGAGAATCTTTAAGGATATAAGCGGTTTGACGGTACTGAGCGATGGTTTGCGCTATCAGGACATTAAACCAATCCAGCGACTCCGGTTGATGTGTAGAATGGTGAGGCCTATGGCGGCCATGTTTTGAGGTGAAATTGGTGGGATTGGCACTGTAATACGTCTTCCGGAGGATCGATCGAGTATTGGTAGATGAGGACGGTACCGGCCGTAAGACGTTGGAGGACGGCTTCTCTTTCAGCGATCGAGAACCAAGATCCCTTGCTCCACTTATGGAATACGACCGTTTGTGAGGGCTAGTTCGACGAGTCTGGCTCCGGGAGGAAGAGGGAGAAGCTTCACCAAAGATGAAGAACTTGATGAATGCGCCGATTAAGAGAACGACGGAGAGTTGGCCAACCAACAGTCCTTGTGTAAATGAGAGTCTAAGCAGCCATTAGCTTCGTTTTGTAGAATTGGACCTGTGATACAGACGAAGATTGCGCAGGTTGGGCGGAAGTATCATCTATTTAAGCATGAGCGGAGGGTAAGCAAATCCAGTTTTTGCGGGACGCACTTGACATTGTGATCTGACGATGAGCTAGATGGCTTTTCCATTTCAGCTATGACAGCTTTTGCACGATCGATGGACCACCCGGAGCCTCGATGCTCGCTCGTTGACGCTTGTCACCGTTGATATTTAGTCACATGTCCAGGCCATCTAGCGAAGAACGGCACCCGCGAGTGACGTGGAGAGGGAGCATGAAACCCCAACGCGGCTCACCCCCAAACTCTCAATAAATACTCCGTACAGCACGCTTCACCCCGGATTCCAAGCTTTAATGTCAAGATCAATCACCATATATAAATGAATATATTGCTATACAGCTCTAGGCTAGCTCAGAAATGTAAATTCTAGAATAATAATACCCCAAAAAAAAACACTGTCGTTCAAGGGAAAGCATTTGGGGAGGCATGATGTAACTAGATTACTGTATTGTTGTACTCCGTAGCTTTATCACTATGCCTTGTGTAATTCCCATAGCAAATTTTGATATCAAGTCCGAAACGAAACTTAAATGCAAGGTGCTATACTCACTATATCGAAAGATGCGCCAATCCATTTTATATCACCTCTTCTTGAAGAGCTGATGGTCCCCAAGGACGCAAGAACTCCACGTCTTGGGTTCGCACACGACGAAATAGTAAGTGATCAAGGAGTAACTGTCAATAACATTTGGGGTAGCGGGAGAAACGGGTGCCGAAAGCATTTTGGGCATCAGTTGATCAATAATCCCTGCCTGAGCCAGCTGGTTGCAAGGATGAAGGATAAATACATATGCATCCACAGTGTTTAATCCGACAATGGTAGCTCTGAATCAGTATAGGCACCCGATAACACAATGACATACCATTTCTTGAACAAATGAAGGATACGCTCGAACTTCTGCACCCTTTACGGAGTAGGTTGGGCAACAACCTCTTGAACTACATTCAGGACGTACAACCACTGATCACACGGTAGGTTAAAAGAGAAGTAAATAGCACAGCAAAGCTTTCATTCTCCGGCTGGTAAAAGCTCGCTCACACAAGCCAGGGTTCATACTAGAATTGCTCGTGAGCACAATTAGATATATAGTTATCAAAGCATGATTTCTCCGTACGGGGCACCCGGGTTACAAGTAGCATTAGTTTTGGACCTTCATCTGCAGCCTGAACATGGGTTGATGACTCGAGAAATTTTGAGAGACGGATTTCCGGGTATGCCACATCTAGCACATCCCTCCGGCGTGAGATATCAGCCACCACGGGTGGACCTACTCAAGGGTCGGGCGCGTTGCCAGGTGCGCTAGGAAATCCCTCCTTCAAACGTTATGTTATTAGTATTAGGTTGATAAGCTGGAATGGGAAAAGTACCCAGAGTCCGTCATCCATCCAAGATGGGGAAGATACTCCGTTCTAGCCACTATCCATTTCTCGATGGTACTTTCGGTGTCAAATTCTCGCGGGTCATTTCCTTGGGCCTTTCGACATTTCCTGCCACACGCCTCCCCCCCGCGGTGCCCGAGTATTCCCCGAGGGCACTCATAGACCTTTTCTGCACATTTGGAGTACGGGCTGAACTTCGGATCCCTCGTACTGCCGTTCCCGCTCGAGGCTAGTTCGGTGGCCTCCTGGATAGTAGTTTTTACTCGCCAGGTAACACATTTGTTGTAGCACGCGTCCTCCAACCACGCAACAAGCAGCGGACACTGAAAATATTTAGCTTCTTCCAGTACCCTGGAGTACATAGAATAATTGTGCCCCCTCTGAACGTCGAAGGCAAGGGGGAATGTTCCCCGTCGAAGATATTGCATAACATAATCAAAAGCATGCGGGTCACCTTCGATGAATATGGATCCATCCTCCTCCTTCTCGATCGGCCACGCGCCGGAAAAGTAGGACTTGAAGTATTGGCTTTTTTCTACCAATGTTCCAACTGTTGTAAAGTACTGAGATTCCCCTACCCGGAGGACAACGCGTTCCGAGGGGCTGTGCGCCTCAGTTTCCATCGCCAAAAAGACTTTGCAAGTAAGGCTGAGAAATTTTCAAGTCGGGCCTTCCGCCGTAGGAACCTCCCTCATTGCAAGGTTCAAACAAGAAGAAAAGAGACGAAAACTGCGTGGGGTCATAGGCATCAGACTGTTTGCGGGGAGAAGTTCCAGCTTTTGTACTCTGTATAGAATGCAAGGCTTGAGAGCATGCCTTTGGCCACCTACGAGCCTGTAGTTATCAGATTGATCTTATCTCTTGGCGCCGAAGCTGCCACGCTGTTTGCTTGTTAGTCGGAGCGCCGAGATCCGTCCAAGTCTGGACCTGTTGGCTGGCGCAGGGGAGACGCTCAGTTATTGTTTCTGCCTGTAAGCCAGCTTCGGGTGATGAAGTTGTTCTGTTCAACGCGATGCCACGAAATGCCCCGCGGCTGCTCATGATGCCACTTGTCCTGAATGCAATTTGATTCTCTCAACTTGCACAATCCCAACTAGTTAATTCCCACCCTTGAGCTCAATATCGGAGACTCTTTTAAGAGCGAAGCTCTACGGTTAAAGAGAGACACCTACTTCCCCATACCAGTTTTCCCCTGAAAGAAGCGGCCTTCCACGATGCTGCCCATTCCCGCTGCATTTTTCCTCTTCCTCTCCTTCTTCCTCGACCAGACAACAGCCTACAATCCCAACAAATCCCCTTCCCGCAATGCCGTTCTCCTCTCAAACATCCAGACCCTCACTCTCCATGCAAACCGAAAAACCAGCCATCGACGCGTCCACGCTATCCCGCAGCTAACTTGCGTCGGCCCTTCCAAACGCATCTGCTCCTTGTATACACCCGACGTTATGCGCTGCACAAACCAAGGCTACGACTACGACGAGAATGATATCCAGTGGACGTGTACAGCCGAGTTGCCCCCGGAGTTTAAGCTGGGCAGCACGGAAGTAGTGTGCGAAGGGTATAGAGACTCCAATGATCCGTGGATATTGAAAGGAAGTTGTGGGGTAGAGTATCGGATGCTGCTGACGGAGGAGGGAGAGAGAAAATTCGGCTACATGACGGGCGGTGCGTTGGACGACAGAAGTTGGGCAGAGCAGCTGTGGGATTTCGTTAAAGGTGTGGGTACGATTTTTATCGTCATGGGGAGCTTCATTGCGTTGATGAGTTATTGTAATCGGTCGACTATTAACAATGTGAGGGGAGCGGGTGGTTGGTTTGGCGGTGGTGGTGGAGGCGGATGGGGGCCTCCTGGCCCTCCGCCACCCTATGATTACCATGGAAGGTATACGAAGACGGAAACATGGCAGCCGGGATTCTGGTCTGGAGCCCTCGCTGGGGGGCTAGCAGGATACGGGCTGGGAAATCGGCGTTCGTCAGGCCGGAGAACCGTATATACCCCAAGCAGCTCTGGCAGTAGCAGCGCTGGCCCGTCTAACTGGACAAGAGAGAGCACAGGCTTTGGAGGCACAAGACGTCGTTAGGCGCGAAATGCAAAACCCCTCCCTTTTCCCCCGGGGGGGCGCAAATAAGAAATAAGTTACTCTAATCGCTTGGAACTAAGCTTGTTTGGTTTCTATCACTATATAGCTAGCATTCGACATGCGGATAATAATATACATAGTGAAACCAAGACATTTATTAGGAAAGGGCGTGTGATCGATTCGAACTTAAAAGTCATCAATTGTACCAAGAATCTCTTCAGTGCCTCCACCAAATTGGGCGGACTTGGCCTGTTTTTTCTTTTGACTCCGACCTCGCTTCGTATCTGCCCCATTTTCTATACTGGGCAGTACATTTCCATCGCCAGGATTACGAAGCTGCTCCTCACGCGCTTCTCTTTCCTTCGCATGTTGCTGTTCGATTCTCTTCTTCTCCTCCTCCAGCTCTTGATGGATGACCTTGGGATCATCATAGACTGTATTAGTCATCTCCGAGTATGCGTCGAGGTCGACAGCTTCGCGAGGACCAAGTAGCGTCTCCTTGATCCGTTCAGGATCCTTTCTCTCCTCATTGCAAAATTTCAACTTTATATGTCTCCGCGTCCGGCCAGGGAACATTTTGCTGATCATCATAAAGTCCGTTCCGAACATCCTCAGGCCCTTGTAGAACAAATCGGTTAATTCTTCATCCCACGCCTCGTATCTTGTTCGCTTTCCGAAGGATGCTTGATTAATGCGTCGTGTTAGAGGGTTCTCTACCACCTCTTCCATCTCCTCCGCATTCCGAGCCGCATCAGCATGTCGGTCCATTTGCAACGAAGATGTATCCAAGACGATCTCTCCATTCACGATACGCATTTGCGGGCCGCTGGCTTTTATTTCATCTCGACTTAGCCGTTGTTCTCTTGATTCCGACTGCCTTTCGGTCGTATCTTTTTTCTGGTCTTGAGTCGTACTCTGCTCCCTGCTTTCTCTCTCCCTTTGTTTCCTTGCGAATTCTGCAACTTCCATGCTTCTTAGTTCCATTTCTCGTTTCGACTTTCTCCCTGTGCGTAGGTCTCTACACAGATCTGACATCTTAACAACTGCCGAGACTATCTCGATCGACTCGGCGTTTTCGGGTGTCTCCTCACGTTTCCTCCGGCCGCGGGGTTTCCGTGGACTCACTGAATCCTCCGCACATTCCTCCCCCTCATTTTCCGCTACTCTTTTGCGCTTAGCCTTAGACTTCTTTGACGTAGCGGTTTTCTTAGTGGCCGGGACTGGAGCCTCAGTATCTTGGGTTGTCGTCGACTCCACGGATGGCGTTACAGACGCAGCAGATGCGGTAGGTGCTATGGCCTGACTCTCCGCTTCTCTGCGCGAAGGAGGAAGTATCCGCGTTTCTGGTTCCGAGACTCTGATTCGCTTTGCTGGGCGGACGCTTGTTTGCGAATCAGAGAGCGCTGGGGTCTCTGTGATATCTAGGGTCACGAAGCTCGGACGGCCTGGCGCTGGGGAGCCACCTTGGGCATCAGCTCTCGGAGTACTGATTAACGTAGATCCTGCATTTCCTGTCCCCAGTGACGTTGGCTTTTGTGAAGGTGATTTAACGGTACTAGACTGGGTTTGAGGAGCCGTGGAAACGGAAGACCTTCTTGAAGGTAGGGGGATGCGAACGGCCTTGGGGGATGCGGGGCTTCGACGTGTTCGGGGCGAAGGTGAAGAGGGTTGAGCTGACGGTTTTGCATGTTCTGGAGACTTAACAGGAGTCGAAGAAGATGCTGGTGCCGGACGTGCCGTTGCCGGTGGGGACGATCGTGCTTGGGAAGAGATTTGCGATGCTTGCGACGGTTGCAGAGTGGTGTCTCGTGCTGGCGGGGCTGGGGTAGTGGAAGGAGCAGGCGCACGACGCGCTGGTATCTTGGGAGCGAATTTTTTCCCGGATTTATCTACCAATAATTGATTAGCATGCATAGAGCGCGTCGAGCGGGGGAGGGGAAAATCTGGGCTCACTGATGACAGAGCTCGAGAAGGAAGCCATGGCGGCGTTTGGCCCGCGTCTGGCAGTCTCACTCGGGCTAATGCGGCGATACGTGCGTGGTCCACGTTGCGGTCGTCGCGCTCATCGTCCACCACGGTCGTCGGCAAGTCGAGTTGTGGGCGTCGGTCTGGGCTGGATGGATGGATTGGAGGGGGGCAAAAGCCGCGACCCAGCGCAGGCCGCCGCCAAGCCCCGTGGCGCAGAGTCAATCTGTGAGTCACGTGAAAATGCCAAGCGCTACGCTAAGACTGGAACGGGTGGAAAATCCTCCCTTTGAACTTCACTCTCACCACGACCTCAACTCTTTCCTCTCTGCCCGTGTTGTCCTTCTCCTCCTCTTTGCCGCTTTCCTTCGCGTCAGTCTCGCCAGTCGGTCTGAAGGCTTTCTGGCGGCTGCTTTTGTTGTCTCCTTGGTGTTGAGGCCGCGCCTCTCATTACATGAACCGGCATTACCCTGATGACGGTCATCGAGGCGTCAACGGTCCCTTTAACCAAGCCTGGTCTTGTCGGCAAGATGGAGGACCGGAAAAGGCCTGCTTCCCATGATCCTAGCGATTCTACCCCTCCCTCGAAGAGGCAAGCGACCTCTGTGAATGGTGGTGCCAAAATTCACCCTGACGCCGATATGCCATGGAAGGACGATTTGGAGGTATGTTGCAGGATGCTATCTGCGAAATGATAAAACGTTTCCCTTCATTTGGTGGCAAGTCGATTCGCCGATAACGGAGGCTAATTAGCACTCCTGAATAGCGATTCCAGAAAGATGCAATCCTGCGTCAGATGCAAGAGTACAAGCGCGAAAAAACAACACTAGAAGCCCGCATCAAGGAATTGACAAAATCCGCTGCTTATCACGATGAACACATTCGTGTTATTGACGCCTGGCTGCAACAGGTACTTGTTTTCCACTCCACTCTTTCGTCCTGTTTAGTTTTGAGGTTGGGACTTAACTGATTCTTTTCTTTTTCTTTGCGATTTTAGTTGCTTGACGAAGTTAAAGTTTTACTCGGGCCTCTAGGCGAAGCCTCTGAAGGTAGCCAAATTCCCTGTCCAAGACAAGCTATTGTTCGCTGATACAGATTGAAAGATTCATCCCCACCCCAAAGCGCTCTGTTGTTTACCGGCAATGAGAATTTTCAAAAGCATTTAAAGGATCGCGCCGATTTAATTAAGTCTACTATGTCGTTACTATCCGCGCGTGCTCCGAAAGCTTCGCGTGACGTGGCAGAGCTGCAGTCTCAGCTCAATAAAAAACTAGCAGAAGAAAAAGCAACAATCGCGGAACTCGATCAAGCGCTAGCTGATAAGCAACAGCTCGAAGAGCGCCTCGAAGCAGCGTCACTTCGATATATGGTCGCGGAGAAAAGGATAGATAGGGCGAAGAGTCTGACAGTTGCTCGATTGGAAAAGCAATATATTCTTGGAGCACAAAAGTCTAGTGGAGAAAATATGTCGGCCCGACGCGAGGAAAGTTCCGGTCCTAATGGTCCGTCCGATTCGACAGAAAAACTTTCCGAATTAGAGATGTCCTACAACAAAACCATTGCAATTTCGGAAATTCAGAAAGAACAAATTGAGAAATTGGAAGCTGAGAACTCGAAACTATCCACTCAATTAACGGATCTACATGTTAAGGTAAGCTAGTCGGTTTCTGCTAGCCTTTTTACCGAACATTGTCTAACATAGTCAGCTTTCGAAATTATCCGATGAAGATTATTCCCAGACCGATCTCTTTAAACAGCTGAAGTCTCAGCATGAAGATGTGATTAAGCGAGTAAATCACCTCGAAGCGACGAATGTACAATTACGCGAAGAAGCCAAGAAACTTCAAACAGAAAGGACAGCATATCAAGTTCAAATAGAAAACGAGGTTCAAGCTTCTCTCGGTGAAAAGGAAGCCTATCTCTCTAAAGTAGAGTCGGATTTGGCTCGTATCAGAAACGCTCGGGATGAACTGCTTGCTGACCAGCAAATGCGGAAGGCCGCTCAAGAGCAAGAAAAATTTTCATTGGTTCAGATGAAGGAACTACTGGAAGCCCGAGAAGCTCGTATTACATCGCTTGAGTCGGAAGTTGAGCGACTACATCTTCAAATAGATGGCGTCAAAGATGTCCGTTCGGCGACGACTGAACTATCCATGGACGAATTGAGGGCGAAGTACGAGACTCTGGATAAACAATACGAGTTACTGAATACCGAGCTTTCCTCGATGCAAGCAGCCTTCAAGCGGACGTCTAAACTCGCGTCTCAGAAGATCACTGAATTTGCCAATCTCGAAGATAAGATTCAGCGGCTAATAGCAGAGAAGTCGAAAGCCGATCAAAAATATTTTGCTGCCATGAAGAGTAAGGAAGCGCGTGATTTGGAACTTCGGACACTACGAGTTCAAAATATGAAAAGTTCCGATATCATATCTCAACTCAAAGATTCCGAAAGTATGACCCGGAATCTTGTCTCAAACGTTGAAAAGCAGCTTTCAGAGACAAAGGAAGCTTTGAATAGCGCCCTTGCGCAACATCGAGCATCCCAGCAGCAGGTCACAGAAGCAAATCTTGCCATTCAGGGATTAAGGCTACAAGTTGCAGAACTGAAAGCTCTTCTTGCCAACAGAGATGCCTCCCTCGCGTCCGCCAATAGTACTTGCCGAAAAGCTGAAAATACGGTTGAGGGTCTTAAGTCAATCCTCGCGGACACCAAGAAAAGCCTCGAGTCTTGGAAGGCGAAGGGGTTGGGTAATTCTTCCTCGGAATACGAAATGCTGAGAGTAAGTTTCTTCTCTTTGATAAGCCCACCGGGTACCTGTTAACGTTTCCTCAGACTCTGGCACTCTGTACCGTGTGTCGCAGAACTTGGAAAAACACAGCAATCAAAACTTGTGGTCATGTGTTCTGCAAAGAGTGTGTCGAGGAAAGACTCACTTCTCGGTCTAGAAAATGTCCTAATTGCAATAAGTCATTCGGTAACAACGACTACATGCACATCACCCTTTAACGATTCTCCCGGTATTTTTTCTGCGTTTATCGCCAAGCTCGCCTTTACATTCTCGTTTTGTACAATACCTTTTAGTTCTGTTTATCCCCTTCTTTCGTGGCGCTTTCATGAGAGTTGAACGAGGAGACTCGGCCTGTCGTGGTAACAATCTCGAAACGGATGGCGCTGGAAACAATGCGGGCTTTTTTGCCGTCTTTAGCATGGGTTTTTTCACAGCGGTTTTCCTGCAGTTCATGAGGCGGAGGTGGCGTTTATCTTCTGGGTCCGGCGGTTTTGCCTTAGGCTCCGTTAGGCAGTTGTTGGAGTTTTGCGGTCTGTTCAGGGTATTCCGTCGATTGGGACGGTCGGGTTGGCCTAGGGTTTAGCTTACACGATGTACATAAATACAACTGGCGTGTGTACGAATTTTGATCATTCTTCGACGCAATCAAGGATGCTATTATTCGGCTTTCTATCTTGCCCTGATCTTCGGGCGGATGTTCCTTTACACCTCACGAGTTGAATATCCTGCTGTAGAGAAGCTCATGCCGGCCCAACCATAAGTCAATGACCGGAACTACCTGCCCAGCATTTTCCGGCTCAACATCCCATTCCCTTTGAATTCTTTGTACAATTAACTTCTGCAACGCTCGACTAGCTAATATCTCTTGTGCCTGATAGGGGCCCATAACAGACGCTCTCACCGCGGCGCTGAGTAAGGCTTTTGCATGATTCAGCATAAATACATATGCCATCTGGCGTAGATTCACTCCCATAGCGGCGCAAACCACGCCCCAAAGAGGTCCGAGATGGCCGTTCGGATGCCCATTCAGCAGATCTTCATCCCCATCGGCTGAAGGTTGTTTCAACAATTCTGAAAACGAATGCAGAGCAGCAGATGCCAACTGCGCATGAGCAGAGGGTCGATCTCGGGTGGTTTCTCCGCCTGCGTTATTTGTGAAAGAGGCGGCTCCGTAGGAGGCCTTGAAAGATCGTTCCCAGACGACTAGTAATGCCATACCTTGTGCCACGCTCGCTCTGCGAGCCACGCAACATGGCGTGGAGGCGTCGAGATCATTGTCAAGGGTTTCGAGGTGATCGGGATATCTATGTGATTTGAGGACATAAGGCAATGTAGTGCTTGCTATCGAGGATATCGAGAGTCTGAGGAAATCGTAAAAAGAGCCAAGCAGAGATGTGTTGGGTGGTAAGGGCTTGTTGTGAAGGATGTAGGATTCTAACCCACTGGAGTAGGCGAAGGAGCCAAGAGGAAGGGCCGAGTCAGATAGCAGGAAGAGAGAGTGAGAGGAGGACATGGACGGTATAAAATCTGCTCCGTAAGTTTGTTTAGCTGTGATATACTTAGGAAAACGCTCCAAAATGAAACGGACCATTGGAATTGACGTCAGCAATTTGCAGTGAGCCTTCATTCTGTCGATTCAAAAGGGTCATGGCCTTTTCTAGCTGGCGTTCCAGACCTTTAATCTCATTTTCAAGCTCTTCGCGTGATTTCCCTATTGCCATGTCATCCGATGAACTGTGCTGCGGACTTCCTATAGTGTGTTGTCTTGCTAGGGATGCGGGTTGGTAAGGCTCTCCAGAGCTAAAATTGCCCGGATTCACCGCCGTGGCTCGGGTCAGCAGAAAAAGCTTAGCTCTAGGCCGCCCGATACATGATCCGATCGCGCCGCTCACAGGACAAAATTGCCGTCGCACGGTTGGGGTGTTCCGACTGATTGATGGTATTACAATGCAATTGACGTGATAGCTTGCGAGTTTGCCGTTAGATCTCTGCGATGTCAGGGCGTCGTCTTCTCGATGCCATCACGCTCCTCAACGCCACACGCAATGTCGCCGCAAAGCACCTTGCTTTGCAGAGAAAGCACCTCGATATCCACGCACGAACGTCGTCGCTGACAAAAGAGATCAAGTCTCAGTCAGATCGATTGGGTCTTGCGCTCAAAGCAGCTACTGAATTAGCGCGGAAACTCGACGACTCGTCACCGAGCACTGCCACGGGAAGGGCTAATGTGGGAGCGGAAGATTTTACAACAGCGGAGGATGGAAGGAATTTTGCTGAAAATTCAAATTCTCCCGAGATCAGAAATAGTGAAGGGCTAGACGAAGGGCAGGAGGGCGTGAAAATAAGTTCAACCCAGGCGTTCGAATCGGAATATGCGCCTAAACAAGATGCAGTGCCTCCAAAAATCGGAAGCGATGAAAGGTCTGCTCCAAAGACGACAGAGCCACTGGATGATTTGAGTAACACTACAACTAGCAATGTAACGGGGTCTACAAACAGTGAAAATGCTGTCAACCGCGAGGAGCTCCCGGATGATATGGTGAAGCAGCTCTTCCGAAGCCAGAAAATGTCAAATTCTATATATCGGAATCGCCACGGTGGAAAATCTTTCGTCTCTGACGAGATGTCCGGGAGGAGCCCTTTAGCCCCTGGATTTGCGTCTGCGCAACGCACAACAGGCGCATCCCATCCCGCTAGTAGTCCAGTCGAGCCCAAGTCGAATTTAGCAACGATGGCTTCGGCTCAGCCCACAGAACAAGACCAAAATCCGATAAACTTTCAAGAAATCCACGAAGAAACAGCCAAAGTAAGCTGCCACTATAAACGTTTAGTTGTTTGGTCGACTGATTGAGCGTACTAGATAGACGCGAATGAGACCCCTTTAAAACGAGAATACCAAATGGTAGAATCTCGCATACCATCATCTCGCCTTGGAAGGCTGTGGGAATACGGCGGTCTTGCAACATCAATGGCATTCGGAATAATGGGCGAAAGCATACGTCGAGTTGCTGGCAGTGATGAGGCGAGCACCGGCTCCTTGCTGCTTAATCCTGCAAATATAGGGCGTCTTGTGGCAAAGCTATCTAAAATGCGAGGCGCCGCCCTTAAACTTGGACAGATGCTTAGTTTTCAAGGTAGGATATTAAGATTCACGAATCTTGGTCATGTGGTTAATTATATTAATACGTGCGGTAGATTCAAAGATGCTACCCCCAACGATCCAAGAGGTCCTGCAGCGTGTCCAAGACAGGGCCGATTACATGCCTGCTTCGCAGCGGGACAAGGTTTTAACCGATAATCTGGGATCTGATTGGAGAAACTTGTTTGCAACTTTTGATGAGGTCCCAATGGCTGCCGCGTCCATAGGACAGGTTCACGGCGCCACACTGAAAGAAACTGGGCAACGAGTGGCAGTGAAAGTACAATATCCAGGTGTCGCTGATTCCATTGATTCCGATTTAAAGAACCTATCGATTCTACTTACCGCATCCCGCCTCCTACCCAAGGGTTTATATCTGGATAAAACCATTGCAAACGCGCGGATCGAGCTCGCTTGGGAATGCGACTACATTCGCGAGGCAGAATGCGGCCAAAAATTCAGGCAATTCCTCCAAGACGACACGCCCACGTTCCTTGTCCCCGAAATTGTCACCTACGCCTCGGGCAAACAGGTCTTGACCATGGAACGCATGGACGGCATAGCAGTCACCAAAATCCAAAATTTCACTCAGGGCCAGCGAGATTGGATTGGAACTCAAATCCTTCGCCTTTGCCTCCGCGAAATCTGCGAATTCAGATATATGCAAACCGATCCGAACTGGACCAATTTTCTCTACAACGCTCAAACCAACCGGCTTGAACTTCTTGATTTTGGCGCCTCACGCGCGTACCCTGCCTCGTTCATTATAACCTATATCCGCATCTTACTCGCCGCGTCTCGCAACGATCGCGAGATGTTACATGAGCTATCTCTCAAGTTGGGCTATCTCACGGGCTTCGAATCACAAGCCATGATCAACGCACACATCGACTCCATCCTCACGCTCGCCGAGCCGTTTAGAGAGAGTTCTCCTGATATATATGATTTCAGCGATCAAACAATCACAGAGCGGGTAAAGGAGTTGATTCCTTTGATGCTAAGAGAGAGATTGGCGCCGCCGCCCGAGGAGACGTATTCACTTCATAGGAAACTTAGCGGAGCATTCTTGCTATGTGCAAGATTGGGAAGCAGAGTACCATGTCGGGAGCTGTTCGCAAACGCCTTGAGCAAAGTGGAATGGGATAATGAGGAAGGAAATCACACTGCGAGTGCGAATTAGTAAATCTGGAAAATTGTCCGGTTGATGTATACTGTAGGATATGTAGGATTAAGAGATACTTTAAGATAGAGATAGATCTATATCGTGTACATTAGCTTCAATTCAATGTAAACTAGGTATTCATCGTATTGTTTTTTCTTTGTGCGTGAAAAGCCGAGTAATTTCCATTCTGGCCTATCCCTACTGTACAGGGATACGCCCTCATCAAGCAGCCCGAGTATCACGTATTCAAAAATGATCCACATCGGGGGCCTCACGCTGCACTGTTTCGCTGGATGTGACCGTGGTATGAACACGCAGTCTCCACTCTTCCTCAACGGCGATCGCTTTTCAGACATCCATTATTTCCCAATCGATCGCACAAGTTGCATCGACGTTGGAAAATTTACGAAGTATGTCTTGACGCTCGGGTATTGTTTCAAGTTGTCGTAGAGTAATCCCGGGTCATCGTCTGGAGGTATGGACGATTCGCTGAGGACCGGGGCGTCGAGGGCCAGGCTTCTTGCTGAGTGTCGACGCCAAACAGGGATAAATCTCGCGGTACGCGTATAGCTTTCGAAAAGCTAAGTGTCCTCAAACGCGGCCTTTGGTGTTCCAACGGGAGCTGGAGCTTCCAGTAGAAATCCAATTCAACCAACGGGTTTCTATTTTCAGCCCTTCTTTTCAAACACATCATCCCAGTATCGTTTCACACCGTCGCAGATCCCTTTCTTATCCTTCCAACTTTCGAATTTATCTTCAAGCTCACACGCAACCCACTTGATCTCGGTCCAAAACCGCTTCACGACATCCTCTTCAAATTCGTCGATGGTATCTTCTGGAATCGTCCATTGACGTATGTAATTACCCTGGGGATCCCGAACAGGATCAGTGGCGTGCTTTTCGAAAATCGTTGCAGGATTGAATTTTGGGAAATTGGCGTGAATAAAAAACGGTTTCGGTGAACGAGCTGCGGAAGGGTTTGCGACACGGAATATCCCCTTCTTAGTTAACCGGTAGTCCTCTACGGGGTCGTATTGGACCATGGCAGAGCCATCCATTCCACCATCGGCGGCCCTATGCCCAATCGCACGTAGTGGTTCACTGACTTGGTAAAATGGTTCATTCACAGCCGTAGCAGCGGCAATAAACGTTTCTTTATCTCCTTCTCCTGCTGCGCCCTGCGAGAAGAGGGGGTAGTAGTGGGACGGCCCGTAAAAATTGTAATACGTAGAAAGCATAAGAGTCTTCTGGTGAGTCTTCTTGGAAATCAGGAGTTCTCCGGATTCTGTAGATGCTCTAACTGTCGTTGAAGGAATTGGTTGTGATGCAATCTTGTAATATAGCGGCGAAGCACTAGACGCCCAAAAATCGGGCCAGGTAACCATTTTGAACGAACGGAAAGGTTCGGATGAAAATAGAGTCTTCGGATCGTGCAGAGGAAACGCGTCCGCATCCAAGAATAACATCTCTTCAAATGAGGAGAAGAGCATTGCAAACGGTTTATATTGGTATTGTTTTATATCGATGGGTCCAGGGACCTGCCTGAGGATCCTGTTAAGGATCAAGCATTTGGCATTTAATTCTGCAAAAACTTGCTCGCATATATACGGCTCGTACTCTTCCTCAGAAGCAAGAAATACCTCCATCGGTAATTTGGAACCGTAATGCCGAAGCATGCGCAAGGATATCGTCAAGATCGGTAAAAATGGACCACCCGCAGTCGATACAAGGCCACGCGTGCCGGGTACGTAATACGGATGGAGAGGCCGGTCAATGAGCGTATTCACAAAGCTATTATGCATCAGCTTCATCATTTCGATGTCCGCCTGAGGCATCGAGATGAAATCCGGACGCTCCACCGCATTATTTGGATCGAAACGTATGGAGTTGGCCTTCTCCGATTGTTCCGGGGATGTGCAATTTGGATCGTTCGCGACGAGGATTGGGTGAAATGCTTTCCAGAACTTTGAGTGCTCTTGATAGTAGTTTTTGGGCATAGATATTCTCTGTGATTCGGTGGCACGCGACCCGGCTGAGCGGCGCCAACGAGACGGCAAGTAGACCAGGAAAACAAGGAAAAGGAAGAGGGAGATAAAAAGCTTCAATCGAACGGGAGATCTGGAACGAAATCTGGTCATGGTTTGGGTCCTATCGACTGCGCAAAATAACTATTTTTCATTCGCATATCCGTCGTTAATATGATGGAAAAGAAAGTTGGGGGGGTGGTACTCAAGTCGCTGCCTAGGACGTTGCATCGGCTCACCTAGATATTGGATTTCTGGTACGGAGTAAAGGTTATTATACTTCAGCTGCGCTTGGATTCCCACTACTCCGGAGAAGTGAAAAGAATTGAAGAAGAATAACATTGCGAATCATCAAACGCTGCCGACAGCGTCTGGGGAGAACGGTTTTATTTATAGATTACAGATGCAAGTCACAGATCGTCGTAAAAACTATCGAGTTCTAGCCTTGTCTAACGGCCCCTTTTCCCAGCATCTCCGCTAACACCCGGCATCAGGCCTCCAATAATTTTAATGCCGTTCAGCATTACGTGCTGAGGATCTGGTAAGATTTTTTTTCTACTCCGTACTGGTGGATTGTCGGGGAACGGAATTCCCAATAAGACACTGATAGTATCAGGACTATTCCAGCGTCCTGAAAGGTCTGCTCCCGTCCGAGATATGCTCTGTACTACGGGGCACTGCCGGTTGCACAAAGATGTGCAGACAGAAAAGACGGCGCGGATGGATTGGTGCGAGTTGTCCTCCAGCGTAGTGGAGCAGGGCAGGGAGGTGGCCAGGACATGCCAGCAACAGCAACAGGAGTTTCTCTGCGGCCAAACACCAGAGTAGACCAGGGTGCCTGGACATCCGTCGGCGAAATTTTCCGAGTAAAACGCGAGCAGGTCATTGGCACACTTGGGGCACGATCTACTGTTCCTGAAGATCCGACAAAGCTCGAGAACAGGCTGAAATGGCATGTGGAAAAGATGCTGGAAATTGCCTGGACATGCATGCCACAGACTGAGAAGTGAATCGCTCCTCCTGCGGCGCTCCAAAAAAGGGAATATAACCCCGGAAGCGCAACCCCTGAGAAAAGAGGTCTCGACGCTGAAACGGAGGCCCGACGCTCAGGGCCGATTCAATGTTCGGCCACCGCAAACACCATCTCCTGCAAAACGCCCCACAATCGGCCAACTGTCAGGTGCGTCCTTTCGCTAGCGCTGACGAACCGCGTTCTGCCAACACGACTCCGGTCCCTCGCACTCTCATGAGTTCCCCCCTGGGCGGCTGGCACCGCCAAGGTCCAGCCGTCGATGATGGGCGATCGTTGCCGGTTGGCGTTTTTGGGCCTCGGATCCACGTGATCCCGCCAAGCCTTGTCGCCCCGCTGCCAAGCCTCACGGGCACTGACGTCAAACCCTAAACCCTAACTGCCCCGCTTTGGACAGGTAGTTGCTGCTTGCGAGAGGAACCATACGACATCATGCCAGGAACCGCTCTCTATCGAGCTGCATGCCATCCGTGTAGCAACGTCGTCGAAGCACAGGAGAAAGACAGAGAGAAACTTCGTTAGGCCGTTGTGCTAAGAAATTTAGTCTCTCTCTATCTCTCTCTCTCTCGCGCGCGCGCGCAATCCGTCGGCTTCATCCTCTTGGTTGGGCGATGTGAAGATGGGAAACACCCCGTCGAAACCCCCTGGTCAACCAGCGCAAGGCCCCTCGGCGCAATGGAACGACAGGAAAGTGAACAGAAGAACGTCCATCCAGGCATTGTCGGGGAGCAAATCAGCAGCTGTCGATCCATCGGCTTCAAAAGAGAGCGCAACCGGTCAATATTCTCAACGGCAGCAAACGCCGGTTCATCAGAGGCTACAGTCACGCAACATCGCCGAGTCGGCAGGTCGAGGTTACGATAGGTTGGAACGACGCATCTCCCGGAAGGAACGTGAAGATGATACTCGAGATTTTCCTATCCACCCAAAGCCGTCCGACACTCCTGAACCAGCAAGAGCCGTTCAAGTCCCGACTCCAGCGTCATCACAGCAGTATCCATATGTAGGCGGATATGGACCGTCTGTAAACACCTACTATGCTACCCCTTCACACCTCTCACGGCCCCCACGGCTTCCTCTGCCGATTGGCGATGCGATGTCGGTCCCTGGATCACCAATCACAGCCAGTGGCTCATTGGGTGCAACGGCCGCTTTTGATAGGGCCGGAATCTACCCTGACAAATCAGGTTTGAGTGATACTGCTGATGATGACGATGAAGTTGTGGATGAGCTGGAACCATTTGTTACCACCGGCCTAAACAAGGCCGTATCGACGACTATCGAGTGGAGAGGTGGTGGGGAGAAGGTATATGTGACAGGAACCTTCGTAAATTGGGCAAGGAAATTTAAACTATACAAGAGGTAACCCCACCCCTTTGGTCCATGGCAGGCCACATTTCGGAGCATATGGACCTGACCGTTGTCTCCTCTAGCGAGGTTGAAAACGGCTTGTTTTCGACTACTCTCAAACTTCGTCCAGGGACGCACCATCTTAAATTCATTGTAGATGGTGTTATGAGAACTTCCGACAGCCTTCCCACTGCCGTTGATTTTACCAACCACCTGGTCAACTACATTGAAATAAGCCCTGATGAAATGCCAGCTTCCCGGGGAAGTGATAAGCCTCCTAAAGTTGTGATTCCACCAGGACTTTATCCCCCGCAGGTGCTTCCCGACTCTTTACCCGTAGAAGAACCCGAAAAGGAGCCTGAAGAAGAGATACCCCTCGGTGATTTCCGTACAATTATTCCACCGGTCCTCATCGATATAGATACGGAAGAAAGCACACCGGGCTATACACAAGCCGCGAACATCATAAATGATTTTCCTGCCCCACCGATGCTGCCAATGTTCCTCGGCCGATCGATATTGAACAGCTCCACGCCCATGAAAGACGATAACAGCGTTCTGAATTACCCGAATCACACTGTCTTGAACCATCTTGCGACTAGTAGTATAAAAAATGGTGTCCTAGCCACGAGCGTGACGACAAGATACAAAAGAAAGGTCTGTGTACTTCCCAACCTGAACCCGTTTATGCCGTAACCAGCCTTGCTGATTGATCTCGACGAACAGTATGTGACAACCATTTTGTACAAACCCACCGGCCATGAATAAACCTTCCCACTTGCTTGGGAAGGCTGGTTCTGCATTGCGGGCCTGTACACATACACACACCTTACACAAGCTGTCGTGGTACCATGGCATATCCTTGGTTCCATCGAGGGTGCCATGTCCCTCGCCAAGCCAACATGTGACGGGCCAAATTGAATTGGGTTCATTTTCCCGCTTTTGTTTATTAGCTATGGTGGCCAAGTTAAATACAGCGGAGGTATTCATTCCCCAATCGATGCCTGAGAGCATTAGGCTCACCCGCTTGCCAGGCAAGCTGCCCTCTCTCACGTCCAAAAATTCCTTTTCAATATTTTTCCCCATTAGCGGTTTGATGAGACTGCCTTGATCTATTGAGCGACACCTTTATTTCATCGAAGCGAATTTTTTCGGTTCTTTGCGTTCTTGGCGGGACATTCACATGTCTTAAGCATGTCCTCTGGTGGAGGTTACAGGCAATCCAAGGTGTTAAAAGTTTTATGATGCATTTAGAAGAAGGGTCGAAGAATCCCCTTCTATATGAGTTCGGATTTTAGGAGGCGGTTCCGAATTTCAATCTTCCCCTAGCCTTCGGAAAAACACGGCTAGATGATGTACGTTATGGGACTGGAACAAAGTAACGAAAGCGATAACTACTTGGAAAGATAATGTCGGAGTCAACTCGCACATTAGGTGGCAAAGCAATCACTCCACTCTCGGTTCACAAAGTGAAAAGCGCCCAACTAAGGACCGGACGATCAACCGTACAGTCAAAATTAATCCTTCTGTGCTATTTTGATGATAGGAGAAGTCGAAAATGAGGCTAATACTTCTCCACAAACTCTAACACATTCCGCTCCACTTCCTCGGGATTTGAAAAGCTCAAAAAGTGCTGGCCACCCTCGACAACAATCAACCTTGCATCTGGCGAATTTACAAACATTTTGACCTCCTCTTCCGCATTAGCAACCGAGTACACAACATCGCTCGTCCCATGCATCCAGAGGACAGGGCACCGGATATCCCATAGCCGGCTGTGTAAAGTATCTCTATCGCGGAGATTGACCGCCGCCATCCTGATCCGTTTTCGACCATCGTTCCCCCGGTATTTAGACTGAAGGGTTTGGCTCCAGAAGGCTCGGACCTCGGAGGGACAGTTGGCGCCGAAACCCGCATCGATGAGAAAGTCGCAGTATGACTGCGTGAGGGAGAAATCAGGCGTAGGAGTGTCGCTGGTCCAAGAATTGATAAGGTCGGCACAGGGTTGGATGGGATCCCAGCACCCGAGAGCACGGCTGCGGGGGGACTCTGAGTCCATAGAAGTGCCCAAAGGGATGATTCCTTGGATCTATCCAGGTTGTATGGTTTGTTAGTGAGGGCAATATGATATGTCTCAAGTTAATGTCTATTGGATTCCCCACCTTCTCTGGGGCAAGCAATGCCATTCTTACGGTTACCCAGCCACCTTGGCTGGTACCAAGAATGAACGCTCTTTTAATACCTAATGCATCCATGACCTGCAGGTTCATGATCGCAGTGTCCCAATACGTCCAGTGCTCGCACTCTGTCCGGGTTTGCCCATGCCCTAGGAGCTCGATGGCGAGGAGGTTGAGCTTGGATAACAACGCGGGGCTGGAGAATTGTGCATCATAGAGTTCAGAAGATGTTGTGAAGCTGTTTATCAAGATGAGGGTAGGTTTAGAGGCGTCGTAGGGATCGGATATACGGTATGCAGCGTCAATGCCGCCAAGGTGGGGGACGTGAATCGTTTTGGTGTTCGACATGGCTGTTGGTTTTGGGCGCTGGGCAAGATAGTTGGAGAACTGAGAGAGCTGGGAGTATGAAACGAGCAGATGAGAAGAGAGCTCCATTTTTTAGAGATTGTGACCCGGCCTGATGTCATGATAGACGTTTCTTGTAGAATAGCCGAGGGTCAAAAGGTCTCGTGTAGTGAGGGGCTTGAGAGGGCCAAGGCGAGGGAAGCGGGAATGTCAACATCCTCCGTAAAAAGGACTCCGTAAAGAGTAGAGCAATATCCATCAATGGAAATAGATAGAACAATAATTCGCCATGCACAAAACAATATGCAAATCCTCTCTCTTTTTTACTTTTTCTTTTTTGTTGAAGAGCGGACGCTAGTATCTCCGTCCGTATCTCTGCTATCCATTTCAATCAAACCTGCCCCCATGGACCCCATATCTCCATCCCGCATATCCCGCCGCCCCACCCGCCACCCCTAAACCCAGTCCCCCGAGCGCCGCAGTCCCTGTCCCGAGGCTTGGCACTTTTCCTCTCCGCGCGGCAACCACACACGCCACCGCGCCAAGCACTCCGCCAGCGGGGACCCATCGATCCATCTCCATCTGTCCCTTGTTTTCCAGCAACCTCCACGATCGATCCTGCCACTCGATCTCTTCCCGTCCGCGCATCTTGAAAGTCACCATTCCTGCGCCGGCGAGCATGCCGGCAACGGAGCCCCGGCTGGCATATGTGATGAGTCGGGTGGTGTAGACGGGGACGGTTCGGGGTTGTTTTGCTGCGGTGAAGATGGTGGCGGAGACGACGGATAGGATTGAACCAACGGTTAGGCCGGCGCGAATGACGTGTAGGGGGAGGATGATATGGGAATGTGGTTGGTCTTCGGCGTAAGGGGGGTGAGGGAAGATTTTGTCCATTGTGCGCGGAAGAAAGGTGTCTTTGGGGGTGAAGAGAGAAGAGAAGTAATGCACTTGCTGCTAGTGATGATTGTTGGGTAATCTGTACTCTGCACTCAAAGGTTAATGTGCGGTTAATGGAAGAGAGAAGAACGAGGCAGAAATAAAGGGTCGGGGACTAGCAGGCTGGACACCGGCGATCGCCTAGCTAATTAGTTCAGATGAATAGTTAGCAAGCAGCTTCTGCGCCTAGTCCATACTCCGCCAGATTCCTATTCTGCCTGCAATTAATTGCATGACCGAGTTTCCGAATCATCTGTGATTTCACTTGCGGCCGCATTACAGTTGGAGACCCCCCAACCTCAGAACAGGCTATGAAAAAGCAACCTCCTGGGGGCGATTTAAGGTCAGGTGGTTTGACGGTGGTCGGAATTTCTCTTTGCCGGGGCATGCATTCTTGTTTATGGGCACCAGCAGTGAAACACAAAAGTGTTGACAGAGAAGCGCGCAATGGTGGCTCGCCTTAGGAGGGTGAAATTTGTAGCGAGGTCTCTTCTTGTCGCGTGGATACTCTAGCCCCTTATTTACGTACTCCAATGAAGATTCTGTTGACCATAATTCTTGCTTATTATCTTGACTTGTGAACATGCCCATCATATACGACATTGTCCCAATGGCTTATGTGTACTGTGCATAGAGGACGGGGTACCCATATCCCTGATCACAGGAAGTTCCCAAAAATCCCTTTGTCAACATATCTAAACTGAGAGACATCCAGATCATTTTCCACCTCATCTCTTTGTGCAGCAAACCCAGCAGCCGGTCTAAATTTCATAGATCAATAGGCATCATCACCAGGAGCAGAAAACAAGTGCAATTCATTCGGAACATCTCAATCGCTGCAGCAAAGAACTTACCACCTGGAAGTGCACTGGTTCCTATTCCATTGAATTAGCTTCGGGATGGTTTAAAAGAATGCGGATATCGTCCCAAGGGTCCTTGGGCTCAAGTGACGGGGGGAAAATAAGACGAAACACCTCAAGAAAGTACTCACCCATCCTTCCTGACACCATGTGGGCTTATCGACATAACATACTCCAGACTCGCATCGGTCAGCCCTCTCAGCGATATCCGGCGCTGGGGCGGCGGAGACACTTGCCAGGAGAGCCGCAGTGGCGAACGCAATGGCTTTCAGCCAGAACATATTTAGAAAGAGAATCGGGTGTTTTCTCGCGTTTGAAAGTAATTGGATATAGCGCTGCGCGTCGGGACGGTTCGATGCTTGCTGGCTGAAGTGGAAGGGGTAGCGATTTCCAAGGGACTTGATGGACAGGCCGCTACGCACGTCTTCTTTATATGTTTCTCTGCGTTGAAGGGCTTTGGTGTGCCAAGGGTATCGACATAACCTTCTTTATCCTCAGTTCTCTGCTTCTACCCCCGGGATTTCGCATGTAACTAGGGGCTCGGGATCTAAGTTTTGTTTCCGCACTTCTTTGTCGCTTCATCGCTGGATAAACAGATATGCGGGACCTGGATTGTTAAGTATAATTCCCCTTAAGCTCATGATGATGATTTTCCCTGTATCATGCATCATTGTCTCGATCATTGGGAGGAGCCCCGCGTTGAGAAGGGAGCATGGGACCATTCAAGGCTGTTTGTAGACAGAAGAACTAAGACCCCGCATTCCTTCGCACACGGTAACTAACATTCGTTGAACCCTATTATTGCCGTAATAATGCACGCACCGTGTTCCGTCGCTGTTTGAGAAACATAGTCGTCGAGCGACAAATTCAAGCGCCAGCTGCGAGAGCTGAAATCACAGTTCCGGCTGCCGGATTGGATTTGTCAAATGAAATGTATCCCCAAATGGCGATGATAAAGGTTGGCTTTGCGTGACCAACAAAGCAGGTTTATTGGTTGGTATTGGTAGTAGACGACACCAGGCGGGTTTCTATCTCATTTGTTGGCACTGTAACAGAGTACGGAGTTGCATCCATGCCAGGTGCCAGTGCCAAGGTACAGGAACTGCTGTGCGAGGAAACAAAATAGACACACTGAGTCACAGACTTTCCCGAGTATGTAGCCAAGTATTTCGAATTCAAAACCAAGTTTGTCAATGGGGGAGATCTGGTGGTAGCACAGTCTCTCATAAACAATGGCGGCCTTCTGCCCCTTGATCAGTCGAGAGCGAGGTCGAGGCGCACAGAGAGCGAGACGGATCAAAGACTTCACTTCAAAAGTAGTACAACATAGGTTGAAGGTCGGCGTTTCAAGCGAAATTTCGCTACTCATCAAAGTAGAGCTTCGGGCAAAATGGAATGTTCCAGGAAAAGTGAAGCTTTGAGTTGAAACCCTGGCCAGCTTCCTCGATCCCTATAAATTGGTTACACTGGTTACTCCGTAAATAAATACTGAGTTCGCCTCCAGCGCCAATAGATCGCTTGCTAGACTTGTATATCAGAATGAACCTCATAGCTTACCTCCTCTCTTTCTTTCTTTTTTTTTTTTTTTCCCCTCTCTCTTATTTCACTTTTTCGGTAGCAACCCCAGGTAATGCGATTCTGTGATGTACATTAGCTGCAGAAGTCAGCTGTGCCACGGACAGGAGAAGAGCAGCCACAGTGGCGTTTCAGGATATATCATATTTAGCATCTAGGAGCATTCTATATTAAAATTTCAGTCGAAACTCCTGATAATCATCATGCGAGAGACGCAAGGGCTGTAACTGTGCCTTTCGCTGGAATTGGAACGGGAACGTGAAGGAACGGGTTAAGTATTGGTTGGTGTCATACGTTTATAGATGCACTCCGAACCCACCTGGCCACCGATTCCTCTGGAACCTCAGCGCCAGGAGGTTGCTTTAAGGCACAGCCCTCTTCCGTTCAACAATGTAATTTTGTGCCGGTCAAAAGCAACCCCAATAACCTTGTAGTTAGACCACGCAGCGGCACATCATCAAGAAAATCAAAGAAATGGCGAGACCCAGGCGGTAGAGGTGTCAACGGATGATATAGAAGCCAGCCATCACCTGGTTCGGTTGCGTGGTAGCCGGAGCCAGCACAAAATGGCCTTATAAACCAATTTTTGGGGGCATACCAGTAGACCTTTCCATCGGTTCAGGAAGGACGAGGCCCTGGTTAAGGAGCAATCGAGAACAACTGGGTCTAATTAAGCGTTTTCATGCTTGTTTCCATGTTTCCGCGCTGAGTGCCTGGAGAAGTTGCGAGACAAGTTACAACATTGCAAGTAGAGCTCTTCAGGGTTCGGTGGCCAGATTACCATCCACAAACGTACCATGAGCGTGTTCAATTGTTAATAACGACTGAATGCGTAGAAGGAGCTACTCACACCAAAGAAACTAGATCATAGCTTCGTCCTGTTCAAGCCGGATAGTCATTTATTCTCGAACTTCAAGCCGGCATGTTCCCTGGCAATGCCGTAAATGGCGGCAATATCTCCCTTCTCTCCCGAATGCGCCTTGACCTCTTTCAGATACTCATCAACCCTCTCTGTTCCCTTCATCTCGGACCCCACGCTCTTCGCCAGATCAAGAACATGCGCAACATCCTTCCGCGCCCAATCAACCGCAAACAGCGGCTCCTCGCGCGTAAAATAATCCCCTGAAATCATCCTCTTCGAATACCCAACGTACGGACCGGGAAAGACGGCCTCCAGAAACTTGTGCACCTCGCCGACACCCAGCCCGGACTTCTCCGCCACTACCATACCTTCCGACACCGCAGACACCATCTGGAAGATCATCGAGTTGCCGAGAACCTTGAGCATCGCAGCCCTGCCGGGATCCTCGGAGGTCTCGCTGAGATCGATGTTGGCCCGTCCCACCACGCCGGCGAAGTACGGCTTGACCCGCTCGATCAGATGTCTCTTCCCGGCCATCACGCAGACCAGCTGGCCGGCGTCCGCGGCGGGCGGGGCGCCAAAGACCGGACATGCGATGAAGCTGGCGCCCCGGGACTCGAGGAGCTTCTCCAGCTTGCGAGATGTGTCCGGGTGAACGGTGGAGCAGTCGACGAAGAGTTTACCCTTGACGTCTGTTGATTGGAGGGCTGCATCGATCGTGGCCTCGACGGCCTTGTCGTCGCCCAGACATGTGAAGATGATGGAGGCGGGCAGGACCGCTTCTGCGACCGACGAGGCGACGGTGGTGCTGCCGGCGGTGAGCGTCTCGGAGAAGGAAGTGGCTCGGGACTGAGTGCGGTTATAGAGGATTAGGGGCTGGGAGAGCGAGCCTTTGGCGATGAGGTTGCGGACCATGCCCTGGAGCAGCGGAACTGTTAACATAATCGGTTCAACCCTTGCGTGAATGGAGGGCTTGCTGGCTTACCCGGCCCATGTTTCCCAACCCTATCCATGCTAGTTGGTCCGCCATTATTTCTTTTGAGATGTCCACACAGATCTATGTATATGTATGTACTATCGGGGGTATCAGCGCTGTGTTTCTTGTTTCGATAACCGCTTGAATGCCAAAACAATGGTGGTGCAGGACGTATTATCTCGTAGCGGGCTCGCTTCCCGGCTCGCGATCCCGCAGGCAAAAGAAATACACGCGCAACGCCGTTCTCCAACTTTCCCCGAGCTCTTCCCCTCCCTCCCCGCCGTGTGGGGGAAAAGCTCCACTGCCACTGCTTAGTCATCACTGCCCCTGAACCCCCAGCCAGCTGAAAGTAGTAGCGAGCAGCAGCAGCAGTCGGGCATTTCAAGAAAGGCTGAAGCTCGTCTTCGAGGCCTGAGATACTACTGAGACGGCACTCTTTTTCCATCAATTGGATATATACCAGAGCCCGTGGGGATACTGTATGTATTCTGCAGTTACGGAGCGCATCCATCCCATCAAGACCCACGTGGACACATTGTTCAGCTCTCCGGAATGGGTTCCCGAGCATCCCGAATCCCTCCCGCCGAGAACGGCCGATGGGTTGGGATGGTCAACCGACGTAATTAAAAAAAAAAAAGAAAAAGGAAAAGAAAAAAGACCAAAGAACAAAGAAAAGGAAGGCCAGGAACAATTTGGCAGGAGAAATCAAAAGCATATATGTCCCCTTCGTTATTATCTTACCCCAGGAATCAGATCCCCCCTCCCCTCCCTTCACTCAACCAAGACTTTCGGATACAACTCCACCAGACGCCCCCCCTTTGCTTCCAACCAATGAAACGAAAACAGTTGAAAGGTCTGTCAGGTGAACATGGCAGAAGCTTGTTTAGATTCTATGATTCCATGCTACGGGGGGAAGCCAATTTGTGAGATGCCACGGTACGACCTTTTTTTGCCTTCCAGGATACTGAAGGTTAACTATTCCAAAGAATTGGCGAGTGCCCGGCACACGCGAGGATTTTCGGATTCCAGAGACAAGAATGCGTTCTATGGACGAAAGAGGAAATTGCTGGGTGAAACGGGAAGAGGAACGAGAAAGTGAGGCAAGAATAAAATAAAATAAAAAATAAAAATAATAAAAATAAACCGAGAAATCAAACCAAGCTTTTGGGCCACACCGGGCTCGAATCGCCGAAGAAACGAACGTCGGCCTCTCGTGGCTGAGAAACGGGAACTAAAATGTGGCCCTGTTGCAGATACCATGGACAGGCAGGCAGATGCCACGTTCGCGGCCAGCTTCGGGGGTTTTGCAGAGTGAAAGGGAAAAAGGGAAAAAAAAAAAGGACCATGTACCGTATGGATGTAAGATCTTGCAGGGACGGCCCTACTTACTCTTCGATCACGCCATCGTGACAGGGCACAAGTTTGGGGTACATGTCCCCTCCCCCACCTGTATGGTGAGTGCTCTCTGTGTTTTCTGGTTTGGCATGTACGCCATTGCCATGGGGCATTTGAGCTGGTCATCCAAGGCCGAAGAGAGCCAGAGAACGGGAGTACGCATCACTGTACCGGAGTACCTTGGTTAAATTTAGGGAGGGAGGAGTAAGTTGGATCGGAGGAATGTGTTTCCTTTTTTGGTTCAGCTCGTAAGTATGTGGTTAGAGATGCAGCTTCATTAAAGACGGCGATTCCTACGTGAGCTGCGTAAGGAGAAAAAAGGCTTTGCTTGAACCAGTTAACCAACGACGGAATGCGCCGTAGATCATCTTCGCCCACAGGCCAACGAACGACACGAGCCCCAGATATCGTTCCCCGTAGAGTGCACATTCGGTTTTGGAGAGAGTAATATTTAGCAACCGGCCGATCAAGGGTCTGGGCAGCAGAATATCGATAGTCTCGGTTTCATCCTTGTTCGCATATGCTATTGCACCGTATTGCTCTTCGCTTGTCTTTCTTTCTTTCTTTTCTTTCTTTTCTTTCTTTCTTTTTCCTTCGCTTGGTCTGTTAAGCCTCCAAGGGGCATATCCTGGCGACACTATTGGACCAGTTGCATCCCGGGGCTGGGGATGGCGTCGACATCCCGTGAGCTTGGCCATTCCAGAGTTCGTGATGGCGTGCCGTTGTTTGGTTCTCCGTATCTACAGAGTACTTGCGACCATGGATGGATGTACGTACACACATGCATACAAAACTTACAACTGATGGAAGAGGAAGAGTCGAGCAAGCGCAGGCCTTTTTTTTTTTTATTTTTTTAATTTTTTTTTGGCAGAGAGACGATCGCACCATGAGAACTCCAGCCACAGTGCCGGGTGGGGCGGTTCTGAGACACTGATCAGACAAGAGGGAGAGAGTGAGAAGAGAGAGTGTGTTAGTAGGCGAGTACTTGGTCATTGACTAATGATTTAGTGAGCGAGTTGCCCATGATTGACTGATTGTTTTTTTTTTTTTTTTTTTTAATTACTTTTTTTGTTTTCGGTCGGAAAATTTCTGTCCCCAGACTGTCCGGGTTCCGGGTTGTTGAGAGTCGAAATGATGATGGATTAGGAAGATGAAACACGCATGTATCCACCCGTGTCTGGGGAGGACGACAGTGAAAGGGCCCGGGCTGCAGAGGAGGAAGAGAACAGCTCAACGAAGAAGGCCAACTGTCCCGTTTTCCTGTCCAACGAGTTGTGCAGTGACTTGGTGAGCTACAGCGAAGGATGAAATAACATGAAGAGGAAAAATATGAATATGAAGTATATAATAAAAATCAAAAAGAGTAGAATAGAGTGACAAAACCCACCTTCTCTGCACTCCCATTGGCAGTGCGCCGGCGCCTCAGTGAAACAAAGCGGTCGCTTCTAGCCCCCCTTGGACGGCGGTTCCCTGCTGCGAGGCCTGGCCTCGGGTCGCAGTCTAGTTTAGGCGGTGCCCTGGACCCGTCGCTGGGCTGCTGCTGTGATGGGGCCCATGGCACAGTCGATAGTCTCTCTTCCTTCAGTCCGTGTCTCTCGCCGAATCAGAGGAAGAAGAAAAAAAAAATAAAAAAAAAAAATAGATAAATAAAAATAAAATCAAGCGAGACCTGTCCGGTATTATGCAATTTGGCCAACATCGGATTTGGTACAGCGTGGGGATTTTTGTTGCCCTCTCGTAACCGTCAGACAATCTCCCTCGAATTTCGTCACAGGATTCAACACATGTCCAGATGATTTGGCGGATCCGAGACAAGGCTGCTCTCCCAGCTGCGGGATGTTTCACCAGTCTGTCGAACCCGTTTAGCTCTGACGGGTCAAGCCCCCCTTGGAATCATATTAGCTCGCCCTTCCAACCAGCCTATTGTTGCGAGTCATGGCTGTCATCGTCCACCAGCCGAAACAAACAAAGACCCAGCACCAGGCGATCCAGTTTCCTCTCCTCTCCTTTTTTTTTTTTTTTTTCCTGGGTCTCTTGCTTTGCTGTGCTGGACGGAATAATCTTGGTTTAGTGAGCAAGAAGGTAGTTTAGATTATGTATGTGTGTACTGTACATATGCATCCACGCATGTACTGCACGCTGTGCTAGCTCCATTGGACGGCTGTACATCGTCGGTTGCGTTGGTGTTGTTGCCAGCCATCTGGACGACTGTCACCGTCGAAGAGGGATCGAGGCGGAAAAGGCTGATCCCCATCGCGCCGCCGCCGTCTTCCCACGTCCTCTTCGTGATATTGGTGGGTTTCTGATATTTAACTCCCTCCGAACGCCGCTACCCACGAACCCTACCCCTCTCCGCCCGAAGCACGGTGTCCACAGAACTCACGTCCAGTTTCGCTCGTCTCGGCGGGCTCGCGGGGAGATCCACCGCCCTCACAGGCCCCCTTGCTTGCTCGCCTGGAAATCCCTTTTTTCTTTTTTTTTTTTTTTTTTTTTTTTTTTTCCCAGACTAGCCGCAGCCGCCCCAGACATGTCCGACTCGCCCGCCGCCGGCGCCTGAGACTCGAGCTTCTCCCCGTTTCCCACACGCATCCTCTCTCTCGTTCCACACACGTACGCCGCCCTGTACCTCTCGGTCTCGCTTCTTCGTTTCTTTCTTGATTTCTTTTCTTTTCTTTTCTTTTCCTTTCTTTTTGGACTCCTCTTCTCCCGCTTGCTTCTTCTCCTCTCTGCCTCTCTCTCTCTCGTACCCTCCCCCGGTTCTCTCCCTTCTCTCCCTCCCCTCCCTCTCCCTCTCTTGTCTCGCTACTGCTGCAAGGGGGGATCGTCACAGACAACAAGAACGAGTCCACGGACAACTACTTGACTGGAGTTGACCCCCCGTGTTTCTTTCGCTGCTAGAGGGATAAAGCCAGCACGTTCTTTGTCGACCCAGGACGCACACCTGCATGTCTCTGAGAGCTTGGCTAGGAGAATAACATAGTACATCACACATATACATCCATTCAGCTGTCTTCTTGATTCGAACCGTTTCGTCCCAAGAGTCAGCTCGCCGCCACCCTCCACGAGTATTGGCCCCCATGCATGTCGGCCTGGCGGCTATTATTATCGCTCAGTGAAGGGTCTGGCAACCTCGCTGCGCTTCTCAGGAGATCGCTCTCCCTGTCTCTATCTCCCCTCTATCCCCATCCGTCTCCCACCCCACCCTCCTTCGATTGGGCTGTTGGTGTCGAGGCCGCTCCTTTTTTTTTTTTTTTTTGGAATTCCGTCCGGGACTTTCCTCTCGTCGCTCGCTTCTCTCGCTGCTGGCAATTCCTCCTGTCCTTCTCGGATCAAGTGGAAAAACCCTCGACGAAATCCCTCGCCCACTTACCATTCCCTGTTCGAGTTTGTTTCGGTGGAATCAGGTTCGAAATACACCAAGTCTTAGCTGTGATTGGAAACAGAAACACAGAAGCCGGAAAAAAAAGAATTCCTTTTTTTTTTTTTTTCCCGTTTTCTAAAACGATTAAAGGGGAATTATAATAACACTGGATCTATACCCGATACCTTTTGGCTACCGGTTTCCGGTTCTACCGTAGATCTACCCCCTCGAACCTTACTTCGACCCCCTCGACCCCTCGATACTTTTACTCTCCTCCGCTTTGATACAATGTCCACTGCGGTTGTCCCTCCTACTGCTGCACTGCTAGGCCCAATGGTCGACCGCGACTCGAGTCCCAAGTCCTATCCCTCCCTTGCGCCGTTGTCGGCCGCCCCTTCATCCACGCCAACCCCAACTCGGGTACCGTCCGGCTCAAGTGAGGTACCCACCGAAAAGAACACCCCCGAGGGGAAACGGTCGCCGAATACGTGAGTTGTTCTCGCATGCCAATCGATAAGCAAAAAGAAAACATTAAAAGGAAAAAAAAAATTATTTCCAAAACATAGATATCCTGCTAACGCATTCTTTCTTTCACTCTTTTTAGATCGCGGAGTGGAGGACCAGCGCCCAAGATCGCAATAAAAAAGGAACCCCCGACGTCTCCAAGTCTACAACCAGGTACACGACATCGCCCTCGCAAACTAGATCTGTCTACATCTACACCAGGGAACAACCTCTCCACCCGAGGACCGCTGACCGCTAGAGATGGAAGGGCCATGCAGGATGTGGGATTGGCCTGTTTATCTCCGGGCTTTCAGACCCAGGATCCTGCTATGAGAGAACAGCTGCAGCGAAGTATGAACGTGAGAGATCAACAGAGATCTATAATCGAGGCCCGACTGCAACAATCGGCCAAAGGAGATGGACAAGAGAGCGCGAAGCAACCTGAGCCATCCCCGTTCGGGTCGCAAAGATCCTCGAAGAAACGGCCTCCACCGGGACTCTCGATCGTACCCCCTTCCGCCTCCCAGTTCGCCAACGAACGAGTGATACAGTCTGCACCTCTGAACCAGACGTTTACCGGCCGCCGTCAACCCCAGCCATTGACTCGCCATTTTACGAATCAGGACTTCTCCGGGTCGCCTCAGATTCACCATACCCCAGCAAATCAAACTAGTAACCGCCTCCCTCCGATTGCCGATGTTTTCGGCGCGGACACGCTACCATTACGGGACCGAGATAGCAACGGTCGAGGTGCCTTCGGCCAGCCGACACCTTCGCAATTGGCACTTGGCCCTCTGCCATCGCCCGGTCTCCCTGGCGGCGGCCAACCCTCAGGACGGCCAAGAGAGTACCGTTCCGCAGAAGAAGCGGTTCACGAACTTGCCGGTGGCCGAGAGGAGCTACTCCCCCGCATCGTTCACTACAACGGCAACAAAGCCACCAGCCCGCGCTCCCCACCAAACCTCCACAGCAGCAATAGCGGGAACAGCACTGGCGGTCCCCCCAACGGCGTCCAGCATCCGAACAGCATCCCGTCCCAGCCACACTCCATGTCCAACCCCACCGGGGCCGGGCGTCGCCGCACCAGGCACGAATACGAGCAGGATAACGGCAGTCCGCCCCTCGGGACCGGCCCAGACATGCGATTCCGCACGGGTCCCGGGCCCAGCGCCTACGGACCGTTCGGCGCAGGCAGAGATTCTCCGGAGACGCAACGGAGGAAAAAAGAAGAGTTTTTGAGCCTGTGCGCGCGAGCTTGGGACTTGTTCCACTCATGAGAGCCGAAAAAAAGAAAAGGAAAGGATATTTATTTGAGCAACAAGCGCGAATTATATATACACATATACGAGCGGTTATCTTGGGCCACCCTTTGTTGTCTTTTTTTTTTTTTTTCTTCGGAAGAACTGAATTATGTGCGATGCGATCATGGTTTGGTTGGGAGGGAATTATTTTTTGTCTCGACGTTTTTTGGCAAGTCGGGATTGTCGATGATGATCTTGCCGCATAAATCCAAAAAAGCCGCCGATTTCCTTTTTTTTTTTTTAATTTTATTATTATATATATCGCTCCCTCCTTGCTCCCTCTATATTCCGATATGTCTGGATTACTGGGGAACCTCCCCTCTCCTTTGTCGCCTTTTATTTTTCTCTATGCTGTTTTTTTCCTTTTCTTTTTCCGCGTTTCAGAGATCTGGATTACTCCTGGGTATTGTTTGCAGTTCATTACCCGCACGGTCTGGACACTGTGAATAGGATGAAGGAGTTAATGTGCATTTTGACAGTGTCCCTCTTCGATTGCTTCATTTATCCTTTGTCTCTCTTTTTTCTTTTGATTGCCCTTTTTTTTTTTCCCTCTTTTTTGCGCTCTTGCTGGATACCTTTGCACGCTTTTTTTCCTCATGGCGGGTTTGGGTCGAGTTAATCTGCTCGAATTATTTTTTATTTTTATTTTTTTGGCTCTCTCTTTTAGGGCCTTTTTATATTAACTTCTATTCTTCATTCTGCACTATTTCCTGTATCCTCCCCCCCTTTGTTTTTCGACGTATTTTTCTATGTGTCCTCAAGTTACGCTGTGATGAAGTGGAAAGGGGGACAACAGGAGTATTTTCCTGCCTGCTACGACGAAGGAATCAATTTTCTTTTTCCCTTTTTTTTTTTTTTTTTTTTTTTTTTTTTTGGGGCTGAAGTAACTCATCTCATGCGGAACGAAAGCTGGACTGACATGGAAAAGAGAAAAACAAATAAAGAAAAAAATAAAAATAAAAAAAAAAAAAAACACTCATAATTGTTCCTTTTTTTTTCCCTTTCTTTCTTTCTTTGGTCTTCTTCCTCTCGTTAAATTTCCACCCTTACCCGCCTTTTCCTAGTTCTTGATTTTCCTTCCTGATATGCTGCGCTGGCTTGGAGTTTGTTTCCTTTTGGCTGTCTAGCTATATATTCAAATCTCTGTTATAGCAGACTAGATATTCATTTGATATATGTGAAATGAAATTGGAGGATTTGGAAATTGGATAATTGAGAATGTTCGTTAGATTAGGGCGGTATTTATCTGGCCGAGGTCCAGAGTAGGGATCCTGGTACGGAATTCCGTACCTGCGTGAGATATCGAATATATGCTCTATACTCTCCTAGAGGGCTGCAAGATATGGTGTCTTCCAACGGACAAACCTGGGGTAGATTGGGGGCATTCTATTCCCCTCCGCTATTTAGCTTTTTGTTATTCAAAAAAGCCATTTCACCGAAGGTAATTTTTATACGCCTTGCGATGGCATTCATATTTACCCGAGTCATAGTTTTTTTCCTTTTTCCCCGGTGTATTAAGTCTCACCCCGTCCTCCTCATATCAGGCATCTCCCTCCTCTCCCGGGCCGCAACCTTCTTCCTCCTCCTCACAATGCTCTTCTGCCGGTCCTTCGCCCCCATCTCTTCATATCTCTGCTTCAGCACTTCCTTCTTCACATCCCCCTTCTTTAAGAAATACGGCGTGCTCTTCTTCCCCTCGCGAATCAAATCTCTCTCCCTCCGCCGATGCCGCGCCACCACCTCCTTCTCTCTCTGCTTCCGCTCGAATGTTCGAATCTTATCCGTCATGGATCGGATAGTGCGCTTGAGCTGCTCCTTTTCGGCCGGATTTTTGGCCTTGGCGAGTTGTTGCTTGAGCGAGGAGAGTTCCGCATCACGATAGTCGTTGAGGAAGGAGTAGTTCTTGGCCGCGGCGGCCTGGGCGTTGCCGAGAGCTTGCGGATTGGAGGTCCCGTGTGAGAGGACGACGCTGTCGAAGCGCGGATCGCGGGCTTTCGGACCCGAGATGGCGGTTGCGTCGACGACGGTGCGCTTGCGGGAGACGGCGTGCTTGGAGGATTGAACGGTGGGTGCGTGTTTGGAGGAGCGGTGGGGAAGGTCTTTTTTATCTTTGCTGGTCGTGGTGGAGGCGGTGGATTTGGATTTTTCTTCGCGTGTGGCACGGATGCGGGCGCGTATGTCGTCAAGGGGAGATGGGCCCTGTTCTTTGTCGGTGGATAGTTTACGTTTTCGCCTGTTGTTGCTGCTGCTGCTGCTTAGGCCCAGGGAGGCTTGAGCTTTGGCGAGGGCGCCGAAGGAGATTTGGTTGAGCGAGGCGTCGATGGCGGTGTCTTCGGGAGCGGAGGAGTCGGACTAGAGGAATAAGCATTTGGGTTAGGCGTATGTCCATGAAATGATATTAGTTAGAGAGTGAACTGGGGCCCTACTAGCTCCTCATCGTCCGATCCTCCATCGCTTGCGGCTTCAGAGCCCTCTAGTTCGTCGGAGTCAGCATCTGACCCATCTTGCTCTGACGAGGACAAATCTGAGTACTCTTCGGGGTCATCGTCGTCCACGCGGGCCTTTATGCGCCGGTTGAGGGAGTCCAAGAGTGCCATAGCTTCCAATTGTGCGTGTTTTGGAGCCGGCTCGCTGGCTGTCTATCCGCCTCGATGCAACAGTTAATTATAATAATTGCTCCAATGAGCTGACGATGTTTTGCGGGAGAAACAAACTCAGGGCGGCCAGGTGTGGCAGAAAGGAATTATTGCCACAAAAAGGCGGTGGGCCGGTCTACTCGCTCCAATCAAGCAGCAAGCAAAGGCACTCATCCCCGCCGCAGCACGGCGAAGGTGTGACGGTAGGAGGGCTCCGTTCTTTTTTCTATTGAGATGCTACTCCCGCGCCGGGCGTGTCCATTCATTTCACGCTCGCACCACGCAATCAGCGCATTCGCTTCTCCCACTACGATACCACCACTTCTGCTTTGTTTCCCTTGCCAGGCAAAGGCGTTGCCGAGGGGACTTGGTCTTAGAGTGCGACTTACCTCCCTATATTACCCTGAAATGATTGTACTAATTATAGAGTACTCTTAGTTTTGTTGTTCAGGATCGCGTGCGTCAAAAAGCCAGACCGTTGTGTGTCAAGGCAATCTCAAGGCACAGCGAATAATGCCACCCCGAAAACCTAGGCGATCGAACGGACGAAAGGCACAGCCACTGCAGCAAAATGACGGCGATGCGCACTTGCTAGCCGATGGGAGTAGATGGCGTCCGGGCATTGGCTGTCCTTCCCGGCGCCAAAATGCCGACAGCTACTCTGGACGTTATGATTCCTACCAGCCAGGAGGAAGACAAAGGCGGACGAATGGTGATAGTTGGCGACCGGAAATGACCCGATATACCCCTCCAAGTAATCGGAATACAGCTGGAAACAGATCCGCTTCGTCCTCGCAGACCGATCCTTATCTGCAACCCAAGATGCTGCCGCCGACGCGGTATCAGCCGCCCCCAGCGCAAATGAATCAGACATTACTGAACTTGTCCACGTTCCCCGCGACGCCCTGGATGGTAACCCCTCCGCATCCGTGCCCAGCTTACACACTTGAGGCTGACAGGAATCAGCACCCTCCCGCCATCCCATCTATTCCATATCCTCAGTTTCAGTTCCAGTACTCTTTTCCACCTCCTATGTTACCCACTGCCTGGCCAAATTCCGCCAATATGCCACATTTCGCTCCCTTAGGTCACGTCAATACTCCATTCCCCGCCATACAACCTCCAACATATACGCCGTCCCATAACATGTCGACTTCCCGCCAAATAGCACCACCCATTGCCCCGATTCCTACGGAGGAATACCTCAAGAATGCATCCTTGGAACCAGCGTCGACCTCCTCTCCACGTCCCCTATTGATTATCCTCGACATGAATGGAACCTTGATCCACCGCAATCGGCGTACGATGCCATCGGTTTTCGTCAAGCGTCCTGGCCTCGATAATTTCATGAAGCACGTGCTCGATCAGCACAAAGTCATTATTTGGACTAGTTCCAAACCTGGTACCGTGCGGGAGGTAATGAAACGGCTGTTTCCCTCGGCCATGCAGTCTAAATTTGTTACCATTTGGGCACGAGATAAACTAGATCTCACACCGGAACAGTATAACGAGAAAGTGCAGGTGTATAAAAAATTGGATAAGATTTGGGCTGATGACTTTATCCAATCGCGATATCCTGAGTCTAACGATGGCGGCAATTCCCCTGGAGGATGTGTGTGGGATCAAAGCAATACGATTCTGATCGATGACAGCAAGATAAAGGCTGCAGGACAGCCGTATAATATCATTGAGATACCCGAATTTACCAATGACGCATCTGTCGACGAGAAAAGGAATATGAAAATTGTTCTCCGGCAGCTTCGAGTGCTTTCTAGGCAGCAGGATGCAAGCAGAAAGCTCCGACAATGGGCAGAGAGACGGGAGGCTGCCGATGCATCACTGTCAGAAACAGAGTTTTGGGAGACGGAGCTTAGAAAGGATGAACAGGAGCTTGGGTTGGAAGACGATATCTCTATCAAAAGAAAGGGAAAGAAAAAGAAGAAAGCGAAGCTTCTCACCGAAAAAGCCCCGCCTACGGCGAGTGTTGAAGAGGAAATCAAAGAGACACAGTCAGTCCTTGAATTGGAAGGCAATATTGCCGATGACACTTCTCAACTCGAAGACGAAGTGAGTGATGTCACAGAGGACGATGACCAGGTGATATCGGTGCCCAAGGACATTGTCGAGCGAGATCCCGCGATATCCACCACTCCAAACGTACCGGCTGTCTTCCCGTGAGACTATGTTGTCGCATATAGAGCTTGGCGGAGGTTTGGACAACCTTTGCTATGCTTTAGTATCAATGTGCATCTCGTACGGAGCCCTGGGTATAGAAGGTTTTGTTTTCGAGTAGTTCTGCCGGGATATGGGACTTTTGAAGTTTTGTGGCCTCAACACTAAAGAAAACAATTACCTGATTTACAATGATAAGACTACTCGTAGAAAGGAAGTAATAATGTATCCTAGGGTTGTCATTTTTCATCATTCTCATGATCATTTTAATTCATCATTTAGAGACACGCAGCTTGGGCCGACAAGACTAAAAGTCATCACATTAAATCGGACGCCTTGTGACGCACATGTTGAGCCACATGGATTTTTACTTATTTTCATTTACTTGAAAACTTTTCCTTCAGCACATTCATAAGACTTGCCATCGACGACAATTGGCTTGTCTTGGGCCCACTGGTCCTCAACGAATTGTCTGTCCTCTGGCTTGGAGGCATCCAACTTGGTGAAGCTGTAGCTCTCCCAGTCAGGAGCAACATCGAAAGCTGGAACAGCATCCTGGCCACGGATAAGGAAGGCTCCCTGGATGATGGAGTTGTTGCTCTCGCCATACACGGAGCAAGCACCGAAGATGAACTTGCGGGAAGCCTCAAGACGGGCAAAGAAGCCACCTATGAACGCGTTAACGGCTATTGTGGAGGAAAGGTCACCTAGAAACTCACCAATCAAGTTGTTGGACATGAAGGTCAAGGTGAGCTCGTCGTTGTATTTATAATCAACCTTCCACAGGGAGTAGTCCTCTGGATTGTAGTTTTCCCAGAACCATGGCATGGCAGCCTCACGGGTATCTTCATTGGAGTACTTGCGCTTCCAGTCATCAAGGATCATGGATGGTTTGGGGAGAGATTCAAGAGGATGCTTGGCCGGCTTAGGAGCTGGTTTTTCTTCCTCCTCAGGTTCCTTCTTGGCTGGGGCAGCCTTCTTCTCCTCCTTCTTGGGTGGAACGTTCTTTAGTCCTTCCTCAACAAAAACTGGGTTTGGAACAACGGCCTTGTAAATGGCCTGATTAACCACGGTCTCATACCATCTGGAAGTAGCAGGGTTGGCCTGGCGCCAGTCCTTGCCGAGAACAAATTGGAATGCTCGGGAGAAAAGAGAAGCGCAGAAAGTGTCAGCAAGAGTAAGGCGCTCGCCAACGAGGAAAGTATTGTTAGTAAGGTGCTTTTCCAAGACATCAATGGCCTTGAGGGCGGCCTTGGAGCTATTTTCAACGGCCTGCTTGTTGTATGGGGCCATTCCAAGAAGAGGACGGAACCAGTCCGCAAGAGGGTTAAGGATCTCCTGGTTTGTGAATGACATCCAGCGGAGAATGGAGGCATAATCTTGCTTTGTCTTTCCGAGAAGAGTGGTCTTCTCGTTCTGAGAAGCGACTACATATCTCGTCAGCCATGCTCGACAGGTATCCGAAGCATTTGGAACCGATAGTACAAATTAGAGGGACAAAAGGTGCTCAGAGTAAAGATAGTCAACACAGTTAATCTGACAGGGATAACTGAAAATGATAATATGCCTCATCTTTGACAATGCCCGCAAAAGAAGTCAGAAATAGAGGAAACGTACGGTAGACGGCGATGGCAATGCACTCAGTCAAGACGAAGCCATTGGCACCGACAAAGGTTGGAACCTTGCCCAGAGCGTTGATCTTGAAGTAAGCAGCATCGGGAGAGCCGGGCTTGGTGTCAACGAGCTCGATATCGAGATCATTGGCTTTGGCAACGATACGGCACGCAGTGGTGCGTGAGTTCTCCTGTGATTTACGTGGCGGACCCGGTCAGCCTGCGGTGACTTTGGAAGGACAGTGCAAGCGAGACAAGAGCAGAATCACCTACAGCAGCACCGTAGAGCTTGCCGAACGACATTCTGACTGGACTGGGTGAGGTGGTCTGAGGGTGTTGATGGAGGATGGGGGAATTGAGGTGAAGGCGGGGTGAGGATGACAGGAGTGAGGGAAGGTTTGTTTTTTCTGCGTGTTTTTTTTTTTCTCACGCTGGTTGTTGTGGAGCTTCGACGAGCCCGCTAGTGCGGCTGACTAAGAAATTGATTATGTAAACGATGAGAGTCACCACGTGACTGCATTTCGCTGCCAAAAAGATTTCTCGTTGGCGGACGACAATTGGGAGAGAAGCAAGTCTCTGCCTCTCCGCTCCATACGCCCCTACTTTTCTTTTGCCTTTTTTTCCGCCGCCTGGCTGATAGACGCCATGGCCTGGCAGTGGTCTGAATGTGTGTTTCGGGCTCTAAAGCCATCCCAATGCCTACATCATCTCGAGCCTGTAGCTTTTCCATCCCGAACGGCGTCCACAAAGCCCTCCCGTCTCCCTTCTCTAACTCCCATTCAGATCACCCAGCGACGACTATTATCGATATCCTCTTCCAGCGCTTCTTCTAATGCCGCTCCGCCTATCAACTTCGCCGAACCAAACGCTAGACCAGCTCGGATTTTACCCGCGTCTCCAGCATACTTTTCTGGAACACCAAAGTTCATTGACCACTTCCTGAACTTGGAGCGCCTACGGAGCAAATATGCATCGTTACCGACGGTTCCTACCAACGAAGCGCCGCGGATGGCGTGGTTGAAGTTATCGCAATTCAACGGCGCTGTCGGAGAGGTTGTTTCGAGTTCAAAGTACAAGCAATTGATAAAGATCTTGCAAAGGCTCAGCAGGATTAACCCTAGCTTGATGCCAGAAGAAGTAGAAACTGCCATGAAACAATTCATCAGACCGGGAAACCCATATCAGCAAAAACCCGTTCCTCGAATGCTCGACGACATTGGTCGGGCCCGGGGTGTTGGAAGACGGAAGACTTCAACTGCCACGGTTTGGTTGGTTGAAGGCGATGGACAGGTCATGGTCAATGGGAAGAGTATAGTACACGTGTTCCCCCGCATTCACGATAGGGAGAGTGCCCTGTGGGCTTTGAAGAGCACGGATAGAATGGACAAGTATAATGTGTGGGCGATGGTTCACGGAGGCGGTGTGACTGGTCAGGCTGAAGCTATCACTCTGGCGCTTGCAAAAGCCCTTTTGATCCATGAGCCTGCATTGAAACCAATGCTTCGTCGAGGTAAGCAAATGTCATCCACCTCGACAAATACTCCCTCTTATCTGCAGCTGTCTCAGAAGCATGCGTTCCATATCTTCTTCCAATTGAATGATCCCTGTCTGGACATACGATGTGCTGACGTTTTGAATAGCTGGTGTCATCACGGCCGATCCACGACAAGTCGAAAGAAAGAAGCCAGGGCACCGCAAAGCCAGGAAGAAGCCAGCCTGGGTCAAGAGATGAAGTAATCACTCTTTTCCCATTTTTCCCTGTAATTTCTTTCAGCTCCTCTTTCCCTATCTTATCTCAGTATTTCACGTGTACATTATGCGTCTTGGCTTGTCCTTATATAACGTTACAACGGTTGGAATACTCCATATACGCAAGAAAGAAATTTTATCCAGTAAAACTTTTGAGCATACAAACCCAACCCCCGCCGGGGTCTCATTCCGAGGAATTCTGAGCCCACCAACGATCTAGAAAGAGGTAACATCAATGCGCCCTCAAGTAAAAGAAACCAAGGAAACAATGGCCTTGAATTTAATCCGGCCATCCTTGTCTCAGCGCTAGGCATGTTTCAGACACCCATTCCCCATGCTTCCTCGACCATCACGGTAGGTCATGTGGGAATAAAGAAAGATAGATTTGGCATTAGCACATTCGTGGCATTCATATTTCCTCAAACACAATCAACGGGAGGCATCGTGATAGTCTCACATGGTTCTTTTTTTTTTATGCTCAATGTAATGTTCTCCTCAGGGTTCACAAGTGGTATAGCCCGGCTATTTGTCGCAGAAGAAGCGAGAAGTTCGAAATACGCCTCGCATTGACTGACGTCAACCACATGATACGCATGATCCCAGGTAACTCTGGCCACGTAGTTTTCCAAAGTAATGGCGCGAAGAATGCTAGAATTCCATGTCTCCACTGTTAACAGGGCCCGCTGGCAGCTCGCTGTCTCTTGTAGGGAGTAACGCTGCTGAAATGCGGCTACAACATCACCTCATTGACAGAGCCACCGTCCCTGCATTTTGCTAGCATCCGAAGCTTCCGCGGTGTGCGTTCAGGATCAAGTAGCTGAATGTCTCCTTATCTGTAGCTGCGCGTAGCAAAGATGTCGGAGATTGGCACATGAGAACAATCGCGCGCCATTTGCGGTCCGAAACAGGCTTTTTGCTTCCCCACAAGAAAAAAGGAGCAACATTGTACTCCGTAGTACCCAGGCTTCGGGTGTTTTGGATTTCCTCGGTAAAAAATGAAATTTTGCTAGCGAACAGGCTCAGAAGCCGGCATCGATCTTGAGGCCGCAGACGTACGAAGCGGGTTTGCCGCATCACGCACACCATAATGCCCCAAAGGACGTGCGAAGTGCATCATGCCATTGTTAGGTCGATCGTCCGGCCGCTTTCGGCGTATTTCTACGTCAATTGGAGAAAAAATAACGGTCGGGTGGTCAAAACTGAAATGTTTAATAAAACAATCCCCTGAAGCAAAGGCCCCTAGGAAATGATTTGTATCTTGTCACACAGCCCTAAAGTGGGTTAAATCCCAGAAGAACCAGGAAGAGCATTGATCAAAAACCTCTGTGTTCTGGCCTGGACTTTGCAGAAAGATGCTCAATGTCGCACGTCCGCAAGGGTTGCACCCCGTACAGGGAAACATCACTATTGTACTCCGTAACTAGGTTATTTTCCAGCAGGGGTCATACCTCGAGGCACGGTCTAATGAGAAGCCAGTGCTGAAGAGGGGGGGGGAAAAAAAAGGAATCAGGGTGGTGACAGAAGCTCGGGCCTCCTTCTTCCTTGTTGCGACCTAGTTGTTTCCGCGAAACAAACATTGAATTGCAGACGATGTTATCGAACCTGACCTTGACTGAACCTCAGGCTCAGCGTCGCCGTGACGAGCAAGGGCTGGTGGCGCAGCGGTTAGCGCGTCGGATTGCGTAAGTGGCGAATTAAGACAGATGCATCTCAGCAGCAAGCTAACCCTTTCATATAGAGATCCCAAGGTCCCCGGTTCAAATCCGGGTCAGCCCTACAGAGTGCCAACTATTCTTTTTATTTTTATTTATTCACTGTGCTTAAGCATCACCTTTGAAACCTCCTCATGACTTTCAACAGGGCTCCGTCAAAGTAGTAAAAGAGTAGAATGAAGGGCATTTTGCTGCTCATAACCCTGCCCTCGAATTTCGACGCCTTAACTAAAGATTCTTCTGGTAAACCGGTAATAGGGACTTCTGCATACGGACGGTCTATCAAGTGTCTTCCATTTTCCCATAAAACGGAATGACCTTCTCTGGGCCTTCGTTGTCGGGCTCGGGAATGTCAAGTCTTGACTCAGACTGTAACCAGACGCACAGGAGTGCCAGCAGCTATCCCCATACTATATAAGTGAAGGCAAGGGATAAACAAGCGGGCGTGCTAATTGAGGCTCCTGCTTCGAAAGGAAAAGTGTTGAGTTACTGTCATAACGTGCGGAGTCGGCTTCCATTTGTTGACGCCGGGTAATATCTGACCCAAGCTTCAAACAATGATCAGCTGGAGGATTAGTATGCCATTCGGGAATCACCTGGCACAATTTCCGCGGGCTTGGTTCTTTGCCATCTTTCGTATTTTGACCAAGTCCAGAGTACGCCAGTCATGACGAGAGGACACATTGAGGACGTAGTACGAGCGTGAACAAGCCCCTAACGTCGCATTCAGAACTGCATGGGAAGGACATGGCATCGTTTTTTGCGACCAACAAAAGTCGCTTATTTTCAAGTCGTCTTTGCCGCGGGAAAGCAAGCTTAGCCCAGCAAGTTAGTTCCTCTGCACGGAATACGGCGGACGGAGAAGAGCAAAATCATTGGAATCGTTAACTGACACCCTTAATAATTCCGAGAGGCTCCACACAACTGATAGCGATATCACTCCTCGGTAGCGCGCCCCTGATTAATTGCGCTCAATGCAAGAGAGTGTGCACTAGTCAATTAACTAGCGCCTCCTCTGAAACTCACCCTGGCCCTTCTGAAGGACTTCTAGAAGAAGATCGATCGTATTGGCTGTTGGTGAACTTCGACCAGTGGATCTCCATCCCTGTGTCAATCATTACATGTGGCAGAACAGATGTCGAAGGGAGCATTCTGTTCGTCGGAGGGGGCTTGATTCAAGTCAGCTCCAAGAGAGTACGGCGATCTCCTGTAGGAATTGACTCAACAACATCTCCTGCGATGTGACTGAGCTCTGCTCCGAATCAGCACCATCAGAGGGCGTAGCAGGGTAAACACACCCGCCATATCTCCGTGAATTTTTGCAGGTGGAGAAAAAGGGCACTTGGATACTCCGTAGTTAGATTATGTTCTCCGGAGTTCCAAATCGTGACATGCAGCAGGTTAGATCAAACTAAAATCAAGGCGGCTCATGCTTACGCCGTTGAAGATCATTCTGGAGTTGCGCCTCAAGGCCAGCGAAACTCGGGCCAAACAGGCTGTAGCTTTCGGACTGCCTGCTAAAGATCCCGGGCCGCTCTTCCACTGGCGAATCAACAGTTTGAGAGAGGATTACCCTAAGCAGGTAGGATTTTTTTTTTCTCCTATTTTCAGGACGGCGTTCGTGCTCGGCAGGATAGAGTCCAGCTGAGCACGACCACGATCGTCAATAGAATGGTATGCGGAAAAGGCAGTGCTGACGGCGAAACTGGACGTGGGCGGAGCGTTGTGGTGCCATTTAAGTTAACCACCGACCGAATTTGGCAGTTGAGCCTCATATCATCTGCCTACGTCCGGACTTCCACGCCAACTTCATCTTCGCCGCTTACGCTGTCGAAAAGGCTCGCTCTCGGTATCGGGGCGATCTCTGCACCCAAGTCGTTGGTTGACTGATGCAGTGTACAAAACCCGCACTGGAGCTTTCGACCTGCTGCTTTTTGTGGTTACACCTGGCATGTTACGTCGATGAAATTGCCTTAATAACCCCAGTGTTTTCAGGGCTCGACGCCCTCGACAATACAGACGTGCTGGCACAGAATGATGGCGATAGCTACTCAACGCAAGACATCATGACGAAATGGAAATGCTGCCCATGGGTTTAAACCAATGAAAACAATTTTCAAAATGGTCAATCTTAACCCCTGGCCCTGTTTTGTCAGTATTCACCAGTGTCTGAGAGAGTAGGATATTTCATGCCATCTGGCTTCGAATTCTTCAAACTTCCTAACCACGGCTCTTCACAAGTCAAGCAAAAATGTCTTGGCTTATTAGTTAGTTATGTCCGTGACCAGAATTTGAAGTCCTTTGGAATCTTCAACGTGTTCTTCCTCATCCATCAGAAAGCTGAGTTGGTTTTTGACAATGTTATCTGTGGCTTGCCCTGAAACAACCATCTTCCTGGCATTGGTGTGGTTCACCATGGTTTTGTCCAGAGGTTAGCGTCAGGCGATCAAGCATGCCTCCACTTCGCGCTAAGACATTCTCCTGATTCTCAGCTGGCGACGCCTGGTTTGATCTAGGTGTCTGGTTCCGCAATTTTAACCCAGGGGAAGATTCCCCTCCACATCTGATAATTGACGACACAACACGCTATCACAAGTGTCGGCTCACTTCGCTTATCCTTAGCTATCTTGCTTGTGATTTGGGGAGATGCCAATGATGGTGTCTCACCTGATTTAGGTTCAGTATCCGGCAGATCCCCATGTGCAATTTTGCACTTCAGAACGATCCTCACATTCTAGAAGCTGATGAGGCTAGACCGGGGTGTTGAAGACTCTCTCTTCGAAAGAGACAGTCACCTTGTCTGTCCCATAGGCCGACTCATTTAGCCCACAGTGAAAATCTCGACAGATGACTTGCGTCCCCAATCTTGACCAATCATCAATATCCATCTGCGGGAATCGCATGTTAGAGAAGAAAAATTTTCGGTGGCGTATCCGGGGTTGTTTTCGTTCACCACCTCCAGTCTTCCCGATGCCCTTTTAACTACTCCGTACTCCGAGTTCATTCTCCTATCCGGTTTGAAATGCTGAGGCACCCAGACACGACGCCATGAACACAGAAGAACGTCCGAGAAGAAACAACAATTAATGCCATTGAATTTCGTGAGGTTTACGTGGATGAATCTTCCAGGAATGCTTCGGGCGATTTTAACTGTCACAGGTGCTGAGTGTTGCTGCGGTTGCAGATCGATAATAATTCCCTCCGTGCTATCATTTGACCGCCGGTGACCCTGCATTTTCGGCCACTGGAGATGAAGAAATAGGGGCCGTCTAAGCTTTCGGGTCTAGGTTTTATAAGGCTCGGTTTTGCTCCACATTTGATTGACAACGGTTATTGAGGCAGGTAAGGTGTAATTGTCAGCAGTGTTTTTATGACACGGCTTTATTTGATTTACGGTTTTTCTCGCCCTTCATGATTACTTTTTTTCCCTTTTCTTTTTGAAGAACGGCTTAAAATATTTCAATTCCTCTTGCCCCCGCATACCCTGTGGATTCGCCCAAACAAGCGATATCGGGTCATCCTTCGCTGATTTAAACTTAATATATTGATACTTGTCCCTCTTAGGACCAGCATTTGATCAATACTTATACTCGACCTTCCCTGCCCACTCTTGCTACCAGGTGCACCTGAACAGCCGCTTCATGGTCTGGTGCCACCTCTCTTCCTTGCACATCTGTATCTGTCAGCAAAGTCTAATATACAATTATCAGGTTCAACGCTCTTTTACCAACCAGTGCAATGCCCTTGTTTATGCAATTCCCTAATTTCGGATATCATCACAATATATTTCGACGCGCATTACTTTAGCGACGACAACACAGTGAACATTGTCAGCATTTGGTTTTTGGCTTTGGCATGGGCGCGATTTGAATAATTGGCTGGTCTCTGAACACAACTTCCCCTGCCGACTTTTACTTCAGCCATCCCTGCTGCCCCATTGCACAAGGGGCCCTCTAGTTTCGGTGATCTTACACACGAAAGACCTTCGTTTCAGCAATTTTTACCGGCAGAATAACGCTTTGTTTGCAGACGCGCCTCTTTGATCCACGCCGCCCTTTTGGCACGTCCCGCTCAAAGAGCAAAACTGGAATTTTACGCCAGCCCTCCCCTCTCGCCTCCGACGCATCGATCTCCATATTTCGATTCGTCGCGAGGCGGGACCGCCTCAGAGCAGCTTAGGGGAATGGATGGAGACAGCAGCCAGCGCAAGAAGTACGACCTCTCTGCGCACGGAACGGCTGGCGGCATAGGGAGGTCTCGGCCGCTTCATCACTCTCAGGAGAGTCCCATAAATCGCTTTAGGGATAACAATCAACCCCCAGCTTCTCGTGGGCTTCATGTGGATACGGTGGCACACCAGAGTCGTAATCCTTCACTCCACCCGTACGGTGGTTTCGAGTACGCCGAGTCAGCATCCTACAATGCACCATCGCTCCAAGGCGGGCCACTGCAGAGTGGAGCAATGCCCTATCAGCAAGATTTTTCTACATCTTCATCCAGGCAAAATCAGTCGCAGGCGACGCAGCAGTCAGGCCATCAGGATCAACAACAGCAGCAGCGAATACAGCAGTACGACCCCGGAATGGTTTACAATATTGCACCGCAGGCTCAACCGCATTCTCCATATGATACTGCTTCACATTATCAGCCACGGCACTCTGCAGCTATTGAAGTTCTGGCGACACAGTTTGGTGTTCCGCAGTACTACCCGACCGACGAGTCCCCAGCGACTGAATCCACCCATTACTTAACCACACAAGTTCAGCAGACCCCGTATTCCCAACCTCATTCTGCTACTCGCTCGCATATTGCGACTTCATTCCCCGAGACTATGGCCGGATTTAATACATCCGTTGCGCCGGAGCCTCCCAACCCGTCCGAACGGCTACGGGAGCCTTCATCTGGCCTGGAGGATGCATATAATCGGTACCAGCAAGCTTTAAGGCAAACGTTCGAAAATATTCGTATTGGCCGCCTGATTACTGCGAGTCGATCTCTTCTTGAAATGTCAGAATGGTTACTTGGGAATGCTGTGGACCTTGGTATGTAGCCTTTCTTTAGCTCTCTTTTAGTCACAGCATAGACTAGGGGAGCAACCCATTTCGAGCTAATAACTGATCCAAGGTCTTGTACGCGACGAAGAACATTTACACACCGACCGCATCAAACTATGGGATGAATTTAATACGTGCTGGTTGGCCCTATGTCAAAAGCAAAAAGACACGACGCAAGGCATGTTGGAATCCGGGCCTTCATCGCAGGAAATTCTCACAGAAGAAATACTTAATAAAATGGGGAAAGATTTGGTTCGTTTATGTGACAGAATTGAACAATACGGTTTAGTTGATTATCAAATGGGTGTGTGGGAAGAGGAGATTCTAAGCGGTCAGTTGAAAACAATCTTCTCTATCTTTCCGATTTGCTCTTGTATGTAGTTTACTGACGTTACAGATCATAGTTCTCAGCCAATGTCTCGATCTTTTGGAAGAATACGAAGACACGACTTCAGCCAGCCGCAGCCAAACAGGCACTGTCGGTCGCTAACCTCCTGTTTTTGGATTGTTTTCCTTCAGTAATTGTGACTTTACCTTCGTATTCTCGAGACGCCACCGATATTTGACGTCGGCTTTCATTTATTAGACCTTTAATACGTCAAGTGCAAGGCCTCACAGGAGGCCACCATCGCACGCGAGCGACCACGATACTCTTTTCCATCGCCCTCACGATTCAACTATTGTAATTGTTCAGCGCATACTTCCGATACGGGAGGGTTATTTTGCTTATTCTGTTCCAGCGAAACGAAGCATCGATGATATCCCATGGCCTAGATTTTAGAGTGGTATAGACTCGGTTCGGAGTGAATGGTTTGAAATTGGTTTCCTCGGGGTTTATTTTCCTTGCTCTTATTATTAACGCTTTCCGCTTACATTTGCTATTTGACTCCCGTGCCTTGGTTTCTTTTTTTCCCCTCGTGGGTGTGGGGAACGGATTGGATAAAGTGGCATCGAAGCAATTCGGCGAGCATTATGCGGCGTCAAGCACTGGGACTGGTGGTGTTCCGGTACTTGGAAATAATTTTCTTTTTTTCATTCTCTCTACCGTCTCTGTTCGGAGTTTGCTGCGTACTCTTCCCTCCCTCTAATTTGATATCCCCCAAGCTCTGTTTGTGTTACCCTGACCTTATGTTTTCACAATTGTGCTCCTGTTGTTGGGCTGGAGTGCGATGCGCGAACTGATTTCTATGTTGATGCTGACGCTATTATTCCGGACTAATTCTGTGTTTACCTTTCCTCGCGCCTGCTGGCTGACGAATAAGTAATATCCCTTAATTGGAGTGGGAATTCGCCCATACAAATTCAAGACATCTTGATGACAGCTGATTCAGTGGAGAATTAACAGGATATCGCCACAAAAATCCACAGTTGGATCTGAGGCACTCGCCTTGGTGGAGGAATTGGTACTTGAATATCACCTTTGGTGAACCGGTATCCCCTTCTGCTTGATGCCCAACAAAAGCACGGGATCGGCAATGTTATTATTCATTGGACCTATACATCACCTTTACGTATCGGAATGTCCATGGTAGCATAATGTATGCGTTGCCCTTGATTCCTTTGTCCATCCGATCATGCTCGACATTCGGTTTTAATATCTCAGCAGGCCGGTCCAAAATTGCCCTGGCCACGCTCTATGACGCTGCTAGTTTGTTCACGGGACATTGAGAAGCGAATACCCGTCCGGCAAAGATTTTTTACCGATTCAGGACGTTAGTAGGACGACTTTGCGGTTCCTGTGTTACATGGGTGGTTTAACGAGGCAAACTCCCTGAAGCCCGTCCTCGGAGGTGTACCTGCTTAAGCTAGACCAGAGCCCTGGGGAACCGGTGTCCAACGCGTGTGATCTAGCGGGACTACCTGGATACGGGTGATGTGAAGTGCATGGCGATAACTACTGGATTGTAAGTCGGTTTATTTTATGGATAAGCCGTACGCCGTACGGAGCTGTGGTATGACATACAAAAGAAGGCTTCGTTGGTGCCAGGTAGGAGTCGATTGCGAACCGGACTAGCAAACAAACATTCCGGACACCTTCGTTAGTAGCCTAGTTGGGCATGTAAAATTGCCGGGTTCTCATATTCAACTTCAATGATCACGCTATTGTCAGTCCATAGAAGAAAACATAGCTAATCCAAGTCGATACGCCAATTCCCAAGCAACTGACAGCCTATCTTGTGTTACTTGATTGCAGGTTACTCCGGGCAAGAACATATCAATATTTGTTAGATAGAGCTGAAGAGCAAGTTGGAAGTGGCTGAGAAAATTCGTCAAGTTCCACAAGAAACATGCGATAACATTCAGGTTCGTCTAATAAATCCAGTTCATTAAGGGTCGTATCCTGGACCGCCCGGTGCTCTTAATGCTGGGTTTCGATCCTCAGTTTGCACGGCATAAAAACAACATAGGGCAAGGTTCATCAAAGGATATCATTTGTTCAAGCATGAAAGAGCACATAGCCATGCCAATCAGACTTATGCCGAGAACTTTCCGCCAAAGGTGCTTAGAATTGATCTGTTCGCAGGTTGAGCAACATTCCACTTGAAAGGATATGGAAAGAAATCAATAGGCCACTCACCCAATGTCATACTCATACTAACATCTGTATTTTCCACCATCCTTGTAAATTCCTCGAAACTTATTCTCCCGTCGCCGTCCAAATCAGCTTCCATGATCGTCTTGTCAACAATCTGCTGTAGCTGCATATCCTTCAAATTACTTCCCACCATCATCTTCAATACAATGAACAATTCTCCGTTGGAAATAAAACCGTCGCGGTCGATATCGTATACTTTGAATGCGAAACGGAGTTTCTCCTCTTTGTTGCCCTTTGAGCTGAACGCTGATAGGCCGGACACAAATTCTTGGAAATCGACATCACCACCGCCGTCTTCGTCAAAGATGGCTATCATTCTGATCGCAACCTTGTCAGGCGGACATTCTAAAATGGGCTTCCATGCTCAGGGGAAGAAGATGTGGATGAAGATGTGGATTTACCGGGTTGAAAGCGGGTTCGAAGAGACTTGTGGGAGGGAAAGGAATTCATCACGCTCGATAGTGCCAGATTTATCCTAGAATAAGCATTAACTATCGCCAATACAATTCAATATCACTGTAAATGTTGTTTACTTACTCTATCCAACTTCATAAAGCGTTTCCACAGCCTGTCAACTTCTTCATGATCAACTGAGAAGCGCCTAGGTTAGCAATGTATCATAAAGTGAGGAAAGGTGTTGTGGAGGGAAATTCTCACAATTAGATCCTGACACAATATCATTTATGACTTGCGAGCTGGAACTGGTTTGCTGCCGCTTTGTTGCGTCATATGATTCTGCATTGTTGTCTTGTTCAGTCATGGTGGCAGTCGTGAGGGATGGACAGTACACCAGGTATAAGGTTTTAGAAATAAAGAAAAAGACCGACTGTCACAGCAGGCTCATTGAACAGTGACGGACAATGAAGCTGGGCAAGCTCCTCAATGCATTAATAAGGACAGGCTGATGATGGATGCCGCCTACATTGATAAGGCTGGGCTAACCCAAAGAGGTAATTCTCCAGGTTTCGGTGAATCTGATATTGATCCGCCCCGCACTAACCCGAAATGGAAGGCTTAGCGCACCCCTGAGCCCAGCCAGCTGCCCAAAACAGGCCTCTCTGTGGCTGCATCGCAACATCAACTCATCAAACCACTGACTTGCCACCATTTTTGAAATTCGATTTTCTCACCACAACATCACTCCATTGCTATAAAAATTATATTCTGTCATTGCACATGAGCTAGGCTACAGTTTGACACCCAATTTGGGCCCTATTGCTTATGGTAGATTTTGTGTTATCGCGCCAGACTTATGTCGCGGCTCGGGGGAATGATGCGGTCTACGCGACCCAAAAAACTCACACCAAAGCAACCTATACCCATCTACAGGGATCACCAAATCGACCTTGCGGAAGATGATCTTCAAACAACATTACAAAATATTGAAACCGGCGTTGAGAAGGCCGAGGAGAGCGTAAGTGTTGCTCATGCAAATTTTTCATGTAGCCTTGTCACGGTCACGTGATCAGGTGCATTGTATCCGCGTGGAGTCCAGAGCTCTGAGCTATGAATAGGGGCTAACCACCGCTTGAACAATAGGAATACCATCTTCAGGCTGCCATTAACGCGGCGTCCCTTGGAAATGCATCGCAGAAAGCGCATATTCCCACGCCGGAGACGGTTACCAGCTCCCTTCAATATGACAAATTGTATCCCCCAACGTTCTCGCAGCCCGCAACATATATACGATTCTCATCGACGGTCGAAGATTGTTGCGGGTGTCCATATAATATGGTGGAGGAGGATGATATCGCTTTGAAGATCATGAACCAAAAAGCGGATGCGTCGACGCAATGCACCGAAGATCAATTTGAAGAGTTGATGAGCTTCTTCGAAGAGACGGCGCATACGAAGCAGCCTTTCGCGGCAGTTGACAATCCTCCTGTAATTCCGTATGAAGAAATGGAAGAGTGTTTCGACGGAATAGATGACGAAAATCTGAAAAAGTTTTCCAAGGGCGTGTACGAACACTGGAAATTGAGACGGAATAAGCTTGGCAATTGTCCGCTCCAACCAAGCCTAAAGGTAGATATCCCCAGATTTTTGAAGTTCGTCGCGGAGTTGATTTGCTAAATTCCAATGCAGTTCGAATGCGGACAGGACACCGACGACAGCGACCCGTATGTATGCTTCCGACGTAGAGAGGTCCGACAAGCCCGTAAAACTCGCGGCAGAGATGCACAAAGCGCGGAGAAGCTCCGTCGCCTTAGAAAAGAACTAGAGGATGCCAGGCAGCTGGTTGCTCTAGTCCGACAGCGCGAAATTGCAAGAAAAGAACAATTTACCATCGATAGACAATTGTTCATGCAGCGCGCTGAGGTCAAGGAAATGAAGCGCAAACTGGGTATCACAGATGATGATGAAGATCTCATCAACCAGAAGGTATATATCCCTTCTATTGGAGAGGAAGTTCGTCCGCTAACATCCGCTCAGCCCAAGAAGAAACCAACAGAAGTCGCAACCACAGCACGGCCGACCATTCCTCAACTCCGTACTCCTGCAAGGCCAGCTGGGCAGCCAGTCGATGAATTGAGACTGCTGGAAGATGTCCAAGCTGACAAGGAAAATGAAATCTCCCGCGACATCAAACAGAATGTTGTAAAGCATGCAAAGTGGAATGAGGGATATGTAGATATGACTCGAGCACCACTTACCCCGAAACCTCCACAACAGACCTTCGATGGCTCTGATTTCCGACCAGCTATCACCGAATATCTCCCCACTCCACCCACCTCAGAGTCCTCCGACGCGATGCAAGACGTATCGAGAGAAGGGCCAGACGATAAATTTGCCGTAATACACAAAACCACAGATACAACCGATGACCAATCACGACGAGGAATGCCCTGCTTCCGCCGTCGCATTGGTAGAGGTGGTCGCACGATGATTGATCGCAGGAATCTCCCATTCCGTAGCAGGAATGATATCGATCCACTGCAATTAGATCGCTTCAAATATGACCAGGACGATGACGAGGTCGATCCGGTATATGAGCGAGATGAATTCAACATCCAGATAATGCAGCACAGAGCGTACCTTCACGCAAAATCGTCAAGAGATCAGGCGATCCAAGCTCAGCTTCAAGCTCAAGCCCAAGCCGCCGCACAAAACGGTAGACGTTTGCCAGTCGGTTCCCAAGGTGGTGGTACTCCAACTGCTCCAAATCCTCCCCCTAAAGCCCCTCAACCCTCGTCTCTTAATCCGCTCCCCTCATAGATGCAATGTTGTTGGCCTTTCCCCATGCGATCACGAACCCCTGATTTTTTGAGCCCCTCTTGAGACCACCACTTTCGATCGGCCCTCACCACACACCATCGATAACCCGCCTTTCCAAACTCAAATGTTGTACGAAATCGGTGCATTTCCTGGGTCAAGGACTTTAGGACGGATGCGCTGAGGCCTATGTTGAACCTCCATTTGCACTGGTTGTTAGTGTACATATTCCGACGGCATCCGGATAGATCCGTGTAAGCTACTACCGAAGTTAGTTATGAAAAGCAAATAAAAATTTGAAACCCCTTCAACTAGTCCTTTCAAGACTGTTTTGAACCAGTTCACTGTTTCTTCATTATCAAAAATTATTTCATTCTTTGCTTTTTCCTTTCTTGCGCAGTTTGGGCCATGGGCCGTTTCGGTTGCCCTTTTTCCGTTTCCGCGGTTCCATTGATATACATGAGGAGTTTGTCGAGGAGGAGTTGCAATATTTCTTTCTCCCCTTTCCTCACTCGAACAGCCATTTCTCGGCGATGGACCTGCGAGGAACCAAGAGCTTGAAGCAATTCGTCGTCTTGCGCAATTGTTGTGGGGTAATCCTTTTGCCGATTTTGGAGGATCTCGACCAAGAGCCTCGCACAAGGTTTGTCAAGCTCCGCCTTGGGCAATTTTCCCTTCTTTCTCATCTGATCCAAATCTTTTCGAGGACTCCTCAAGGTTCGCAAGAGGATAAGCAACTCCGCCGGGATGGCCTCCGTTGTGATGGCGTCACCCTCAGGTCGGGAGAGGGCATATCCATCTTCGAGAACTCCGGCATCTTCTAGAAGCTCAAGCTACAATATTGTCAGTGTGGGTTACAAAAATATTAATCATCGGACACTGGTAACCTTACCTGACAGCAACCTTCCTCAACACCGGCTATGTTGCAAATTGCCTCGAGGGAGATCTCGACAACATCATATGGAGCGTAATTTTCGGTGATGTACCCGTATCGCCTAAGGAGATCTGAGCGGGGAAGTTCACCATAGTCGTTAAAGATCTCCATTTCGATGCTAATGGGCGCTATGGACCTCATAATGAAATATCCATCCTCCTGAAAAAGCCGAGCCTTGATGAACTGATTAAACCTAGTCTGGCGCCTGGTCAAAGGAGGACACTTACATTATTTCGATGAGCATCTGCATTGAGCAGATCCGCGAGGGGAACCATTCCCTTCGCCTTCTCCTGTTCATCATCCGTAACATAGCCATCCTCGCCATCTTGGTCTTCATCTTGATCCATCTCGATATCAAAGGCATACGCCATAATAAGTGTGCCCATCCGGTGAGCCAATTGAAGTACGACTTCCTTACCACACGGGGAGTCGAATGAAGCGAGTCCATTGACCGGCGGGAAAAGGTCAGGATGTTCAAGAACAACTGGCAGGACTTTATCCAAAATAACTTGGTCAGCCTCCTGTTTTCCGATCTTGTCCAAGACTGAGCTTCCTTGTAGTTCGCGAAGTTCATTTTCTGTCCAAAACATGAGTGTGTCGAAATCTGTGGGAAGGACGCCAAAATATGGTGACCACTTCGATACCCCACCCTGAAGATACTCGAAAATCATGGTAACAATGAGGGATAACCAAGTATCGAAGTTCTCATCAGCAAAGTTTATACGGTCTTTTATCTTCGAGTTCGCAACGCTGAGCACCAAATCTTCAGGAATGGCAAACAACTCTTCATCCTGGACAATCTCTTCACACGCGACTATTTCCAGTCAGCACGGGCTAAAATTTTCAAGAAAGGAGCACACAAAGCCTACCAACGCCTCTGCCAGCACCAGTGGGCCTCAGATCCGCAATTCTAATCTTGGGGTTTACCCTTACCCCAGGGTGTTGTTTGAGCCAGCCCATAAAACCGTTGGACCTCTGGGCAAACTCATCCTCTGCACCAGTGTTCATTTCTCAGGGGGACGCAGCAGAAAATGTAAATGTAGAACAGGGTAAGAATAGTCGAGACTGACAAAGGAGACAAAGGAGACAAAGGTCAAACTGACAATGGAAAAAGGGAAGAGAGAAAGGGGTTGTGTGTTGCAGAAATTGTGCAGATCTGTGGGAGGAAGAGGTGTACTAACTGTAGCACCCAAATAGCAATGGTGAACTGTTCCGGATAAGAGATAGTCCGATCCGATATTTCAGACCTAACGTTCACGTGATAAAAGCCCCACTCTGCGCCCCAGCTGCTTTATCGATAAGGGCTTGGCCGTCGCTGGCTATTTTGGTAACCTCCTGCGATTAGAGTTGGCAATATGCATCGTCGCATTATTGGCCTGATTGGTTCAGTATGATTGCCATCGGCCTTGAAGGATCAGCTAACAAGCTAGGGGTTGGTATTATCCTCCATCCAGATAATGGTGGCGAACCGCGAGTCCTCGCGAACATTCGTCACACTTATGTCTCCCCGCCCGGAGAAGGCTTTCTACCCAAGGACACAGCAAAACACCACCGCAAATGGGTGGTATCTTTAGTCAAAGCCGCATTGAAAGAGGCAGAAATTGGTATTAGTGATGTTGATTGCATCTGCTATACCAAGGGACCTGGGATGGGACCCCCGTTACAGAGTGTAGCTCTGGCCGCCCGCACGCTGAGTTTACTCTGGGGGAAGCAATTGGTCGGGGTTAATCACTGCGTGGGACGTATGTAGCCCATAATCTAAAGGTTCTATGCCTTAGCAATTGGCAAATATTTACTGATTTCGACTCCTAGATGTTGAAATGGGCCGTTATATCACTGGGGCCCAAAATCCCATCGTGCTCTACGTTTCCGGTGGGAACACCCAGGTGATTGCATACAGCTCCCAGCGATACCGCATCTTTGGGGAAACACTCGACATCGCCGTGGGTAACTGTCTCGACCGCTTTGCGCGCACGCTACATATCTCTAACGACCCTGCGCCCGGATACAATATCGAGCAATTGGCGAAGAAGGGCAAGAGACTGGTGGAGCTACCATATACCGTGAAGGGAATGGACTGTTCTTTCTCGGGAATTCTAGCCGCTATTGATGCATTAGCGGCAGCATATGGATTGAGTGGAGACCAACAAGCGAAGGAAAATATTGGCCTTACAGAGGATGCCCTGAAGCTCAAAGTTGATTCGGTGGACAAGTACAATAACGAAGACGGAATCCCCACTCGAGAAGACCTCTGTTTCTCGTTGCAAGAAACCGTCTTCTCCATGCTGGTTGAGATAACGGAGCGCGCGATGGCACATGTCGGCTCTAGAGAAGTTCTTATCGTCGGCGGGGTGGGATGTAATGAGCGGTTGCAAGAGATGATGGGAATAATGGCTCGCGATCGAGGTGGGAACCTTTTTGCGACAGACGAGCGATTCTGCATTGATAACGGGATCATGATCGCTCAGGCAGGAATTTTGGCATATAAAACCGGATTCACAACCAAACTAGAGGATTCAACTTGTACACAGAGATTTAGGACGGATGAGGTATTTGTACAGTGGAGAGGTGATTGATATCGAAGGTATATACATAAACATGATGGCATATTCATATATAGATAAACATTACGTAGTGAGTGTTTACAGAAGCAGGTCTCTTTCCAAGACGTAAACTTTAGATTCGGTGCTGATCGCAACTAGCTTCAAAGGCTATACGCTACTTATATTCCTGTGCGGTTTAACAACCCATATTGGCCTAAACGTCGTTAAGACACTTTTTGATCATAGTGGCCTCATCAGAAATAATCCGAATTCACAAAAGAGCTTGGGACATCCATAATAAGTTCCATCCAGAGGCGTTGACGTTGAAGGCTTCCCCTTCTGCGGCGATTGGCAGTTTGCTCGCTCAGTCTTTGTCTTATCTTATCTTATCCGATCCTTAGCGTCAAATCACGTGACTCGCTTTTTTCGACACTGGCCGAGCAGAAGACGAGCTTAACGACTTCGGGTTCTTTTCACCTCTCCTAGATTAAATTTCTCGGTGTCGCAGAATTACATTGCAAGAGTGTATTCTCTACATATTACACCGGGCTTGTCCGGGCCTATTTCACCCTCCAATCAAACTTTGCTGACACCTTCTAGAAGACGCCGGGTAGCAACAAAGCCCTAATAAAATATCCCGTTAGAGAGCTATTCTCGAGTCAGCACAGTATTGCGTATTAGATACGGACACTTTTGTGGCCATGCCATCCTCCGTGCGATCCAATGACCGTGACCAAACAATGGCCGACGACGCGCCGTTGAATGACACGGAAATGCAGGAGCAAAACCCGGATGAACTAGAGGAAGAGATTCACGTGGCGGAATTTGAGAAACAGAGAATCACAGTTGTATGTCGGCACATTTTTGATTTGCATAGTGGATACATTGCCTGCTGTACAAAGTGCGGATTTACTGAAGGTTACTTCTGTATAGTTGCCAGGCGCTTCCGAGACGGCGGCATCGTTCCAGTTCGAAGGAGAGGATCATACACTAGGAAACGCGCTGAGATATATTATAATGAAGAAGTGAGTCCGCTTCATAATGCCGCAGAACCGAGGCTGATGTATAAGCCTTGGATTCTGATCGCACAGTGGCATAAGCACATACTAACATTACTATCTACCCAGTCCCGACGTTGAATTTTGTGGCTACACCATGCCCCATCCTTCAGAGACAAAGATGAACCTTCGCATCCAAACCTATGGTAAGCTCGCTGTTCCTCACTAAGAATTTAAAAGTAACAAATGTGTCCAGCCTCGACGAATGTATTTGAAGTGCTTGACAAAGGATTGAGTGACCTCATTGACCTTTGCGATGTTGTAACAGAGACTTTCACAACTGCAAGAGATGATTTTGAAACGAATAAAATGCAATAATGATTTAATCTCGGTGTTTATTTGATGATATTTCATAGATAAATCCGCGGGTTGGTTCTAAAAAGAATCTTGTCAGGTATTTGGATTGGGCGAACCGGCGTTATATCATAGTGTTAAGACGTTCCTGCTGGGGTGGTACAGGGTATCTCAGATGGAACTTCGTTGATAGATTGCAACGGATCGGGGCAGATGGAGACCTTTGAACCGAATCATATCAAGTGCATTGCGTGATTGAACATATGTACATTCTATGGTACGCGAAGAGAAACCCCAAAGGAGATAGAAGTAAGAGGCAGAACGCAGAAGAGTACTTCAATTCCGACCCTGTAATTGATCGTCTGATCTTAGCCAAACATGATACAAGCAATGAGAGTAAAATAAGAGTGCGATTCCATGAGGGGATAAGTTTACGTACTTCTAGAAAGCCCTGCATGAAGTTTTTGGGGAGCTTTGCCGTTGGATCCTCCTCAACACGGAAGTATTTCATCACATGAGAGAGCTGCTTCCAGTAATTCAGAGTTTCCTATGGAATCCGAATATATATGTTAGAACTGTTCTACATCCTCATCACACGAATGGGAAGGCCAGTAACGGCAGCTATCACCACAAATACCCAAGCGCAAACATTGCCGCATAACCAAGGGAAGAAAAAAGGTGCATGGCTTGGTTTCCATACCTGATATTCAGCATGGCTCTGGAATAGAAGCACATCGACAGCGGCTAACTGGTTAACGTATCGATGGCGTTCAAACTCCTGTCGGATCTTTGTACGGATAGCGGAGACGGGAATGTTGAGCGAGTACATTGTTTGGATCTCAGGCGACTAACGCGGTGTACGAAGGAATAAGTTAGCTTTCAATGTCCATAATCCCAAGGAGCCTGCGCTCGGTATTCTAGAGATGGATTACGGGTCTCCGGAGTCGCATCAACGGGGCAAAGTGGAATGAAAAGTAACAACGAACCGCCCTAAGCCATTCCCGATATGACTTCAATACTCTCTTTTTTGCATCTCCCCAATTGACGGCTATTCGATTCGCATACCAGTTAGCCCACCAAATCCATGTCTTTCCGGTTGACGGGAATGGCAGAGGTCGAGAGGAGGTAATCAAACTCACATGAGCGCGTCCGCTGTGCCAAATAAGTCGGGTTCAGCACCATAGTGGGCAGCAACTATGAAATCACTTGCAGGTGCCGATTGATCGAGAGAGACAAGGTGAAGCACGTTCGATGAGGTGAATCCGCGCTTCTTGGCTTTCGTTGCTCCGGCGAATGGGAGCGGTGGATTTGCAAGCTCACCGCCTTCACCGGCTGGAGGCGCTGACTGGCTGGGACGGAAGCTGACTACGTTGAATTGCCGCGTCGCATTTATTTTCTGCTAGGAAAACTTCAATGCTGGCCCCGGAGTTTGAACGAGAGTCACGCACCACTATCATCTACACTCTTTACTTGGACGGTATTAAAATTGTATTATAGTAAATTTCGCTGGAATTAAAGGTCCTCGACTATTTGTTTTGCTGAGAACTTTGAATTCAACTCCTTTCACGCTTCCCGATTTACATTCACCATGGCACCAAACAGAGGAGCTTCCTCCTCTAAGCAATCGAACAAATCTGCCTCCAAAAAGTCCTCTTCCTCATCTACCCTGGCATCGAAATCTCGAGTTTCAAAATCCTCTGCAAACAAGAACGCTAAACGTCCACCCCCAAAAGAAGTTAAAACCAAAGCCCGGACGGAGAAAGCCCTCCAGAAAAAGACGAAGAAGCGGGAGTATACGGAGAAGGAATTGAATTTGCCCGCGCTCAATATGATTACACCTGTCGGTGTGCAGAAACCAAGAGGGAAGAAGAAAGGGAAGGTTTTTGTGGATGATCAAGTATGGATAAGCTTGCGAGATCTGCGTGGACGTTTTGTAGAATTGCGCTGACCGGTGTCTCTGTATTAGGAGAGTATGATGACTATTCTAGCAATGGTTAACGCTGAAAAGGAAGGTCAGATTGAATCGAAGATTATGAAAGCGAGACAGATGGAAGAAATCCGTGAAGCCAGAAGGAAAGAAGCAGAGGCGAGACAAGAACAGAGGAAATTCAAATATGTAAGTAATGACTGCACCGTAACATTGCCCAGGCTGCGTGTTTAGATGGGAACTGACAACTGTATAGGAAGAAACTAAGGAATTATTGAAACGGAAGCGGAAAAACGGCGGAAAAGAGCAACAAGCAAAGAAAGATAATGATCAGTCAACTACACCTCCGAAAAAGCCGAATAAGAAACGCGTTGCTTTCGCCTGAATAAAATTGGTTCTATAATTCATTAATCTATAAATCTCAGGGAACGTGACCCGGGAGTAAAATCATCTGTCTATCGACGGACATTCAAGTCGTGAGACCAAGTATTTATATTGAAAACAACAACAGACGCGCTAGATGCATGCTAGCCAACCTCACAATCCGACTGTGGATGGGCCGGAATACTCAAGATTCGCGCCGAAAGTGGCTTGCACTTCAGATGAAACGATGTGGAAATCTTCGGATATGAGAAGGGTCTATTCATCGTCTTCGTTGACTAGAGGCATTTTGCATTTCCGCCGCATGGGCTGAAAGTTAGGAGTTGGCCCATACAGCTCTCCGGCGGGATTGGCGGGGATGCGCTGCGCTGCAGGAGTAGTATCCTCTACTTTGAGTGGTGATTCAAGGTCGATCTCGGTGGCCAGTTTGTTTAGGAACCCGGTGACCTAAGGGACATTTGTTAGCAGAAAGCACGCTTAAATCAAACACTATTGATGACACAGTCGCGAAGTCGTAAAAATACAAAAAAGTTTTCAATTGGATTGGGACTTGCACTCACTGGTTTAGTAAACCATCTAGACCCGCCGGCCTCGAACCAGCTCAAATGGCCACCCCAGGTTGTAGTGCACATGACCCCATATGGTGTCTGCTGAATTTCAAGGTATGGAAGGGCCTCTTTTACGGATATCTGTAAATAGATTCTTAGTTACAGTCGCCAGCATGGATAGATAAAGGCTCTCTTACGGGGTCATCTTCCGCTTGGATGGCAAAGAATGGGATTTTAATAGCGAAAAGCGAGTCAATTGACGATGCATCTCGGTAATAAGCGGTCTCTGTAGGATAACCCCATACGGGCGCTTGCAATTCGCTAACAAGATTTCCATTAGCCCCTCACCGCTTAGGGGAGCGAGGCACACCTACCGGTCGAATTCGTGGAGATACTTTATATTCCTCACTCGCTCAACATTTACGCGAGGATGCTTCTCTACAGCGTCGACGTGTCTATATGTAGCTTAGCACTTCAAGCACCCAGCACATATGTAGTCCTAATGGATCACGCTTACCGCTCAAAAAGCCGTTTCATGTTGGCACCCATAACCTTTGAATACACTTCTAATCCTAGCCATGTCCGCTGCAGAGCGAGCGACCCAATTTCAAGGTTCCAAGGATTTGAGCATATCACTGCGGCTTTAAGCTGGCACTTTTCAGCCTCCTCTCCGAGATACTGTTTCTGTTGTTAGCTGCATGGGTTCACCAGGAGAGCCAGGTCGCGGGTCGCACATACGTTCGTTAAAATATTCGCACCCAGCGAAAAACCAATTCCAAACAGCGGTCTATTAGGGAACTTTTCCCGCAACCACCTCACCAACTGCCGGACGTCCCAAGTCGCGCGCGCATTGTACAAAATGGAGCTCGTAACCTTAGACTGTGCACACCCTCGGAAATTCAAAACGCACGCCTCCCAACCAGTCTCTAGCAACGGTGCAACCACATGCCGAAGGTATAACTCGTGCGATCCTCCGGACAGGCCGTGCAGGAGGACGAGCATTGGCTTCGTATCTTCCGATGGCAGCGCCGCAAACTCTTTCTCCGTGAAGAACGTGGTACGGGATGGAAGGTCCCTGTTCTCCTCCACTTGCGATAAGGCCGCCGCATCGTACTGGTCAACCACGAAATCCACCTCAAACGTCCCGCTGTAGTTGGGATTATTCGCCTCGAACCTCCACCTCTTGTAGTAGACCGGAACATCGTCGTTTTTCACCACCGTCCATGCGGTCTGTAGGTGCCCATTGAATAAAAGAGGGTTTAGCTGGCAGATAGAAGGCGTTGCAGCTTGGCAGAGCTCCGAAAGAGAGATATACTTTGAATCATCAGGGCCAGGATTCTTGCGCGGGAGGAGAACGGATTTGGGAGCGTGGTGGAAGGCAACTCGACCGCTGGGAAGCATCCAAGATAATAGGCCCATTTTGGGTACTCCGTATCGAACTAGCAACGAATTCAACACACTCAAGCGGCTTCCCGTCCGTTTCTATGTAGGTGTCCAGAGATAACACTTCCAAGGTGGTAATTTAGAACGGGAAGAGAGGTACACCTAAGGTCAGTGTTCCTAGATTAAAAACTGCCGTAAAACCCAATTTTTCCACAAAAGCGGAAAACAATAGAAGAACAGAACAAAGGAAGAAAGAAAGAATAGTTTAAAAAAAAAAAAGGCCACTGTGGGAGTGTTTCGCCGCAGCCCGGGATCTCGAAAGCTCTTCGCGCGACCACGGAGATCCTATTTTTAGACTTTTGGATCGCTCGGGAGTGCCGAGGCCCAAGTGCCGGTATGACGTCACTGCGCTCTTTGAAAAAATCCATTGCCAGCAGCCAGCCAGGCCGCATCAGGGGTTCAGGGGTTACGCGGCCGACGCTGTTGTTTGGGGGAGAAACACATGTACGCGGAGTGATACAATATCTACACCAGAACGGAACAATCGATCAGTTCATTTACAGCCCCTTGAAGAGGTAGTCGAGATTAAAAACAGATGAGCAGCCTCCCCTACGTGATAATCCAAATGATTGTGCATACCACGGCGCTAAAGATGAAAACGAGACTTTAAAAATACCAGTCTTTGCTTGCTGCAAAGCATTGACTATGATATCCTGAACACATATATCACGAGATAATACGGGAGCAGTGAGATGTCACCTTGCAATAAAATGAACTCTTCTATGAAAATAACATTAGGACATGCTAATTAACAGGCAGATACCCTCAGAGCGTGGAGTGCACCTTCATAAAAGCGCCAAATCCAACCAGGGACGCATGAAGAGGCGAAGGACTCGGGAAATAGCAGGGTTTACCCACAACTCTAATCTCGAGCAGATAGAAAACAGGGTGCTCTAGCGTGCCACACGCGCCGTTGATTTGGCACATCGGTAACCAAGTTTTCGAGGAAGAGACCCCGTTCTTGTTCGCTGGCGGAATGGTTTGGCGTATCGCCGTTGTCCTTATTTTCGCTTACATCCCCATCTGTGCAGCTTTCCGTCGAAGATGCTGCTTTGAGTCGCCGAACTTCTTCAACAAGAGCTCCAATCTCATATTCTCCGCGGCAGAATGCCGTTATACCTAGGCGTGCTTCGGTTGTCTGCCTAGGGCCCAGGATCGGGAGCGCTCGCTGGAGCATACCGGTCCAGGAGAACCGTTTGGATAATTCCAAAGCGACAGAGTCTGGTTGATGACGGAGGCTAGGAACGAGACGAAGGAGGGGATGTACAGGCCTGGAAGAGCGGTTGAAGATTGTAACAAACAGCGTCAAGAACGAATTTGTTGGTATGGTGAATTTCGAATACCCTGTTTGCACCGTGGATGTAGAATCACAGTCGCTCTCTGCAGTATTGCTCGGACCCTTTGCCTCATCTTTAGGTTGACGTACTGAGAATGTTATTTCAATATCGTCCATGCGGAGAGCATCAACTATTCCACTATTTAACGTAATTCCACGTAAGCCAATAGCGCCTTTTCGGCCGGTCATATCCTCTTTCCACGTGCCAGAAAGTCGTTTGAGCAGCTCTTCGCGGAACCAGAACGCCTCTCTCCCAGCGACCTCTGCCTCATACGACACTTTCCGCGCACTTACGACAAATTGGCGCTTGTTTGCATGCCCTAAACTCGGGATTGCCTTGCAAGGGTTGTCTAAAAAGATTCGTGGGACGAGAACAACTAGACGGGTAGTACGGCCCGATTGCAGAACATCTACAACTTCATGCACAGATGGTTCAGTACTTAGAGAATTATTGATTTCGTCAATGTTCTCTGTGACTGAGATAGATGCGGTCAGTGGATTCGACCAGGAGTTCCGTAGGTCTAACAGGAGCAGGCAATGATCCGATCCATATGGCTCCATTCCAATTCGGGATAGCATCTTCGAAAATTCGGTTTTCGATGAGTGACTGGGAGGCGCGGTCGAGGTCGGTGCCCCTTTAGCGCTAGTGTCAGAAAACTTATGACGATGTCTATTTGACCATGCAAAATCAGGACTAAACGGTAGAATATCGCAACGGACAAGTTCGATACTGGGGTTAACGGTAATGGTGAGAGGAAAGTTGAGTTGTCTCGTGTAAAATGTCTCTGGGATTTCCGACGACGATACGCTGGTGTATCCATAATCAATTTGGATTTCAGCGTCATTTAATCCTGGTTTTCCAAAGACTTCAATAGTGAACGTTGAAGTTTCTTTTGGGGCAATTGTGATCTTCCCGTTGTCGTCGATGGGCCGCTTCCATCGTAAGGCCGGAATTTCGGAAAGTTGATATTCCAGTTCGTAAACCTCGGCTGGAAGGTTGTCTTTATTGCTGATGGCGGTTTGAAGCCGCCTAGTCGTGGAATCCTGGAAAGTGAAAAATATGAAATCAACGGGACACGAAGTGACGTTGCGGAGTGTAATATCGAAGGTGCTGGTCTGACCTTCGAGGAGCATGATGGCATTTTGTAGCAATGAGGAAGACTCGATCTCTAAGAGTGGCTGCTGCTTTATGACGTTAACGAGCAAGTGGTCAGGCTCAGGGCCAGCTTGCGTAGGAACATGTCCGCCTCCAGATTCGTTTGAACCCCAAGATAAGGGCCGTTGGAAGGATAGATCTTTAGCTGCCAATCCAGTTCGCTTAAGCTTGGGTTGGAAGCTTGGCTTCCAGAGCTTTTTGAATATCGGAAAATGACGTTGTCGGCAAAATCTTACTTTGGCAATGCAGCCGGTGATCTTTAGAGTCCCTTCTGTTGTTGCCAACAAAGGAATGATTTTTTCTTCCAAGGAGAACGGTCGGAGCCATAGGCCATGTGTTTCCGCTTCAAACTCCACGTCACTCCCATCTAACCGGAGGCGTTCGATTTCAATGTCAAATTCGTACGGGTTTTGGAGAACGACTTTGACCGCGCTTTGCTCGCCGGCAACCAGTAGCGACTCCGAACGGCCGATTGGCGCCTTTGAAAACGCACTGTATATGAATGGACCTTTATTCCCACGATCTTCGTTGACAACTGACATCCCGAAATCTTTCTTTGATCGCTGTACGGGCTGTTTTACATCTGCATTCTCTAGGATTTCAATGTCTCGCACCATAAAATCGTCCCAATATTCGGCTTCCATGTCGGGGTGCCCAAGTCTGTTGGCGGCCCCAACAGTACGCTTAACATTGTTGTAAAATCGGACTTGCTCTTCGGGTGCCAAAATTGGAGGAATATTGTTGTCATTTGGTGCAAGCATTGGGCTCCCCTTAATGGTCTGAAGAAGCCCAACTGTAAACTGAAGTACCCCTTCAAAATTTGGAAGTGCCTCACAAAAATCAATACAAGCCTTGAAGATGTCAACTTTGAGTAATGTATCCCCGTAGGATGCCAAAGTACTATCATTTAAGGCTCTTTCGATTATTGCCTCGACAGAATCATACCCGGGCTGACCTTCGGTGTCTTTGGAATCGGGCCGATTAATTTGCCCGTTTATTGCGCTTGGCGCGCCATATAGTGACGCGACCAAAGCCAACAGACCTCTCATACTGTCTTCAGTATTGCCAGACCCGGCATCCAAAGCATTTAAGTCGAAGGCTTCATTGTTAAGCGCAGACAAGCCAGCCGCTGGATGTATTCCCACATCAGCAGCTCCGATTTTGCGTGCTTGAATAAGCCCAGTGATCGAAGCTGTTAAAAGTTCCCTCAAAACAAATCCTCGTTTCCTTTCCAACCCTAGCTGTGACAGAACGGCTGCCATGCCAACAAGGATCTGCACAGAGTCTGTGATGGGAATCTCTGTCGCAGGAGATGGAGGTAAAGCTTGGAATAAAAATGACGCTATCTCGGTTTTGCGAAGCGCCATATAGCCCCGTGGGCGATCTGAAGACTGAACAGATTCTAAAGGAAGGCCCATTACTATATGATTTAAGGCATTATCATCTAAGAATCCGTCTCGATTGTAAGCAACCGTTAATAATTTAGCGAGCCTTATTGTCGTCTCGGAGTAGATAAACTGAGGTAGAGGTTCATCCGTGATATTAGTCGCTCGGTTGTACAGACTTAAAATATAATTTGAAATGTCGGGAAGAATAATCGCCAAGCTTTTTAAACACGCCGCCCTGGACTCTGAAGTCGCACTCGGCTCTGAATGGCTAGGAGTCGGGGGAGGCTTCGTTGTAGGTTTGTCGATGGATGGAAAACAAACCTGGGGTATCTGTAGATTGGGAATTAGTTAATCGTGGCTCGGGAGAGCGCGATCATGAGAGCTGGGCCCAACCTGAAAATCCATGCCAATCCAGCCATACAGCAGCAAACATATCAAAATACTTTCTAGCGCTTTTGCATGCCAAATATAATCACTTCCGCTCCTCGCGCCGATCGCACCCTCAACAAGCTCTTTCATAGCTTCAGGCCAGATACCTGCTTGAAGATGCAGTAACCCAGTCACTACTTTCAAACGAGCGTGGAATCTGGTTTTCGAGCGCTCATTTACACTTGAAGGGCCATGAATGGACATGCGCTCGCGGCTATGTTCTTGAGATCCGGGTTTGGAGCTGGATTTTAAAGCTGCCGTTGCTCGATTCGCGAGTTGAATCGATCGAGTTATTTCGTCAAATGTCGTAGGTGACTCGCGTGCATGGGCAGTGAGTTCGGTATCTGAATGATGACTGGTAGGGGCATTGGGCTGTGACGGTAATTGCGCAGGCATAGTCATTCGATGCTTGAGCTTATCTGTAGGCCGGACGTCACGTGTTCGACGCGGCCCCCAAGAAGACGCCGTGGGGGAATCTATGGTTCGCCATTCTTGCATTGACTCTGAAAAATCGCCGAGTTCTTTGAGTATTAGGGAGGATATATCACACATTAGAGTTTTGATGGTTGTCGTTCGGGACACTGCTGGAGAGGGTATCCACATCACATTGTCGGGCCCGGGGACCAGCTTATTGACACCTTTGTAGTCGAATATCAACAACTGCCGTGTAAGCGAGTGAGGATAGTTTGCTTTCAGTTCGCTCAATTCCGCGACGAGACTGTCAAGGTCGGGAGGTTTGGGATGCGGGGGACCTGTTACCCCGTTGGTTTTCTGCTGAGACAATTCATCTGGCTCAGGGGGTTCGAGCTCTTTCCCGTCCGCAATCGCTAAGATGGCCACGGGTTCCCTGAAAGGTTCGAAGGGGAACAGATCAAGATGGGAGGTCGGGGGTACCGAAGTGGACAAATCGTAGATGATCATTCCAGAGGGGAACGCCAGCGGAGAGAATGTATCTACTATTCCAGGGGCTGTCAGTAAAATAAACAATAAGCCAAGGGCGTCAGGCAAGCATATCATCCATTGGCGTACTTCTATTAGGGCGCCCGACGGGACTCACGTCTCCCAACCGAACCACATTTTGGGCCTGGAGCCGTTCGACAAGTTCTAAAAATCGCGATCGCCTGATTCTCCCTATGGGTAGCAGTAGAGTGCGTAGGCGCGCCGGCGCGATCGGTGAAATAGGGTCAACTGCCATCGTAACATCTGGATGGGCGAGATCCGGACTTGATATGTGACAGAAGGACGGCTGGTCTAAAGGAGTTGGGAGCTCCCCTTGTCATGTGGGCTGCAGGGTGTGTATGTGTGTGTATGAGGGCCAATCACTCCTCCATCGAGCTGGCGTCGATAATTCGTACAGAGCTCCAAGGTCCTGACCATGTGTCTGTATGAATCTGGCTTCTGCAATCCTTGAGCCACCCAACTAGATCGTCCGTCCATCTGTCGAAGGTGCACTTTGGAGCGGAAGCAAATGCCAAGACCAATGCCAAGACACTACTGCACTAGCTACGGAGAGCGAAGTAAACTGCGTGGTTGGTAGCTGTGCACCCACGGAACCTTGGCGTACACGTGATTATCAGCCTCAATGGATTGCCTGGTTGGACAACGTAATAATACCGTCTTGGCGCTGGGAGTCTCTGGCGGCTCACACCTCAATGTTACAAGTGATTGATACGAAGGTCAATCAGCCTCAGAGGCACTTCGCGACGGGAGCCAGCCTTGAGGACATCCTTCGCGTCCATGTCAGTGGGTTTCCATGGTGAAAGTTGGGGTGTTCCGGTCTTTTATACGGAGTACTCTCTTTTAGTACCCTTCCTTTTTTAAGGGTGTTCATATCTGTACGGACCCTAAAATCGTCATTTGACCGTTCGGAGACTGTGTTTTGGATTTCCGCAGACGGTTGAATTCCACCTATCCTCAGGTTCGGATTTGTTCGCATATGGAAATCATTATAATGCTGTCAAGCCATGGCTGGAAATGTCGACTTCAACGCCTTGAAGGCTCGTGCAATTGAGTCCGGCCTCGACGAAGAAGCCGTGACTGTGAATACCCGTGCTTTGATAGACAAGGTATTGGCCAGATACTCGGGAGAATGGTATGGTGACCCTCTGAGAGTGAGCTACTTTTTCTTTTCTAATAATTTAAGATAGGACCGTTTTGCGGGAGCTCCTTCAAAACGCCGCGGATGCCTCGGCCACGCAAGTTATCATTAAGCTAGAAACCCTTCCCTCGACCGCCGTGCCAATCCCACCCACGGACGATGCAGCTGCTTCCATAAAACATGTTATATCCCATCATACTGTCAAGAGCTTAATTCTCAAAAATAACGGTATTCCTTTTAGTGCTAACGATTGGTCTCGATTAAAGCGGATCGCTGAAGGAAACCCCGACGAAACAAAGATCGGAGCCTTCGGGGTTGGCTTCTACAGTGTATTCTCTGAGTGTGAAGAGCCATTTGTGTCCTCAGGGAAAGAAGCCATAGCCTTTTACTGGAAAGAAAATGCTCTGTTCACACGTCGTCTGCAGCTTCAAGATCAGGATTGCTCCCCAGACACAACGTTTGTTCTGGATTACCGTAATACTACTTCTCCAATACCCGCTCTTCTGCCATTATGCCAGTTTCTTGCGAGTAGTTTGACCTTTATTGGTCTCCAGGCAATCGAGCTTTGGCTAGACGGTTGGAACCTGTTGAAACTGTCCAAAAAGATTGCACCCGGTCTTTCCGTCAACATACCAAGGGATGTCCAGACGAAAACTTCCGAAGGCCTGATGAAGGTTCAAGGTGTCACACGGGAAGTTGTCCAGCTTGATGCTAGCTGGATGCCCGCTGTTGAATGGAAATCGCCTACAAATTCCTCTAGGTTTGAAGGAACCCGAGGGGATGATAACACAAGTTCTCTTCGAAGCTTTTTTTCCCGTCTAACCCGATCTGCCGGTGGAAAGCTAGCTGACAACACAGCGGACAACGGCAAGCCTTCCCAGGCCCCTATTCCTGAAAACCTCACCTTGTTCACGTCATCTTCGGTGTTTTTACACATTAACACCGCGAAAATACAAACGTCCGTTGGCCATTCTTTTGGACAGGAATTGCTCCGGGCAACGAAAAAGCCGGCCCCAAAGTTCACCTCCCTCGCGGTCTTAACCTCTTCATTCGCTTCTATGCAGCTCTCCGACGAGTCAGGGACGTCTAATACAAAATCAATATTCGCCACAGTCCTGCCCTCTAAGTCTGGCAGGGTTTATATTGGATTTCCAACCCACCAAACCACTGGTATGGGCGCTCATATATCGGCCCCTTCCATCATCCCCACAGTTGAACGGGAGAGCATTGACCTTAATGCGCGCTGGGTGCGCACGTGGAATACAGAGCTTTTGCGTGCATCTGGCATTGTATGTAGGATTGCCTGGGCGGCAGAAATGGCTACCATTAAAGATCGGATTGCCTCTCTGGCATCACGATCAGGGCGGACCACACCGCAGATGGACGATATTGTTCCAGTAGTTCCAGAGGCTGCACATATATCCAATCAATTTGTATTCCACCAGTCTACCCCAGCCACTCAAGTCGCACAGGTCATTGAAAATTCGTTCTGGACATGCAGCCAAAACGGATATCTTGAGGTGCTCTCCACTTGTGGCGTTCTTCCAACTCACAAAATTCGTCTTGCACCAAAAGATCTAAGCTTTATGGACTCAATACCTGTTATTCCTGATTCTCTGATGGATCAGTCTAAGGGGTTCATATCCAGAATAATTGACTTTGGGCTTATTACCGACATCACGGTCTCTGATATTAAAAGGGAACTCGAGTCAAAGCCTCTAAGTGCCAAACAGCTCAGTGAATTTCTTTCCTGGCTTGTAGAGAAGGCAGTTAATCATGAATTTGACCGAGCCACCATTAACGCCTTGCTAAGTGTTGTGGTAGCAAACGACGAATTAGACGGGGTACCTAGTGGTATTCTGGTCCTGAGAGATATCTCAAGCTTTCTTAATCCATCTCGAATTCCCGCAGATCTACCGATCCCTTCGTCGGTCATGCCTTTTAAGTATACCAAAAACCTTCAGGCGAATCAGCTGAGCTCACTTGGTTGGTATGAGCTGCAAATAGATTCTTGGGTCCGTTGGTTGGTTGAAAGCGATCTGAGTTCTTCTCTACCTCTAGAGCAGTGCATAACGCGGACACCATCATTCTCGGCTCGAATTTTGCCTATTGTCTCCAAGCAATGGGACGGTCTATCCCCACAATCGAAAACGGCTATTAGCAATTTACTTCAGCAGCATGCTGTTGTTCCAACCAGATCAGGAATGAGGAAGCCTCCCGAGGCATATTTTCCTTCTGTGCGCTTATTCGAGGACCTACCCGTGGTTCATGGGCTGAACAACGTCAAGGAAAAATTTTTGGTGGGCCTTGGAGTCCGGAAAACTGTCGACCTTAACGTGATTTTTGAGCGGCTTCTCGGTGCTTCCACCGACACCAAGGAGGACAAGGTGAACCGGCCACGGTGGAGTCATGTTGAACTTATTAAATACCTCACTACTGTTCGCAGTGACATACCAAAAGGCGATATTGCAAAGCTGAAGCAAGTGAGGTTTTGCACGGCTGAGGCGAATGGAGCTACCGCAATGTCCGACAAACGATACAGAGTGTGCGAGCTTTTTGAACCCAAGCAGTCACTGAGGGATCTAGACATGCCCTTGTTGTACTGGCCTGGACCATATCCGTCTGGGAGTGCAGAAGCACAATTTTTGACACTGCTAGGTCTCAGGAGCTATCCTTCTGCCCCGGAGCTAGTTCAATTGATTGCACAAGCCGCCTCTGAGAGGAATATTCACTTGAGAGACAAAGCCCTGGCCTATTTCATCAGCACTCATGTTATAAATGGGTATGGAGATTTTGACTATGCAAAAGTTACTCTTCCCTTCCTTCCGCTCGAGGATGGGACGCATGGCGCTCCAAGCCAGTGTTTTACGGATAGGGGAGCATTGTTGTTCGGTTTTAAACTGCTCAGGAGAGACCTCGAAGCTCACGCCTCAAAATTTGGGGTGAAACAGCATCCTCCAATTAATGACTGTTTGAACATCTTGGTTCGAGAGCCTCCTAAGTCGGCAAGCCAGGCCAAAGAGCTTTTCCAATATTTTGCCAAGCGCCTTGCTGAAATCAACTCTTCCACCGCAGACCGCATCGGTCGAGCTGCAATTGTTCCCACAAACCGCGGCCCCCAGCCTGGTCGAGGCCATACTGAAAAGAAATCTGCCAATCTGATTCACATTGCGCCACAAGATTGTTACCTCGGTGGCAGCGAGGATTATATGGATATCTTTGACTTCGTGGATTTTGGCGCCGAGGCTAACCTGTTTCTCCTTGCCTGTGGGTCGAAGAGAGAGCCTACAACGGTTGAACTGGCTAGCATGCTTGTAAAAGACTACGCTAGAATTGTCGATAAACTGCAGAACCCGGAAAAGTACCTGAAATTATTGCGGAGCATTGCTGACAATATGGATCAAATCAAGAGGGATCGAAACCTCATTAGAGACATGAAAAAAGTGAACTTTTTATTAGCAAGCAGGGAATTGCCATCCAAAACAAAAAGTGAAGGAATTGACGACGCTCACGAGGAAGAGGAAGCTCTAGTCAGAGAGTGGCAGTTGGTCAAGGCAGCGGATGCTGTCATTGTCGATGACTATGCGAGCTTTAGTTTATTCAAGGAGAGTGTACTCGCGGCGCCGCAGGAGGAGGCTTTAGAAGACATGTATGTTCAACTTGGAGCCCCAAATTTGGGCAGCATTGTTGTGGAAGATGTTCGCTGTGGTTATGCTGCTCCGGACCAACGCAATGCGATCAAGTTGCAGAAACAGATACATGAGCGAGCACGGCTTTTCTTACACGACCTTCCCAAAGAAGTAATAAAACACGACGCAAAGTGGCTTGAAAATCATTTAACAGTTCAAGTTGTGCAATCTATATCATTGCGACGTTCGCTACGTGGGCGGAACACTGGCCATGTCGAGAAACGAAGCGCAGTGGTATCAAGAAGACAGAATAACTCTAACCCTATTCTCTGCATCTCCCCGGGTGACATCAATTTCTATCAGGTTAGCCAGGCCTTGGTCCATGAGATCTTGTTGAGGCCCAAATTGCATTCCACACTTACTCTCGAAATGTTGTTAAAAACCGATCTGCTTGAGCTTCGTGTCAGAGGCTACAACGTGGAAAGAATCCTCCGACAGAAGGCTGCAGCCGCAAAAATGGCGGAAAGTCAGCGACAGATGCAAGTAGAAGAAGATCGCAGACGGCTCGAGCAAGTTGAACAGGAGAGACAACGCAGACAAGAGCAGGAACTCAATGAGAATGAGAACCTCCATCCAATGCCTGGTGTCTTCCCTGACTTCATTCCGAATTTCCGGCCGAACCGGGGTGCCGACTCATCACTGACGTCTTCTAATAATGACGGAGGTATGGCAGGCTTCATCTCAGGTCTCGGTCGCCGTTTTGGTTTGGATGAGCTCCTTCGAGGTGGCAATTCCGCTCCCACAGACCGAGGTTCCACCCCCAGTACACCTCCACCCCCTTATACGCCTCAGCAGGAGAATAATCCAGATAATCCTGGGCCTCATTCTGGAATTTCACCTAGTATACTGCGGCAGAACTTAACCACTGCCATTACGCGCTGCCGTCCCCATGGTCACTCGGCAATTCAGAGTACGAGGCAAGTGACCCAAATATCAGATGCGAAATCATATTGCGATGAACAACCTGGCCATGACTTGGTTCAGGTTGCCAATATCGCTGACACCACTCTTCGATTCTTCTTACCCCGATCCTCCGAACAGCTCTCCACCTTCTACAAGACACATGAAGCTGCTCTAATTCATTTTGCCTCAATTCTGATGGACTGTGCTAGCATTTTTGGGCTTCGAAAGGATAGCATCAGTGTTTTTTGCGAACCGAATGGCAAGACCATCGCTTTTAACCACCAAGGAAGCATCTTTTGCAACTTCCACTACTTCCAAAATTTACATTTGGCCAAAGTAACAGAAGGCAGTCGAGCTGACACGTTGGTGTATTGGTGGACAATATTTTGTCACGAACTAGCTCATAATATTGTGGAACTTCACAATTCTGAGCACAGTTACTATACGTAAGTTTGAACTTCATAATCTTGTTTCTATGCTTGACATTGGCTGACTGTATGTTCGTTCATAGTGAGAGCTTTGTAATGGAGTATTTTCCTGGGATAGCGGCAAAGCTCCAATCTTATCAGAATGCTCGCTAATTTAAGACGTATGACGATAACTCCTATGGCGTATTTCTCGTGGTTTGGCGTCGATTTCTTCAGAGGTGCATCTAGCATTCCCCGATACAGATTTTTTGCTTCTTAAGAACAAGACGGTTTACGGGGACCGTGGATACATACAACTAGAGTGAAGTGGGTTTGTATCTATTCATATGTTGTGCGTTAACAGATCGTTTATTCTACTTTGACGTTTCTCGTTCCCAAGCGCGGATGGCTTCTTTCTCGATGAAAGTGGGAAGCATGGAGCGAAAGCTTGAGCTTTCTTTTTCTCCGTTCCGCTCTTTCTTCCAAGTTAGATGAACACAATCACAATGCAACTTCCTCTGCATTGAACGGTCATCGCTTGAGAAGGACGAGAATATCTTTTCTTGGAATTCATCTTCTCTTCTTATCATATCCGTCTTTGATATTGCTCTAGTATTTACATTGCTATCTTGTTTGATTTTTACCCTGAATTCGAAACCGGCCATTCTTTTATCAGCACACTCTGTTTCTCGTTTCTGCGTAAGACATCTATTATTATGCCCTAGCAGTCTCTCTCTCTTTTCTTCGCTATCCCCTACCAGCCACCTGAGGGACCCCTTTGGAAAAGCGATTGTCTCTTCCCAACTTGACATAGTCGGTCACATTTAGGTTATATATGCTGTTCGGCACAGGTAATTCTCTAACTGAACGATATTTCTACGCCATATCTACCCGGAATCAGTACTTCCGTTTCCACTTGGCGGCAAGATGAGTGAAAAGGGCGAAAGTTTTCGTGGCGAAGTTTCTCGACCTGCAAAGATTCTTTACATTAATGCATATGATGCCCCGTCCAGCGATCTCATTTCTCAGCTGCAGCGTAATCTCGGCGTGGACGTTGATGTTTGTGACCGTGTTAAAACACTGGGCATCAAAGGGTGCATTCCTGCCTTTCCGTTATATGATGCCGTTGTGGTAGGTCCGGGTGACGATTCGGACGTTTGGGAGGGATCTCTAGCCGAGCTTTGGGATTGCGAAAAGGTTCCTATGCTTGCAGTCGGCGTGCCCTTTCTGGATTTCTGCTTTGAGCACCATGCGGGAATTGAGAAATTTCCACGATCGCTAGATGGAACACACCTAGATTTGGTGCATTGCGGAGAGAATATATTTAAAGGCTTGGGGGAGTTTAAAGTGACACCGTTCTATAATTATCGGGCTGGGATTCGGCATCTAACAGAACGTCGCGTGGTGGATCACCAACATGAGGATAACTGGTACCCAAGCACGCGATGCTCAGAAATCGCACCTCTTGCTTGGTGCTCTATTCCAAGTGAAAACCAGTCGGCGTTGATGGCGGCTCACCACTTGAAAAATCCTATCTGGGCCATTTATTTTCGTCTTGAAGCTTGCAAGCCAACTCAACTCGGCTCCGAGCTTTTAAAAGGATGGTAGAGGAAAGTTTTAATACGTAATAAACATGACCGATATAAAGCTGACGGCCAAGACTTGCCAGGAATTGGGAAGGTATTACCAGGGGTATATAAAAAAAAAATCGATCTTGGCCCTCAGCTGATAAAATGGTGCACCTCATCGACTAAAAGTGTCGTAGCGAGTCATCCCCTTGTCTCAATTGACATCTGAGAAAATCTGCGAAATCGTCGGCGTGCCAGCTACAGAGAGTGTAGTCTTAAAGACTCTCAGGTACACGATCATGTCTGTACGGAGTTGTGGTGCGTGGGTGTTAGAATATTCTGCCAAGTTGGGTACGTTGTTCGTCAATCGACTCTCCAGTCACAATCCGGAATCGTGGAAAACCACAGCCTCCGGTGTAACCAAGGCCATTCGATTTATAGCCCACATGAGAAAAGCTTCCGGAGGGCATCCGGGAATTCCATTTTGGGGCGGGTTCATGGGTGTCTTTCGTATGAAATGGGGATCGATATATTGGGCATTGACGTGCCATCCAATGACAAAGGCGAAGCCGATACGTGCTTCCTATGGACAGAAAGAAGCATAGTATCGACCACAAACAAAGAGAGGTCTACATACAGTCCCTTTGCCGATCGGATAATAGACAAGGCGAATGGCTCGACTTAATGATGTACCGGCTCAGCCACTTTTTGTGTTATCCGTCGCTAGATCATGTTTTCCTCAATCTTTCCACCACGGCACTGGGCAACATCCAACGCGGAATGTATATACTCCAGATTAATCACACCCAAAACGAGCTGGCAAACCTGATGGTGGAGGGTTCGAAAATCACTTTCACCGGCGAAGAGACATACAAAAGGAAAATCCGGCAATGCCATGATCATATTCGTGCTGGCGATTGTGACGAGCTTTTGTTGGCTGCCGAAGCAAACGTCACACTGCCATCATGTAGATATTGGGAGACATCATCCGTACGGGGTTGGATCCTGCTCAAGCAGTTCATGAAATTCCATCCGGCAAATTTCAGCGCATATATGAATATCGCACATTCGAAAGTTATTGGTGGCGCCCAGAAAAGTCTACTTCGCGGCAGTAGAAATGAGAAGAGATCTGGATTGCTTCCTGAAAACGAACCGGAAGAAGCCCCCGAAGAAGAGCCTGAGAAGAACCCCGAGAAGAGACTTAAGGATACTGCCGATAAGGAAGTTGAGGACTTGTTGACCAAGGCAAATGGGTTGGCGAAAGACAAAGTCTTCGTAGATCGACTCAAAGGCAATTTATCCAAAATTTCGAAGTTACGAGACGCTCAGATCGAAAAAGAGGCGGAACACGAAAACAAGTCTGATATGTATCGACTGCCCAGGAATGGCGAGCCAGAGGCGTCGTCTTCAGTGCATCAAGGAGGGAGTTCTACCGCAGACAACGCATCAAGCAGTGGCCAACATTCGATATGCGATGATCCCCCTTCCGATTCACGCGCTTCAGATGGTATGTACTCGGAGATTTTGAGGAAAATAGAGAATCGTCCAAGGGGTGCCTTCTGCGGCGTCGCAGGATACATGGATGTCGGAGGTGGTTTCGAGTTTTTGGTTCTTGGTCACGCAGCTTTTACTTGGTCCGCACCCGGAACACCCGAAATTTGGCGGGTTGGAGCCGCCGCAACCATCAGCGCCAGAAGCACCGCCCAGCAAGGATGGGATGAAGTGCGGGGAAGATTGGATGCTCTACTGCAGATATTTCGCCATCGCCTTGATTCTGAGGTGGACGAGGGAGATCCAGAAAGGGACCGAGGTCTTTTTCACAGGAGCAATGTTCTGAAACATCTTCTCAGGCTTCTCATTACTCCCAAGATGATAGAAGTTCTGCAGGGAAGTGGAGGTCTGGGAAGAAGAAAAAGAAGAAGAAGAAGAAGAAGAAGGGCAAAGCCTAGGGGATTATGGTTGGCAATCGATATCCTTAGATTGTATAATTATCAATAATCTGATGACGTTTTTATGGTTCTAGAGAGTGTAAGTGACTTCCTGCTACGTAGCTATCGGGTCTTCATCAGTCTGTGCATCGTGACTTTCCTCTAATTAGGGAATGTATACTCCGTACTCCGTACATGTACAGACAGTGACAGGCACATTGTACGGTTGGCAAGCGATGACATCAACGCCCCTTGTGGCCCTGGCTGCCGGGCGGAACGCAGCCCAGGGGTACTCCGTACTTAACTCTAAGGGGCGAAATTTATTCCACGTAATATGTACTCCGTACGGGGTTCTCCGATTTCAGCCAAGCTTACTCCGTACTGGCGTCCGTGCTCCCGTACAAGCACAAACTTCCACAATTGCTGTACGGAGTACCCTACTGAACTCCTTGTGGGCATCTAGGTACAGTACGGAGTACACCGTACCCGCTAAACTGACTCCGTACGGAGTACTGTATGAACTAACTACAAAAGCTTTTCGGCTTTTAGCTTTCGGCTTTAGCTTTCATGCTATCAAGACGTCAAATGTTCGGCTTGGACTCCTGGCCCGTCTTCCTGAATAGTCTCCCAGGGAACAGGACAGCCTTCTTTATGGAAAACCACTGATATGGTATGCTGAGACGAGAGTAAATCATTTCACCAGGCCAGATAACTGCTTTATCGCAAGTAAACCACCCCAGCATCGCCCTCCTGCTTCTCATTGGACACCCACCGGTTCCCCTCTTTCTCTACTCCTCTTTCTGAGAGAGAGCGCCTTTCCATCGAGTCTGCTCTTTGTGCTTTGTATGCTGCAGAGACAGTTTCTCGCAGAAGATGGATATTTGAGCCTGTTTGGCCATCCTTTGTTGTCACGCTCTGTCTTTATCTGCAAATATGCCAAACCTTCTTTCGCCTCAACGACACAGACCTTGCTCAAAATAGGCGGTGGCTTCTGGGTCAATCTGGTTTGCGTACTATTGAAAATAATCATTCCACCTTTTTTTTTTTTTTTTTTTTTTTAAGTTCCTCCTTTAACACACTGCTGATAAGCTGAATCGTCTAGTCTTCGAATATCCTGTGATTAGTCTTACCTTAAGAGCTATATCAACTTGGACTTCCTTTCCTGAGTGACGAGGAAGTAAGATGGAAATCTTTTGCCGCAATGTCCCTGACCAGGTTCAAGAGAAGCATTTGAAGAAAGAGTTTACGGCTATTCTCGCGCAGTTCTCGATTACCAGCTTCAGTTGCCGAAAGGCAGGGAAGAAAAATGCGTTTCTCACTATTCTTGACGTTCAGAAGGCCCAGAGGCTCATGGATGTTCATGGTCAAGATGAGCAGAAGAAGAGAAGACCGGCTAAACCGCTTAAGATGTTTGGCCGACCCATTTATCTCGAGAAGGGCCGAAACGAACCGGATGAATATGCCCTACGTGCATTGCGGTTTGAGGAAGAAAAGAGACTAGCCGCCCTAACTACTAGCAACATAGCTAATACACCGCAATCATCGCTGGTTGATGGGAAAAGCGCCACCGTACAAGTGAAACGCTTTCCTGTCACGACCATGTCTTGCGGTTTTTGGGATTATCAGCGCGGTGATCCTGTGTTCGTTGAATTCTTCCGATGTCCAGGTACTGGAAACATGCTTTTCGGGAAATCGTCACTTCGTGTCACTATGAAGAACGTTGCCCCGTCGACAGATTACTATTTGGAGTTTTCATACTTGAACGTCCAGAGCATACATATCGGGACATCCCAGCAAGCCACCATGACAATTTTGACCGACATCGCGCCCCGATATTACATATCTGACCCCATGGAAAAGGCAAAGGCACAAACGGCAAAATTGCTCAACAGATACGCTCAAGTTCCAACTAAGCGCAGAGTTGGCAATTTCGGCGGTGATCATGCGGTAACTTCGGGGATCTGCTTTTCGTATCGATTCGAATTGTGGTACCGACATACTTCTGCAATTCGAAGGCTTCGTGATGATGACCACCTTCCTCCGATCGGCACATGGGCCGATCGCCGAGTGGTTTACCGATATCCTTTCACTGTTTTTAAGGAACAGTTTGACCTTTTCTTGGAAGTGCAGCAAATTCCTTTCACCCTCAAATTTCAAATTGCCAAATTAGTTTGGAACGGAGAGATGAGTCCCATGAAGGCTTTACAGTTCTATCCGTTCATTAAGCGTTCACGAGATATCCATGGGCTCGAGGTCGTTATTGAAGCCCTAAAGAAATTGACCACCAACCTGGAATATCCGAGCCCCGATACGCATGAATCCGACGTTGATGTGATCGCATTGGGAACTCTCTTAGATCAGATGATTGAAAGGGTAGACTTTCAGGACTCCACCCGCTTAAATCTTGTCCATCCGAATAATGTGAAAGTCCACCGAGCTCAGGTGACACCGAGTGGGACATATCTTTATGGGCCCAATATTGAAACAAAAAATCGTGTTTTGCGTCAATATAATGACCACATTAATAACTTTCTTCGTGTTGAATTTGTGGATGAAACGGGTGATCCTGTCTATTTTGATCCCCAAGCTTCACTCCACAATATTTTCCACGAGCGCTTCAAAGGGGTTCTAAAACAGGGCATTAAAATTGGAGGTTGTCATTTTAGTTTCCTGGGGTTTTCCCATTCTTCTTTGCGCAGCCAGACGTGTTGGTTCGTAGCGCCCTTTACAACAAGTAGCGGTGAGCGTTTTGATGCACAAAGCATCATTCAAGGCCTTGGCTCCTTCAGCCATATCTATTCCCCAGCAAAGCTAGCAGCAAGGATTGGGCAAACTTTCTCGGAGACGCAGACATCCATTGCAATTCCAGAAGACGCCGTTTTTTTGAACGAGCCCGATGTGAAGCGAAATGGGAGAGTCTTTAGTGATGGAGTGGGTACATTCTCACCACGTCTTTTGTATAAGATTTGGAGCGAGTACGCTCTCCGAGAAAAAGTAAAGCCAACAGTTTTCCAGATACGATTTGCTGGTACGTTATTCATCCCCTTTTCGCCCGTTTCGATCCTTTCTCTGTCCTGCGCTGGCACCTCTGATGGAAGAGGTTTCTTTCTAATCTTTGGAGGCTGACGTTTTGTTGTCCTACTAGGAGCTAAGGGCATGGTGTCTCTAGATACTCGGCTTAAAGGGGAGCAGCTGAGATTGAGAGAATCTATGGTGAAGTTTTCAGCAAGGCGTGCTTTCAATATTGAGGTTTGTGGGTCTGGAATTCGGGCGTTGCCATTCTACCTGAACGCTCAGATCATCAAAATACTTGAAGATCTGGGTGTACCTCCTACAGGTTTCATAAAGCTTCAGTCCGATGAGATCGAACGCCTTCTTTCAGTTGGAAAGTCTGCTTCGAAGACCTCGCAATTCTTGGAGGAGTCAAGTATTGCGAAGGAAGTACGTGTGCCATGGCTCATCGAGATTCTGCATGGCCTTGGGTTCCATCATGATCAGGATCCATTCCTTCGATCGGTTGTTCAGCTAGCTATCTTCTTCAAGATGCGTGATTTGAAGTATCGAGCACGGATTCGGGTGCCAGAGGCTGTTACTCTTTATGGGATCATGGATGAGACGGGGTACCTAAATGAAGGAGAGATCTTTTGTACCTTCTTGAACGAAGAGGGCGGTCGTGAGATCCTTGTTAGAGACCAGGTTATTGTCACTCGGGCCCCTGCTTTACACCCCGGGGACGTCCAGTATGCAAAGGCCGTCGATGTCCCAGAGAATTCGCCTCTTCGCAGTTTGCATAACTGCGTGATTTTCAGTCAGCACGGGTTTCGCGACTTGCCCAGCATGCTGAGCGGAGGTGATCTAGATGGTGATCTCTACAATGTTATATATGACGAACGCCTAATGCCGCCATGCACTTATCCTCCTGCCAATTATCCAAAGGTTGAAGAGAAATTACTCGATCGAGAGGTAGTTAGGGATGATATCATTGATTTCTTTGTCACCTTTATGCAGCAGGACCAGCTGGGCCGTATAGCCACTATTCATCAAGCCATTGCGGATCAGAGGCCCGCTGGTACCTTGGATCGAGACTGTTTGCTGCTTGCAGAATTACATTCAGTAGCGGTTGACTTTTCTAAGAGTGGAATACCGGTAAGAATTTTTATTCTAGGTGCGACTTAACAGGAGGTGACAGATTGCTTACCTTTTTAATTGCAGGTTGATTTGACTCGTATTCCTAAACGGCCTCGCTATTATCCAGATTTTATGGCCCCGAGCCCTCGTATCAAGATTGCAGATAGCATTGAAGTCGTCGAGGAAGAACAATATCTTGCTGAAGACGAAGACGACGATGAGGACGAGAGACCTCAAAGGCGCTACTATAAAAGTAATCGTATTCTTGGGGTCATGTACCGTAATATCAACGAGCAGGAGTTCCTTAATGCCGTTCGAAATGCCAGCAAGTTAAGGCGAGATGACAACACGCTGCTTAATGCTATTTGGGACTATGTGGCAAGCGAAACGGAAGGCTTTCAATGGGATCACCTTGTCGAGGATGGTAGGAAAGTGAAAGATATGTAAGTTTCCCTTATCCTATCGACTGCGGAATACTTTTCTAATCGACATCATATTGTTAGCTATGAGGATAAGCTCCGAGAAATCATGCAGCAGTATTCGAAGACGCCGTGGAAGAGCTCCCTGACGGAAGTCGAAGTTGTCATGGGATCCATTCTCGGACAAAATAGCAAGCAGAGTAGACGTGATAAAGAGGCATCTCAATCAATGCGGGAAGGTAAGTCCCTCTAAGCCCCAGTTTGTTCCTGGCTCTATTTCTGACTTAGCTGTATGTTTACAGAATACCAAGAGTTAGTTAATTTTACCATCTCTATGCTAACCGATAGGGACTCCGGCGGCGACGACTCCCTTGAGCGCTCAATTGCCTGTTTTTGGCACGCATTACATGGGAAGTATAGTGGATCGAGGAGCCAAAAAAAGGTGGCGTTGCTGAGTTTTCCATGGATCGCCGCCATGGTGTGTTTGCAAGAAGTCGATAGGTTCCAGAGAGCAACAGTGCCCTTCTAAGGCTCCAGTATCGGCATATTTAGGAGCCTTTTAATGGTTGATTTGTAATGGAGATATGTTTATGGTCACAATAATGGGCAACTAGTTAAAGGGTTTCATACTGGGGAGTATCACTGTATGCTATTTGTGTAATACGGACTGTACTCCGTAATTTTGAGGTGCCAACAATGACGGAAGGTATGATTAATACTGCGCTGTACTTTACCTGATCAGAATCTATGGCAGCATACCTACCATGAGTCTCTCAAGGCAGGTAATTTCATGTGAACTGAACTCCCCTTGGTGACCCTTGTACCGCAATGCCCTCCTCAGAGTGAGCCAACAATGGATACGTTGTTACAGCACCTGGAAAATATGGGGTTTGAGCGTTCATAATGTGCTTAAGTGCTGCGCTAAAGCTAGCCATCAATTGACTTCAAAATTAAAGTATGACGAAGAGTTCAGGAATACATTGACGGTTTCCCCGCCGAGAAGATGCGCCCTGAGCATCGCGAGCTCAAAGAGCGGAAGTTCGAGTTACCCCTGAAGTCTTGGCGTTAGGTAGTGGATGACATCACGGGTGCAAACAGAGCAAACAGCCTTTTCGCTCCTGTCGCATCCAAATCGCGCTCCGCTTCGACCTCCGCAACGCCCAGCAGGGAGCTTCATACAGAAAAACTATACCCATTTGTCTCCGCACAGATGGAGCCCTCACCAGATGTGCCTCTGGAAGAGATAACATGGCATTCTCCGCAGCATGTTCAGATGATGGGTGGTTTTCTCCACTCCAACAACAGTACGCGACGGCCAACCCTCTCGCAAGATCGCCATTTGTCTGCGCATATTCCGGTGACCATGCTGACGCAAATCCGTTATAGTTCTCTTCTACTTTGCCGAATCCCCCTTTTTTGATCCTACGTCGAACAATGCGTCCCTCGCCCTCCAGGCCATGCATAATGAGAATCTCAGACCTTTCATTGAGACGCGCGGAGCATTCGAAGGGAGGCTGAAGACCATGCAAGGCCTGGAGTTTATAGTCGCGCATGATCCGTTACTAGAGGCGGCTGCTGCCAATGCGGCTGCCGTGGCGCGCGGAGAGCAGCCCAAGGAGGCGTCAAATGTATGGGTGATTAGAAAGCAGATGAGGAGGCGGTCGGCGGCAATGGGCGGGCAGGATGATGTACAGGTTTTGGCGACGTATTTTGTTGTTGGGGATTCTGTGTTTATGGCACCCTCAGTCTGGAGCGTAGTGGGGAGGAGGATGGTATGTGATTCCTATGTTCCATCATGCACCGTTTGTTAACCGAATGCTAACTTTTCATTTCCTTGTTCGAAGCTCTCGACAGTTACGTCGCTGACAAAAGTCCTTTCCACGGCATCAGCTTTACTTACATTCTCCCCCTCCTATGGACATAGCTATCTCCCACACGTACCAAAGTCCCTTGAGCCCACACAACTTGGCCAACAATCCGCACAGCAAAGCAAAGAAACAACGCCTATGCCTGATATGTCTGGGGATAAAACCACGTCAAGATCTGCGCTTGCAGATGCATCAACAACCACATTAAATGCCTCTTCTTTACAAGACGCCCGGGATTTTGCGGAGACCCTCAACCTCCTTGCTCGTTATGGCAATGAGTATATAGACGAAACACCGCTGGCCGGCGAACCAGGGTCGTTTATATTTACCAAAGCCTCAGCGTCTGTCGCGGAGCAATTGTCCGTCGCCGGTGCCGGTGCTCAAGCATCACGGCAGAATATCCGGTCAGGAGCAACAACACCAGTGCCGTTTGGGGCAGGAAGACCGGCGAGTGTACAGCCAGACTCTACGAAGGGGAAAGCGGCGGATAGGCCTCCTGCGGCGACCAAGGACAAGGGAAAGAAGAGGAAATCCAAAATTGGATCGATGAGCCAATGAAGACCCGGAGTGGCCTTCATTTTGAAATTCTGAGAATGTGGGCTCTTCATTCCCACATAGCAAGGCGTTCGGATAAGAATATGTGTCGGCGATGATTTACATGTACGTATCTATACTGTCCATTTCATGGATACCATGAATGTCCACCTAATCTCTTTCAAATGTTAGCCATGCAACGATCTACATACCGTCCCAATGTCAGTGATTCAGTCGGCATCGCACCTCCCGGCACCCCTCTCCCTCGGCTAGACTTGTGGCAATGAATGTAGCTCAATCGCCAAGTCATCAGCAAACCTTTAGGCTTGACTGCTGACTATTCTGGTAACTTTTAGGCACAGATGACACTTAAAGGTGCAGTTTTAGTATCAGCTTCTAAAAAGGCTTAACAAAAATGCAACATAGCTCTAACTACAACTTAGGGCGGAAAAAGACGCAGAGAAATGGAGGCCTCCGTATTTTTATTTCAGTTTCTGGGGTAGTGAATCAGCCTCCAACACCATTTGGCACTGACTTCTACCGTCTTCAGCATTCACCTGCTGGTTTCAAAACATTCATCTTGTTTCCCTCTACAGAATATTCCTCACAAAACCTCTATGTGTGCTATCCGGTGACCTCTCCGACGTAATTTGCTTTTTAGGACGGGAAGTAAGATCTAGAGCTAGTTGAATGCTCCTCTAGACATCCAGGTTTGAAGCAAGTACCGCCGGCATGTCTCTCATATCGGCAGCCCTACATGGAATAAAGTTAAGGCACAAGTGCTAAACATGCTCCTATCGGATAGTTTAATGGACCAGTGTCTCGTATGGTTTACATTTTCAGATCCCATGCTGTCATCCTGGTCTATACAGCAATCAAAGAGGTGTTTATCTTGTTTCTGCTGATATCGTGTGTTAGTCGTTCAATAACTCCTGGCATCAGTTTGCGGCAATAGGCTATTTAATCCATGCGTGGAATATGTTGCAGGAGAGATCCAAATTCGGCGTCATCTCTTCTATAGCCAGAGGGTATTGATATGTATATTCCTCTCTGGGCCAGGTATGGATAATAATGTACTCTGTAGATGTCTGATAAAAGAGTAGTGGCCAAAATTCCTCAGGTGAAATTAATGCCTTTTGTGGGAGTGAAAGATAAATCATGAAGCGGGAAACAACATGGTGAGATCTGTCAACATAGTATGTTAGTCTGCTGGATGTCTGGCAGTTGGTTGTTTTTGCTACAGAGTTCGACAAGACCTAGGGTGACTGCGCCTCTGCTCCCCGCATCCATCCCACCTTGTATATTTATCGAGTTAAGGCACAACATCACGTTCAGCCAGCTACCAAGCCAAACTCCCAGTTTTTCCAATTTTCCGCTTCTTTAAGATTGGCAAATCAATAGAGATCACTGCAATAATCCCACTTCTCAGATAATGACCGTTCCCATGGAGCAGAAACGCCCTGTTGTCTGTGTCTTGTAAGCTCCTTACACCAGTTCTCCATCCGCAGCGTTGTACTAATACTTAGGGACTTCATCTAGCTGCGGCTCTAAGCCCGGAGCAAACCCAGCATATCTCGCAGCCGCACGCGCTCTTGCCCATGTCTTTCATAAAGAAAACATAACTTTGGTATATGGCGGCGGGACGGCCGGTATCATGGGCGAATTAGCTCGGACGCTGGTATCCCTCTCCGGTCCGGAATCAGTTCAAGGAGTAATTCCATCAGCACTGGTTGGAGTCGAGAACGGGTACAAAGCCGATTCGGCAGCTCGTTCGCAACGCGACGGAAGTTCGGAAGCTATCGGCAAGGCACCTGAGCGCATTGTTCCTCAGTCTTCTTCCCTAGAGAAAATCAACTCTGAATACGGCGTCACTACCATTGTTCCGGACATGCATACGCGTAAACAAGAGATGGCCAAGAGAGTGATTGCTGGAGGACCTGGGTCGGGATTTGTCGTGCTCCCGGGTGGGTTTGGGACTTTGGAAGAGGCTATGGAGATGATTACATGGAATCAATTGGGCATTCATCACCGGGGCATTGTCCTGCTGAATATAGACGGATATTGGGATGGAATCATGAGTTGGATTAGCAAGTCTGTGCAGGCTGAATTTGTGAGTGAGGCGAACAGTAAGATCATAGTGGAATGCAAGGATGCGGAGCATGTCTTGGATGCGCTGATGAAATATAAACTTAGTGAAGGGCGGTACCGGCTGGAGTGGGAGGGAACAAGGGAAGACTGTAAACCATAGTGATGTGGTAATGAGCTATGGGTTTTTATGGTGACAATAATACTCGATACAATGAGAATTGGAAGTGATTCATTGTCAGTTGCATAGCAATTAGCTAACAGAATGCTCCAAAGAATGAGCAAATCAATCATTTGAGGCTTTATGAGATGAGCAAACTGACATGAGACATGGGTATTGGCAAATCCATCTCATTACCCGTAGCTAAACACCGAACCAAGGCAAAACAAGGATAAGTTAGCAAACACAATGTCTATCAAAGGACATTATCAGGAGTCCACTTCCATCGATTCTCCTCCCTGAGGTTCTGTGGTGGAGGTGACGGCTTCGCCCGTGCTCGCCTCCAAGAAAGCTGTGACGTCCTGGCCATCGTACACCTTGAAGGTATCCATCTTCCCCCTTGTTGCCTCTGTGCCAATACCCGTGACCCCCACTGTGGTATTATCAATCGTCAACTCCTTATCCTGGGACAAACTCTCTTTCAATGCCTTCAGAGCGTGATTGATTAATTCGTCCCGTCCACAATTTGCAAATTCATCCAAATGCTTTTCTAGATATGTGCGTGCCATTTGGCTTCTTGCCCCAATCGCGCAGGCAAGCATCTCCTGTGTCATGCCAGAGGGCTGGAATTCAAACAAGTGAGGCCCAGCGTCGTCAACCCCCGCGACCAGCAGTCCCACGCCATAGGGTCTCCTCCCGTAATGCTGTGTATTTGTCTGAGCACGGTCACCAATCCGACTAACAATGCGTTCTACAGGGATGGGGCGGCCGTATGTCATCTTTGAGGAGAGAGATTGTTGTTTCATGAAATTGGAGAGGACACGAGCGTCTGACGCTAAGCCGGCAATGGCAATACCCATGTGCGAGTCGATTGCGATGACCTTCTTTTGGTAAGAAGAGAGTTCTTCTGCGTTTCTCTATCGTGGGTCCATGTTATGTTAGAATCATCGAAGAGTAGAAAGCAAGCAGGCGTGGAGTTGAGCTCCATGCTGGCGCCTATTTTAACATGCCTTGAGCGCGGCTAATACTGCATGTGTTTTGCTGACAATTCCAACCACCACCGAACCTTGCTTGACGGCTTCTTGTGCATATTCGACCTGAAATATTCTCCCTTGCGGAGAACTACAAGCGCATCAACCAAGTCAGCATCTGTCGCGAGCCCAGTGCGAGAACGGATTGGACTTACAATGTGACGGAGTCGTTGTCATAATTATTCCGAAACATATTGAATCAACAACCTGAAACGCAAGCCTTAGCAATGAGAAATTTCGAACCGCAGAATTGGGTACTCAAGTTCTAGAGGTGTAGAAAGGAAGCTGTTGATGGAAGAGGGATATCATGATGCTCGCCAAGGCAGAGAGCGACGACGACGTGCCAACAGAGCTCTTGTCCACTCCGGGCTTAGTGCAAACCCTAATGTGCGCCATTCCAGTTTAGCGGATATACTACTCGATTTGCTCCGAGCCAAAACTCATAAAGGGCTGTGATGGTGGACTCGTCTGGGATATGTACGGAGTATACCAGGTAGACAATGTTACGGGACCCGGAAAAAGCACAAGGCTACGCCTACTCCTTCAAGGCCATGTAGACGAGCACGGAGTACCTCTTAGTTCTTACAACCTATTTCCCGGCATGCGAAACCAGGGAGTAATCAGTATCCTGCATACTCTGGAGACTCCTTGGTTAGATACACAGACCAATTCACGCTAAACTATCTTAAGGAAATTCTAGCTTACTACATACTCCGTAGATAACTGAGTTACACGAGTTGGGATAAACATGTCGGTGTAGGTCACGTGGGGAAACGCTACCCGGAAACCCTCGTTAGCTCCATCGCCGATGACGCTGTTGTGGTTGGAGTGGCAGGCAGGCAGCTTGATGGTGAATTTGAAGATCACCAACAAGGGCTTTGAAAACTACGTTTTCCTTGATAAAGCCAGATTCAAATGGAATTTGAATATATCTAGCTTTCCTAATTCCTTGTTTTGCCCAAATTTTGGCCTTGCGCTCTTCGTCAGCGGAACTTCAGCCGCCTAGTCCTAAACCGTTCCCTCACACACCCGACTTAAGACTGGCATCATGACGCCCGGGTTAAAGACCATTATTTCTCTTTCGTTTGTATGTCCGGATTGTCCGATAGCAACCGGTCGAACAATGACTGACTCACGGCTCCAACATATAGGTTCTTGCGATCGGTTTTATTCTGGTCATCCTTTCAGCCGCAGTATGGCATAATTTCCTTCCGCTCCTTGTCGTCGCAACCTATGTGATCGCACCACTGCCAAATTGGATATGCGGGCGATGTGCCAATCCGGATGATTTTATGGAGGCGCCTGGTAGCGGGGTAGTTGACTTCGGACGATGGTTGACGGGATTCTTCGTGGTGATGGGAATTGGTATGCGTTACCTTTTATACCCATTACTTTCTCTCGCAAGGAACTCTATTTTACGCTGTTTCTAATGCTAACGATTGCTTCATGTAGCCCTGCCGGCGATCTTAGCTCATACGGGTGCGATCCAGGTTCCGGCTATGATTATGTCTGTTTTGGGGGGGCTCTTAATATACGGCACGATAATCAGCTTCACTATGTTTTTCCAGGAACAAGAAGAATTTTGAGCGTTTTAGAGTGATATCGCTGTTCGAGTGTGTCTCGCCTCCGTATGATAAGGTTCTGTTATGTCACGTTCGGTTGCTTGTTCTGAGTATCTCGGTGTAAAAGGCGTAACGTTTTTTTGCGTTTCATTAAGCGGCTCTATTCCATACCTGCCGATATTTCTTTATCTAGGGATTCCGTGAGCTCCGTGCTTATCTGTCGTCACAATCTTGACTTCCTCATACCGCGGGTTCGCCGGGGTATTCAAGCGACGAGTTGCATTCTAATAAAGTTCTGGATTGATGTATATTAGTATTCTACGGGTTTAGCATGGTCTATCATGTGTATCTATGGCGTTCACAGTTTTCTCTTTTGCAGGGCAGGTTTCGTCCTGATTTCTGTTTGATAGGCGCCGACCTCTACCTTTCCTCCACGTGACTACGCGTAAGCAGAGTCATCACCATATTCGGATAGAACGCGGTAACCTGTAAAATCAATGTGACTCTAGATGAAGGAAAGCAATTAAAATTCGAGGACATATACTGGGAGCGCACTAATTAAAACTGTTGCTTTGATCCCAACTTTACTTCGGCATGCGTTAACAACCCCACTTCACTATGGAGGTCTGGTCCGGGGTCATCACGGCAGACTTTCTAACACTTGATGGTACGCTTGTTATTCAAATATCTTGGATCAAACTGATTTTATACCTAGGAGTGCGTTTACTTAATCCGCTCTCAAGTAACCAATGCGATATCTCGAAGGCAAAGCTGATCCTCCGCTCGCTGGTCGACCCTACTCTCGTCCCGCTTTTTGCTATCACGGGTCCCGCATTAGAGGTCCATATTTCGAACACTGCTACTAGAGACTGGATTAGAAGTAGGCTGTTGCATAATGTGCATTTGGATTCTGAGGATCACCCGGACGAAGAATTCTGTACGACTAAGCAGTGCCCGGTCGGCATTTTACTTGCAGTGGAGCATCTAGATAGTAATGCGCACGCGCGGAAAATCAGCGACCTCCTTATATACGGCATTTTGTCATCATCTGAGTCCGACACACAACAACGATACGACTCTTCTTCACCCACGCGGGAATTACGTGTATATGCAGCACCAATATGTTCTACCCTTGTTGTAAAAGCTCTTTCCCTACCCTCTCCGCCCCTTACACCATCCGAGGGTAATCACGCCGACGGAGCAGAGATCCCCGAGTATGCCGAATTCCTTTCAGACCCTCTTGCTCCCAGTCCTAAACGGAAACGCGTTGACACACTCTTCGAAGCGGCCGATGAATATCACAAGAAGGTACGAAGGAAAGGCATGATTGCCGTTTCTGAGTATATAGAGAAGAGCAGAGAAGCCTCGCCGAAGTTGCAATTTCCGTACCCGAGAGCGAAAAGGGAGCCTCAAAATGATACCAGTATCCTCTATGGCTCTCAATCGAACCCAGGGAAACAAACTCTATGTGGTGCAGGAACCAGAGATTCCAGCCTACCCAGACAATTCTCAGGGGTATCTCGTCCGCGCTCAATGAGCATAGCAAGCCGGAAATCCACTCCCTCGGCGTCTGTTACGACCAAAGAATGCTCCCAGATATCCGCAGGCGACTCTTCCATGGAGAATATATTATCCACAAACAAAGGCCTTCTCACCCGAACCATACTAACATGCATGCGTATGTATGGCTATCATCGAAACGCAAGCGCGTCCCGGGCGAAATTTGAACTCAATCGTGATTCCACTGACTCGACAGCTTTGAATAATTCGACAACGGAGTTATTACAGCCCGCCGCGGACGCCGAAGAGGAGGACGAATTCAAGACAATGTATCACGCAACGTACCGCGCGTCGACATTTGCCCTGCGAAAATTCCTCAACATTAAGAGTCCTGCCTCAGGAGCAAAGCTGCATTCTTCTATTTCATCACGCAACGGCCCAGAAGGGAACACGCCCAGTGTTCCAGTTTTGGACAGGGCGAAAGCCACTGACGTTGTTGATTCAGTCCTGAAACTCTTCTGCGAAGAGCCCGGATAGCTATGTCCGTTTCATGGTTACGTCCCTAGGACCTAAAAAAAGAGAAATGATTAATGATTATGACATGAATGACCTCCAACCAAAAGAAATTTCGAATGATTATATTTTCGTGCAGCCACATCTCGCCGTCTTTGTTAGATCCTGTGAACTTTGTATACCGATAACTATTCCCTCCCCTACAGCCTAAATTTCTGTACATTCTGGCTACGGGCTCCTATACAGCCTGTGGAACATAATTTTATAATTTAACCGCAACATAGATCCCTTTCATAAGCGCTCGGTATTCTCGATGAAAGATCATTGGCTTTGTTCTCTCTTTCGCGGAGGAGACGCCATAGCAGAAATGGGGAGGATTTGTAAACCGTTGATCCACCAGCGATACTGATGGAGGACTTGTATGCTTGTCATTTACTAAGCTACCTAAAGGGGAATCTCGGCTAATCTATGTGGGTCACGTGAGTGAGGTGCTAGTTGGATTACCTAACACCCCCCATGCAACAAGCTCCAGCAGCAAGCAAGAGCCACAAAGATCCAAAGCTTCCAAATCTCTCAAATCTGTGATAAAAAATTAATTACAGAATCCAGATTTATTCCTTCTTTAGGCTTAGCTCTGTTCACTACAATACTGTATTTTTGCTGGCTTCACTAATAAACCTCCATATTTTCCTGTATCCACTCATCACCCCTATCACGCTTATGAATTAAGTGTAGGAATCTATTGCAAGAGTCTTCATGAGCCTGTCAGCTTTATTCACATCAGTTCCAATATGCTTGATTGAGATTTCATCCTTTTGAACCCAATCTCTTAGTATATGGTGTTGTGAGGATCGTATGTGTGGATCAGCGTGACAATGAATCTCTAGGAGGAATATACATGGAAAAAGAGTACATGAGGTAAAAGGTCTGTATTCTGGCAACTATGTACAACTTGTAAACAAGATTGCCACTGGCTTCCAGCAAGAGATTCACACAGTGACAGTCTTTTATGTGTGCTTGTGAGCACATGACTTAGTGTCTCACAAGAACACATGCAACTCCCAGCAACTCATAAGCTGAGGCCTCTGGCCCTTACAGATGCTGTTCATCCATGTAAGAGATTCACAGTAAATTCTTACAGATTTCCCCCTCTTGTAAGTCTTGATTCCTCAAGATAGCTGTCTCATTAAAAATCTTCATAAGTAGAAAAACAAAAAATCTCTTGAGAAAAATAAAAATTTCCTCATAAGAAAAAGAGTACAGTCTCACTAGAGATGTGATATCAATACAACTCTAATAACACAACAGAACCCAATAACACAACAATATGTAGAGAGTCTCTATTGTTCTTGCTAGCCCTGTGTCATTATTAGATAATAAACACTAGCTTAAGAGAGAGCTTTCTCTTACTTTCTTTTTTTCTTCTTTTCTTCTCTTTCTTCTCTAGTCTATATCATCTTTATAAAGATAAGTGAACCCTTCAAGCACTGCTTTATATAAAAGGCAGACTCACAGAAGATCTCTGATATTCTGGAAGAAAAATAGCTTCACTTTAATGTTCCACACAATTGGCTGAAAGACCACAAGCTGGTGAGTTCACCCCTGATTATATCTTTGCTTTGCATGGCCATTCAGTTTTGTCTTTGTGTGAGATTTGATTCACAGAGAGACTGATGCTTGCTAGCAGTTGCTGCTGATGTGCAGTTCTCTTCTTCCTCTCTCACAACTTATCTTCACTTTTCTCTCTCAGAAGAACCCTCATCTTTTCTTTTGCAGATGAGATTGGGTCTTCAGTAAGTAGTTACAAGAAGTTTAGAAAGTGTTTGTGACTGATAGTTCTAGAGTATTGTTGTTTTCTCTTCTCTCTCTTCATCAGTTGTTATTATTCTCTCTGTGTCAGCTCAAGCTGTAAGTGCTTCTTACAAGCTGACATTGATTCACATGCTGATGAAGTTAGAGTTCTGCCACTCTGTCTCCTTCTTTCTACAGTTGTTGCTCCAGCCCCAGCCAGAAATGTGAGTATTCTCTATCATATTTTAGTTTACAGCTAATTTTCTTTAGATTGTTGTTGTTGTTTCCCCTGCACCAGCAGGGTTTATAGATGCTGTGATTCCACAAAGTGCTTGGAACTGCTCAGCACCCTCTCTACAAGATCAACAATAATAATCCCAGACCATCTTCACTTAAATACTGCCAGCTGCTACTTTTGCTGGTGCATCATAGGCCAATCCTGTTAGGTGAACCAGTCATAGGTCATGTAGTTTTTCCCAGGATTAGGGGTACAAAAGAGCTAAGTAGGTACAATGCCTGCAACTGATGGGAGAGAGTTGTGTGTAAAATGTAGGGGTTCCCTCACTCAGAGACTGAATACTGGAGTTTCTACAATCCATGTGAATTGTGTGATTCTTATACATTCAGTGTTGGGGTCATGTGAATACTCCTGAACATCCAATGTTGTCTGATGCTTGGTTGGTCTAGGTCTATATTTATAACATTATTCCCCCCCCTGAGGCCTCAGACTCTGAGACATAGGGTTACTGAAGTGGTTTTTTGTATGTTGTTGTAGCTCCCCTATCATTAATAAAGTATTGTAGATTCTTGAATGTGTAAGCTTCTGCATTACTTACTGCTTGTCTATATAGATATTCTGCATGTGTATTGCTGCTGGTTGCAGTAGACATTCTTTGTTATAGAACAGCAATTATTTTATTACAAAAGTCCAGTGTTTTGTTACATACTTGTTTCTTTGTTTGTTTGCTTGTCTGATTGCTATATTATCTGTTGTTCATTATCATGTTGTTTATCAACAAGTTGTGGGACTAGCAATCTTGATGCATTATAACAGATATAAATAGAGAGTTTCTGGTTCTCTTCTTTCTTCTTTTCTTCTGCTTTGTTTGAGCTCAGGTGTCATTCCTCATTCATTTTATAACTTATCATAATGTTATTATTAAAAGATCTTGTTGTGCACAACAAAGAAGACACTCTTCTGTGCTCCATCTGTATTTACTTGATGTTCACAGACCATCTGAATGAAGGTGAGTCTTGTCTATAGAACATCAAGAAGAAATCTTGTTCTTATTATTTAGAACATCAAACTCATGTCTGTTGTGATATAAGTATGTCTTCATTTGTTCTTCTTGTTGTTCTGACATGGCTGTAGATTCCAGAATCTGCTGTTGAACTAGTTTGTCAGCTCTTGCAACTTTAAGAAGAATACTATAGTTTTAATGCAGCTGATCTGTGTTATCTGTACAATGTCAAGTGCATGAGTATACTTGTGCATGAATTTTGTGAGCTTGACTCAGAAGCCACTAAACATCACCACCACCAGATTACTTCTACTGTTGAAGAATCTTTCATGAAATGTTGTTGTTCTGTCTCATGTCATGTAGCTAAGATCATGAACCTCATGTCCAAGACAGAATCTATCAAAAACAGTCTGTCTGAGTTCTCTTATTTATCAAGCCTAGTTTGTACTGTTCTCTCTCAGATAGAAAATAAAGTTGCAAACATTCAAGTCTTACTTGATTATCTTACAACTTGTTTAACAAGTGGAACCAAAGCTCTTCAAGACAGTATGAAAACTAATCTTATAGATCTTCTGTATTATCTTATTTGTTCTCAGACTAACTTCTGCTTAGACCAATCTCATATCTTCTATTGATTATTTAATTAATATTGTTTCTTCTGATTTTTGAAGTATTGTAGAAATGCTTTGTTCTCTTCATACTTCTTTGTCTGTAATATCTTTCTTTGTGACTGTGTCTTCTGTTGTGGTTCTATCCATCATTATATCAAATGTACCTGTGACTCTCAAGCCTCACTTGTCTATGGCTGGTTTGCCACTATTATGACTGCATCTCAGGTGCTCTCACAGTATACCTTCTCACCATTAAATTCTTGATTTTATAGATGTATTATGATCTTTATGTTTGTTTTGTGTCACATTTATCTTTCTTTCTGTATATAGATTCATTTGTCTTCTTGTAATTTTATTTTTTCTTTAGGTAATTCTTAAGAGTTTCTTGTGCATTTTCAAGATTTTCCTCAGATTCCCACATCAATTTCTCAATAGAGAATTCTTTCCACTTCACTAGGTAACATCTCTTGCAGTAGTGTGCTTTGTTGTTCAAGATTTCATCTACTTTCCACTCATGATGGTTGTCTACCAGTACTGCAGGAAAATGTGTTGGTGTCTCACCCATTCTCATGCAGTACAGTTCCAACAATGAGATATGGAAAATATTGTGAATCTGATAGCTCAGAGAGAGCTTCAGTTAATATATATTATTTTCTATAGTCTCTATCACTGAGAAAGATCCATAGTACTTGTTGTCTAACTTCTTGCAAGAACATATTGTTTATAGATTTCTTAATGATAACATCACTTCATCACCAGGTGCATACACTTTATCTTGATATCTTCAGTTATAGAACCATGCTTGATTCTCTTTTGCTTTTGTCAAACATTCTATCAGACTATCTCTTAATGCAGAGATTATTCTCAGTCTCTCATCAGACACTGTCTGTGCATTATTATTGTTGTTGACTGACTTCTGGATCTCATCTGGTTCTCTAGATTTGAAGCTATACATTACTTTGAATAGAGACATGTGTGTTGTGAAGTGTTCTGATCTGTTGTATGTAAATTCTGCATACACAAGCTACTTCTTCCAGTTGTCTTGTCTATAGCTATAATAGATATAAAGATATTCCTCCAAAATCTTGTTCAGTGTCTCTGTTTGGCTGTCTGTTTGTGGGTGGAATGCCATGCTAAATTTTTGTCTAACTTTCATGTGAAAATATAGCTCTGACCAGTATTCACTTGTGAAAACAGATCCCTAATCTGAAACAATATTATTTGGAAATTCAAAGTCTTTAAACACTCTTCTGAACAGAAGGTTTGCCATCTCTGGCATGTCAATCTTCTTTCTACACACAAGAAAATGTGCAAGCTTTATAAATTAATTCACAATAACTAGAACTGCATTGTATAGGTTCCTCTTCTCTTTACTCAGAGA